ACCTTGGTCAACCGGTCAACTGGTAGTAACACCCGAAGCGGTCAAGCTTCTACACGTGGGGTCCGGAGATCGGACCCATCCAGCGCATCAACCTGAATGGCCCATCTCCCGCGTAGAGTTGCTGGTCCAGGGCGTGCACGTGGAGAATCGACTACTGACTCGAGTGCGCCTATATTATATTATCTATATTCTACCATCTAAGTAACTGCCAGTATCTACGCTTCTTACGGCCTACAGCCTACCGCCTGGGAGTAAAGAGTGGAATCATCTCGGGCAGCAGAACGGAGGGTTCCACCGTTTGAGCCCAGCCACCTCGGTGATCAGTTGGGCGACCGCCAGATGAGAGACATCAGACATCGGACTCAGATATTCCGTCCGGGAACTCGACATCACGGTACTTGCGTCATACCGGGGGACGGAATTGGGCTGACGGATCGCTCGCCTCATCGTGATTCACCATGATCACAATGATAACAATAATCACAGTGGCCACAATGCTATCACGACCAAGATAATCACAGTGGACATGGGGTCAGCACGGGATCTGGAAAGTCGGCGGTATGGGTTCCAGCGTGGGATGGGACCTGAGGTGGAGGACAGTTGCCCGAAGCGGAGAGAATGCCGAGGCCGGGGACTGGGTAATGGAATCAGGAAAATGGGGAAAGGGGACTGTGAATAGCACAAAGGCAGTGAACGAGGTGATGTTAGGTGCCTAGCGAGAGCCGAGCACACAAAGAAGTACCTAGGTCGATTAAGATGAATAGCGCCTCTTTGAGTCAAGTCCAGAGAGAGGCTCGAGTCATTGTGCTCACCGCTTGCACATGACTGCCGGGATGCCCGGATTCTGTCAATACGTGACTGTACTGTAACAGTGCATTTGGAGAAGAAGTGGATCAATATAGTACTGGAAAAGCCAAAGATACGGTGGCCCACCGGGTCCACCCAGCTCTGATACGCCGTGATACGACGGGCGGCAACGCGTCGGCCAGTCATTCAGCTGGAAGCGGTACAAAATGCCCCATCTCCCCCTTTCGCCTTTTCTCTCTCCCCTCTGCCCATTCTCGTTGGTTGCCCGCCACTCCAGCTCATCTGCCCTCCAACCATCGCACAGAACTGGCTCCCTTACTTCTTTAAAACCGCTTATTCGCCCACTGCTCTGGTCCTGGCCCCAATCATCTTCGTGATCTATCTAGCCATTATACAAAGGTATGAACTGCTATACATCTTGTCTCTGCTTGGATTCTGCTTTTATTTCTGCTTTTATTTCTGCTTTTATCTCTGCTTTTTACTATGGTGATGGGATCTACGCTTCATCTATATCTACCCTACCATCTTACCTCTGCCTACATTCCTTTCCCCGTGTAAACAACGCGTTTGATCTCGGGTCTGCCCGGACCACTACCACTGGGACTACTGGACCACTGGAGTCGCCGCACAGAACTCCTCTCGGCCTTCCCCTCTTCCCCTCTCCAGTCATCTTGCTTTGATCCCTTGTTCTGTCATAGGATTGGAAGCTAGCCTTTTATCCACGGGCTTTGATCCTATCCCATTCCTTCTACGGTAACCGCGATTCTTCCTCCCCCTCCCGCCTCCAATCCCACGTTGCGCGCGCGCTTTTAGTGCCCACCCGTGGCAAAACAACGCGCTTTGGACCACTCATTCATCGTCCCACTGCCCACTGTCCACTGTCCCTAGGGTATGCAAAGCGGCTGCGCTGTGTTTCATCCTCGGCCTAACTTGATGGTTATTGGCTCTGGTCTCTGTTTTATGCGCGCGCGACCCTGTGTTGCTGTTTCCGTTTCCGTTTCTGCTCCTGCTCCTGTTTGGTGTTCCAGCCCTGCACGCGTCCTTGACATCATTACTGGGTAGTTGCATCTCTAACCCATGACATATAGACGTTCGCGAACCCTGATTCGCTTTCGCCTCATATCGGAAATTCCGTCCTGCTTCTGCAGAACCAGGCGATTGACAAGGTATGTCTTTGCAGTTGCATTTCCCTCAACCCCAACCTGCCAACGCATACATTGCGCGCTCTCTCCCCGCCTCGCCCGGCCTAACCCACTTGGGTATCCAAAGGGTCCCCCTCTATGCGATTAGCCCCTCTACGGCCAGCGCATTGTGACGGATCTTCCAGAATGATATACTAACGCCTCACAGTCCTGATTCGTGGACTCCGACAAGGCGCACTCTGACATTTGAGGCGCAAAGTCCCGCTAGTCCGGCAACCAGAGCATAAACCTCTGTTGCCTGTGCCTGAAATAGTCCCCCAAGTAGACTTATCGGGGGTGGCTTCATCATCATCATCAACGCCCTGGCTTATTGCCAACGCATCGCATCTCTAGTCGTGCGGTGATCCCGGTCCTGCTGCATCACAGCCCAACCACGTTACACCCGAGGGGCATAGACCGATTTGCACAAAAGAGCCAAACCCTCCGGGGCGTTCAAGATCCCTTTCACAGGTCGAATCTTCAACGCGAATCCATCCTGGCCCTGCAGTGATTTAAGGTATGCGCCGAGTCCCATTCACGCCCCATACAAGTCACCAGTCACCCCACCCGAAACCCAGTGACCGCAACGTCCTGCGCTTTGCTGACGCTATGATCACAGTCTATCGAATCATCGCCCCACCAAGGTTGCCTATCTGCACCTGATATCGATTTCTCTGCCAAACATTATCTCGGCAGTCCACCTCGATCTTCTCTCTCACTTGCGACTCGCTCCAATCCACTGCGCTTATCGCTGATTGGCTTGGGTTTGATCATTCCATCACATTACCGCGTCGCTGTGTGACGGAACTGTCCCGTCGCAAGCATCCATCATGGAGTTCCCTCCCCAGTATCAACAGCCTCATGGCCAACATCCTCACGCCCCTTCACATTCACATATCCCCGGTCCTTACCAAGGTGGCCCCCCGAACCCTGGTGCTCCTGTCGGGTCTATGGCCTCACCCAATAACGCCCAGCCCCCCATGCAACAGACACATCCCGGTCACCAAGCCTCCCCGATCGTCGCGTCGCAACAGCACTACCAGCAATCACAGAATGCGCCTGGAGCCGTTCACCAGCAGATGAATTTCCCCCAGGGTTACGGTGGCCCCGTTGCCATGCCCCAGGGCTACGGAATCTCTCCAACCCAGGCAGCCGCGATGGCCACCGCTGCCGCATCGGGTCAGTTCTACCCGCTCCACCAAGATTCCATGGCTGGTCAGATGGCCCAGGGATCGCGAGGTTCGCCGCGCATGGCCGGTGTGCAGATGAAGCAAGATCGTAATCCTAGGTCCCCGCCTCAAATGCCCGGGCAGATGCCCCCTATGGGCTCACAGGTCCAGATGCCTGGCCAACGCCGCATGAGCCATGTTGGAAGCCCCAGTGTGCAGAGTGCTCAGCCCGTGATGAGCCATGTCGGCCGACCCACCATCGCTGCTCCCATGGCCGCTGCGCCAGTCCAGCCTAACCACGCTTCCCCGGAAATGGTGGCCAGCACCAACCAGGAGGAATCCCCTCTCTACGTCAACGCCAAACAATTCCACCGAATCCTCAAGCGTCGGGTTGCGCGACAGAAACTCGAGGAGCAACTGCGTCTGACTTCCAAGGGCCGCAAGCCATACCTGCACGAATCGCGACACAACCACGCCATGCGACGACCTCGTGGCCCAGGAGGTCGCTTCCTGACCGCCGACGAAGTCGCCGCGATGGACAAGAAGGCTGCCGACGGCGAGGATATCGGTGACATCAGCAAGATCGAGAACGGCTCCGGCCAGAAGCGCAAGTCTAGCGAGGTCAACGACGACCACCTCAACTCAAAGAAGACTAAGACTAGCGCGAGTGCCGACGGCAGCGAGCAAGAATCCGCCGAGCCTTCTGACGAGGATGGTTGAACTTGTCGGCCCTTCCACCATTAGAGCATGACTCCAAGTTGGTGTTGTTTTTTCCCTATGTTCTATTTCTCTTTTTTTTCGTCACGGCCTTATGGATGGATGCTTCTTTGGACCTTTTTTTTCTTTTCTCTAGCGAGCGATGTGTACGGATCCCCCTTTACCTTCTTATATTGTCTGCTTGACTCTCAACCCTTTACCTTTACCCCTGATGCCTGTTTATAGCTTATGCTGGGACGATATGTTTTTCTCTGATTCACTTCGGATTTCGAGTTTCGAAGTATTTACCCTCTGGTTCGGTTCTGGCCGATCTGAAAATGGCCCTCTACTCCTCATGTCCTACGTTACCCCACGGTATCGTATGTTCAATCCATGGGTCGAGCCAAGAGACCACGTCCAGACCCGCCAAAGCCAGACCAGTCCGCAAGGCCTGCATCATTTTGTGTATATCGATATCGACAGTACAGCGCCGAGGCATTCGGCTTTGCGTCTGTTTTTACAATGCCCCCTCCCCCTGCCACGCTTTCGTTATGGTTATTCCCCTCTCAATGGTTATGGTTTATAGTGTTCTTTCTGGTGTCTTGTTTGTGCGTTTATGGGTTCCGGGGTTGGGAATTAGAGACGGTCTCCATCACTGGAAAAACAGATCACGGATCATGGATCATGGATCATGGATCACTTATCACTTTGGTTGGGTTGGGAAAGACGGGTTGTTTTTCGAGATTTATGGATATGAATTCAATTTGTCACTGCCTATACCAGGAATGAGATGTTATACCATGGTTGTTGATTGTTAGTGACCGACGTAAAATTGTCTTTTGTACTTGGACTTGCATTAGCTCGCTGAGCATGGTTTTCCAGACAGCGAGGTCGCCTCGACTCTTGTAGGTAGCCAGCCCATCGAGGCCGCCAAGTCCTAACCCATATCTATAAACCTACGCGAACAAGCACCCCGCAAAACAATGCAATGATAGTATCATGAATCTCAAAATGCAACAAGCTATGACCACGAAACCAGCCGCAGACGATTCCCATCTATACACTCAAACCCAAACTCCATCCATGCAAAAACAAACCAAACAAAACCCCTATCTACTCATCCTAGACAGCCTCCCAATCCATCCCCTCAACCATAAACCTCCAATCCTCCTCCCCATCCTCCTCCCCTCCCCCCCTCCCCAGGCCTCCTGCAAAGCTCAACATGCTCCCGCGCCCTAACATAAGCCTCCTCCAAACCCCCAAAAATCCCTGAAAGAATGTCCTCAAAATCAAACTCCTTCAACGGCACCACTTCTTTCCTCTCCCAAGGATCATTCTCCCTCTCTTCGACCGTCATATCCGCCGTCTTCCACCTATTCCTCAACTCCTTCGCCTTCCTCAATAACAAATAAACCCTCCCAGACCCCAGAATCGGCGTCAGCGGCGAGGTCTCCTGCTCAAGGGCATGCAGCACGTTTGCATGGTATCGGTGTACGGATCCGGATGCGAAACCCCGCGCGCGAGATGAAACGGTTATATTGAAAACGCCTAGGAGATGAACGATTGCGCGCTCGAGGAGTGCGTAGTATTCGTGAAAATCGATCTTGAACATGATTTCGGATTGGGATTCTGAGGCCATGCCAGCGTCTAGGGTTGCGAGGCGGTAGCCTTCTGCTAGAAACGGAAGTTTCCAGCGGAGGCGTGCGACGATTTTCATGAAGCGGTTTAGTTCTTCGGAGGGGGGTAGGAGGGTGTTTGGGTTTGGGGTTATGGTTGGGGTTGGTGTTCGTTTATTGTTGTCATTGCGGCGGGTTGGGGAGGGATTGGAGCGGATGCGGTTTTCGGAGCGTGGGCGGCGGGGTGTATGGTTCTGGGAGTGGTGACTGTAAGATTCGCTCGCGCTGGGCGCCCAGCGCGAGCTGAGGAGGTCGGACATTGGAGGGTTGAGAGGTGAAGGATAAGGTGGTGTTGTGCGGTTATCGCACGGGCCAACGGCTCTGCGGGGATTCTGGATCTATGTGAGTTGCTTAGTTGCTTTGTTGTTAGTTGGGGGCTGATTACACATGGTGCTTGGAGGTTGTCACGGTATCATCTGGGTATAAAAGAAAATTTAGAAAATTTAGAAGACAAATTGGATATTATTGTCCTTGTTGACCATGATCTTGTAATCTTGACCATGTTGCTAGAATAAAGTTGGCAATTACTCCCGCGGGGCTTTCCCAGGCCGAGGCCATCACGTATCACTACAGATTTTCCAAACACTCCCACTTTTATAGCGTTCTAGACTCTGGGGAGCTAATCAACCCAAAGACTGTATAATATGAGTTAAAGTGGCTACAAGGCATCCATAGATCTTGCATACATGAACAGTTGACTTGTACAGTTGACCTATACAAAGTTTAAGCTTGAAGCGTCTGCAATTTTGAGGGTTTATTGAGTGAATTTTGATAGTTGTTTCTCACATTTGAACTAGATACAGTTGATAAGAACAAGTATAGAGATCATTGATCATTTCACATTGATAGCAAAGGAAGGATGTGTCGGGGAACTAGGTACACGCTAGTCGAAATCCACATCTGCTTCGACAAGCCCTTTAAGCTACGCAAAGACCCCTCCAGAGCTCCAGACATGTTGAGTTATGCTAGTAAATATTTATTTTGGCTATCGGCTACTTTCGTTACGTGATTTGGACAAAGCTTCCTATGCATGAGATTTGCTTTCGCCGCACCTAAGGCGCACCACATCAATGGCAAAGATGTTTAGTCAAAATCTCTCATCATGTTCTGTTCGGAATAAAATATTCCTTGATATTTCTGTGAAATTCCATTTGGAAACTACACTATTGAACATCGGTTTGCAGGCGCCTAGCTAACGCATCATGAGAGGAGATACCGGGCATCTCATGCGGGTAGCCATGCGCTAAGGAATTATCTGCCTCCGAGCGGACTCAGAGCAATTTCCAGACCGGACTAGGCCTTGTTGCCGGTGATATTTGTCATTGCTTAAGACAGTTTCATACAGTCTAGTTGGCGGGCACTTTTGACTCAAAACTCCACATCGGCACTCTTCCTCCCCTTTTCCTGTCCCCGGGTTTCCATCATCAAAATTCCAACTTAACTATTTAGTCCTGAGCAAGGTCTAGGGCTTTCCCGAAAGACTTAGTGTACTATTTCCCCATCTAGCAGTGTCCTGGGTTCAGCTCCGAGAAGGTCCCGTGACCGGGAGTGAAGCAGGCACTGGCTAACCTAATTAGGCTAGCGTGTCTCCAGCTCTCTCCAGCATCGCCTCGTCTCACGTTCGCCTTCATTCGCGCCGGGTTGAGCTGCTCCTGGTATCGATTCCAATCGCCATCCTGAAGGGTTTCTTGTAGGTGGCTGACCCTTTTTTCTTCTTGATCTTTATTGCCTCTGCCTTTCCTGCTTCCTCTGTTCCCCGTTCTCGCTATCAGCTCACCCCTATCTGGACATTCCATGCGGTCTGCCCGGCTTCATCTTCTTTTCTATCCTCCGAGCCCGTGACGATGTCCCTTTGCGGTGTCATGGAATCCAGGCTCTTCTTGAATCTCTTGCGTGATGCTAGCCTTGGCTAGTCTATTCATACCTCTCTTTCTCCGCACCACTTGCCGCGTACCCGCGGCAATGAGGGTGCGCCAAAGCCCCGGGGCCACGGGCTCGATCGCCGCTTCTTCTGTCCTTCTTTTCACCCCCAATCACCTCATCTCTTCTGTTTTCTGTGACTTGCCTCCACCTCATCTATCGCTGTCTCGCTCTGCAAAGCTTCATGATCCTATATTGACGATGCCGAACTCTTAGCTTCCAGCGCGATCTGCGATAACGTGCTTGAGAGCATCGCCCACACTTTACTTGAACTCACAAGTTTACACCTTGAGACCCTCGCCGCAGATATTTTAGCAGCACTGCTGTGACTTGACGAATATCGGAAGTGCCGGATCACCATGGACTCATACGCGGGGGACGAATACCCCGGCCCCAAGCGGGACGGAGAATCAATCTCAGGCAGAAATCCTGGGGAAAACTACAGACGTCGCTCACCGGGTATGCTACCTATTCGACCCAAAAGAGATGCCCCACAAGAGAGCATCATTGCTAACTGGATGCCAGCTTCCCAGGATCGCCGTCGCGGCCGCGGCCGTTCCCGCTCTCCCATGATCGATCGCTACGAACCCTCAGACCGCCGCCCGCGAGAAGATTTTTACAACAACTCTCGCGATCATGCTGCTCGGGAGCGTGAGGACCGTCGACGTGCCCCATCGCCGACCGTCGCCAATATTGACCGCTATGTCCCCGGTCAGGACAGTGGACAGCGCCATATGCAGATGAATCAGCTTCCGAATCCTCTCAGTCTTGAATTCCAGGTCGGCTTCACTTGGTTTGGTGAATGGTGGAGAAGTGAACAGCAAGTTCACGAGGAGAAGGAGCGTGTCAAGCACGGCCGGGGCCGGTCAGACCGTATCAAGGGAGAGCGTGAAGCGCGTGAAGACAAGGAGCGACAGAGAGCACAGATCCAGGCTGCCTACGACACATACAAGGTGGACCTCCAGATCAAATTGTCGCGCCAATTCGTGCAGCAGCACCGGAACGAAGAGTGGTTTAAAGAGCGCTACATTGCGGAAGTGCGCGACCCTTTGCGCACTCGTATTATGAACTTCCGCCGAGGCGCCTATGAACAATGGGATCGTGACCTGAACGGAGGATTGTTCGATGATTTCACCCTTGAAGGAATTTACAAGAGCGAGAGTGACGGAGCCGGCGGTATTGTCGAGAAAGAAGAAGGCGAGACTACCGCAGTCGCCGAGACTCTTAGCGTTCTCGACTTACTTCCTGTCCGTGGCGGAGAGCTCCGCGATGATGCCTTATCGCAGCCTGCTTTATTGATCAAGACCTTGGCACCTAATGTGAGCCGAGAGAAAATTGAGGAGTTTTGCAAGGAGCACCTTGGAGAGAGCGACGGTGGTTTCAAGTGGCTCAGTTTGAGCGATCCCAACCCCACCAAGAAGTTCCACCGTATGGGTTGGATCATGCTGCATCCTTCAACAGAGACAGATAATCCCGTCGACCGGGGAGACGGCCGCGAAGAGGAAGGCCAGGACACGGACAACCACCACAATGGCACGGCTGTCAACACAGCCGAGAGAGCCCTTGAAGCTGTCAATGACAAGACCATCCACGATGCTGTGCATGGCGACTTCGTCTGCCATGTGGGTGTTCATGTGCCCCCTTCACAACCACGCAAGAAGGCTCTCTGGGACTTGTTCTCCTCTCCAGAGAGAATTGAACGTGATCTCGAGCTGGCTAGACGCCTGGTTTCCAAACTGGACAACGAGATGGGTGAAGCAGATGGCGTCTCTAAAATTGAGGAACGGATTGAGGATTTGCGCGGAAAAGGTTGGCTGCAACCTCCTGTGACTGGCCCTGTCAGTGCCAAGAAGCAGAAGAATGACTACGATGAAGCGGACGTTGATGAAGGCGAGATGGAGGAAGGCGAGGAGAAAGAAGCACCAGAAGAAGATGAAGTGGATGACGAGGAACTTCTCGCGAATAAGAAGAAGCTCGACTTGATGGTGGAGTACCTCCGCCGAGTCTACAACTTCTGCTTCTTCTGCGTCTTTGAATGTGATTCAATCCACGAGCTTGGCCGTAAGTGCCCGGGTGGCCATCTTCGTCGTCCCCGCTCTGGTCTTTCCAACCAGGCTAAGGAGGTCGCTAGGGCCAGCGCTTTGGGTGAGGCGTTCCCATGCAAGCAAAAGGAGCCTAGCGAGGATGGAGAGGAACGGGGATCCCCTGTCCAGGAGAAGCGCCCACAACGGCTCTCCAAGTCCGAACAACAGTTGCAGCGAGCCTTTAATTGGGTAAAGACCTTCGAGGACAAGTTGCTTCAAATTCTGGAGCCTGAGAATGTTGACTTGTGCAAATTGGGCGGCAAGCCTGTGGAGCAGGCCTTGGAGGACGAGCTGGCCAAGTACGTGAAGCAGGAGGATGATTCACGATATCGCTGCAAGGTGCCCGAGTGCGCAAAGCTCTTCAAGGCAGACACCTTCTGGCGTAAACACATCGAGAAACGCCACGCGGAGTGGTTGGCAAGTATCCAGCGTGATGTAAGTTTCCTTCTACTTTTTTCTCGAACCATCAGAAACTAACATCGTCTTACAGCTCGAGCTTGTGAATACCTATGTTCTGGACCCTGCTCGCATTGCCCCGTCGCGGTCCGATGCCAACAGCAATGGTCACTTCCCCATTGCTGGTGGTCAAGGCCAAGGTGGTACCCCGCGTGGATTCAGCCTCTCGAACATGCCATCATACCCTGGTGCCATGCCCGGGTTCCCTGGCCCTGGAATGCCTGGCCTTCCAGGTGCCCCAGGCCCTTGGGGCAGCAACGGCATGGGCGACGGTCGTCTGCACCAGCCAGGAGCCATGCGCCGCGGTGGGCACCGACACAACAACCGGTCTGGTCCGTACGACCGTCACCGCTTCAACGGCGGCGGCCGACTCAGCCCTGTTCGCGGGGCCAACATGTACGGCGCCGGTGGCCGCCTGCCTCCGCCTGGCATGGCGATTCCGCCTGGACACCCGGCCGCCAACATGGCTGTGCCGAAACCCTTCCCCGACGCGATGGATGCCGGCGGTGGTGCACAGGCAATGCCCCCACGTGAAGCTGTGCAGGGCCGCAGCCTGAAAAGTTACGAAGACCTCGACGCAGTCACTGGTTCTGCCAGCGGCGAGCTGAATTACTAGTTCGCATTGCATTTGAGTTTATCGTCTGCCATTGAATTTCCAGCACTGTTCTCAATCGGCGTGGGTGGCGCAACGGCAAGGATGGATCGGATTTGTTGCGCCCTGTTTCTCTCTTCATATTGGTGTCATATTCTTTTATTTTGTGGATTTTCTTGAGGGTGAACATGTCTTGTCTCTCGAGTGATGCTTATTGCCCTCGAGTCGCTCTCTTCCAGATCTTATCTGCACCTAGCATGTACAATATCTTCATCGACCGTCGTTGGAAAATGAATGACATTATTATCCATAATTGACGTGTTGTACGGTCAACGTATAAGATGCCACAAGACATCGCGAGGTCTATGGCACGTTTGAGGATCGTGTACATCTATGGATGTGTAAAAGAAATCAAATTCCGGACCTGGTATATCGCGTGATCTCCAAAAGTTCCTCTCCAAAAACACACTAAACTCCAACCCATGCAACCAGCGCTACAGATGCAACCTCATCAAAGCCCAAGACCCGTAGACAATCATGGCATCTCAATAACCACCTCTTCCCTCGGATCCAACCACCTCGCGCCCATCCCCTTCACCCTCCTCTCACTCGCCAAAAACAAGAGCAAATAGATATGCATAGCAACCTCCCCCCAAGCATAAACCTTAAGCCTAACCACTACCTCATCCCGACCCTCCTCTAGTCCTAATCCTAATCCCTGATCTTCGACCCTTTCCAGAATACACCAAACCCCCCAACCGGCCCTCCCCCTCCTGTCCAATAAAAACGCTCAAAAATCCCCAAAACCTCGCGAACAATTCCCCATTCCAGCAAGACTCCCCTCTAGCCCCGATAGTGCCTGCAGGCGGGTCCGGACGGATAGGGATCTGCACGACCCAGTACCCGCGCTCCAGGGTATCGAGAACCCGGACTTGGCGGATGGGTTTATAGATACGGGCTGGATTGAGTCGGTCGACGAGCATGCATAGAGTGGGTGTGATGTGAGTGGTGAAGGGGGATGTGGAGATTGGGGGTGGAGGGGGCCGGATTTCTACGGGTAGTTGAGTGAACAAGGTGTAGTCTGAGTGTGAGCCCGTGGAGATTGGGGGCGGGATAGAACTTGGACATGGACTTGGACTCGGGGATAAGCGAGGAAGGGCAGGAGCAGGGGCAGGGGTGACAGAAGTACATTGTAGTACTTCGGAACGACGGCGCTTGGACGGAGGCGGGAGAAGAGGATCTAGTGGCTCCGGATCTTCCCTTTGCAGTGGTGCCTGGGTGGGCTGCGAATCGGGAATGACGCTGATGATGCTATCGAGGGAATGGTCGAGACTCGAAATTGAATTTCCGATCTGGGTCGGGGCCTCGGCTGCGATCGCCTGAGTCTCGGGCTCGGGCGCAAAAGGGTCTGCAGGTAGGCAGGGGACGGCCGCAACTGATTCAACTTGGACTTGCGCTTGACCTTCAGATCCAGCTGTGGGCTGCATCATGGCCCGGATGGCGGCAGCCTGAACTCGGTATCGCGCATCGTCGCTGATGCTGCTGGGGGCGGAGACATGGACGAGGATGTCCATTGAGCCACGATAGGAATAGCTTTGATCTAGCTGGAATTAGGCCGAGTACAGTAGTATTTGTCACAGTGTGGTGAGGGTCGACTAGTGATTCCTGGCTCGGCGCATCAGGACATGATTGGAGGGTGGAGTTCGGAGTTCGGAGTACAGGGGATTGAGTAGGGAGCCCACGAGTTGATCCGTGATGAAGAAAGTAGGAAGTCGGGGAATGATACAAAGGGAAGGGAAGGGAAGGGAAGGGAAGTGGTTCCAGTGTAGCTGACATGGGAACGTCCTCGTACGTGGATTCGCGTGCTGCATTTTGCGATTAGAAGAAAGTGGTCGGGGAATTAGTTTAGTTTCTTAATTGTTGGAAGTGTTTTGATTGTTTCATCGTTTGATTGTTTGATTGTTTGATTGTTTGATTGTTTAATTGTTTAATTCTTTATTCCTTAGTTCCTCGTAACTAATTCCTGGATTAATTACTTACCCCAGTTGCGCCCGTGCCAAGAAGTATTCCCGTCCACCCGCGATCCACGATCCATCACATCTTCTTCCTTTCTCAACGGTTACGCCCAGTTCGATCTTACTGCTTAGTGTGTAAACCGTTACATGCTCCATCATGGCTGGCGGTGTTTATCCTATGGACCAGATGCAACATCTGCCCGGTACGTCTCTCGATCTCGAACTTCGCAGCGCAGTGCGCCTTGCAGAATGCTCCGGCATCCCCTATATCCCGAAACTCTACACTTCACGTTGTCATCCTCGTTCCTCATGGCTGACATGCTTGCGCCGGCGCGTCCCGCTGCACGGGAGGCCCGGTGCGATCCATTCTAGAACAATCTCCAACTTCAAAAGGGGGAGTTTTCGGTACGGAATTCTTCAAGATCTTCGGGGCTCAACCCAAGAAGACCACGACTCGAGGTGCGTTGACCTAACATACGATATGCGATTCCCCCTCTAAATCTTCCACCTCCAGATGGCCAAACCCCGAAGCGTCGAGGCCCCAAGCCCGACAGCAAGCCCGCCCTGACTCGCCGGCAAGAACTGAACCGGCAGGCCCAGAGGTAATCAACCGCAATCGCCTCGGAACGAATCGCCGACTGACCCCTCATCTGCAGGACCCATCGTGAGCGAAAAGAACAGTACATGCGATCCCTCGAGACGGAGGTGTCGCGGTTACGGGAAGCCTACACCCATGAGATCTCCGATGCGAACGTCACAATTCAGAAACAAAAGGAAATTCTACAGTCGGCCCACGATGAGAATGAAATCCTCAAGGAAATTCTGGTCGCCCATGGAATCCAATACGGAGAGGAGCTGGAGAAACGCCGGTCGGAGCGTCCCGTTGGGTACCAAACCAGCCCAATGACTGCCAGTAGCACCGGATCGCAGACTGCCGGCTTCGCCAAATCTGCAAGCCAGCAGAACACTACACCCGGCACGTCCATTTCAACGGGCATGAGTCCTAAGATGACCGCTATCGACCGTCCCGAGGTGACGCCACCCGTCGGATTCGCGCCGCAGGTCTACCACTCCAGCGTGACCGACCACATCGGATCCCTCGATCGCTCAGCATGCCAAGCAGGCGGCTCACCAGTGTCTGCCATGCGCGGCGTTTTTGAGACCGACCCTCAGCTCCAGGTTGACTTTATCCTCACGTACGTCATCACCTTATCTCGGAGCCTCACATCAGCTAATCATCTATACAGATTGGAAGGACCATGCCGTGAACATACAGACTATCTCTGCCGTCGCTCAGTAACTGAAGCCGACGACGAAGACATGCCTTTCTCAGGCCATGCATTGATGGCGACATGCCCACCACCCAGCTACATCAAACACACAACGCCGGAGCAAACATATCCCCATAAGACCTATGACCTCCCCCTCGCCGACCTAAGCACGCTCCTCAACCTAAGTCGCCAGCTCGTAACAGACGGCCAAATCACACCAATCATGGCCTTGCAATGCCTCAAGAACCACGAGCTTTACACAACCCTCAGCCGCGACGATGTCAAGATTATCATCGAAACTCTCAACACCAAAGTTCGCTGCTACGGCTTCGGTGCCGTCGTCGAAGACTTTGAGCTTATGGATTGTCTGAGCAGCGTCGTCGGGACTAAGGTTGACGCGGGTGTCTCGCGCATCCGCGACGACTCCATGTACGCGTGAGCCGCGTGAATGATTACGACTTCCAATGAAAACGGTCTGGGGAGTGACCCGGTGTCGCTCCGGTCTGGCTTCGAGCTATCTGGCTCCTTGCATATGTTTGTTCTTTTTTCTTTTCTTTGCCTTCTTTTCTTCAACATTGGCACTTCTTCTTCCTTCCCTTTCTATTCTTTGAGCTTCCCCCTTTTTCCTCACCTTCATCTCTTAATCGGAGATGTATATACAGCAAATGGCCCTGGCTGAGCGTGGGCCCGGAGTTGATCTTTTTGTCATTTGCTTCCTTTTTTCTTTTCTTTTTTTCTTTATCTCTTTCGAAGTTCAAAGTTTCTTGGCCTTCCATCAAGAGGGCGGCCTTTCCATAGAAATATTCTATTACTGTGATATATTTGGCATTTTGTGTCTATTAACCAATTGATTTGAGTCTTGTTTCTTTGTCATTTCCCCGTCTCCAGAATTATTCATTAATACACCTTGCCGACGGATGGCTATAGGCAGTTGATCATACTACTCCCCGCGCATATACACATGCGGGCACATTACTCTTCTCTAGGGCTTGTACAAGTAGCATCTCCGAGGCAACCTACATACAGGGAAAGGGCCACCATGTCAAGTACACAACAAGCTGACAACTGTCATTTGTACAGCTGGGGAAATCTCTGTCCATCCAAGCTCCGCGCATGTGGACTATAAGACTATGCCGTGTCTTCCCAGATGATTTTCAAGATACCTGGAGGTACTTAAATGATATACTGAAGAGGAGCAAAAATTGGTTAATATAGACGTTTAGCAAATTCCAGAAATTTTGTAAAAGACCACGAGAACAACCTTCCACTGCTGGAAAATCTCCAGCCTTTCCTAGCTATATCCTTGCTCGACTGTACATGTACGGATAATAGATATCCAGAAGTATGAAAGTACAACAACCGCCCACAACCACCAAGCCACATAAGATACCAAAAGATACTAATAACTAATCACAAGCCCCGACGGGTGCGTGACCTCGTGCCCAGATAAGGCCCAGACCTAGGCCCAGACCTAGGCCCAGACGTAGTGCGCCCCCGATAATGACAACTATGGGCTGACCTTAGATATAGGTTATAGCCTTAAGCAAAATCCAGATTAAGAGGCAGCCCAGATGATGGAGAATGAAATAAAAAAAATTAAAGTAAATACAACTTACAAATAGTTCCAGGCGCTTCATGCAGACAAGATGTGCCTATCGCCGTCAACCCCTCAACCCACTCTTGCAAGGATACACGCGTATTCTGAGAATCGAAAACTGCCGAATAACTTTTTATTTGACTGGAATTGTCATAGATCTCCACGTGACACCGCTGACACGTGAGGTCTTTCATCGAGAGGTATTCTAGGATTAGCTCGTCTCGGATGAAGGCCCAAATACTGTGCCAGAGACGGGCCATTTTGGCTTTCCTTGTGGGTCGTGAAAATCCACTGAAGGAATGACGGGCCGCTGGCGGTACCAGATGGTCGGTTAGGTTTATGGACGATAGACTTAGTTTCCTGAGTGTTGGCGTGGTGGTACGGAGGAATGTTTTGAGTGTATCTTGTGTGATTTCGATATACGTGAGATGGAGGTCGGTGAGTTGAGTGAAGTTGATAGACTCTGCAAGATTGGAGAAGTATGAAGGGCTGAGACTGGTGCGATCTGCCCATTGTGAGAATGTCAATGTCTTCAGAGTGGGAGCTGCTGTGACGAGGATATCGAGGAGATCGCTGAACTCCGGCTCATCCTGATCGCTAGGCCTGCAGATGCAAAGATGAAGATGTTCCAGTCCTTGTGTTAGCGGCAGGATGGCTCTGAACCGTGGCGGAGGAAATAGAGTAATGTTATTCGAGAGTATGCCATAGTGATGCACGTCACATGTATGTAGCTTCTTAAGCTTCCGCTTTGAAGAGATCACTGCATTAAGAAGAGTACAGAAGACAGGAGTTCCCCGGTGAGCAATTGTCGTGTTTTTGAAACGGCTGAGGGGCTCTCGACACAAGGAACGACAATCCAATTGATCCAGTAGCTCGCGTAAACCTAAGCACGGGAAGTCCCTATCCGGATGAAGGAGGCGGTTTGTGGGATACCACCGCAGTCCAATGGAAGACAGGCTCTCGAAACGCGCGACGCAGGCATCTAGAATGGTACTAAGAGTATCGGACTGAAGCAACTCCAGATGGTCGGCTACTGTTGCCTTGTATCCTTTATAGTGAGCTTCAAGTTCACCGGTTTCCCAGGCGTATTCGACCCGGGAAGACGCTCCATACGGCGAGATGACAAACTCCTCATAGTCCATTTCATAACAACCACCGAACAAGATTGGAATCACCCATAGCTCTTGGACTCGTGTTCGGAGCGTATCATTCGCAGCGAGGTCTGTCAGTTGTCGGAGACTATTGCTTGTAAGGAGGATGCAAATGCTCTTTAAATTATGGTTGGCGAAAGACTCTAGCGTGTTGGAGTACAGAGCCTTTGAAGTGAGCCTCAGGGCGATCCATTCTGGTTGTTTCAGGTAGCTGCAGATCTCGGTCAAGAGCTCCACAGGAAGCATCTCCATTGAGGCGCACTTGTCCGGTATCTCGAGGATCGAGTCCGGATTTCCGAAGACCGCATGGTACAGAGCGGAAAAGTAGTGGGCCATGGGAGCAAACACCAGGCTGGGAAATGCAATGCCAGGTTAAGTGATAAAAAGGAGGACGAAAACCATTTCGGTAATTTCCGACCGCCCATTTAGCAACTAGGCTAAATGAAATAGGGCCAAGCAATACTAGACGCAGCCTAGCGCGTAACGAAGTGTACCTCTTATGAGGGAACCGGTTCTAGCATGTAAATTAGGTGACGGGTAAAACTCCGGGATATCATGGTTTCCACTCAGGGTCCACGACCCGGGGTGTGATACAGGCCAGATGAAAGGTACTTTGGTCATAGGCCAACTACGAGGGAAACCGTAAAAGTCATAACGAGATCGTCACTCTTATCAAACTTTTGCGCATATGCACAGCCAAAGGAAAAAAAAAAGACACAAGAATCTAACAGACGAAAAGCATATAATCCATGGATATCTACTCATCAGACTCCTCAGACTTCTCCTCCTGTTCCTCAATCTCGGCCTCATCATCCTCCTCAAAGGTGGTAGCGGGCACGCGGTACAGACGCAGGACAGACTTGTTGGGGTCCTTGATGAGAACGTACTTCTTAACGGCATCAGCAGGCTCCTCAGAATCGAGGGTACGGATGCGGTCGACAACGGTGCGGACGATACCCCAGCCGTTGCCAAGGTTCAAGTTCATCTGGGTAGCGAACTCCTTAGGCTTGTAACCCGCAACACCGAGAACGACGTGGCCGGCAGCGGAGCGGGGGTTGGCACGAGACACGAAGCCGAGCTTCATGCCGTCGGCCTGGGCAAGGATGGCCTGGGTGGTCCAGCGGGCGAGCTTGCTGGAGTTGTTCTTCATCTCGGTGGCGAGGACGGCACCACGCTGGGAGACGAGCTTGGTGCGCCAGTCGAGAGCACCACCGGAGCCCGGGGCCTTGCTGTCGAACTCGTTCAGGGCCTTGATGACCAACTGCTGGTCGGGGCCACCGGTGGGGTGCTTCATGATGGCGTCGACCTCGGTACGGACGATCAGCTTGAGGGGCTCTTCGTCGCGCTCGAGGGAGAGGTCGAAGCGGCGGTACTTGTATCCCTTGGAGGCGAGGGGCTCGGTCTCCTCGGCCTCGTTGTAGAAGGGGTTGGGCTGAGCGAAGGAGACCTTGGCCTGGTCGGACTCGGTCATGGTCTGCAGAGCAAAGTTGTGGTTGATGAAGGTGGCTTCCATGGCCAGAGCGCTGGGGGTGTTAATCTGGTCAAGCTTGCCAGTAGCCTCAGAAACCTCGAGAGGGGCGTCGTAGGCGTTCTCGTTGACGGTAACGAGGTCAATAGAGGCACCGGCACGCTTGTCGAGGAAGATCTTGTCGCCCTGGTGGACAATGACAATGTCCCAAGAGTAGACACTGCGGGTAGCGCACATAAGCATGGAGAGGATGTCGGCAGTAGCGAAGATGGTGGCCTCGTTCTTCTCGGCCAACTCGTGGATAATGGGATCCTGGGAGGTGGTGACGTTGTAGGCGGCGCGCTCGAGGCTCTGGAGACGGCGCTCGTTACCCTTGACGGGCGCGCGGTCGTAGGAGCGGTCGTAGTAGTGCAGGAAACCGTAAGTTTCGAGGTCCTCACCATCGGGGGTGTCGAGGTTTAGCTTAGACAGGCGGGTGAAGTCAACCTCCTCAAGCATCTGCCACTCAGGGCGGATGTTGATAGAAGGCTCACGGGTGCGCTGGGGCTTGTCCCAGTCCTTCCATCCGAAACGGCGGCCACCACCGCGGCCACCACCACCACGACCACCACGGTTATCAAAGTAGCGATCATTGCCACGGCCACCACCAGCACGCTGGAAGCCACCGCGAGCACCACCACGCTGGTTGGGACCACCACGCTGGCCACCACGGCCACGGAAAATCGTGCCACCACCACGACCGAAGCCACGCTTGACGGAGGTACGGGTGTTGTCGACAACGGAGAAAGAGGACTCGTCTTCGGCAGCAGCGACAGTGAACAGGCTGGAGGTACCGGCACCGTAAACCTGCTGGTCTGTAGATGGAAAAAAAGAGTCAATGCGGGTCCTAATATTGATCGCCCCTCCAACCTCTGGGCACAAAGAAATAACACGCAAAAGTTATAGATTTAAGACTTACCACGGAAGTTGCGGTTGTACTGCTGGCGACCCTGGCGGTCACCGTTCTTGGATTCGGTAGTCCAGTCGGCCATGCGGCCCAACTTGTCGCCCTTAGAGAAGGGAGCGTAGGGGACGCCGTTGAGCATGTTATCAGCTCCGGTGGCGGGACCCCAAGAGTCCTCAGCCGGGAGGGCAGCCACCAGATCGGCGACAGAAATCGGAGCCATTTTGGAGTTGTGAATGGGCACCGGGAGAGTGTTGGCGTGGGGTGTGGATTATCGGCGGGAGTTTTTTGTGTCGCGAGGCTGTGGCTGGTGTTCACCGCCCAAGCCACACTCTGTATCACGTGATCCATCAATGGCGCAGTCCATCTTATACCTCGTCACTTTCAAGGTCTTCCTTTCGATATATGATGAAATATTTGCTTTGTTCTGTGTTATGAACGTCATTATCTTCTCTTAGGAAACTCGGATAATGCCGGGTCGGATGTCCGGAACTGTCCCAGGGTCACGAAGGGCAAGAGCTCAATTTTCGGTCTTCAAGAGTCTGGTAGCCTGATAGTTACCCTTTCAGTTCTCTCGCGTAAAGCACTCACCCTCCCCGGAAGCACTTATCAGGCCTATCAGATTATGACGAATCAAGTTATGACGACAGTACGCAAGACGATCGGAATTTTAAAGACAATGTGAACATCGGCCAGAAAATCGACCCAAAAAACTCACTAGTTCCTGGACCGAAATTTACCACTACTGCGGGCTCAAGCGATGAAGAAAATCGATTGGGCAATCACCTTCGACAGACTTGTCACGGCAATAAAATTTTGGGTCGACGTTGGCTCCAACTCTGTGATGTTGCATGCACGTATGACAAATTGGTAGATGCATAAACACCCGAGGTTGACAGTGTAGGTTTCTTCCTATGTATGCATTACCACACAGCAACCTGATATGAGTCGATAGATCCAACTCAGACATTCTTGTTCCTGGTGGATCGTCCTCTTGGCAAGCTAATGGCGATTCGACTGGATAATGGTCCACTGATAAGGACCTTCCCGAATCCAGGAGCATAGAAAGATCCAAAAGATCGCCGGGACTATTGGCCCCAGACATGATTCTGGAGAATTCTGAGATCATAGACTTGTATTTTTCTGGAAAATCAAGCTTGGACCATCAGTGATCGACCGCCAAGTGGTTCGCTTAGAAGCTGCGTACAGCCTCGGCCGATCGTGCCGGACGCAATCTATGGAACGGACTCTAGCATTCAGCACTCCTGGTCCTACATTCTCCATCAAATTTTCCTTGGTCCACTAATCTCAAATGTTGTCTAGCTGAAGGGCCGGTGGCCCTATCTAGAGTTTTGCAGATCACACCGTCCCTCACAAGGATGTCTTGTTAGGTAACGCTATTTCTACAGCCCATCGGAAAAGTCGCGCTTCCGAACTGGCTGATAAGGGGTATGAAATGAGGTCTCTATGAGTTGTTGGGAAAACCCCAATTGTCCCATGACGCATTGTCAAGAAATCTACATAAGGGCAGAAGAATCAAGTAAATCGAGGATCGTTGCAACTCAATCCTCTTTCAACCAGAACAAAGACATAATTCATCTACTTCAATTTTCTTTTCGACACCGCCATGATGCGTTTCTTCATGATGTCCGTCCTCTCTCTTGTCAGTGTTGGCTTGGTGTCCGCCCTCCCCGAGAAAGGATCTCTTGCCTCACGCGACAACAGCACCGAGTCCAAGGTGACTACGGCTGCAGCCACTTTGAAGGGCAACAAGGTTGAGAATGAGTCCGAGACCTCCGACTGTATTGGATCGCTGCTCTGTTGCGGTTCTCTCACCACTCCTCTCGATCACATCTTGGACCCCATCCTCGAGGACCTTGGCATTAACGCTGCCAACATTGTTGGCTCCGTTGGTCTCCTATGTAAGTTACCTTGTTTGATAATCTCTCGAAGCACATACTAAGATCTTATTATAGGCGACCCCTACGAGGGCAGCTCTTGCTCCTCTGCTCCTCAGTGCTGTACCGAGGCTAACCTTCTGGTATGTCTATTCATTAGAATAACAGAAAATCGAGCATCGTAACTGACGTTTTAGAGTGGTACCGTTGCTCTCGGCTGCTCGGCCTTGAAGAAATAATAGAGGTTTTGTGATGTCAATTGGTATATGTATATGGCACTAGTATGTAGACACTTTGATGTGTATGTGGATGTCCAGTATATTCTTCGGGGAGCATGTTCCCTTACGTTATTTTGTCCAGAATCTTTAATGATCACTTTCAAATATTAGAATTTATGGTTCCTACCTACCTATACAGTAATACTCATTGGGACTCCTAAATATAGTTATAAGATGACTAGGCCTGCTAAGACACGACTTTAAAAGCGTTGCTTCGTAGAGACCCAACCACAGACCAAGTATGCTCTTCCCATCTGTCGTTCAAATGGGCGTAAATGACCATTCCACAAGCACTATAGCGTTGTGGTCATCAGTGGTGTTCAGGCGCCCGGTGCTGACGGCGATACCCAGGCAGCAGAGTTCCCAATGAGCTCCTATTGACACCGCCCCACTTCTTCTAGCCCCCAAATGGGACGTCTTTATAGTCGCTGAAATCCCCCGAGCCCAGCAGGATCTGTTACACTGCACTGCAATTATGGTAAAATCGAACCTTCAAATGCTCCAGGCTGAGCCCGGAGCCACAACACTCAGCGACGGCAACACCCTAACCCGCTGCAGCCTGCGCAACTGTGCCATCACCACAACGTCAGCAAATCGCTGCAGCTTCGAAGACTGCATGCTAGCGCAAGTCGACTCTGCAAATCGATCAGCAGGGCGGAAATCACATTTCCATGATGCCTTCTCGCTCAGTCGTAGCGATTTTGCCGATAGTATCATCCGCGACCGGAGCTCCGTGCACCGCAGTACAGTTAAGGCCTCAACGGTACGCGACGCGAGCGCATTAAAGCGCAGTACAGTGACTGGGTCAACTATTTCGAATGGTCGAGTGGAGAGATCCGCGTTGACGGATTGTGATGTTGAAGAATGCGCTATCTCGCGGTCGGAGTTCAACGGGATGATTCTTAAGTACGGTGTTTGGAAGAAGGGCCAGCTTGTTGGTAAGATTAAGAATAAAGAGCCCATTATGATCAGGAAAGATAGTCCAGAGGCAGAGGTTAGTGTTTCATTTGAATTGATGTACATGTTGAAGTGGCACTGACGGCTTCTCAGCAAATTGCGACTTTTCCTGCTCCCTCTATTCCTGTTGTCCCCGAGCTGGATTCCAAGCCTCTGGTTCTCCCCGATGAACATAGTCCTCGCTATATCAACTCAGATTACAGCTTAGATAGCGAGGACTCGGGTAATTCGGAAGATTTACCACCACCTTATAAGGTGTGATGAGAACTTTCATATATCTGATTGATACATGAGCGAGAAAATGAATGAGAATACGTGCGCGCAGCACGAGCCTTGTTCTGATATTTTTTTAATTACTCCAAATTCTCCTTCCTGGCCTATGTGAGCGAATGGTTGATTAGTATTGGGTTGTTCTAGGTGCATGGGATCCATGCTAAGTGTTCAGTACATTGAATATGTATGTGCTAAGCGAATGGAAACACGTGATTATTATCGAGAAATAAATATCCCGACACTAGGCGGTAGTATTGGAACCGGCGACAACATATTGCTTCTCCGTTTTGAGGGAAGCGAGGGTACTATCACTCAGCTTCAATGTGTCCTTCACGATCTGGCGAGGCGTAGACGCGATCCATTGTCCGAGGGCCATGTCTAGGAGACGATCAGTTAGGTGAACTTGAGAAGTAGAGTTGAAGATCGACTTACCAGTAAACTGGCTGGCCTGGAGTACTTCGACAAACATCAAATCCTCATCACCGGTGTTCTCAATGTAGTGGCTATTAGACTGGGGGAAATAAGCAATGTCGCCAGCACGGTAGTCGAAGGTAGTCGCAGCATTTGGAGCAGTGAACAAAGTTGCACGGCCCTGTCCCTGGATGAAGAAAGTCCACTCGTCACTAGTAGGGTGCCAGTGAATCTCACGCATCCCACCGGGGTGCACGGTGACGATGGCTGCAGAGAAGTTGTTGGCAACAGGGAATGTCAGCGGGTCGACAATCTTGACGGATCCACCGGCGACTTCGTGCGCGTCCTGCTCAGAGAAATGATAGGAGTAGCTCTCCGTGCGGGGGATGACTCCCGAAGCTGTAGTCACGTTCTGCTTCTCGATATCCTTTGGGGCGGCTGTGCCGGCAAATATATAGAGCTCGTCATCGGGGATATCGTCAAATGCTGCCACAGTGGTTCCTAGATCCTTGGCTAGGACTTCTTTCGGAGTGTGGAGGAAGACCTCCGTGGCGAGGAAAGTGTTGTCCTCGTTGAAATCACCCTGGTCGAAGACTAAAAGGAACTCAACACCCTCATCCAATGCTTGAATAGAATGGGGGATACCACTGATGTGTATTAGTTTCTTATAGAGGCACACTCTGAATAATAAGGAGTTTACTTACGGTGGAAAGAACCAAACGTCTCCCGCTGAAACATCATCAACAAAAGTTTCGCCGTTCTCATTCACAGCCTGGCAATGTTGATGAGCATAAATTCAACATCCAGAGCAAGTGAATCTGAATATACCTGAATTCTGCATGATCCGTTCAAGACAAGAGACCATTCAGCCGCAACGTGCCAGTGAAGTTCGCGGTACGCAGCAGGCTCAAGTCGCATGTCAACACCAGCCATCTGGGTGGCATCTGGCATCACAACGGTATTTTCCTGGCGAGCCCAGCCAGCACTGTCAATTCCAAGTCTTGGAAGGGTTAGGCTTTGATAGCAGAAGAGGAGCGGAAGATGTACCTATTATGACTCAATCCTGTCCAGACAATTATTATCTATTGATCTTTTGATCTATTATTCTGGATATTGAACATACCAAAAGGCCACTGTGCATTGATAGTCTGCCCATTATCAGTGCCGGGAGGGGCGAGCTTGTCACTGTTAATTCGGTCATAGTAATAGTTTCCTGCATCAATGAGTAGAATTCTCCAAGGAAATGTTCTCGGGAACATACGAGGACCTGGATCGTCACCACCAGTGGAGCCTCGGATTGGCTGAGGGTTGTCGACTTTCTCAAAGTCGAGGTAAGCCCCAATGTCGGGGGTTTCTTTCTGCCCTGGCAATAAGCTGTATTTGACGTCTGGCTTCGACCCGGTGGCAATATTTTCAGTAGACGAGTATCCAACCAAAGCCTCACTTCCTCTCAGTGGAGGATTGCTGTCCCTGCGAGTGGGCGCAGCCTCGATAAGAGGAAGAAGGGCAGGGAGCAAGCACAGAGCTTGGGATAATGCCTCGAGCTTCATTTTGGTAAATTGAGTGAAAAACAAAGAAGAACCTGACTAATTGAATCCTTTCCAAAGCCTGAGCTGAACTCCGAAAGTTTCCAAACGTTGCAGCCGTGCCTTCTTATAGATGTCCTAGGCCATGGACTGCCACCAATGAAAAACATCCAGATTCTGACATAGAATCTTCCCCTCACCCGGCATACTACAAGGAGATCGCATCAGTGCGGATGGATATTTGTTCCCCTCACTAGGGCCTCACTAGGGGAGCATGTGGATATAGGGCTGCTAGACTCTGCAACTCGACAGGTCCTCCTACTCGCCGGACCTACAGCAAGGAAGGCCCGAGGCCGAGGGGACAGGAGCATGTTCCCGGATGATGTGATTAGTTAGACATGGGAAGATTAGACCATGCACTTGTTCCCCACTCGAGATCATTACAAAATTTGGGGTCAAACACAACGCCTTGACCGCAGTGCTACGGCCGATTAATGTGCAGAGAGATGCGCAGGGAAATGCACAAAGATCGCGATGCACCCAAATACCGGAACCCGAGTCGGCGTTTCCTACATGATTCGCTCTCTAGATCCATACGCATCAACACCCCTTGAAAACAAGGAACTTCCAACCCCTCGATTACTATCCCCAGCAATTTCAGGCAAGCCGGCCCTACATAGAAGCAAGGAATCGGGTTAACGGCTAAGATGGAATTGATGTCAAAAATACATCCCATTCCTCCAATGATATGAAGAGTATGGTAGGTGTGGGGTCACCTCAATATCAAGGTGAATTAAGCTTCACCAAGTATCGTGGAAGATCCACGTAATTGACAGCAACCGAGCAAGAACCAGAGAAAATAGCGACATAAATCAGCGATCAAAGCCAACCAGACCTTAATAACGATCAAGGGAAACTACAAACGGAATTTGAGATTCAACCTCTGGTGCAGGGCTATAAATAGTGTACGTGTGTGACGAGAACTGCAGCGTCTAAGCTAAGCTTCCGCAGCCAAGCTTGACTGGATCCTCCCACAGAATCAAGAAACTGACTACAGTACGTCTTGCGTATATGAGTGGGATTATGGAAACTCCACAATGGGATCTAGAGAAATGACTGCAATTTCGACTCCACACTCCGTCATCTGCCTCTTCCTTTTCAAGGTTCTCCGCGCGAGGGGAGGTTCGGATTTAAGCCAGCCTTACAAAGGAAATTCCAGAGATTATCACCGCCCATCGGAGCTAAAAATACATATTCTTACCCGGTCAATATACGCGGCATCGCTATTGGAGAAATGGCCGAGGTCTTAGAGTTGACGGTTGCGGGTGGTAGAGAATGATCCCGCTATTGGTGGTGTTTTCTGCTAAAGCTCGCTTCGAAGCACATGGAGCTAAAATGGATGTCAACTGAGCAAGAGACCTTGGAGGGTAAACGGCAAGAGGAGGGGTTGGTTACACCTAGATCACACACATGTTAATTATAGAAGAAGCGGGAGGGCACTCTCGCGACCCCGCGCATTAGATTCGGGATCGGGCGTCGAGGTTGAGATGCAGTGTTACAGAACAGCTTAGTATGTATGAAAGCCTTGTTATGAAAGCCGGTACCTCCGAGGAGGTTGACGAGCAGGAAAATGATTTGATTACAAATGTGGGATCCTGAAACTCGGGATCCTCGTAGATCCATTTTTAGGAACCTTGGGGGCGGCAGGCTTCAATATGGGTCCACCGCGAATCGGCTAGGCAATAGTCCGGACAGGCTATGACAGGCGGATGGGGCCGTCCTTCTTCTGTATGGAGGTTTTAGGGAGGCGATCACGTTGTCTAGACAGGCAACTATCGCCCAGATGGTGACACCTTGTGGCGTTCGCTATACTGTCAACTTGAAGAACATTGGCAATCGTTGGAAGTTGTCGCCGGCAATATGAGCGAGTTATAGACTGGTTGGTTTTTCTGTATACACGAGAGGCTGTGTACGTCTGAGTGGGTTTGATGATAGTCGCGGACTGTCGGTTATTCGCCCAAGATGCCCAAGCTTCTTCGGGTACCTCGCGGGCTCTGTAACGAAATCCATCAAATCCGTTTCGCATCTTGTGTGCACAAGCCAAGTGCTTTATTCCCCTTTTAATCCATCACGCGTCTGCCATTGAAAGCTTAATCCTTCTTGGCTTTCATCATAATACAAGATGATCGCGACGGCTCGAAGATGCACGCCCGCCTTATCTACGTGTTGATCGAGACAGTAGGGACTAAGACAGGAACAGTCAGTCGAGACCCAGCTGACACTCAGAACAAAATAGCACATCTCGATGATAGCCGGCACGTCGACGTATCCCCATGTGGTAGTTGAGGTACAGTCGGGTCAATTTCCTCGTGGGCTCACTCCGTGCATCGCATTCATTGAGAAATTCTAAAACTGTATCGCCTGCAAATGACAGATTAATGCGATAGTTTGAGTGCAGTGCGGCCCTCAACAATTGTGATATGAGAAAATCTTAGGTGTCGGATTTCGTCGAGAATTTTGCAGCCTGGGGAAGGGTAATTAAGTTGATCGTCCAATGCACGCATGAACTCAACTTTTGGACTGACTAGGCTGGAAGTGAAAGTAGATCTTTTCAAGGAAAGGCAATGCAAACATTTCGTCCGGGTATGGAGCTATTACATTGAATACGTAGACTGGGAAAGTGTTTAGTGTCATCGCTCGACGGAGGAGATATCCATGACCAGCAACAATCAACATCAAGATAACCCCTTATAGAAAATGCCGGTAAATTAGCACCAAAAAGTCACATACCTTATTAGTCATAGGAGCATTCAAAGTAATACCTCAGGGGCTGGTGGTGTCGCAGGTTGACCTAACGAATGGCCGCGGTCCACACACTCCTTCGCTCTTCCACCCAGTCGTGAGATCACAACCGCCCTTGCCGATAAATTATTCAAAAAAAACCCCTCAATGCCATATTGCCCTACCGAACACCAGAATCCCTATTAAATCCCACGGTCGCAATTGAAGTCTGCAAAAATAAAAGTGGCCCACCTAGATCGCAGAGTGCGGGGTTGCCAAGACCCTAGCGCCGCCATACATAGAATCATGAAATCATCTCCTGACCGCACCCTGGGTAGTGACGACGCCTGGAGTAAGAGAGGGGGTCATGATAGGCCATTTATGGCATAGTCTAACCCGAATAAGTGGACCGGTTTTTGTACCGATTCCTTTTGGGAATGGGGGCTGGCTGGACCAGTGGCTCGACACTCCCTGTGCGAGGTCATTTCAGACCCCCCGGGTTGGTACTTTGGGCTAGGCGAGCTGCACTAAGTTGGGCTGGTAGACCTTGGATCTGTTAGGCATGGACGCGTAGGGGTGCTTTACATTCGCTTGTTAAAATCTCGGCTGCCCAGCTAGATTCTATGGATAAGATAATCTGACTGCGCTGGGCAAATTTCCTAGGTCAAGGGCACGCGAGCACAAAACCCACAAAACTCACAAAACTCCGCGACGTTGAAGTGTCATGATGACCACCTTGGGTATTGTAGTGGTGGCACTATGGCACTACGCCTTTAAGACTACGAAGATGCCAAAATAGGAATAGCCAAGGTCATTCTTACGGCGCGGTTCTAAAAAAGGAAGGATTCATTGCGATTGTAGTAACATAAAGGGAGCGAGGGTAATAGTAGCCCTGGAGCTCTAGAACTGTCTTGCCAGTCTATGGCGAGAGAAGAAATCTTGAGATAAAAGAAAGGGCCCTGCCTAAGCATTCATCCTCCGATGTATTCCATAACCAGTACGGGTTGAGATAGTGGGTGAGTGTCGAGATTGTAAAAAAAGATTGGTCAAAAGGGGCCAATAGTGGCATAGTTGATGAAGCGAAGTGATAGCGTATGTCGAGGTAAACAAATGGAAGATGCCTCACTTCGAGGCGTTTACCTGACATGTTTCAAATAGCGCATAGTGAGGTAGACGGCCGCCAGGCTCGTGTAAGCACCACCGCCAGCGGTCACCCAGACGGGCTTATGGATGCTGAAGGAAGTTCGAAGGGGCAAGCCTTCCTTCTTTGGCTTCTCACCTGGATGCTGTTAGTCTGCGTCCTACTGATGGTTTTCTTGATAGGGGTTGATGAAAATGTAAGGGACTGTAGACGTACCCTGCTGGAAGAGTCGTTGACGAAGGTTATTAAGACCCTGCCTCGAGCGAGCAGGGAGCATCTGAAGTTGAGCAAGGATAGGTCCGACAGGTGCTGACATCTTGTGTGTTTATGTGTTGATATGGATGTATTGGTGATGGAAAATGATGTGGTTGTGATGATCTTGATGGACTGAATGTGGAGTGGAGAGTTGTACGAGGAAGAATCAAGGAGAAGTACCCCTAAATGCTTTATAGAAGGAGATCATCTGACAGTTGATTGCGGGGTTGACAGTGGCAAAAGGGCCAAAGGTGACATCCGGGGCATCCCTGCGCCGTGGCAATCGTAGAGTTTCAGCGGTGTCTTGAATGACGAAGACCTGGAGACTGTACGAGATGACCTCAGGGGCTACAGATGCTGGTAATAATACTAAAGCCCTTTAATCAATGTTAGCAGACCTTGGTATTTTAATATGGATCTTGAAGCCCAGTTGATATGAAGAAATGGGCTGATGATCGCATTGATGATCGGGGATGCCCAGAGTAGCCTTCGATGGCCCTCGTAACCCTCACCTCCGCATACCTGGCGTCAACCTCTGAGCAGTGATTGGCTGGATACGCCGCAGAGCCACTAGACACCCAGATTATGTGCAAATCATGACACAAAGAGAAGATACGAAACGAAGGGAATGTGATCATAGGTCGCTTCCCCTGAAATCATGCCACCGAGGACAAGCATAATTTTTGAGTTGGAACTCGACAGGGTATCATTCTGGAATGTCCTTTTTGAGTAGCTCTGAAGCCCACGGCTTACGAGCTACGGCCTTGATGGACTTCAGAGTAGGAGATAGAGGGTGGGTAAAGGAGCGGAGGAGTGGGGTACGGGAGGGTCCCACTTCGCAATTTGGAAATCTGGAAATCTGGGGATGGCTGCGTTCTTTGTGGGGTGCGGATCCACCCGGCAAGCTTTTAGCCTCACTGTTGCAGCAGAAGTCGAGCGAGATTGAACAGACGCTTCGATATTGAGCTACGAATGAACGGAAGTAGCTTCGATAGGATGATATGCAATAGGGGACTAGGCAATAGGGGACCAGGTTCAAGCGGCAGACTGCTCGGTCGGCCAATCTCTTTAGACACGTCATTCTTACCACCTTTGAAACGTCCTTATGAACATTCTGAAGCACGCCCTGATACGCATTATTCTCCATGTCTTTGGGAACATCTCTCTTGTCATCTTTAAAGACATCGCTCGGATCCTAAGAGTTGTCCCTCTGTCTCACTCAACATGTTTCAGGACATCTCCTCAAAGCTCTTTCAAGGCCTCTTTTCGCTCTTTGTCCAAAGGGTCAGTTTGAACGAAGATATGTCTCAGAAGACGAGTTGCGGATGCCTAGTCTGGCCATAAATTCACGCCCAGTGCCGGGAAGAGTTCGGGGATCACCAGATGTGCCTTTTCGCCGGTGGAGAACGGCAGAATTATAGCTTGACATTTGCACGCTTCATCACTTGTACCTTAATGTTGAAGTCTGCATAATTGGAACATAAAGAGACTCTTTCATTCATTCATTCATTCATTATTAAACAACGAATGTTAGTGGCATCACCTCACTGGCATCTCCAACATGATCCAGAAGTCCTGAAGCAAGGCATCAGTTCTGCTTGATCTGCACATCCGCATGACAGACCACCGGCCACGCATTATCACCGCATCTCCACGTCCCTCCCAGCCACAACACCACGACTGACTATAGCCTGTGACGGCACTCAGCACTGTGTTCCCCCCTGGTCGGTATAGGCTCTTGGATTAAGCCTCTGTCAACCACGTGGGTGCTAAAATGCAGCGAAGAGCGCAGTGCCGGAATTGTATCCGGTGGCGAAATGTGGGCAGATTCGCCAAGGCATCGGCAACCCAAGGATGGTTCTCGTTGGGGCCGTATTGTTCGAGATCAATAGGGCCATGAGTCAACGGGGATCGGTACGAGGCTGGATCTCTCATATCCAGGTCGACGCCATGGCGGCTCCTCGGACCTGAGAACACATCCTCCGGGTGGTCGATCCCGGAGAAATGTTGGTGGTATTCCTTTATCCATAGTAGCCACAACTCGCGTGTCATGGCATCTCTCCTCCATGCCATGACTTGCGACTCCCACTTTCCTACGTTTGCTCGCAACCCTTCGAAGAAAGCAACGGTACTCGGACCCTGTTCGTGGAACGTAGCTCTCGTCAGCAAGAAGAACTCCATGAGGAGGTTGATATCCCGGGGATCGATAAGCTGGATATGCTCGTCGCCTGAAAACCCGAATAGACCAGAGACCCTTGCTTCTTCCTCAGTGGCGTGGATGGCCACAATCCTCAAGACGAAGATCGGGTCAGCCCAGGGAACAGCGGGAGCACTAGCCAACACGTGGTGGTTAAAATGCCGCATGCATCTTGGCCAGGGGTTCCACATGGAAGCGTAAACGGCGCGATCGGCGGCAAGGTACCCATATAGTGCTATACGGGACTGGAGAGCAAACCAGGCCGATCTTCTCTCCCAGTAAGGGCTGTGATAGAGAATAATAGTGTCACGCGCCGCGTTGAACCATAGATGACCCTTATCTGGCTTCACCAGTGGGTGATTATTGGAGGACCAGACCAAAGAGACCGGCATCGGACCGGCATCTGAAGTCTGATGAGGAAGTTTGAGGCCGAGGTCCTTTGCTCGCTGCTTATCAGACTTACGAGTGCAGTGCTTCAAAGCAACACCATGAGCCTCCCAGCATACCTGGCTAACCAACGGGGCCTTGTTATTGACAATTGATGTCCACGCAAAGGTGCAGTCACCAGGACGCACGGCGAATTCAGGGATGTTGAGTTCAACCACCCTGTTCGGAAGTACCATGGCCCAGATCATTCTGCGAATTTCGCTTGGCAGCCTGAGAAAATGAAGAAATTGAGGAAGATGCTTGCTCGGCGGCTGAAAAGTTTGTCAGCTATGCAAATAGCAAATGTATACAGTGTTCGCACAAGTGTGGTAGTCGATTCAACAGGAACAGGATGCCGACAGGTGTAAATCGGGGCCGGAAGAGCTACTCGAGAGCGCGGAAAATGAGAAATGAGGAATCGCAGCTGCTCATACAGGAACAAGTCAGTGACTTTGCTACTCGATTGGTACTGGGCTTCGCATTAGTACTCACCCCTGCAACGCAACGAAAGTTGGCCATAGCTACAAACATGACCAAGAAGGACGACAGCGGCTGAATGCGTATATTAGCATGCAATGTTGAGGATAGGCATGGTACTTACAGATGGCATGGACGGGAAGTTCCACAAGGCCACCCAGGTGGCCACAAGATATTGCAACATCTATACGTCCCATGTCAGTCATAGAGTTTCAACAAGTAGAAAATTACTCACGGTTGCAAAGGTACCGAGCCCAGGAAACATCGAGAACAAAACCCAAGGGACTCCCAATATCTGCATTGTCATATTAGCTATGCATAGTCGAGACCACGCATGTTTAAGACAAGTATGAGATCAAACTCACAGTTGGGACAAAGCAGAAATTGATGAAGGCATTCCACACGATTACGGCAAAATGCAACAACTGAACCGCACATCAATCATCATAGGCAGCCAGCGGTCAATGCCCAGGAGTACTTACAGTTGCAATCTTTGCGAGGTAATTGACCATGGCGTCGACCAGGATAGTTGTGACGCTGATCACCAAGGTCAACTTTGCACTCACAAGATGAGCACACTCAGCGTTTAATGGAATGGGCCAATGTACTGACACTGCGATTAGAATGAAGATGTTACCGCAGATTTTCTGGAGGACAGCAAAACCTGACCGTCTGCGTAGGTCTGACTGTGGAAAAGGGATGTGGACAACGTCCAGAAGGCGATTCCAGCATCAGAAGAAACGCACAAGGGTGTGAGAGCGCAGTGAGCGTGTATAAAAAGCAAGAGCAAGAGGTAAATGAAGCAAAGATGGTCCAGTAATGAAGGCGCAATGAGAGAGACGCTTAAAGTTGTGTGTCCTAATCGAAAGAAGTCGATGCAACTTCGATGCAAGATGATCTCACTGGAGATCTTGAAAAAACTCTCAGGAAAGAGAGGTCTTAGATGGAAAGGAAGGAAAGACAGAAAACAATGAAATAAAAGAAGGGAAGGAAGAAGTGCGAGTGCGCGAGTAGGAAGTGTGAAGTAACGTTGAAGAAAGTGTCGCAGGTTCGATATTGACGTACCGATGCGTGGAATCACACTTCTTTTGGCTAAATCACCCTGTCACTTCAACTCCCCGAACCAAAATCCTTCTTAAAAGCGTCAGTTTTTTGAAGGCGGAGTTGCTCAAGTGTGTCGAGCTGGTCAAAACTCGGTCTAGATTTTGTTTTGCGTCAATCGTACCTTCGGGGGCTTTCCCAATCCTACTTTGGCAGTGTGATGCAGCCCTGTAAATCACAGATTTGTGACTAATATTCACCCATTCCCGGTTTTCACAACTGCTTTCGCTACTGCTCAGCTTCTATGGGACTTACTCGGTGGTGCGTGGGATTCTGAATAATCTATTTCTTCGCTGGAGGCTATAAAGAATCACGGTCATCTACTGTGCCAGTAATCAGAGTCTATCTCGAAAACCGGGGATGAGCTATCTGCCCAGAGGTCAACAATGATCTCGAAGCAGACTTTGAAATCATGCACTAGTCGGGTCAAACTGAGGCTCACTGTGGAAGGTGGAGATCTGAATTGTCCTAAAGGTGCATAAATGGCTAGTAATCCCTTTGTTTCACAAGTACAGATAAAGAATCAGACAAAAATCTCCGTTCACGAGGATGTATGCCACCCGCAATTTTCGAAGCAGCAACGGCGAGTTCCAAACCAGAGATAACTTACAGCGCAATAAATGAGCCCAAGTTATCTTTGGTTGTACATATCCCGTAGTAAAAGGGTCGATAAACCGAAAAATGCTGTCTGTTGAAACGATATAAAATTCGACCTATGATTCACGTGACCAATTGAACCCTGAGCGGGATATTCGGAATATATCCCCATCGTTATGAGTAATCGTATCGTAGTGGGAAAACACATCACGATCAATTCCACTTGTTATGCATTCGTTAATCCTAATACTCGACAGATAGCTCCATATATTATTATGCATGATATTCGTGATATGGGGACGACTCGACCTTCGATATGTACATCTGCCTCTGAAAAGAACTCTATTGACTATCCAACAAGCTAGGGTTGATACCCCGGGGGATTCTACAGATGTTGCGCGCATCCTCGGGCATGGTGTTGAAAAGAACTTGGCGGACCTCTTTGCCAACCTGTTCGATTGAATCCATAGCCCAGAGCACATCCAGGTGCTCATACTCGTCGATGACCTTTGAATACACAACATTGACATCCGGTTCACGACCACTATCAAATCGATGCAAGAGCTTCCGCCCATCTACAAGCGCGTCGGAGCCGCCGATCCAGAGTGCGAATGGGGGCGTCTGAGGACCAAACCAGGCCTTATCCTCACTGGAACCTAGACATGCATCGCTGGGATCGTCGCCATGTTCAATTCCTGTGTCATTATGAGACCGATGATTTTCGTTGGCTTCACGTGCGGAATCCTGGACCGTGGAAAGTATACACCTGTGTTTGGAAAAACCTTCGCTACCAAGCCACCAGTGCATAGTCTCGGCACTGACATAGACAGGAGCGAATTGAAACATGCGATGTCGAAGGTCACGTTCCCAGCGCGCATCGGACCAGCCGAAGAGGAATGAAAAAACCCAATACGCGAGAGTGCCGTATATCTTCGGGTGCGTCACACGCTGCACAGTGAGCATAAAAGGAATGAAGGAATGAATACCGAAGAAGAGGCGAAACATTCCAGGGGACAAAAGCTGCATGAAGCGGAAATATGGCCTGCTCACGAGTGGACCGGCATACACTGCTGGGGCGAGGGCGCAAAAGACAGATATACGTTGCCCTAGCTCGGGTCGATGTTCCTTTGCGAGAGCAACAAATGTTTGCGTTGTTCCCTGCGAGTGGCACACCAAGCCCAGCTTGTCAAATCCTGTTTCAAATAGGACGCGGGATGTCAGAGCAGCCAGGTCGAGAGTTCCAAGGTGTCGGATATCCCAGGACCACATACGTGGATCAGAAGGTGACAGACTTGTGTGCTCGGGGGTGGTTCCACAACGGTTGTTGCCAAGCCAGACATCATATCCGGATTTGCAGAGAAAGAATGCAAGGCTATCGTCATCATTGGTACAATAAGCGCCAGCACTTTGCAGCAATCCGTGCATTAAAAGAACGGGATATCGACGATTGGTCCGAGATGATGTGCGTCTTTTCTTCTGATCGAATACACCAGGTCCGCGCTCACGTCTTTCCTCCGGCGACAGCGCAGTATATTCCAGTGGGTTATAAACGTGCCACAGGTTGATGATGAACCCATCTTCGGTCTGCACACGAAACTTCTCGACATCAAGCCCTACCCGTCTGGCGTAGTAGGCGACATCACATACAATTCGATCCTTCCCTCCCTCCAGCGGCGGACACTCGTCCAGACCTTGTTCTTCATCCACGTACTTCTTTTGCTCTCTAATATGCCATTTGATATCCGAATTCGCCCTCGCCAATCTGCGCGTCTGTTCCTCCGCATAGAACATCCGCTTAGAAGCCGGATTCTTGCCTTTCAATCGCGAAACAGTGTCCGAGATTGCGGCGCCGACTGTGCACAATAACGCCCCGACAAAAATGGCCGACAGGAAGGCGAGCGATAGAAAGAACGAGATGATTTGTATCGCATAGTATCGGAGATTTCGAGCGAAGGTCGGGGGACCATAGGAAGGCAACGGTGGAAATAGAGGGTGTTGGCTCGACTCAACCGGGAGAACTAGTTCGCATGAAGGGCCATGCTTTTCGGCTACGGGCACCCGGTCCCTTGCAGCCGCCTTGCCTTTGAATCCGCAGGTGCATATTCCCTTATGCTCATGTTGCAGGGTAGAGGACATATCGGAGTTTGTCGAGCGAATATGTACCGTTTGCAAGTCGTTTGTTCCTGCGGACGCAGGTGCGGAGAGGGTTTGTAAGGGTATTGTGACCGGCATGGTCATGGGGCTAGGTAAGTGGCATTGAACCACTAAGGTGCATCTTGAAGACCTAGCGGAGGGTTCGAAAGGGCGTAGAGTCCAGAGGAATGTACCACGCGACGGGGAAGTAACTCCCCGCCGAGGCCGAGACTCCCGTTCGGGTCAGGGGACAATCACATGCTGAGTCAGATTCCACATCGGGCAATGCTATACGCCTGAGGCATGTGATGGACGAAAATATAAAAAAAAACCCATTGGTTACATACAGTGGTCGAAAATTCATTTCAAGATTGCGTGGAAAATAATATAAACGGTTCCATGAGAAGACATCTCGAAAATGCTCTATAAAACCCTCAAAAGAATGAAAGGTCTGTATATCGACAGGGCCATTCCAGGTTGTCTACACACAAGCGTATGGGCATATTTATTTGTTGATGGCCGCTTCGAAGTCGCGCAGGAATGCCCATAACGTCTGATTCCTCCAGTTCTTCTCTTTCCAATGGTTGGCTGGATGAGGGAAGAGATCGACAACTCCATGTAATATAGAATCATGGGCATATATAAACCAGACATTGTCTCTCTTATCCGCGTCCTGTGCTTTTTTGATCGTCTTGATCGTCTCGGGTATATCTAGACCCATCAAGGGTTCAAAGAATGGCTCATCTGGAGATCTCTGTCGCTGTATCTGCAAATTTTCGTAAAGAGCTCCAGGACAGGGTAAAGCAGCCTGCGGTGTAGCTAGGTGCACTTCATTAGGAATGCGAAGATGCTTCGATGGCCTAATTTCCCCGCTGTGGTGGCACAGGTCGCCGCTCATGAAGATGAAGGTGTCGGGATTGCTAGTAGTTCGCGCAAGTCCAGCTAGATGTCCAACTGCATGGCCAGGAGTATCGAGAACATAGAAGGATCCGTCGCCAAAGAAGTCGAAGCCACGAAAGCGACCGATCTGAATATCTTTCTTTTCAAAGTTTATCTCGTGCAATGATCTCCCACTGTATAACTGTATTTAGTACCTATAGCGTGCCCATTTAATGCATTATTACTAACATGATATCAAGCTGTCGAATGGGAGAGTTCTGGCCTTCTGGGTACGCAGGTAGGAATGCATCTTTGAAACCCGGGCCAACTACCAGCTCTGTAGTCGAAGGGAATCTGGAGGGGTCTCCAGTGTGATCCCAATGCCAGTGGCTATCAATCATTAATCTCATGTAACGATGCAATATTATTCAAGAGGGGTCCCGCACCTCCAAATAATGCTGGATATTTCCTCTGGACGCACTCCATTTCGGGAAAGGATATCAATGACCTCTTCTTTGACTTTGATTTCCCATCCAAGACCATCAATATGTCCAACAGCGGCAGGAGGAAATGACTTCCATGATTTCGAGACCCCGAGGTCAAATAGTGCCTTTTTGCCTGAAGGGTGTTCAATCAAAAATGACCACGATGGCATGGTTGGCATATAATGGAACCCATTGATAGGTGGTTCCATCAAGACTCTCAACTCCAGGTTGTCAATCCTTGTGGTAGAATCAATGATCCGTACTTCTACTGTCTGGTCCCCTGCGGGCACAACGAAGTCTCCAGTGACATGCATCAGGGCAGGATCTGAGTATACAGATATACGAAGTGTCAATGCTACCTAGGTGGAAGCTATAAAAGGTACAGGAATCATGTCAGGTCTGGAATCTTAATCTTTCGTCGTCCCCGCATCTCGGCCCGGTATCTAGTCCAAAAAGAGACAACTGAATCACGAAATGACTTATCGTCTGCAAGTCTGGTCCCAACTGCCACGCACTGTGCTTGACCAAAGAAAACGAAATCAGTCAGGCTCAATGAATCGCACGACATCGGTTTTCACGGCGAAGAATATTGCAAGACCCTGGTTCACGCCGCCGCATTACTCGGACCGATATTTTGATGAAGTATAATTGAAACCAAGACGCATGAATGGCATTTGGGAATGTACTACATCATCACGACTGCGACATTCAAAATACTCTTAACCTTTAAAATAAAACCAGGACTGGCCTAGATAGAACAAATTGTTTGTGTTACTAAGTGGGCGGGCTATCAAGCCTCAACCTTGAGGCTAAACCTCAAGCGGAGTAGCGGATTCCGATCAGACCCCGCATACAATCTCACCTCATCTCTGCCTCGACCTTTGTCCAACTTTCCTGTTTGCTATTTGGACTGAGGGATGCTGAATAGCTGCTTTTAATCATATAGAAGACATTCATTTTCTCAGAAAATGCCATCGCCTTCACAGTACATCTTCGGCCTTCAAGCCGCCCCCTTGTTAGCCAGTGGCGTCTTCACCATGATATGGCCAGAAAGTCTGCCCGATCCAGCCTTTGCAGGTCTCAGCAATGGCACAATTCATGCGATTGGGTATGCTCCTTGACAATATTTACTCGGATGGTATGCGGGGAAACTTACGCTTTACAAGTATGACATCCATATCACTGGGTACATTCTACGCCATCGCAACTTATCAAAACAATATCCCCATGATGATAGCCGCAGTTCCTGGACGCTTCATAGCGACCTTTGTTTTTCATAACAGTGGTGGTGAATGGGCAAAGGTTGCACCTTTTGAGGCTGTTATGGGGCTTTTAACCGCTGCCGGTCTGTATTGGGATTGGACTTTGAAGCGCTCTAAGAGTAAGAGGGAGTGAGCTTGATGCGTTAAAGACGCTTGTATTATCTTTCTATTCGTAATTTGGAGATTGAATTTCAATTATGTACGCAAGGACCGGAAGAACCTGTCAATATCCACTTTACAGCTCCAAGCTTGATCAGGGCAGCAATCCGATTGCCACATTGCCCAAAGGCGTCTAGTAGAGATTTTATTTAGGAATTTCATTGCAGCTACAGTTAAGTATACTAGGCGTCAAAGGCACATCTTTCTTCGTTCCTTGGCTTGAAATTACGCTTTCTATAAATTTTCAGGGGTTTTGGAGCATCAAAATGTATGTAAAAAAATGAGAATAGTAATCCATTCATCTCGTCATGCACGCATATGTCTCAAGCCCTTAATCATCAAACTATGTAAGAAATCAAAATGTGACCAGCATTCTCCTAAGCCCAAAACCAAAACCAAAACCAGTACTCCATACTCATGCACAACGCACCCTCAAACTTCCATCTTAGTAGCAATGCTCTCATGATGAGTAGCATGCTCCCCGCTCCTCTTCTCATTAGCCTCGCTCTCCAACTGAGTCAGCGTACCAGCCTTGATATCTCCCGCAACATCCCTAACATCCGTATAATGCACACTCGGCACAAAGCCAACAGACTTCCAGGCAACGGGAACCTTAGCATAAAGCTCATCCACCTGCTCAAGGGACAGCCCCTTGGTCTCATAAATACAAGTGTACACGAAGATTGCGCAGATGAAGCAGAATCCGCCCCAGATAAAGAACACCTTAGACTGGAGGTTCGCGTTTCCGGGACCACTATTCACCATGTAGGGAGTAGCGTAGGCAATAGCCCAGTTGAGCAGCCAGTTTGTAGCAGTAGTGATAGAGAGACACTTCGCGCGAGCCTTGAGAGGGAATAGTTCGCCTGTAACGACCCAGGCGACGGGGCCCCAGGAACATGCGAAGAAGAAAATGTAGACGCAGACAAAGGCGATGAGGACGTTGTTGGCAACTGCTGAGCTTGCGGCTGTGCCGACGATGGCGACGATGAGTTGAGAGACGCACATGCCGATTGCACCGAAGAGGAGGAGGGGGCGGCGACCCCATTTCTCAACCATGTAGAGGCCTGGGAAGGTAGACACCACGTTGATGATGTTGGTGATCAGGGTGATCACGAAGGAGTTTTGTATGCCAGAGTTCTGGAAGAATGTGGTGCCGTAGTAGACTGAGTTTATTAGTATGGGGTTCGAGGGATGGGGAGGAGGGGACGTACAGATGAAGTTGACGCCGGTGAGCTGCTGGAGAGCCTGGACCGCACAACCGGTGGCGAGACGCTTTCCAATAGATCCCTTGAAGATCTCGATGTAGGATGCGTTACCGAGACGCATTTCGAATTCGTGATTGGCTTGGATCTCAGACAGTTCGGCGACAACAGTAGCGTCATTGATGTCCATGCGGCGAAGACGAGCAAGAGACTTGAGCGCTTCTTCATGTCTATCCTGCTTGATCAGGAAGCGAGGAGTCTCAGGCAGCATGATCATACCCGTCACCAGGATGATAGCCCAAGCGAACTGGACCGCAACAGGGATACGGTAGCAGCCAGTATCCATACGGTCCTTGGTAGCATTGTTGACAATAGCAGCCAAAAGAAGACCGAATGTGATAGCAAGCTGGTAAGCACCGACAATAGTACCACGGATCCATTTGGGTGCCGTCTCGGACTGGTAAAGGGGGATAGTGGCCGAGAGAAGACCGACGCCAAGACCAGCGAAGAAGCGGCCGGCGACGAAGAGGGGGGATTGATGTAGCTGCAACTTGCAGAATGACGCCAAAGACAAAGACGAAGCTTTCTATGATCATACCGAGACGACGGCCGAATTTGTCTGCGATGGGGGCGGCACCGAGGGCCCCGAAGAAGGTTCCTGCGGAGAGCAGGGAGACGATCATGGATGATTGGGAGGATGTGACATCGGCGAAGTGATCTGTGGGGTTGACGTAGCCTGTTGAGAAAAGACTTCTCCAGTATTTCATAGCGAGAATACCGCTGATGGTACCGGTGTCGTATCTATAGATGTTAATTTGGGTCGCTGGGGACAAAAGGTGGAGTATAGAGAACATACCCAAAGAGAACACCACCAAAAGCAACGAACAAGCCGATAACAATAGCCGGCATGGCCGAGCCAGTGGCATCGGCCGGCTTCTTAATAGCAAAGCCCATTGTAAAGTAGTCGAGTCGAATAAGAAAGGAGAAGAGAAGAGAAGAGTAGGTAGATAGAGAGGCCAACAACGACCAAAAGTATTGTAGACTGCACAGCAGACCCAAAGAAGCGAATATAGAGACGATCAGAACACAGGGAATAGAAAAACAAACAGCGGGAACCCAGACACCTTATGTAGTCGCCGCAAAGGACAAAGATAGACACCCCGCAGTCCGAAACCAGCAAACACCCCCAACCCCCAAACCCCATGTGCACGAGACGAATAACATGGGGAGGTGGAGAAAGCGGCGGGGCTAATGCGGCCTCGCCGAGTGGACCAGTTGCGGCAATACACAAGAGCTACAATTGATTCCTGACCCGAAGCGTGGACGCCACGATATTCCAGAAGGGGCTTGTGGATCTGGCAGAGACCTGGATCGGCGAGGGCCAGGACAACCGAGACTGCTTTCGGGTTTAGATCCGTAGGCTATCCCCTTCGGTTAGATAGTGTCAAGTTGATAAGATCATGTGGTCGTCGGGTGGCTGTGCTGCAAACAGGTCAATTCTGGGTTGTGTTGATGGCTAGAACTGGCCGCATCGGGGAAGATCCAACTTGGGCACATTCCTTGACACCCCAACACAAGGGTTATTATTAGATCGTGGCAACTATTTTTTCAATTTGCAAAGCTGGAGTTATTTGATGATCTAGATTCAATTACTCCGGGGAACCTCCTAGTGCAAGAAATTATCGTATTGGGAACAAGGGTCCATACCCTCGAACCTCATCTCCAGGTTTCACCAACCCCAGAATCATCCATGCATTACCCCCAGGATCTAGAGTTTGTAAACCAATCGACTGCGCTAGAAATGGTCGATCAACAAGGATATGAAAAAAGGTTCAGGTTATGGCACCATGACACGGGATAATCAGCTCACCGGCGGTCTCAAAGGGATGTTCACCGACACCAGATGGGGCTTTACATGTGGCGTCGGGTGTTGGAGGCTTCGGGCCAGAAACCTTGTTTAGTTTTACGATTTTATTAGGGGAGATCTGCAAGGAGTTGATTCTGTTCACCTGTATCGTGGAGGTGTAGAAAATCTCTTCATAGGTTTTTTCTCGGAGTACACCGACTAAAGCTAGGCCATGAAAATAGAGTCACACGCCATCTCCATGTTCAAGCATGTAGTCGCGTGTACTTCGGGGCAGGAACAGCACCGGCCCGTGTCCAGACTAGGCTGAAGCCTAAATAGTTTGAGGGATTTTGCCGTGGCCCGGATTGGACGGGCTACCCGATGGCTCCCCGAGAGCTCTCCGAAATTTGCCCGGCTCGGTGAATTATCGTATCCCATAGACACGCCGAGAATAACAATGCAGGTTTTCAGGGTGTTCAGGTCTCCATGTGGCTGTACGTGAGGCCAAAGTCCATCCCCACAGAATCGAACAGAACATGATTGCGGGGAGGATTTTCACTCTTCGCTTTTCCAGGTCACATGAACGGTTAGAGAAATGAATGTTCTCGTCTATTATCCATGGATATCTATACACTATACTCGTTTTGGCTACCAGCGCCAGATCAAAATGAAGTACACAGACAAAACAACCCCTGCGACGATGCGAACAGATCGGATGAAATCCCGGCCGATGAATAGTGCGTGTTGTCGGACGCCGACTGCGCGGGCTGGCCGGTACATGGGCTTGACTTTCAAGCCCGGCGACCCGATATCGTCGCGATCTGGACCCCGATAAGTATCGTAGTGAGACTTGGCGCCGGGGTAGCGGGGCGCATTGAGGCCACCGCGGCTGGCGAGGCCACCTAAAGAGGGGAGGGTTGAGCTGGACGTACCGGAGGCCTGGTACTGGTGCCTGGGGGAGTGGGAGCGGCGTTCGGTGAGGGGGAGATAGGAGTCACTTGAAGGGATCTCTGGGGCAAAGATGATGTGGTAGGTTGAGCTGATGAAGAGGATGACCATGCTTAGGCCGAGTATCACGGCGTAGTGGATAAAGACGCCTAGCTGATCGGGCAGCAGGCAGAGGTGATTTTGGATGGTGGGTTGGGATCCTTTTTGCGTGGATTCGCCCGTCTGAGGATCGATTGGGTTCCAGAGACTGGTGAGGACGAAGCCTGGGTGGCGGACTCCCATTGCCCATGAGATGCTCTTGACGGTGATCTCGTTCGGGGAGCCGTTGAACTCGCGGTGCGATATTTCGCAGTAGTCGTGGTCATCACCAGAGTAGACTTGTACAACATTGGGGCCTGCCTTGTTGACCAACTCCGTTGAGATGGTCGGGGTCAACACATTCTGATACTGATAACCGCCAGTGATCTTCAGCGCGTTGGGCTCGTCTTCTTCCAGGCCTGGCGCAGCAGGTGGTGATCGTTCTCGAAGCGGTCCACATGGGGTCGCAGGCTTGCGGAAGAGAGGAACATGCGTAAGAAGAATAGTAGGAAAGCCGACGCTCTTGGGCTTGGGATTCTCTTTGATAACATCCTCCACTGCATCGACGATGCGATGCTCGAACTTGACTTGCTCCGAATGATTCTTCAGTGCCAACAGTTCCTCAGTCTCAGCTTTCGCTTTGTACAAGGATGCCTGGTTGAGGAAATCATCCGCATCCTTCCAAAGTGGCCAAGGTTCATCCAGTTTGTTGCTGGAACTAGAGCTACCCGTCTCAGGATCTGGCTGGTCTCGCGCGCTCAATGAGGGCGTGTCCACCGAGACAAATGTATGATTTCCAATAATATCCACGCGATTGCCTTCGCCAAAGTAAGCTTGAAATCGCTGGCGAACAGGCTCCTGGATTCCATTTCCGAATCCGAGATCGTGGTTTCCCGGTAGACTAGCAATCAATTTGCGACCCCGACTGTCAAACGGCTCATATTCCTGATTTAACCAGGGATCCAAGAAGATTTTCATAAATCGCCCATATTCTTTCTTCCAGAAACTATCGCCGATCTTCTTGTAGCGCTCCTCCGGGCTGGTGGTCGTGCTCGTAGCCCATTCTCTCCCTCCATCAAAAAGGTCGCCCAAGAATAACACTGAATCAGGCACCAAATTCTTTTGAATATGTGAAAAAGACCGTCGCATGTATTGATCGGTGTATTGGACGGTCAACGTAGAGAGTGGCCATGGGCGGCCAGGGTAGGTGTGAGGATCGACAAGCTGGGGATCAGCGACAAAAGCAATACGATGCGGCGTTGCACCTTTAGGCTAAAGAAAGAAACGGAAATTAGCATCGCATAACCAAATAGACCAAAACAAAGCATACCCATGTCTCCCAAGCCTCCCAAGCACAAGCATCTATACTTTCTTGGAAGACGGTCCTCTCGCCCCACCACAGCGTAAAGACCCAAAGTAGAACAACGGCGCTAGGAATCGAAAACAGGCTCTTCAACACCATCTTTGCCTGGTTCTTAGCCTCGTCCCTAGTCCTCGGTCTACTCGACCGTATCGTGTCGACACCCTCCTCAATCCATTGTTTGGCCGCGGGTATCACCCGATTACAAGCCTGGTTGACCAGACCTCCGGATGAAGGAATCGAATTGAAGGAAGGAAGGGAAGAAGCGCCCGCGCTGCGCGAGTAGGCGTAGCTCATTGTTGGCCCGTGAGGCAAGCCTGGATAGTGGCGCCCTTTCGACACGGGTGGTGGAAAATCAGCGGAAGGAGTGACGCTGCATGCTCTTAGGCGAAAGAAAGGAAGGGGCAAGGTGAATGAGAGGAGAAAAATGGTCCTAAAGCATGCCGTGTCGCAAATGCGGAACAAGGGGTTCCAACTGTCATGCCGCGTCGATCCCCGGACAGGGTCACGTGGGGCGCGTGAAGGGTAAAAATAAACTTGGCTGAAAAGTCTTGGTTTAATTAGAGTGAGACAGGGACATTATTTTACTTAATCACGGCTGGAACGGGCGAGTCTAGACTAGATTGTTGGTTAGGGAAAGAGCTACGTTGGCATTATTCAGATATACAGTCTGTGTCTTAGCCAGACTGTTGCTGCATTGAGTATAGGTAAAAAATACATTCACGATGAGACGGATGTCAAGAAACAAACGTCGGCACCCAGACCGAATCGAATGTCATAATATCAATAATGGCAAGTAGACGTGTCCTTCACCAGGGCGCCTCTCTAGAAGAATGAACGTTGGAATCAGGCGCAAGACGGGAATCGTGGGGAATAGCCAGGAAGAAAACGCGTGGGGTGCACGTGAAATGACGGATTAGGGACGAAGAATAAGAACATCAATCAAGTCGACTTTTTGGGACAGCACTGGCCGCCTCGGGCACAGTGGTCATCGCATTCCAAGAGACAGGCCTGGGGATCACTCCGCAGACTGGCCGCACGGCTGGGCGGGTTGGGCTCGGCGGAAGATGATGATCCCTGGATCTGGTTCTGGGTCTCCTCCGCGTCAGCATCGGGGGCAAACTCGGGCTGAATGGTCGAGGAGTGGATGCCATAGGCGTGAAGACAACGTCGGACCTGGCGCGCAAGGTTCATGTAGCGCTCAGAGCCCTCGCCCTTGATCTCGGTGTCGACTTGGATGTGGATCGAGGCGACAATCTTGGTATCGCTCAGCTGCCACACGTGGAGGTGGTGAGAGCCGAGAATACCGGGGAGTCCCTCAATGTCCTCCTTGATGTGGTCAATGCTCATGCCGGGAGGCACGGCTTGCAGCAGGATGCGAGACGCGGCCTTGCAAAGGGGAATGGCAGAAGCCAGAATAATGATCGTGATAACGAGTGAAATGCCGGGATCGACGTAAAATCGCCATTCGTAGTCTGTCAACCAGATGATGAGCGCAGACACGATGACACCGATGTTGCCCAGAGCGTCTCCCATGACGTGGAGAAAGACACCGCGCATGTTAAGGTCGTGGCCGTGACCGCCCTTACCCTTTGGCTTTGGTTGGGCATGATTGTGACTCTTATGAATGTCCTCGTCGTGGTTGTGGACTTTGAAAGGAGCGTCGTGCTCATCAGTGTAGTTGGATGCGCGGTCACGGTGCCGAAGGAGGCCAGACTGCTCGGTTGGGCCTTCATCGTCACGGCTGTCAGAGTCCGAGGACGGGTCATCAAAGTTTCCACGGCCAGCAGCAATGATATCCTGTCGCATAGTCGCTGGGTGTGCGTAGATATCTTCCACATTGTTGAGTGGGCGTCCGGTCGAGGTACTGAATCTCCGAGTGCCACGAGTGGAATCGGCGAGTAGGCGCTTGCGTGAGACAGGAGACGCAGGCTCAGTGGCAGGATGGGGAAGGCTATTCTTAGGCAAGACCGGCGAATGGACAACTCCGACCTGGTTCTCGGGCATGATAGACGCAACACTTCCACGTTCGTCCCCAACTGCCTCGTCACTCACGTGGTCGCTGTAGCCCTGTTCCACGTCATCGTGCTCGTCGTGTGAGTGGCCATGGTCGTGACCGTGGCCATGGCCGCCGTGGGAGTGATCATGGAAGAGGGCCAAGCCCACCATATTGGAAAGAAGACCGAGGCAGCCAACAATGCAGACCAGCTTCGGGTTCTGGACCTCCTGGGGTTCAACCAAGCGCTGAATGGCTTCCAAAAAGATCGACATGCAAAGTGCGACTAGGAAGACGCCATTGACGAGGGCACCGAGGGTTTCTGCACGTTGCCACTATTCCCAAGCATTTAATGTCAGCGCGTGCTACTGCAGGGTCTGAATCCGGTCAACTTACACCGTACGTGTACATCTTCGAGTTTGTCTCCTGATTGGCGACCTTCACGGCCCAAAGTCCGACGCATAGTGAGATAACATCGTTGAGCTGTGTTTGTGTGTTAGCTCATGTCGCGATAAGCGTTGAGATTCGAGGTTCGCGCAAGGCACGTACCATGTGAAAGGAATCGGCAACGAGGGCGAGAGAGTGGACGGCATATCCTGTAGGAAAATTGAGGTCAGCAAAGCTTGATGCAGCTTCAAAGGGTGTCAAGTAGTCCATACCAGTGATCAGCTCCAAGAGGAAGAAGGCCGTGTCGATAACAAGCAGGATGATGATCCTGTTAGTTTTGGAGAGCCCCATGTTTAGCTTGCGGCGCGCTCCAAGGCGCAGGTCGCAGCAGAGTATGAAGAAGCAGTGAGGGTCGACACCAAGTACCAGGCAAGGCGAGTTATTTATGAAGGGAGGGTTTGAGGAAAATCTTCGACGCAACCGATAGCGTCCAGGCTTGACGCCACTGGAGCCTGGCCGTTAATGCCGGGCGGAAGACTCTCCTCTCCGACCGGCCCGGAATGGCGTTACTTTCCCCTTTGTATCTGCTGATATAACCTTATACAAGTTTCAATATCGTTGTGAGTTTTAGAGTTATTGAAATGCTTTAACCCTTCTAAGCTCAGATATGTACATCTTCGTTCACTACTTTTTTTTTTGTCAGCAGTGTGCAAATGCATGTTACATGCGGTCCTTGTATGGGCAAACCCATACCATACCCCACCCGTGCACGGGAGAGGGCCGCGATCGGCAAGCCCTACTAGTTAACAAATTAGCCTACAGGCTACACCTTTGTTGTATGTAGTCTAAAAGTCGAAGCCTTGTGGAGTTTTTGCATCCACCTCATCATCCTGCCGCAATCCACCCATCCCTCATTTTGTACGACATGCTACCTTATAACTAGGTATCTCAGGCCATCTCATCGAAATGCCTAGTGCAACCAAACAAAACAAAATTGCTCTCTTTAATGCGAGGAATTTGCATAGAGGCATGCAATAATCTGCATGTAAGACAAACTGCACATGAAATATAGTTTTAGCTTAACAAGAAAACCAGGAATCCAGAAAAGCCCTATGGCAATTAGCGAGAGACTAAAAACTTAGTCTTTGCCTAGCGTGGGTAAGAAGCCAGATTTCCAGCCAATCTTTTCGCCAATGGCAGCCGTAAATCACGCTATAACTACCCCCAAGGTACTCTACAATGGACGCTTTAGTCAGTCGGTTTCAACTTGGCCCCCAAACCGCGCCAAGACCGACCCACGCTCGGCTACGGTGACAAGCTGCATCGGTTACAGCTTCTTGGAGGAAGATTTTTTTTCTTAGTCATGGCAGTTTCTAACGTCCAAATGGATCGAATATTCTGCCGGGTGATCTCTTAAGGAGATCGGATTGTCTCCGCATCGTCGAAGTTGATCTGTGCAATATTTACGAATGCTGTTATTGGTGGGGGGACCAGCCATGCCGAAAGACTTCACCCGAAGCTACAATTGCTTGCGACTTGAGGTCTTTCGGGATAAACTCTTCTTTGAAAAGAGACTAGGTATAGCACGGAAATAAGTGAGCACACCGATGTACCTCATTGAGATAGAAAATGTGATTATCAACACCCGCTAGAATGGATAATTTACATTTGGCCCAGGTGCCATATTGGCCCCGATCGCGGGTACACAGTTGCCCCCTCGGGTCAAATTCATGACTAAAAGAATTGGTCTACGTTACGGCTGGGGACAAGTTAATGGATGACGACATCTTTCGAAGAGGTCCGTCTTCACTATACTCGCTTCTTCGTAGCGTTATGAGCAACTTGCAACTTGTCAGAGAGTGTGTGAAATCACTCCCAGAGAAGCGCACGTCAGTAGAGATGGTATATTTCGAGCAGTTTCACGACGGGCCGACGAAGCCGTTTATCCTCAAATAACGGGGCACTACAAGGCGTACTTTCCAGAAGTCTATCAGTGGCTGTAAAACAGGTTTCTCACCGACCAATGCAGGGCCCAAGCACTAGAAAAGGACAATAGAACCTTGAACTGCGCCTCAAGGCCTAAGTGCCTTGGCTTGAAGTTATTGGATGGATCAAGGGTTCATAAGGCAGTTTGTCGGGCGCCGAGAGAGGCTCAGCCTTTCCGCCGCCCCGGGGATGCAGATACCTTCCCAAAAGGGAAATCCCTCTCCCATTTTGCATTGGGGCTAATTTGATATTGCCCAATGTTTTTCAACCCCTCAAAATAGCTCGTCCTATAATGGTATGAATCTACCCCTGATGGGAAACAGTTGTTAGATGCGTGGCTTGAGGAGAGTGTACCGTACGAACTACCAGATGCTTCAAGAGAGACGATCGACACCAAGGGCTGCACTGCCAAGCTTGAAAGCTATGACATGTTGAGCGCTGGGCAATCTCATACGGATATAAAGTACCACTTTAGTATTCCTCTTCTCCATCTGATCATCAGCGAGTTCATACTTCATCATTTCCACGCATCAATATCTACTTTCCCATCAAAAATGAGCACGGCATCAGCATCTGAAGCGAGCAACCCCAGACTAGCTCTGCGCGTTCTCGCCTTCCTGTTGTCGGTCATCGGTATCGCAATCTACACCAGCGCATACCACAACGGAGCTTGGATATATGATATTATTGTACGTCAACCAGTACAAAACCACGTTGCAACTTCTTGGAGCCCGTACTAACAACCCCTCAACAGTTCGCCATCCCAGCGTTGTACTCTTTGATCAACGCCATCCTTATTTTAATTAAACGCCCCATCCATCCCGGTTTCCACGTTGCTTTGGACCTGATATTCGCTGCTGCTCTTCTATTCTTCGGTATTCTTGGCATTATTGGGTACTCAGAATACACATATTATTATGATGTGAAGAATAGAGCAATCGCTACTCTTGCGATCATGGTTATCACTGGGTAAGTCAAAATCGAGGTTCCATATTGAGTATGATACTAATATTCTGGTCAATAGACTCATCCACTTTTCCCACTTCGTTTTAGCCTGTTGCGATGTGCATCTAAGACGCCACTCTGGTTACTCGGCGCGCTACAACCCAAAAAACGAAATTGTCTAGTTCTATTCGACTCTTTCTGGTGGGGTTTTTGGAGATTATTTCTGGGAGTCTGGGAGCTTGCCAATCGAAAAAGAAAGAATAAGATCCATGATGCTATGAATCTCCTACCAGTCGACTAGAATAAGGGCCTGTACTTCCAACATGCTGCGATATGTAATGCTATATAATGAATACTCAATATATTATTTGTGAAATCTCTTCAATCTTCTTCAGCAACATTCCGGCGGAGAGCAAGAATACGATCGGTCACCCCCGCAAAATAATTCATGGCAACGATCCATCCCGTAGAGCAGCCACAAAAGCATCAACAATAGCTTCACCCTGCGTCATATTCCCTGCAGACGCAAGTATTGTGCCAGATTTATCCGAGGCTTGATATAGGTAAGCCTATTTTGGGCGTTACGTTGACCGGCACTCGATATCCCTCTTCTGGACAACTCGCCCTAGCGAAGATACGAGCTCCTTCTGCCCCACGCAAGTCCAAACAGATTGATTCGGCTTACTCTACAGACACAATGGCTATAAGCTTGATCTAGTTCGCGAATATGCTTTATTGTGTTATCTTGACACGAAAATATTATTGAACATATATTACCTGCCGTAGGTAGATTCGCAAATCGGGCACATAAAGAGATGGTTCGAAAACACAACCCTCAGGACCAGGAGACCACAACAAACTGTACGAAATGTTTTTTGTGGCAGTTGCTTCCAGATCCAAGTTGAATCAATCTCGCAGATAAATTGTACTCGAAAGTGGGAGCGAGGTAAGGGGCAATTATTGGCGGGTATGTAAGCCATGAACAATCACAATCACAATCCTCCAAGTTTCTAAGAGTGAACACACAAAAGACCTAAGAACCAGCCAGCCTTGAAACTTGCTTTTATGAATGCTACATATCGTAAAGAAGGAAAAGTCTGGTAGCTTCCCATTAAGAAACGCTATCAATGATCTTGTAGATCTCTAAGCCGCGACAATCAATCGCCACTTACAACGACCGACTGGGATCAATCAAGTCTAATCACTAAACGAGATAAATCAACAAGAACAATAGCCAATATATCCACGGGCGAATATTTCTTCGGAACACGTTCGGTCTAGAGTGGGGTCCAATCGTTTGAAGAAACGAGGATCAACAGGGTCATACGAAGGATCTTCAGGTCAATATGCTCGCATGTATATCGATCACTTCAAGCTAAAATGACAAGTTTTCGCGATCATAATGCAATATATGAATGAATTCCTGGTTGTGAGACGGAATGGAAGCGATCATGTCTCACCCGGGCAAGACAGACCAGCAAGCACAGCGGCAGCTGTACGTACTACCGTAACTCGGCACCTAGATGCTACATAAAGGTTGGCTGAGTTCAGGCTTAATTTTTCCTTGTATGCGAGTGATTAGAATATTAATGCGATGCCATTCAAAGAAAATTTCGATTGTTAAACAGTTTCAATGAAGAGAGCGGTCAATATGTTTCTCACAATAAGAAGCTAAAAATGTGGAGATTATCATAATCAGCAAGTGTGGCCGAGTGGTTAAGGCGCTGTGTTTAGGTTATCTCTGATAACGTCCGCAGTGGGAAACTTCGCGCGTTCGAATCGCGTCGCTTGCATAAAAACTTCTTTTTGTCGCTCTCTTTTCTCATTCTTTTTTTTTTCAACTTTCACCAAAATAAAAACAATGTTATAGGATTTTTTCGAAACCAGCCTTACCGCTATATTCTTACTACCTGATCCGGGGAAAATATTTCCGAATAACGCTAACCTTTTTATCTCAGCGCCTTGAAGTTCTAGCAGAACCGTTCTCATAATGATTATATAGCTATAAATGAGTCATCGTTATTGTACTGTAATATTATATAGAACTATCCAGAATTGTTCTGTAGATATGGCGATCTGGTAAGATCGCCCTGCTACTTCTCCTCTCCCGTCAGCTGCGTTTTGCCTCTTTCCCCTTATTCTTCCCGTATATAGCGTAGCCCTCGTCGTCGCTCACTAGTTATAATTCCGAAGGGTGTGCTTATCCTATAGAAAGCTAGAACTAGTAGGGAAAGATATTTTGTCTATCTCGATAGATTTTTCTTCTACTACGTATCTCATTCGTTACCAGCCCCAAACCTGACCTAGTTCTCCTAGCTAATATGGGCTTTACAAAGATTGTGATTACGGTGAGATCCGTATCTCAATTTAAGGAGTACGAAATATAGAAACACCACTTGAATTATGCCCCGGCACCTAGCTATTGCGGCAGCCCCTAATTAGCGCTATCGACCCTAAGCCCCTCCCCATCGAGCGTAGTTGAGACTAGTATCGATCCTACGAGTAAACCCGGCCCCACTCTCAAACTTCTCCAGCTGTGTGAGTGGGAAGATAGGAAAGCCTACGACGAGGACCAGCTAACGTATATCCACTACCATCTAGAGTGGCGAGGTACCACTATCAATTCCTACCAAACACCAACGCTGCTGAAAGGGAGAGTGCTGAATTAAAATAAGAGAGTCGCTAAGTGATCTCGTCCATAGTATTCACTCACGCCCACGAGCCCAGCCACGTAGGCAAAGTCCTGAGCTTAGGATTCGGGCCAAGTGCACGCTTGCTCTCCTCAACAGCACTGATCAATGCATCCGCGTACTCTTGACGACTAGCACCACTATATGATCGCGACCTGATACGATAACCCTCCGAGAGGACGCGACCAACCTCCCACCCCGCATCCTCCTGATCCTCCGGGGATCTAATAACATCTTCCTTCTTAAACACCCACCCCGCCTTAAGCGTCAGCTCAAGAATTTTCTGCGGGGTAATAATTGATTGGATATTATCATCACGGTCCAAGTTATTGTCTCTAGAGTTGAACTCCGCTTGTGAAATTGCCGCCAGCAGGTGTGGCAGAGCGGCAATATCCCCTTGGATATCAGTTGAGTACTCTGCAATGCGGAGGTACTTCGTTCTTCCGCGCAGAGCTACCAACATCGGCGTCAATGCTTCGGCGGATGGAAAGTACCAAGTTGAACGCGCGAACACGGCATAGTCATAAAGTGGTTCTGACGCGCTGGAATCGAGGAACCCTTCAAGATCTGATCGGTGGAATGTGATCCGGTTACCGACCTCACTCTGCTTTAGCTTGTCTTGTGCTTGGCCTAGGGTTATGGGTGCTCCTGCTTGAATTGTTAGCACGATTGTTGTCGGATGTGATTGCTTTTGCTTCCCGACAAACGAACCGTAGTCCAAGGGCGCTGGGTCAATTCCTGTGACGTGGCCCTGCTCCCCCACTAGATAGGCCATCACCAGGGTGCAATCTCCTTGCCCGCAGCCGATTTCGAGTATCTTTGACCCCGATGGAATATCCCACGTCTTGAAAAGGTCGACCCTGGCTTGGATTTGAGGTTTGGATGATCCGCCGTCCGATATTCTTGCAATATCAATAACTTCTAAAGACATGATTAGAAGCAGATTTATGTTTGGGCTGAATGTTGGTGTTTTCAAGAGATATATTGAAAATCCAATTAGACTCAATATCTGATTATATATTCTATGTACCCTGAAGTGCTCCGACGGACCTCCGTCTCACGGTAGTCATTTTACATTTTTCACTTTCGATAACGAATGACTCACGAATCTATGGAAACCCCCTTTTAGGAAAAAACCCAAAGTTAAATTACTGATGATTGGCGTTTTTCAGCCACTTTTATTGTTTACGAGTAGGTTTAGAAGCATTTCATGGTAATGAGTCACATTTGTGCCTGCATGGGACCTAGCTGAGTCAGATATACTGAGAATAGAGCACAGTATCGAGCTGCATACCGTATTGGCCTTAGTGCGGGGATAACCGCCCAAGCCAAGAAACGTAACTTGCTATCGATTACCATCTACCGTTTATCATTCACCGTTTGTGGGTCACCGGTCGCTTTGCACATATTACGCGTTGCTAAATGGTTACAGTGAGTACTTTTCGAAGACGATACGTATCGACAATCTGCGATGGATAGTTTCAAATAGCATGCAGATTAAAAGGCTAGAGCCGTCAAAATAAAGCTAACCTCACACATATTTGGAAGGTCCGGCTTTCCAAATTGCAAAGTAAGAAAAGATATCTGGGAAAAGTACTGTTGGGATAATTTCAGGCTTTGATTAACACAAGTATTTGTTACACAGTAGTTTTCAAAATCAGCTATACCGCCATGCTTGATTCGGGAAAAATAATTCCGTATAACGCTAACTATTGTGGCTCACCGCCTATTTATTCTGGCAATACTGTCGTCATAACGACAGTATTGCTTTCGATGAGTCTTCAAAACGGTCTATCTTATTGATCTTGAAAAGGCAATGGTCTTTTGTCAATCCGTAAGATCAGTCCCCGAATACGGGTTGCAAGTTTCTATGCAACCAGGGGAAGAAGAAACGGTGGTTCGGGACAAAGCTGCCGAGGCTGCATCGAGCCGGCTCAAGGATTTGATCTACAAAGGAAGAGCGGAATAAGGCGGATAGAAGTGAAGAACCACCTTTTGGTCTTAGAGACCGTAATGAGAAAGCCAAAACTTTCTGCATACAGCGTTAACTCGCTCTAGAAATTCTTTCCCCTCCAACAAGTATCCAGGCACCTCAGTGCCGAACCCTTTTCACTAACGTGTCCAGCAAGACTGCCAGGACCACACAGCTATCATAGTGATGAAAACTTTGATAGAGACCGGCATTACGCCAACGGCGTGAATCCTTCAGTATTTGGAATTGCTGTATGTATTAACTAACCGAGACACGCTTGCTAGGCACTAAACCCCATGCTGAGTAATGACTGGATCTCTATTGGCGTATAGTGGGGTTTAGTAACTTTCTTAATGCAATAGAAATTGTTCTAGACGTTTTCGAAGACGTTTCTGTAGATTGTCGACGTATTCAAGATTCCATGGCGCATCACTAGCTTGATATTGTGAAGAAGATCAGAAACACAAGTCCTTGGCACACGTGTGCACTAGCCTCGATATCATTCGCAAGTACATGCGGGAACTAGATACGATGTTCCTGTGCAAGATCAAGACCTGAAAACACCCAGAGTCTTGCAGATATCCCCGCCATACCCCCGCAAGACCCAGTATCCCACCCATTGCCAAGCTCACTCCTCGCCCTGATCATTTACATCCTTAACATGGTAATCTGGCTTTATACAAGAAGAATGATTAGATAGTAATCGCCAACTTTGTCCTCTCATTTGCGTTCAAATTACTTCGTGTCAGGGAAACCTTTATTTTTTCACGAGGGGAGTTAGGGAATTACCTAGTGGGGTATAGTGAACACTCCGGACTTTCCCGCCACACGTGGCCGATTGCCAGGATATAACACGATAAGATGGTATTGCGACGATACTACCTCGCTTGCGTCTTCGGTTAGCTGAATAGCCATGCGAAGCGAAGAAACGAAGGATCATAACATTTCGATACCGTCGATATGAGTGAGTATATATAGATAGGGAACTGTAGCCTCAGATCAAATCATAGTCTTCCTCATCTACCCCATTTATTCTTTATCATTGCCGTCCAGCATGATCTTCTCAAAAACCACTGCGCTTCTCGCGCTGGCATCAGGTGCTTACGCCCAGTCGCAATATACGTCGACTGGCACTGCTGCCGTAGCTAAGGCAGCTGCTACCGCCCTGACTCTGTCCCCTACTTCAAGTGTCGCCGGCTTAACCTTCGACCGTTTTGTTCAGATCTGGCTGGAGAACGAGGACTACAGTGCAGCTATAAAGGATAGTGAGTACCTAATGTCATTGAGCCCTCCAGCGTAGCGTCTAATACTAACCTGGACTTTAGCAAACCTCGCCTATCTCGCCTCTCTAGGCATCACACTCACCAATTATTTTGCCATCACCCATCCTTCTCAGGTAACATGATCAAAGCTTTGTGTACTATTTCTTATTGCTTACATGGAGTTTCAGCCTAACTATGTGGCTGCCGTTGGTGGCAATACTTTCGGGATCGCCGACGACAGCACGCACTATATTTCTTCAAGCACTAAGACAATCGTAGATCTATTGGAAGACGCTGGCGTCAGCTGGAGTGTGTATCAGGAGGATATGCCGTATTCCGGCTTTGAGGCAAACTATGCCAATCAAAAGACGGGTGCAAATGACTACATGCGCAAGCACAAGTATGTTTCCCAATACCAACATTACCTAAGAGCAAAAGTCACTGACAAATCGTTCCCAAGTCCGTTGATGAGCTACAACTCGGTTACATCGAATACCGACCGTCTTGCGAAATCGAAGAACTTCACCATGTTCTATGAAGACCTGGACAACAACAAACTGCCCCAATGGATGTTCATCACTCCTAACATGAGTATGCAATTCCCTCTCTCCTTCTCATGGCTTTTTTGAACTTGAATTGATACGAATTCGACCTACAGCCAACGATGGCCATGATAGTTCACTCGCCACTGCTGGAACCTGGTCTCGTAACTTTTTGACCCCATTGCTTTCCAATGAGAACTTCAACACTGATAGCACTTTGATCATCCTTACCTTTGACGAGGGTTTGACGATCGGCACGAACCAAATCTATGCCGTTCTTTTGGGTGGCGCCGTCTCAAGTGCGAAGGTGGGTACCAAGGACAATACCGCTTATAATCATTATAGTCTGTTGAAGACCGTGGAGACCAATTGGGACCTGGGTAACCTTGGAGAAAACGACGTGGATGCCACTGCGTTCTTCTAGGTCACAATGACCATTACCGAGAAACGCCAGTCTGCTGCTCAGATGGAGACTGTATACAACCATCTTGGCAGGTCACTTCCAATGATGCATTATGATGTTCTTATTGTCACGCAAAATGGCGGGCAGGGAAAGCGGAGGGGGGCTCTCAGTCTGAGTAAAAAGAAATCTTGTTGCGCTCTATACAGTTTCAATGTTACATATCGTTTTAGGATAGAAAGTTGGCAATATATTGATTTCCCCAGAACACTCTGAATGCTTGAGTATTCACGCACTTAAAACTCCAAGTCAATTGTATAAAGGATGTGAAGGGCACTTTTCAGTGCCACATAGTGAAAGAATCTTGGCTCTTACTATGGAAACATGATCACGTGACGCTATTAAAAATGTCCAAAGCGCCCTGCGTGCATCAACCACCTTAGCGGAGATATGCCAAGCTTATATCTATTACTCCTGACCAATTCTAAATGCTGTTTCTAGAACCTCGGATCTGACCGGGGGGTAAACCCCGTAGATCTGGTTGCAGTGCCTGGCCACCGATCCCAAGGCCCCACTCCGCACAACTTCCCGATACGGAAGTTCATAGTCGAAATGCTTGGCATTCTGTCTTTGGCCACTCACTATTACCAGATCCCATTGGGTATTATATAAAAGTGACGACCGTTTTGTGGATACCCGCAAAAATTTGTCCGAGCTTAAGCTACACGACAACAATCCGGAGAATGATTATGTAGCAGCTCGACTTTTACTGTCCGCATGGGGCAGCCAAGGGTAGAGTGGCCGCGAAGGCTTAGAAATTTCACTCTCAGTGTGATGGACCCCTGAGTATAAAATAAGCTCTGGGATCGATTACTATGTTCATGAATATTTACACCAGCTCTGATGATTTCAGTATAACCTCATTATGTCGTCGACCCCAGGTCTAGCGGCTTTTACGCCCGAGTTGTCTAAGAAAGCAACACATCCAGAGCCCGCGGGCACATGTACACGTGGGCCTGATCTGGAGAAATTGGGCAGAGAACGTCCATCTCACTTCTCGAGTCCGTGGTCAGAACTTGCATTTTGCTTCTCCATTGTTATGTCCCAGATCTTAGCAGTGCGTCACCTTAATCTCATAGCATTACCAGGAGCCTAACATCTTTCTCAGGAATTCTATATTACAGGATCCAACCTTCTACTACCAACACTTGTCACGGAGCTGGGTATCCCAGAAGCCTCCACAATATGGCCGACCACTGCTCTTTCCCTCGTGGTGTGTGCTACACTCCTCATCTTCGGTCGCTTGACAGACATGTACGGAGGATACCTCCTTTACAATGCTGGGGCGATCTGGCTCACAATATCCTCAATTCTTGCCGGCGTCTCAACCACATCGCTTATGTTGATCATCTGTCGTGCACTACAGGGCTTAGCCCTCGGAGCCCTCCTGCCGTCCGGCTTGATGATTCTGGGTAGCACGTATCGCCCAGGTCCTCGGAAGAACCTTGTCTTCAGTATCTATGGCGCATGTGCTGCTCTGGGATTTTTTGCCGGCTTCTTCGTCTCTGGCATCTGTGGCCAGTTCCTTACCTGGAGGTGGTACTTCTATATTGGCGCCATCTTGTCTGCTATCATGGCTGCGTCGTCAATTTTCTCGGTCCCCAGAGACTATTACGAAAAGAAAAAGCTTGCCATCCGTATGGATTGGCCTGGACTGGCCTTCTCTATCACAGGCACTACGCTGTTCGTTTTCGCGATTGCGGATAGCTCGTACGCACCACAAGGGTGGCGGACACCATACATTATCGTCTTCTTTGTATTGGGTGTTATATTGTTGGGAGGGTTGGCTTATATTGAAGGATGGGTTGTTCAAAACCCTCTGCTTCCAGGTGACATTTTCCAAGTGAAGCATATGGCAGCCCTTGTCATTGCTTTATTGTTCCTTTATGGTAGCCTGGGAATTTTTCTTCTCTATGGTGTTCTCTAGTAAGTTGAGTTTTTATCAACCATTTGAGAAAGCTTGCTAACCATTGACAGCATGTCCGAATTCATGGGCGGATCACCTCTTCAAATTGTCGCCTGGACTGCTCCGATGGGTGTGGGTGGCTTGATTCTCTCCGCGACCGGTGGATTCATCCTACATAAAGTATCTGGAACACTCTTGATGCTCATTTCATGTCTTGGATACGTGGGCTCTGGACTGCTTTTTGCCATCATTCCGATCGGTGGTAATTATTGGGCATACATCTTTCCGGCTATGATATGCGGGACCGTTGCAATCGATATCAGTTTCAACCTCGCCAATATTTTCATCACTACCAGCTTGCCCAAGGCGAGACAAGGACTTGCAGGTGCTCTCATCTACTGTACTATGCATTTGGGAATTGCCGTCATGCTTGGCTTTGCGGATATTGTTCAGACTCAGATGAAGCATCTTGGCGTTCGAGAGAGTTACAAAGCCGTTTTCTGGTTTCAGACGGGCTTGGCTATTGTAGGGCTGCTTATCGTTTTGCTTTTGGTGAGAATTCGCCACGCAAAGAGTGAACTAACAGCCGAGGAAATCCAGGCCGAGGAAACACAGAAGAGCGCAAGGAGAGAGAACGAGGAAGTTTGAATATGAAGAGAGCTTTAAATAAATTAAATGTGAATATTACGACGATCATGAGCTTATGAAGAGATAAAATGAATTGCCAGTTTCCCTCCGCACTTGCAAAAACGGACCTGAGAAGAAATGAAAGGGTTGAAAACTCGGCACAATTATTATTTTATAATGCAAATAAAGCAAAAATTACATATTTTCTACAAAATAAAGCCATTAACAGATCAAGGCCCCACAGACGCACATGGCGGTATATCGAAAATAAAGTTCTGGAGAAGTAGCAGACTTCATGTATTACGTTGGCTTGAGCCTTGATACTGAGATCTAGATTTTATGTCACATTTCAAGGGACCGATCCCTGTAGCCGCAATTGACATGGCTATCCCTCGGTTAACCACATAGCGTGGTAATGTCCTCCGGAACATAAGGGGTCAGGATGTCAATAAGGCTTGAAAGAGACAGCCACTCCAGAGTGCCGTGGATGGTCTGAACGGGTTGTCCGCTGTAGAGGACACGCGCATAGAGGCCACTGTTCTTACCCTCAGTCTCCCTGTGAGTAGTTAGTAAAGTGTCCCAAGCAATGGTTCTCTGTCCAGAAAAACTTACCAGATTTCAAAGGCAATGTTAGAGGCCATCGCGGGCCAACGGAGAGCGTTGATACCCAGAGCACCCAGAATAGGACCAATGTCACCATCGTGAATGAAGATGTGGGTGTAGTCAAGGCTAGATTTTCCGTCCAGGACAGTCTGCAGACGAGTGACGATCTCGCCGATGAAAAGACCCTCGACGACCTGAATGTACTTCTTCACGTACGCGTTGGTACGCCAGTAGTAGTTCCACTCCCAGTCACCAGCACGGAAGACCTCCTCGGCCATATCCGTGGTGACACAAGCAGAGGAGTTGGTGGTACTGCAAGGCAGGTTGTAGCCATTGCAAAGGCGACCCTGGAAGTTGTCGGAGAAGTGGTCAAAGGTATTCTGCCACGAGCTGGAAGTGGCGCCGAGCATGGAGCCTAGCTTGGAACGCAGGTCGGCGGTGACAGTCAGGTGCTCCTTCCACTCGGCAGTGGACTCGAGCTCACTAAGCGTAGTGTCGACGGCGTCGCATGAGTAACCCTCATTGACGGTGTCGACCGAGGTCACCATTTGGTGCAAAGGTAAAGCACCATCGTACTTGGGCCATACACCACGGAGAACTGCACCAGCAGAGGCCTGGGTGAGTGCAGAATCGCTAGACCGGAACCAGACGCGGCTGTTTGGCTCGTCGGGAATGATGCCGAGCTTGTTACCGTAGACGGCCCAGAGGTCCTTGCCATGCTGAAACCCGTCCTGGACACCGCCGATGGTGATCTGCGGGTACTGGCAGGTTCCTTCTACACCCGGGGTGAAGGGGTTGGTGGGATCCTGGTACGTCTGGGCGTACATAGGAATTGGCTGGGTGGAACCATGGCTGCTAGGTCCAGCGTAAAGATACGGGCGGACATTGTCGCACTGGTAAGCTTGGTTCTATCGAAGAAGGTTAGCTCAGAACGGTTTTTCAGATCAGCTTCACTTACCTCTCCTCCGGGCAGAATGTTGTATGGGGTGCGTCTCTGGTGACGCTGCAGATATTCAAGGTAAACCAGCTTTCCCTTTACGGAGCCCTTGGCGATGGGCTCGGGAAGCTCATACTCCTTGGTACGAGGGTGGGGCATTGAGCAGTAATCATAGGTGCCGTAGGGAGTTCCTTCGGTCGGACCATTGGTAGGAGCCTTGTAGATACCACCATAAGTTCCAATTGAGCTGTTGGAGATGTACGAGGTATCATTGAGAGTAGGCGGGTAGAACGTATCCAAGGGGCTCAGGCCAAGGGCGGGGCCGACCGCCCCAAGGACGATAGCAGCAGTGGTACCTCGCATGATTAATTCCAGGATATGAGATATGAAGGAGTGAAAAGATATCCTGAGACTGGCAAGTAAAAGGTAGATCTCACTGCGCGCGAGGTCTAATATAACGACCATGACGGGGAATCAGAGGTCGGTTAACCGGCGATCGACTTGGCTGGGATCCCTCTCTTGCGCAGCCAGTCGGCACTTCGGCTTCACTCCACGTGGGGGATGGGAACTGTCAGGGACGTGCCGTTGCAGAGAAATGGGTCCATCTGGAGGCACGTTCGGCACTAAATTAGCCGACAAGTAATGTGGCGCCGAAAGTCCGGATACTGAACGAAGACTGAGGTGCCGTGTCAGGTGTAAACAATGCACCATACAACATCTCTACCACGACACGTTTCATTCTAGATACCCGACCGCTGACTTTGGGACTTCATCTATAATTCCTTTCTGACCAACAGAGGTTTTTCCAATCTTCCCATCCCGATTTTTTTTTCTAGCTATGCGGGCTGCGCCCCTTGCCCTGGCCATGGTGGCCGCGTGGTCCTCGCCAGTCTATTCATCTTCACTGGCCTCATTTGCTCTGGATAAGGTGCTTGCCGACGCGACCCCTATATTTGGCTCATATGTGAAAGAAACAGGAAACAAGGCAGAGTGGATGAAAAAGTACAATGATGACACTCTGCTGATCCATATGAACATCCCTGGCACCCACGACAGCGCGACATGGAACTACAGCCAGGCCACTCAGGATTCTCTTGTGGGAATCACCGATCTGAACCAGGTCACTTCCCGGTCCCTGAGACCTTCCGCTGTCAAGAGCTGTCTTGGATCGACATGCTTAACATGGGAATCCGGGCATTTGACTTGCGCTACGCGTTTGATCCTACCAACACCACCATCATCTTCTATCACTCTGAGGCTCTACTGTCTGAGATCGCTACTCTAGATGATGTGCTCTTTGGCTTCTACAAATGGCTCGATGACCACCCCTCAGAGACCCTGTTTCTGTCTCTCCAGTATGAGGGATCAACCGCCAAATACGCGTCCAACGATGCAGCACTGCAGCTCAAGCTCTACAACACGCTGACCTCTCCCGTCGCGCGGAATTACTTTGTTCAAAAGAAGAGCGAACTTGGAACGTTGGGCGAAGCGCGTGGAAAAATCACCCTGATGCGCCGTTTCGACCTCGACCAATTGGCGAGCTCCTACACGACCGAGATGCCAGGCCTTCACTTCTCCCCAACCCTATGGACCGATAATGATCCGAATATCGCTCTTACATACAACGAGAGGAAGAATTTGACCGCTTACATTGAAGATTATTACCAGCCTACAACACCCGCGGGATCTAATGCGACCGTGAACATCCAATGGAAATACAATGCTACAGCAAATCACATTGTCAAGGCGACTACCGAGTACCCCGACAGCCTATTCTGGACCTGGGCATCAAGTGAAAACACAGACAATGTACCCCCTGTGTGGCCGCGCATTATGGCTATTGGAAATGGCACCTTGACTCCCAAGGGAGGCGTTAATCAGCGCCTTGTACCGGTTTTGAAGAAGCAAAAGGGCAAGCGGGTTGGTATTGTCATGTTTGATTATTTCGACGTGCCATCTGACCTTATCGATGAATTTTTGAGTCTGTGAATAGCTTAGTTTGAGCACCTTGGAGATGATGGTTGAGACGTTATCATCGGTCCTTGGGTGGATGGCAGCGCCGAAGTGCTTTCAAAGTCTTCGATTTTTAGCCTAGCGTATGTACGCCTCACAAAGGCCGAGGTATCTACCCAACTATCAAAACTCATCCTCGTGTAATTCTTCAAATGCTTCTTTGCGTCTATCTGCATAATAGCTGACTTTACAAGACATCCGGAATAGGTGTTAACATGCCCGGAGTTCCGCGGCACCATACCCGGCTGCAACAACCAATCTGCTTACAAGTGCATAAAGAATGACAAGGAAACTACCATGGCTCCATGCCGTTTACCCAGTGGTATGTCCCGTAAACATCTCATATGATTTGTTATTCATCGCCGTTGGTGCTTAGCAGAAGGCGGGTGGATTGAATACGGTCGGCTTGTGGGAATTTTTTGTCCTTGGAATTGAATGGGCCAGACCCTAGCGTATGCCAAGACTTTGAACAAATAGAAGAGGAGAAAGTGAGACATTCGTAATTTTGAAGTTATATTGTAGAGACCATGCTAGTTGTCACTGTTGATAAAACAGGTTAACAGGTTCCGATGCACGATGCGCAATGAAAAAGTCGAAGACCGGCAAGAGTAGGATATTAAGTTTTTTTGAAGGAGGTCTAAATCAATTACTTTTGTGAATCTAATGCTAGTGGGAAATGTTGGGTTTAGGGAAAATTTTGTTATTGCCACTTCTGGACCCGAGGATGTTCGGCCCCGCGAGATCCAAAGCAAGATCCAAGGCAGGGTCGTCATTTGTTAGGCAAGCGCCGATACCTCGGTGAAAAAAAAAAGTCGTCTAAGCACAAGATCGAATGCAAGTCGCCCAAAAATAAGGACCGAACCACCGAAGGGTCCAGTAAGGCTGATCGGGTTCCACCATGGAAGACGCCGGGAAGCCGATGGACTCTGACATCATCGACTGCTATGCACAGTTATCTTTCATTTCATGCCGAGGATCTTTTATATCACACATATAAGTATTTCTTCGCCGAATACCTAGCCTCCGTACCTTGCTATCCGTCAACCTGGTCTATATAATCCCGGCCTTCTCTTCCTCTCCCCTCGCTGCCAGCAAGTTACCCGTGCCGATCTCCCGTGAATCCCGCGACCATGCCACGAGCAGCCAGAGAAGCTGCAGAGTCACCCTCTATGCAGAATGGAGGCATCCAGACAGAAGACTGGTCGGACAGGGTCAGCGAGCCATCCTCACACGGCAGCGATCGAATGCAATTTAATGGCGATGGGCTGAACACCGGTGTTCGAGTATTAAGTGCGTATGCCAGATCACCGATGCCATATAGTGCGCTGATATGCTGATTTTTGTGCGATGTAATAGGCGATGGTCGACTGGATATCAAGATTAACGAACATAAGCCTAGTCTAGCTGGGATTTTACAACACTTAGGGGCAACCCCGATACCATCAGAGCTCTCACGAACCAATTCCAGAGCTTCCAGAGCTTCCAGAGCTTCCAGAGCGAGCTCTCAAAAAGTCGATGGGAAGCATTTCCCACTCAACCTCAACATCGTTATTCAAGTCATCGGGTCGCGAGGCGATATTCAACCATTCCTCGCAATTGGACAGGAACTCAAGAAGCATGGACATCGTGTCCGACTTGCCACCCACTTGGCCTTCCGGGAGTTTGTTACCGATGGTGGACTGGAATTTTTCAATATCGGTGGAGACCCCGCAGAACTGATGGCCTTCATGGTGAAGAACCCCGGCCTTCTCCCAAACATGGCCACGCTCCGGAGCGGCGCAATCCAGAAGCGCCGAAGAGAGATGAAGGAAATTATCGAGGGATGCTGGAAATCCTGTTTTGAGATGGGCGACGGAACACACATGCACCAGATCAAGGATGATCCTTTCAGCGATGATGTGGATTACCGGAGGCGTCCTTTTGTTGCGGATGCTATCATTGCCAATCCGCCTAGTCTTGCTCATATCCATTGTGCGCAGCGATTGGGCATACCTTTGCATATTATGTTCACGTGAGTTGACTTTTCTACTGGCTATGGTCCGATGTGCTAATTTGTTCAGAATGCCGTGGTCGCCTACACAGTCTTTCCCACATCCGTTGGCTATTCTTCATCAGAAAGATTGTCAACCAACAGTCGCAAATTTCGTTTCTTACGCTATCGTCGACATGATGGTATGGGAAGGTCTGGGCGATCTCGTGAATAAGTTCCGCAAGAACGTACTAGCCCTCGACCCGTTGGATAGCATCACCGCACCAAGTATAATACACCGATTACAGATTCCGTGCTCCTATCTCTGGTAAGGCTTCACATTGGTTGAGTATGAGAGGTTTGGCTAACTCTGTATCTAGGTCACCCGCTGTTCTTCCCAAACCCTTGGACTGGGGCGACAATATTGATATCTGCGGATTCAGCTTCCTCCCAGCAAAGTCAGACTACGCACCTCCGAATGATATCAAAGAGTTCTTAGAAGCGGGACCGACGCCGATTTATGTCGGATTTGGCTCAATTGTTGTCGACGACCAAATCAAATTGACCAAGATTGTGTTCGAAGCCGTCAAGAAGTCCGGTCAACGCGCAATTATTTCAAGAGGCTGGGGTAATCTGGGAGTCGACGAAGTCGATGTCCCAGAAAACATCTTACTCATCGGAAGCTGCCCCCACGATTGGCTTTTCCAGCAAGTCTCATGTGTGATCCACCACGGTGGCGCCGGCACAACAGCAGCAGGTCTTGCGCTTGGACGTCCAACCATCATCATTCCGTTCTTCGGAGACCAAGAGTTCTGGGGACATATCGTTGCGAGAGCAGGCGCAGGTCCGGTCCCGATCCCACACAAGCGACTCACTGCGGAGAACCTAAGCGCTGCGATTGAGATGGCACTGAAAGATTCTACAAAGGAAATGGCACAGGCGATCGCGAAGAAAATGGAAAATGAGTCTGGAGTAAATGAAGGAGCTTGCAGCTTTCATCGTCAAGTTGACATCAAACCTTTGCGATGCGCAATATGCCCTAGGCGCCCTGCGGTGTGGCATATCAAACATACCACGGTCGGTCTGAGCGCGTTCGCAGCATCAACGTTGGTTGAAATGGGCAAACTGGATCCTGAAAATCTTGTGTTGTAAGTAAACATCATTTTTGGACTTACTAGAAAGTTGAAAACTGACCCTCGATAGAAATCGCCCTGTGGAATACGACACATATCGCGACCCTGTTGGGCCGATCAGTGCCAGCGCCCAGGTGCTATTTGGTGCCGTTGCGAACTTCATTATTGGAATCGCCGATGTCCCTGCCGAGATGGTCAGTGACCTAGTCGCAGCTGGAAAGCAGCTGGGCCATAATCATCAAGCTCATCCTGCCGACCCTCGCCGCAAATGGCGTATGCGCAAGACGCATAATGAAGACGAACTTGCCAGCGAGGAAGACTCACAGGAGCAGACGGTACAGCGGAAACGTGGAAAATCCGAGGAAACCACGAACAATGCTCATAGCGATTCATCCCATGATTCTCTCGCTCAACCTGCAAATGCAGAAACCCGCTCGAGCGAGCCTCTCAGTGGTGAAGAAACTGGAAGCGATGACAGTGTCTCGAACTCGAGTGTTCTTCTTCCAGATGCCGGTATCGATCGAGTACGCAGTCTGCAATTGGAAAAGACGCAGACGATGAGCAGTGAAATCACACCCTCCAAACCTCGTGGTTTCTTCGGGGAAGTGGGGATCCATGGAGGGAGAATGGGGAAGAAGTTTGTCAACTTCGTGATCTGGCTTCCGACAGACCTTACCCTCAGCATGTCGAAGGGCTTCCATAATGCACCCAAGCTGTATCATGACCCCACGGTCAAGTCAATTCCAAAGGTCCATGGAATTCGGAGTGGGTTTAGGGCTGCTGGTCAGGTACGGTTCGCTCTCAAGTCCATATTGACGATTTACTGACACGTTGCAGGAACTTCGGGATGGATTCTATTACGGTGTTACCGGCCTAGTCACTCACCCTCGACGTGGATACAAGGAGAAAGGTGCAAAAGGAATGATGAAAGGGGTAGGCAAAGGTCTTGGTGGAGTATTCCTCAAGCCACCAGCTGGTATGTTACACCATTCCACTGCTATCAACAGCCATCTAAATAACCTGTTGCAGGTCTCTGGGGACTCGCCGGATATCCTCTGTCTGGAGTTCGACGCAATTTGTTAGAATCTTTGGGCAAGGCCCAGGAAGGCCAAATTGTGGCGTCACGTATCGCCCAAGGACTCGAAGAGATGCGAAACTCGTCCGCCGAGGACAGATTGGAGGTAGCCAGACAGTGGGTTTTATTGGAGGAAAAGCTTCGCCCGACGAATCGGAGGTGTGGTCGCTCCCATTCACACTCGCAAACTCACCCCCACGCACTTACATACACTGCTTCATCTGGGATGGCCGCCTAAGAAAGCATATTTAAGGTTACCTTTTAATGTATATACCCTTCAACGCACAAATAAGTTATACCTCTACATCATATCGTTCCTGATCCTTGACCCGACCACATGAGCAGAAGACAAGCAGTTCGCATATGAGTGGATAGACGAGAGGAGAAAAAGGCTTATCACTTGCCTAATTAGAACTCCAAACTTACCCCAAACAGCATCTAACCGGATAACCCTGTCCACTCCACCGGTTACACACAACAAGGCAGCGCGAGGCACTCCCCAAAGCTCGGAGTTGACCCGATATCCCCTCCCCGGATCCCCGGCCACCCAAGAAATACCCCAGACTCCAAACTTTCCCGGTGGGGGTGACAAACCAGATATAAACCCACTTATCTCACGATCTGACAATTCGACAACAAACATGGGGGCTACTCAGTCTCCGACATTCGTCGGCCTCAAAGGCCAGAACCTCATCTACGCTGTTACACTATGCTGCTCATTCGGCTTCCTCCTCTTCGGATATGACCTTGGCTTCATGGGCGGGTTAACGACATCACCTACATTTCTAGGAACGTTCGGAAACCCAGAAGCCTCACTCCTCGCATTTCTAGTCTCCGCATACGAAGTCGGCGCCATGATGGGCGCATTATTCCAGTTCCTGAACGGCGATCGATTCGGCCGGAAACCTAACAACATGGCCGGGGCGGTGATTGTCGCGATCGGTGCGACGTTGCAAGCTTCCAGCTTTTCACTGCCTCAATTCCTGGTCGGTCGCATTGTTGCCGGGTTTGGACTGGGTATTATGACGACTGTTATTCCGATTTGGCTTTCTGAGTGCAGTATGCCGAAATCGAGAGGAAGGATGATGGCTATGCAGCTTTCGAATTTGATTGTCGGGCTCATTCTAGCGAATTGGCTTGATTATGGCCTTGCTAAGTATGTGGGTTCGGTCCAGTGGAGGTTTCCATGTGCTTTTCAGGTTGTTTTTTGTATCATTGTTCTTTGTTTCCTGCCTTGGCTTCCCGAGTCACCGCGATACTTGTGCACAACAGGAGAGACGGAAAAAGCGAAAATATCCTTGGCTGCGCTGCGTGCTGGGTACCCCGATGATCCGGATGTGATAGAGGAATATAAGGAGATTGAGTATGCGATCGCGGTCGAGGCGGAGCAAGCAGGTTCGTGGGCAGACGTCTTCAAAGACAATGGAATCAGCGGGTTCTCACGAGTGGCGATCGGATTCGCAGCCAACTTCTTTCAACAGATGTCTGGATGCAATGTGATGTCGTCACTTGGCCCCTATGTCTTTCAGGATTCGATTGGAATGTCACGCAACAACGCAATGCTTGTCTCCGGAGGTCTACAGGTATTCTATTTTCTGAGCAGCCTGGTCCCATGGCTAATCATCGATCGCGTTGGGCGACGCAAGTTGTTCATGATCGGATCGACTGGAATGGGAATTTGCATGCTGTGTTCCGCGATTTTCGTGGGCATTGGCACAACGAGGCTCGGATACGCAGCTGCAGTTATGCTATATCTATTCCAGACATTCTTCACCTTAGGATGGCAATCCAATATGTGGATCTATCCTAGCGAGCTGCTGCCTTTGAAGTTGAGAGGACGGGGTGCTGCCCTGGCTGTCGTGTCGCAGTGGCTGTTCACGTTCTTAGTTGTTGAGATCACCCCGCCCATGATTACGAACATTGGTTACCGTAGTTATGTCATTTTCGCTGTGATTAATTTTGCGACCGTGCCATTGGTATACTTTACCTTCCCGGAGACCAGGCAGATGCCGCTTGAGGCAGTTGATCTGTTCTTTGCCGACCGAGACGGGAAGAGACCATCTCTTTGGCGCGTCGTTCAGGACTCTCTGAACCCGGACTTCGTGGCGGGGGTCAAACTACAACTCGAAGAAAGAGCGAGAAACAGAGTCGATCTGAGTGACAAGCTTTCTGAGAAGGGAGAGCACTTGGAGGTGGAGGAGGCTTAGTTCATGACCGGTGAACATTGAAGGAAATGTTGCTACAAGTCTCATGCATAGCCACGTTCAGATCCAGAAATATGACGAACTATGATTCAGTAAACCGCTTCGAATCCTCTAAATACCCGAAATCAGGTATGATTCACTTTGGCTAATATCATACACCCTGCATCGTGATTCCAATTGACAAAGAGGTCGGCTCAAGTCCGAGTGTTTTCTACCTTTTAGCCGGATAGCCTTATCCCAAAACGCAGTCATATATCCGGGGTGCAAGGAGCTTGGTAAGGCTTAATTTGCCCGTGCGAAGGCTTATTTACGCTTCAGTCTGATTTTTGGCGATCTCGGAGTGATGTCCGATGGTCGTAAAGGGGCCGAGTGGGGGTACGCAATATCTCTACAGCAATGAGAAGTCAGTCGCCACCGCAGAAGTAACAAGAATTGTTGGCTTTAATACATGAAGTCCTCGAGATCCTTTAGGTAAGGGTATCAATCAAACTCTCCCAAGCAGTTAACAGCCACCTCCTCCAGCACCTGCCATATTCGCACCCTTCCCTGACTCAGCAATGAGGATGACAATGAACCAAAGTGTCAAGCGCTTCTGCCACTCCCCAATAACCATGCACATGGCAGTAGCCAGAATGATTTCATTAAATCGGAATCGAGATTCCCGTAGATTAATCGACTGTGGTTGCGATTTGAAGCCCACTACAGACCCAGAATCATCCGGTCCCTGAAAGGGATCGACTATCTCAAGCAACTTCGAAACTGCCGAGTCGATAACCCACAACTTTCCAAACTTCTTCGACGAGAAATCTGAAGTAAACTGAGCCAGAAACAATCTCTCCCCTCCAGGAAGCTCTGCAATCAACTTCAAATGATTGAGAGGCATTAGTCTTCTCGACCATTTCTCATTCACATGAAGATCTCTTGTACCCTCCCAGAAAAATGTGATCCCAGCATAGAGAAAGTGATATCGTCGAGCATTCATCAGCGGCGATGACCATTTAAGTCTGATGACTTCTTCCGCACCAGCAGGCTGGACTTTTTCTTCTTCCTCTTCACCCTTTTCTTTCAGCGTCTTCCGCTGGGCATTAACCATGCGATGATATCGCTTCCCAGTTTCACCCCAGATTCGCCACGAACGCACCCTGTAACCTTTTAAAGCATGGATGTCTTGGGAAGTTCTATTATCTGGTCTAAAGCGATGCTCCCAGCTCACCACGCCACGAGGGTCAATGATGTCCGGTAGGTTGGGCACAAACTGTACAGAAAATTACCGCCAGAAAGCAGACGATTTGATAATGCAGAGAGGCTCTTTATCTTTTTCGCTACCATGGTGAATAGTCCGCGGTGTTCCGTGGAATAAAGGGGCAGGGGGGTGGATAAAGTAGCTGTTCGATTCATCGGATTTGGGGTGCGCTCTGGCGTAGTCGTTGGCTATGTCTTTGTGTTTCTTGCTATATCCGAACTCTTTTTCCAAGTCCATAAATGGGGTGATGCGGAAGTCTTCTTCGCCTACGTGGTAGACGTGGTATTCTGATAGGCGGTTTCTTTTATTATATACAGTAATAATATATATAATATTGAGGATAATACGGCAATCCGATGAGACTTACTGATGTGACGGAAGCACATCACTTCCTACATCCACTACTAGAGTTATTAAGCTATAACTATGCCTCGATATAATTTCAAAAGCTACGGATTCGATTCTTTTAATCGAAATTCGACATTGTAGAGTTAATAGGGTGGTCGTGAGAAAGAGAGGGGAAGCGGAACGGTGGTCGTTCCTATATCACCCCAAGGCCTTTGCTCCACAAATTGAGGAGCAAAAAGAATGCCTAACTATAGTGCCAGAAAAAGTAGTCGTTCTCAAATATCAATACAGTGGAAAGAAGCTGCTAGGGCTTGGACCCAAGCCTAACATTCATGAGTTCAACGCGATTCAAGTGTATTAACACCTATGCATACGACATAGATAGATAGATTTGGTGTTGTTTTTCTCCTATTGAAATCTCATTTAAGTATAGATCACGTAATTTTAAACTAAAGAGCAAGAGTCACACAGCTAGCCAAGTTTGCTTTCAATGCAAGAGAGGTCCATCAATTATTGTGCGACAGCATTAGACTAGCTGCTCTCTAGGCGCTTCTTGTCAGCATCAGAAGAGCTCCCTCTCTGAAATTGATCCGACGGTAAATTGATCTTCTCCATCATCAAGACAATCTTTTCATAATCATCGCTTTCCACGAACTCTCTTGTCATCAGGTATTCTTGAATGAAGTTGGAAGCTTCTTTGCGTGAAGAGAGCTTCTGGTGACAGGAACGAGGTTTGTCATGCACTTTAAGCTCCGCGTCATTGCTAGCGAGTAGAAAAACTTTAGAAGAACTGTCCAAGTAAAACTGGCTCCATAGATCAGAACTTACGTATAGCCTTGATGTATCGTTCCTCCTTCTCTACCATTTGCCACAGCGTATACCGCTTCTGATTGAGTTTGATACCGCTTTTTCTCTGCACCAATGATATAAATATCCGAAATCTCATGTCCGTTCTCTTCGAGATAATCTACCGCATCCCGTAGAGTCTGGAAGCCCTTGTGCTTCTTTTGTTTACAGTCATTAGTCAAGGCATCAGCTATAGACCTTGGAGACAATCAGCATCTTTCAGCATAGTTACTAGTTACTAATTGGATTCCTAATACCATGATTGAGTAATGATGCCTGAAATATGACCGTGGGCAACTGCATGATATTGTTTAGCTTTGTGTTTTGGCATCTTGTGGGAGAAAGATTTCTGGCGTAAGGTAGAACCTTCAAAAACGCGAAAGGCGTGATTCATTTACCAAGAAGGCCATACAACTAGCCTTTATAAAGCGTGTCAACTTCAATCATATTAAACAAGAACGATCCCGCTGGCCGTGTACATAGATACCGTGTGCTGCGGGCCACGTCAGCACCCCGGTTCCAAGGCAGAATCAGACGCACTGCCCCCTCCTTTCACTGCCCGAACATACCATCATTTCTCATTTAAAAGCCACGGTGGCACAATCCCTGCTCTTGTATGCATCAATTTGCACCGCCCTCTTCTGTATTATCACTAATCTGTCACATGTCCTATCATCGTCAATTAAACGCCCATCATATTTTCTCCGATACAGTTTCTGATGAGCCTCTCTTGCCCCGCAAACAGACCAAATATTGAATAAAGAAATTAAGAGCATGTTCACCAGTAGTGCCTACAGAGCCATTGGGACCTTTGCTTATACGAATATATGCATTGATCTTCTGAAGTCGTAAACAAATTTATTTGATGAATTTGAGTCCCATTTCAAGCCAGAGAGCCTTGGAGGCGGAGTGCTTCGCTGTTTTCTTTGAAATGCCTTTGCATGAGATCTGAAAGTTTTGTACTGAGCGCTAGCGGCCCATCTCGGAGGACCGAGGCTCAACAGGACCAAATCATAATCCGGTGGAAATGAATTCAGAGTCTCCCATCTCCTTCAACGCAACGGTGTGCCTACTGTCATCACAATCATACTTCGTGCCTCTATGGAGCTTGCCTGGCTGTAATTGCCCTGTTCGTTCCGTGCGTAGTGTTATTGGCGGTCTTAAGATAGAGTGCTCTAGTGTCCCCCTCTTGGAGTACAAGGGCAAGAAGGCGTTACTTGACCCACCCGAGCAGACTTTCAAATCATTGGCTTTGTGTATGATATCATCTTTATGCTTGTATAGGAACGTGCGAATCAAGAAAACTTATAGATTTTAATATTGGCGAAGATTCCAGAATATCGCGCAGCATCGCTCTACCAATTTCGCGGGAGAAAACCATTCTGGCCAATTTGACTTGTAAATCAAACTGCCGTCTTACCCCGAGTGGTAGAATAAATTCGTCGTAGGGAAGCTCTTTAAGAATGAGGGATTTGCGAAACATCTACCTCAAGATGAGCCTTTCGTAATTCAACCCGTTGTAAGTCCTACCCTCGCAATAGACACACTCATCCGAGGTGGCAGAGCAGATTGAAGCCACGAGCTGATCTCAATCTGGACCCATTTGAGACCGAGAAAATCGACTGTAAAACCTTCCATGAATATGCATATTGCAAGTACGAAGAAACTGGAAGCTCTTAATTCTTTGATCGATAGATTCTGTATCATTATCAAGGCTGAAACTTGCCATGGTGTTATCATAAATCAGCTATATGAGGCCCCTTTAAGGCATACCTATAGTCGCTGAAATACTCCACCATTTAAAGCCCAAAATACCTGACTCATTTTTGTTGGGCTGGATAAGCTGAACCTCCGTATTATTCTCGCGATAGATCTTTATGTGTCGAGATAACACGTCACTAAATGATGATTTATCTTTCCGCGGCCTATAGCTACTGTGTGGCGCTCGGACAATTCTATTCTGCGAGCCCCGCTCCTATTTACAAAGCACAAACTCCTTTTTCTCTTTTGGTAAGGGGAGATGACCGATTTTGGTAAAATACAAGAAATCGCTATTTTGGATGCTGACAGCGTCGTATTGGACTTCAGTGGTTGGGCCGATATGCAGCTTAAATTATGGCAAGGCATCTTTATTAGGGCAAGCATCGCTACGTAGTCATTCAGCCGCCCAAAGACTTGGAGGCTGAGTGACGATTCATGAGCCGCTCTATTGTGTCATTATCTTTTTTTTCAGATTATTTAAACGCCGTATCTCTATGGTGATTGTAATTTCCATTCAGAGTTCTTCAAAGCATGAAGGATTTAAGTCATTATATTCTCAAACTAAAGGCCTTTGCACGACACACCCAAACCAGCCGAAGAAGAGATCCAACAGAGCTGTACGGACAAGTAATCACGTCTTCTTACGTCAAATCCTGCGAGCAGAATCGACACACTGCAATCTTGTGTGAGCTTGAAGCCGTCGAAAAGATGACAAGCTTTGAAATGGACGGTTCAACTCCCACGCATGATCAAGGTAAAGAGCAAAGCCAACCCATGATTGGAGGGGAATGCTTATTATTTTACGAGATGAATGGATTGGGTTCTATGTTTGGGACCTTTTCATGAGAGTAAAATTCATCGAAAGCAAGCCCAAAGCCGGTGTTTCGCCTGTATTTGAAGTGAATGACCGCCACTTTTTGTCTAATTTATGAGGCTGATATACTTTTCAGGAAATGAGTGGGTTCCTTATGACGGATTTTAAATCTGGCGACGCCATCAAACAAATTATCCAAGACAACCCGCATCTAAAAAGGCAGTTTTATCAATCGCGCTGTCCCTCGATTTATAAAATTCTGGGTCTGATGGTGAATAACAGCCCACATCTAGATCTTCAACGTATCTTTGCTGCTCTAGCGCCATTTTGCCCACAACCATCGCTCTCAACTTCTCAGATTGAGCGTAGTACTAGTGCTATCGAACATCCATCATCTTCGTCTAATTCTACGGTTTCGATGCCTCTGGACTGTCGTGATATACCGCAACGTCAGCGAAAAGTCAACTATGCACTATTCACCTCACGCTTGAACGAATATGGACAACGAAATGGTATCAGGGCTATTTACACCGAGAGCATGATGTCAATTACACCCCTTGTCTTCAAAGTTTGCGTGAATTATAATGGTACGGAAGGACAAGCTGAGGGTGGAAATTTAAGGGAAACGAAACACCTAGCTTCCAAGAATCTATGCGATATTCTGGGCTTGGAGCTAGATTAGAACAGTCAGCTCTATGGTTTTACTGGTGGTTTCAGAAGCAATTACGGTTCTGTGATTCATTTGTGCTGTTTCCTTCTTCATATATGTTTTTGAGACATCAGAATTTCAGAATATTGATAAACATCGAATTTGCGTAACTTTGAAATATAGACAGACATCTTACTCGCTCTGAGAATTCTCGTCCGGTGGCTGTTTGGAGATCCAAGAGTCGACTGTGTTTCACACGTAGGTAGTATCCAATGAGATATACGACCGTGGCCGAGGCCATGTCCACAGACAGGTTATGCGGTCATCGCGGGTGCCGTAGCATCCTCACCCTATTTATTGCGTACTCACTCTTCTAAACTTCGGTCGCACGGCGCTAAAGAGGCGCTGGGGCAAGGGCCTCTTCGAGCGTTGACATATCCTTTGGTGGTATATTCCGAGACGATGTAGACTAGCAGATCGTTGATTTAGATTTTATATGCACGACACAGAAGATTTGTGGTTTTGTAGCTTTAAAGATCTTCTCTGCTCATGCTATGTATCTTGCTGTGTTTAAACCCTCAAATAGGTGACTAGATAAGGCTATTTCGGCCCTGTGGATTTCCTGTTTTTCATCACTCGTCTCGGGGTGCAGACATACCTGCTGAATTGAGAGTGTGGGCCTTCAGCTCCGAAACATTGGGATACTTCATTGGTTCGACAGGCTTACGGTGGGAAGGGGCCTTGACTGCAAGGCTGTGAGGGCCCAATTACCTATCTCCAGGGGTGGGGAATCGATAGTCGTGATGGGAGTACATCAAGAGGCTGTGCAAATTACCGGGTGTTTCGGATGTCATTTCGAAAATAGGTTTACAAGGAGATGATTGTTGAACATGTCATGATTCATTTTTGGCGTGTTTTTGTCATTAAATGTTAAACCCCTTCGGTCATCAAAGCTCTAGGCGCCTGTTCGAAAACACCTCGCTGTCCCTTGGCGAGACCTTGTCGAACAATGTCGCCTTCAGGAATGCCTTTCCAGGAAACTTTGGGCTCGTGGTAAATATTGGACTGCGTATATATGATCAGACGCATTTATTTGTTGAAACTCTCCAGACTACTTTGAACATACCTTCCACAGTTAGAGCAGAAATGTCTCTGGGGGGAATGAAGTCAGCCACGGTCGCAGACATAAAGCAATGTATTTGAGTACCCCAATAACATTTCCACTAGCAGTCTTCTTATCTTCGTACACCTTCAAAGCAGTTGTAGGGTCTTTCACTGTCATATCATCCTCTGAGATGAAGTAGTTGACGGAGAACGCTGGGATCAGTGAGCATGATAGTAACTATGGGTAGTCATTGACTGGGATCCTACCTCCACCAGCTCGCTTGCAACTGTCACTGTTCTCAAGCCGTCAATAAAAACTCACTCCATAATCGACTTCCAAAAGGTGTCAAAGCCATACCAGTGGCATAAAACGGAGTTGGCGGGTTGCCGAGGAAGCGTGACGTTAACGCTCTCGCAGTTGCAGTGGCCCGTGTAAGACATTTAAGGCGAACTAATTCTGATAGAGCCAATTATGAATTTCAAGGACAAATTTGCAGAGACCTTGAGGATGCTCAATCTACGTTCATTTTTTGGTTGAGGGCTGCCTCACGAATTTTCGCGAAAAAGCTTTGGGCCTAATACTGCTTTCCTCGATGGTGACGTCATTCTCGTCAACCATTGTCTCGTGGGAGAGCCACCTCTCAATGTCAAGTACAGGCTGTCTAGGTAAATAGTTCGTTTTCTCCATAACGAAATGGATGGTGAACATTGATAGAGCTTCACTAAAAAGCATGCCAAGCCGCTCTTGCTTTCCATGGCCAACGCAGGTTCTAATGCCCATAGATCTCGATTCCTTTATTGCTGTCAGTTTGACATGATCCAAGGAGGAGAAATATTGACCTGGCCAATTTACGAGAATTGAGGGCCAAGACATCATGCAGAAAATGAAGAGTAAGAGTACGACACCTAGGCGTACCTCGGGCAACATCTCAATCTCTGGGCATAAGTATTTCTTGGTCGCTGCTTGAACTTCTGTTCTAATGAAAATCACGTTACCCAGGCGCCAATCAAGAATTTGAGACGGGAACGAGAAAAGTGAATCACTGAGCCCGTCTCCGCTGTTCCATGAGGACAGCCAAGGGGATATCGTCCTCGTCGTAGAACTCCACATCTTCATCCACGCCAAAATCACGGAGGCGCTCTCCATCAGCGTTTCGCCATGACTCTTCACCATCATCAGAGTCATCACCATAGATAGGTCCAGGCTGGCCCTCATCTTCGCTGCCATCCTGGTCGACCTTTTGTACTCGTTCGTGGAAACGTCTGCGCCGTTGCACATTTGAAAATTGCCGACGGCGGTTCATATCATCCGACTGGCGACGGTTAAATGCTTCAATCTCTTCACGAGCGGATGCGTAGGTTTGGAGCCCCGGCGAAGTAGAGGTAGAAGGTGCCGGCGCTGGGAGAGGAATACGATCGGGATCGGGTGGTGGCCAAGACACTCCACGGGCTAGTACATATTGTTAGCAACTGGGCAAAGACATAACTAGTAGAGTATCATGATACCTTCAAAATCATTAATGGGGAACTCCCAACCAGATTTCCGGTCTGGGGTTGTTGCAAAAGGCCAGAACCAGCTGAAGATCTGCGAAGAGTGTTATTTCAATTGTTCCACGGGATACTAGATGATGACTGACATTGATAGTTCCCATTGCCTGGCTTATGTTGGAGAAAATCCCGATGTCATATGGGAACTCCTGTTTCTTGATTCTGATCTTTTGGCCTCCCGGGGCGTCAAGATACCCACCCATAACGCGGGCTCGCCGCACAAGGGTCTCGTGTCTCTCTATTTCCCATGATTCAATCGTTGTGATGTTGAACAAGACCGAATACAGGACTCGCACAAGAAGGATGAACAGGGCAAAAACTGTGACACTGTTCACAACGAAAAGTAGAAACAGGTGACAAAGTTGTCCAAGACTGGGACCAAGATACTAATCTTAGGTCAGCGTTTGCTCAGGTACCAGCAGGTAGCCAACTCACACTAGGCAGATTTCGACTACCCCAAACAACAGATCCCCGTTCCCAGATCAAAGTTTCGAGGTAGCCCATGCCGACAACGGCAAAGAACAAGAAGCGGAAAAAGTGCGGGAAGGTAAAATGTGATACACAGTTCGATGTCCATGGGCAGTGGTGGTCCATCTTGGGAATGCATCTGTATACAGATCAGTAAATATCAGATTTGAAACCAACTTCGATACCAACCTTTGGCAGGTCTTGCAATGATGCGCCCGTGGTGGCTTGTATGCCTCACATCTACGGCACCATCGCTGACGCCGGGTGGCCTTGGCCTTCTCCTCTGGGCTGGAATTGGCAGTCTTCTGGCTTGCAGGAAGCCGGCCAGGATCTACATAGCAAGATCTGAAATAAGAGACCCAGATACACAGGGCAAAGATGTTGATCTTCCAGACTTCATCCTTCCGGAGAGGCACGGATTCGAAATGGAGGAAGAAATACTGTGAGGTATACGCTAGAAAGGCGATCAAAATGCTGACGGCTGGAACCGCGAGTCGCGATATTTGAAAGTCATCACCGAACATCTCTGCGTCCAGATGTCCGCAGTGTCGACAAGGAGAGGATTGGAAAGCTGTGGCCGACGTGTTGTTGATTGGTGGTGAGATTTGGGAAGTGATGACTAAGCGGACTTGAATCGGCCGCGATTCATCACATTTGACGTTGTCATCGTGAACACTTCGCCAATTATTCCAGATCAGCCTGAATTGGTCTCGGAGATGATATATATCGACCATTCAATTGAAGAGAGTTCAGAAAAGTCATGAGAAGCTGATCCAACGTCTCCAAAATGCCGATCGTGGCTCTTCCCCAGACCACAGTCCGCGCGATTGGATCTACATCTGTCATCTCTGATTCCTGCTCCGTAGTCAAGGAACTGATTGACAATGCATTGGATGCCTCTGCAACATCCCTGCAGGTCGAGCTCTCTCTGAACACACTCGACGTGATCCAGGTTAAAGACAATGGCCATGGAATTCCTACTGAGGATCATTCGAGCGTCTGCAAACACACCTTCACCAGCAAGATTCAGACTGTGGATGACTTGAAAAATGTCGGAGGCTCGTCGTTTGGCTTCCGTGGAGAGGCCTTGGCGAGTGTGGCGGAGATGTCGGGCGGCGTTACTGTCAGTACGCGGTCCGCTTCGGAGGTGACGGGGACATGTCTAAAGTATGCGAGGGATGGATCGCTCTCAAGGTATGTTGGTCATGGTATAGCTTGAAATGGCCCAGGTAAACACTCACACGCTGGGCAGCTGTACGCGCACGTCTCATCCAGCTGGGACGACGCTGCGTGTAACTGATTTCCTCAAGTATATACCTGTTCGCAGGCAGACGGCGCTCAAAGACGCGACAAAAACTTTGACCAGGATCAAGAAGCTTCTTCAAGCTTACGCCTTTGCTCACCCTGTCTTGAGATTCTCAATAAAAGTGCTTAAGGCCAAGAATGAGAACAACAACTGGACATACGCGCCAAGTGCCGATACAGAGATCGTCGATGCAGCAATCAAAATCGTCGGAAGGGATGTAACAGCATGTTGCGTTGTCAAGAAATTTCCATCCGATTCATTGGACCCAAGTGGCTATGAGTTGCTTGCCTTCCTTCCAAAGGCAAACGCCGGTATGCAAGCCCTCGATCGCAATTACGCCCGACTAATAGTTAGAGCAGAGATCATCAAAGCCAACAATCAAGGACAGTTCGTCAGCGTTGATGGGCGTCCCCTATCCGTGAGTCGGGGGCTTGGCTTGGATATCGCCAAACTCTTCAAATCCTATGCCCGTGCCGCTGCATTACGAAATGAAGCGGCAAAGTCGATCACGGATCCATTCCTATACCTTCAACTGAAGTGTCCACAAGGAAGCTACGATGTTAACATCGAACCTGGCAAAGATGACGTGTTATTTGAGGATCGGGAGCTCCTATTTGGTATGCTGGAGAGTTTCTTTTGCTACCATTACGGACCATTGCAAACTGCTCAGAAGGCGAGCCCCAAGAAAGCACAGAAACCATTTGCAGCCACTCAGAGGAACAGTGGTTTCGAGATCCTCATGTCCCGAACGCGCCCCGCGGCCCCCTCCAGCCAAACTCCAAGGCCAGAGGTCCCCGCCAGTGTTGCTCCTGCAAGCCCCCTGTCTGAACGAATCGGTCAATCGTCTGGGCCTTTATCACCTGACAACTCTCGCGATGACGCATATCAGAGTGCTACTGGTGATCACACAGCCATCACGGAATGTCGAGGTTCGCGATTCATCAATCCCTGGTCCATTTCAAGAATCAACGCTTCGTTTGAAACTCCACAGAGACAGCACAATCCTCGGTCAAGCGGATCTCGCACTCCCTTTCAGACACACCAACATACCGACGGCCAACAGAATGCAGCAACGAGACCCAATTACGGGTCACCTCCCGAGAGCCCTGAATTGATCTCTTCCGCTCTCAGGCCTGCATCGATCTCTCCGATGGTATATCAGCACCGACCTCTGCCATCCGTGGGATCATCACCTGAGACTGCGTCTGCCGCCAACAGTGCCCAAAAAGCAGAACGGCAGCGTGACAAAGAGCGATACGGGAATGGCGCGCTCGATACCTGGTTTCAGCGCACTACAGGAGCTTCGTTGACTCAAGAACTAGCAAAACCAATGGCTGAGCAGGATGTTCAAATTCCCACATTGTCCCAGCTTGCACAAGAGAGGTTTCAACCTCACCGGGCTATAACCGGCAGTGCAGTTTCTGATCTGGAAGCCCGTGAAGCGGAAGGCGACCCCTCCGAGGATGCGGAGTCTCAGCTTTTTCCTGAAGAAGATGGTGCCTTGCCCTCAGATCAAAGTCAGGAACAAGAAGGTTCCATGAATAGTGGGCGAGGGTTTCCGGTGCTAGAGAAATGGGCTGCGAGTCTTCACAAAGGCTTCAATCCCGATTCAAGTCTTGATTTGGAATGGGCGCTCGACTTTGAAAAGCGCAAGAAAGAAGCAAACCAGAGAAGTCGTACACGCCCCGCGGGTCGCGACTGCCAAAAAAGCTCTCAAAATACCACTTCCGTCGGTCCATCTCCCCACAAAAACAGATATTTTGCTGCAAAGGCAGCATTGGCAGCCGATCAACCTGTGGTAGCCGAGACAGATTCGGCATTATCACTCTCTGCAAATGATCCAAGAGCCTATATGATGCGTTATCAAAACCCGCCCGAGGCTGGAGAAACAGCCAAGAATAGTGCGGCTGTACGACGGCTTCATACGAATCGACTGCCATTTGAACGTACACCAGAAGAATACAATACCCACGACATCTGCCTTCCAATGTCCTCTGACCTGTCGCTCATGTTCAAGTCATTAAATTTGACGTGTTCAGTCGACACATATACCCAGTTTGGAGAAGAAGCCGAAGTCTTTCCTGAGTCCAATACCGAATCCGTTCTATCCTTCTGGAATCAGCGTTTAATCACGCTTGTCAACGAAAACTATACGACTGGCGACAATCTGACATGTCCTGAATGGCAAGTTGATCTTCCTTCTATCATGGAGAAGCATTTGAACCGATTTTCCTCGAGTTAAATGATCTTTCCTCACAGGAATAAACTTGCATCTTTACGAGTACTCTCCTCTTTCCTAACGCTGCTATGGAGTTATTTTGCTATTTAAGTATACCCATTATGTATGATATGTGACATGCCCTATCAACATCTACTTGCTCACTTGCAATTAACTCTTCATAAAACATCCTTCGCAATTTGAGCTGTTCGCATTCTTGATTTGCTACATGTACCAACCCCGAACGGGAAACACGGCGATTGATGCACCTTTTATCAAGCATGGAAATTTAGGGATTTGATGTGAGAGACAGAAACACATCAATGGACTGTAGCTTAACAATCACTGAACTCCAAAATGCGGTCGGAAACCTGTTCCGTTGCATAAGAATGACATCAACAGCCAGATGCCCCTTTAAAAGGCGCTATCAATTCCAGAATATCATAGTCAAACTGCAGCCACAACAATGGCCGACTCCACCTCACTTGATGATCGGCTCGTTGACCGACTGACAGAACGGCTCCGCACGTCGTCAAGAGTCGCTTCTTCCGACTTCAAAATGACAACCGGGGACATCGGAATCCTCAAATCCACACTTTTACCTTCGTTTGGATTATATTCGGGACTCTCGCTCGCAACCTTCATTGCTGCCGAGACCACAACCCGAGTCGAACTTAAAGACTGGCTATGGCCTTCCGGCCAAGTAATCAATGCATGGTGGAGCGCTGTTGGGCGACCGATGCACGAAACCGGGATTTCCTTCTCCGACGCCTGGGCTAGCGTCAGCTGGACTCAGAAACTTCTCCTAGGTGGTGTGACTCTCTGGGGAGCGCGACTGTTCGCGCGAATCGCAAGCCGATCCCTTGCTCGTGGAAAGGACGATCCCCGATATGACGCAGTCAAGAAAGAGCCCGGGTTCTGGAAATCAGCGCTGTTCAAGATTTTCTTGCCGGAGGCCTTTGTCCTAAGTTTAATTTCACTGCCTATCACGATGCCGTTTTCGATGGGCGAGACCACGCTTCCACTGAGTTTGAATTCCCTGGGTACAGTCCGTGCTCTAGGTGTCGGGTTGTTCAGTGCTGGGTTTGCGTTAGAGGTCCTGGCCGACACACAACTTGAGCTACACCGCAGGGAACGGGACGATCTGTGTCGACATGGTATTTGGAGTGTTGTTCGCCATCCCAAGTGAGCTGCTTTATCGTAACCGAGTTCTATACCTTATACTAATGCCTGGTCAGTTACTTGGGTGACACCCTCGTCCATCTCTCATTTGCGGTTCTCAATCTTGCCGACTCGTTCAATCCTATCATGTTTCTTGGCCCCGTTGCTAATTATGCATTCCTTCGCTTTATTGGTGGCGACAAGCAGACCGAGGAGAGCCAGGAAGTGCGGTACCAAGTGAATGACCCGCACAAGTATCAGCAGTTGAAGCAATGGCGCCAAGAGAAGAACAGCTTCTGGCCTTCCGTGCGCGATTTGATAAACCCCTGGGCATTGGCGGTCGTTGGCTGTGGATTGATCGGCGTCGTCGTTGAGGAAATGTTGAGAACAACGTTTACTGCCTAACGCAGGACAAACCTCGGAGATGATTAAGGAAAATAGTGATCATATTCGCGCTACAAATTCATTCCAAACTCCTAATAATATTTGTCCTCTTGATAGGCATTTATTCGCAGTAGTCTCTTCTTCATCCTGTGCAGATTCGGTTTGGCCGTCCCTTGCCATCCTTCGCAGGTGCTCAGACACGAGGGGAGCATTGAGTGCCTCCAACCTCAGGCACCGACTAGATCGATGTGAAAACTTAAACGTGATAAAATTAAATTAATAATCTGCTTTTACCCATTCTAGACGTGGCTGATAGGGTGGAGTGGTCTGCACCCTCCATTTAGACACCTGCGACCCAGCAGTTCGTAGGTATAGAGCCCCCGCCGATGCGATATCCTATCCCCACACGGCACATTTAAACGTAAGTACTGGAAGAAAACGGTAGACGCGTTAAGAGGTGCCACTCCCGAACCACTGGGAAAACGATCGGGCTCCAATACAAACCATAGCCAGATCCGTGCTCCATCGGCGCGTGTGCAGCAAGCGAGATAGCGAATTGAAGAAACAGTGGCTCAAAAGCATTGCTCGCGTTCCAGCCCGTCTGAAGCGGGGTCGCTTGGCTGCACATGCATGTTACCTAGAATTATCCGATGCCGATCTTTGCTGTGGGCGGTGTCGAGTCGCGTCGCTGAGTACTCATCCCTGTATCACCTCCCCTGAAGAGTGCTTATTGAATTTCATCTACTCAGTACGTCCAAGTCTCAATGCAAGGAAAATTCGCAAGCTCACCCGGTTCACCTGGGCGACTTTCAGCTGCCCAAGAACGTTGAGGACATGGAATATAGCGCGATTGCCCCCCATCACAGATCGCGCATAACCGGGTCAATATGAAGAAAGAGCCGGGCCCATTTCCCAAAGTCAAGGTGCTGTTACGCTCTTCAGGGGAAAGTGACCACGGGGTGGATCTCACCCTTTCACAAATTATCTCAGTGAGTAGACCGGTCCCGAGGAAAAGGGAGAGCTTCATCTGCAAACACCTCTGAGAAAACGCCAAGGGCTGATCTAGATGGCGCCAAATGGCCTAAAGCGGAGTGCACCGATCCCTGATAATAAGAGTATGGCACTTTAGCAGTGAAGATGCCCGTCCCGTGCAAACCGCTCCGCCACCGCGGTTCAGCTGATCTCCAGACATCTGCATTGTACCAATCTCAGCGGAATGGATCTACTGTCTCATTGCCTGTCATCTGCAGGGCCTAGTTGACAAATCCGGGTGATTAGCCCCTTTAGAAGATGGAGCATCCCCCGACTCGGAGGATTCTTTCACTCCTGGCTGTAGCGTGGCATTGATCGACACCTTCTTGAGTCGCGATCCCAATCTTTGCAATCGGCCCCACCGTTCTTGACTGCTTCGCGCGAGCGCTCCGTGCAGATCCCCACCAGTCTCGACGCCACGACCGTATTCAACTCCCAATTCAGGGTCATCGCTTGTCGGCTTGCCCACAAACTTCAGCCCGCGTGCGCGGGTCACCGCTAGACACCCGCTCACGAAGCTTTCCGGCCTGTCACGATTCAGATGCTGCCGGCAATCTGCCAGACCCTGCACATTGAATCCACCCAGCTTGCCGCTTCTAGTATTCAACCACGCTCATCATGGCTTGCGACGTGCTGAAAACTGTTTTAGTTCTGCTTGAGGCGTCGGTCCAAAGTTACACTAAGCTCCATATCATCTGCACCTGGGCGGATATCACGCATGAGAAAATAGTGAGCAGTACAAGTTAGCCGGCTATTGATCACAGCTACAAATCTAGAAGCCCCCCCCCCCCCCCCCTGTTCGACGCATTTTAGACTTACGATCACACTCCCATCAAGTCTGGTGTCAGCCATACACACAAAATGCCGGAAGGATCGCACGACCGAAGCCTCTTGCGCCGGGTGATTGAGGCCGCCCTCTTCCGCGAGGATAACCACTACCCACCTATGGCTGCACACGCGGCCGCTGCCGCTGAGCGCAACGGTATTCCAGACCTGGAAGCAGCAAAGCGCTTCACCCTTCCGGTGAATGATCCGGATCACCTCATTCCGCCAAACGACAAGCTCTTGATCTTTCGCGCACTGACCGGCATCGACAGTGTGCCTGCTCTTACCTCGGGCGGCCATCTGCTTCGTACCGCTCCCAACGTCGGTATCTACACGCGTGTGGTAAACAATGAGACCAAGTCTGCGCGGGCCTTCCGTCTCTTCAACTGGATGATCAACATATGTCTCGGCATCCAAATTATCGTTGCGGCTGCAGTGACTGCCGTCGGAGCAGCCAGTGGCCCACACTCCGCCGTCACAGCCTTCGGTGCCATCAACACGATCATGGCCGGTATCCTGACCTACCTCCGTGGCTCCGGACTTCCAGACCGTCTGAAGGCCTACCAAAACAAGTGGAAGAATATCCGAGAGTACATCGAGCAACGCGAACGAGAATTTTGTTTGGTTGGCTGTGATCTCGACGTGCAAGAAGAGGTCTTCATTGTGGAGAGCATGTACCAGAGTGTCAAATCGGAAATGGAAACAACCAAGAGCACAGGCGATGCCAGGTCTCAGCAACCCGATGATCCACGTATCCGTCGTTCTCTCCTTCCTTCGTCACACCAACTTAGTGGACAGCGAGCTGCTATGACCCCGTCTAAACGAGCAGATGTCGTGTGTTCTCATCCCTCTCATGATGATGAACCTGTCAGTCCGGTCACTATTCCCGAGAAGACGGCGGAGAAGGTCTAGTCGCGCACGATGTCCCTGAACACATCAGCCACCCACGGTGGCCGGCTGGCCATTCGCCGTACATTAAGCATTGAACGTCTTATTTACGGCAGAAGCTCCGGGTTATGCCTCTACCCCTGCATCCAGGCGGCGTTTCTCGGGTCAAAACCTAAACATTTATGATGGCGACGGATTTCATATTTAATTTCATAATCTCATATTAACCATAATGTTATAATGTCAACAGCGTTTTTCCCCCCAATTTCGGATGTTCTTGCCGCGGAAATGTGCCCCGGGCGCTGATCATAGGTGACTTGCACCAATTTTGATTCAAAGTGGGACTCAAGCAATGACTCAGTCCAACTAGGTGCGAGAGAATCAAAAAGAAAATAATCAAGCAAGCCTTCTCAAGATAAACAGGACGCGAACCACAACTAGAACAAACAACCGCGAAATTGGGTCCACACAATCTCCAACCCAAACTTTCCGTCCCGCAGCCCGAATCTCGGCACCCGCGCACACCCGCGACGCACTTCAAGATTTGACACCAATCACCTCTACCTTAACCCACGCTTGCAACCACCCAACATGGCCTTTGAAGTAGAGCCAGCGCATACATCCGACGCACCACAAATGGCACGCGTCTTCCAAGCCGCCTTCTCGGACGCCTTCAACAGAAAAATGTTGCCGCCGACGGAGGATGTCAATGTCTGGGCCATTGAGAACGTGGCCGGCGGCGGCGGGGCGCAGCCCCACGAGGTGTTCTTGAAAATTTGTGATGATGAGGGTAGGGTTGCAGCATTTGCGAAATGGGTCCAGCCGGTGGATACAGATGATGGTCGACACGAAAACGATGACAACCAGGGTTCGTGGCCTGTCAGTGCCGATAAGGAGCTTTGTGAGGTGTTTTTTGGGACTATGAGTGAACATCACCGAGAGCTTATGGGGACAAGGAGGCATTATTGTATGCTTCCCTCTTTCACTCCCCTCTTATGACATACCTGCTATTCATACACTGCAGACCGATTCATACAGTGACCCGGATTTACGATGCATGGCTAATGCATGAACAGATCTCGAGATCCTTGCAGTTGACCCGGCTTATCAAGGGCGCGGGTTGGCGTCTAAGCTATTGAAATGGGGCCTTGCGAGGGCCGACGAGGAAGGCGTTGAGGTTTATCTTTCTAGTTCGCCGGAGGGGAGAAAGGTATATGAGAAGTATGGGTTTGAGAGCAGGCATGCTTTCTCGCCGTTCCCGGCTTACGAGCAGTTGAATATGATTCGGCCAATTCAGCGATGAGTTCGTTATCTCTGCTATTGGTGTTTTTCGCGGCCAGAGATTTCCATTATAGACCTTTCCTATAGACTCATTACTTTCACCCGCTTGGAGACATCTAGCTCATCAACGGGGCTCCCCGTCGTGATCTCATTATGCATCGTTCAACATTCAATGTTTCATTACACTCAGCCGATCGCAATTGTTCTTGAAATTCAAGGACAGTCCATGCTCCGCATGACAACTCATGCAGCCGCCACAGCCTGCGTCTCAATGGGCACGGCCAACCACGCACCGGCCAGCACAATCCAAAAAGCGCCACTGAACCAAACAGGCCCACCACCCGAGACAACCGAACCTTCAAACGTAGTAATGACATACGCAATCAATCCAAACACGCCCCAAAAGAACATCATCACACCAAGACCGAATCCACGAGTTTGCGTCGGAACAATCTCCACAGTGTAGACGGTGAGCGTGGCGAGGCCGGCATACTTCAGGAAACTAAGAATGCATTCGAAGGCCAGTGCAGCTTCACGGGATCGAGACACTGTCGCGAGAAGCATGAACAGTCCAGTGAGGATCGCAATCCCTGCACCGGTGCGTTTACGGCCAATACCCTTGACTTCGATGAGGAGAGCCGCGATCAAGGGCCCAGGAATGGCGCACAGAGCAATGTAGAGATAGCGACTATACAGGTATGGTCTGGTAACTGTGAGAGCGGTGACTTTGCTGACGCCGTAGGTTGCAAGATAATTCGAGATATAGGTTTCATGTAGAATGAAAGTGAGACCCATGGCCATCCATAGGAGAGCAAGGCATACAGTGCCTCCGAGACCAAGCGAAGAGACAAGAGACTTGGTTCGCGACTTGGTACGAAGCTCGTTCTCAGACGCATTGATTGTCGAATCAATCCGAGCAAAGGATGCCTCAGTGATCCAGATCTGGCGTTTATTGTAAAGAGCAATATCCTTGACCAGCTGGGTGACCTCTGCATCCCGACGACGCGCGAGCAGAAATTTGGGCGTTTCGTAGAATGAGAATACGAAGCGGCACAGATAGAGGAAAATAGTGATGCATCCGAAGGTCCACCAGACGTATCGCCAGCCTTTGTTGCTGACGTAGTGGCAGGATGAGCTGCTACTGCTGGACGATGAAGCGCTGCTTGAGTGGCCGAGTGCGCGCTTCTGACCCATTGATTGCGAGGTGCTCACTTCGTCAGGGCCAGTACCGCAGGTGTACAGCTCGATGAAGGCCCTATTGAACGTTATTATGGAAACCCTTCTTTCTGTGCTGCTCAGTTTTTGACTTACCAGCCAATAGCAGACGCGACCAACTGGCCAAGCCCCCAAAAGACACCTTGTAGCGCGACCATAAATTGATGTGATGCAGGCAGTGACTCTAGAAGAATCATCGCATCTACACTCTGGTTGCCGGCTACCGCAAAGCCAACAACGAATCCCACAACACAGAGTCCAGTGAACGAGGGCATACCAGCACCCACTAGTCCACCCATACCCATGAGAACAATCGTGCTCGTAAACATCCACTTCCGACCAAGTGTGTCCGACATCATGGGCCAAAGGGTTCCCCCCACAGTCAACCCGACGAACAAGCTAATGAAGAGGTAGTCATCATTATTGCCAGTGAAGAAGAATTGAGCTTCGTTTCCAGCTGATGGGGCAATTACCGAGAAGGACATCATCCAGAACTAATAAAAACATCAGTACCTCTCATCGAAATTGGACTAGGGAAGTGGTCACTCACACTGTCAAGGAACCACCCAACACCAGTCATTAGAAAAAGCAACCACTGATACCTCCCCATCCCAACATCCAACATAGCCGCATTAAGTAACTGAGCCTTAGCAGCAAAGACAGCATCTGTTCCAGCATGACTTTCAGGAGTTTTAATTTTCACTCCGAACATATTCTTGTGCTCTTTCTCTGGCCTGATTCCCGTCTTAGACGGACCACCTTTCTCAATATCATTCACAAGCGTAGAAGCAAAGGCACTTTGGGCCTCCAAATTCCGCGTCGGTGCAATCGAGTCGTCTTCGCTAGACATTATGAACGTAATGATAAGGGCCCACTACTCAGAGTCACGATAACCTCAGGTGGGGGGAGGCGGTTGTAGAGAGATGGGAAACCCCTGGAGTTCGACTCTACCGGGCGACCGGAGAGTGTCTTTATATAACGAGGTCGTCAGATAGCTTTGCCGTTTATTCCGGTATCTGATGCAAGTGAGAGGACTATCTGCATGTGTCAAGCCAAACGGCACGGTCTAGATGATGGATATGCTGCACTGTGCTTTGATGTCTTGAATTTAAATTGACCTAGTAGCTAGACCTACATAACCGAATGAAAATTCAATCGGTAGACGGAGCTCTCCGCGGAGATTCTTTCAAATTAACTAACAAAGATCATCAAAAACAGCTATCAAAACATGAGGAGTCGGATCAGGAGCCAAAACTCGGCCGCAGATCCACAGATGGGAAAATAACCACACGTTATTATCAATTGGACCGGGAGAGGTGATATGATTCGGTGGATGGAAGCTCGAGCATGAGAAGATGCTTTCTCCGAGGATGTGTGGGCGTTAGCTCCAAGCCAAGCCGGGTGTGGTATGCTCGTAGGAAAAAGATACAGCCGGGATGCCTTGCGATTGGATAACTTTTTGGAATGGCTTGGCGAACTTCGCTTGATGGGATTTGGCTCTATGTGGCTGTCCACGTAATGGTTTGGATCGGAAGGGCGTATATTGGCTGGTGGGGTGTGCAGCTCGAAGATTTTTCTCTAAGACTTTTCTCATACTATAGGATACTATAAGTGATTCACCTCATTGACATCTCCTTTCTGTCTATAGAATGGTGAGCCTCGATTTAAAAAAGATTGTTTGCTATCAAAACGAGAGAAGCCAAGAAATGCTATCTCCGAGACTCGGGCGACATTGCTGAATTGGGTAGCATTCCGGGGTGCTGTTGGCCGAATTGACCGGGATTCTCCCACCTGCCTTTTCGCACAGGCCTTCTGTCTTCAGAGAAGCATTTAATGAGAATAGTATGAGTGTCAAAGTCACTTGCAGATTTACCCCGTCCTACTCATAGTGCTCATGCCACGTATTGGAGATGTTGATTTCTCCCACATAAATAATTTTACAACAAATATTTACAACTCTTTAACTAACTCCTGAAATCAAAAAGTTGTATCATAAATCACTTGTGATCAGTTTCAATATTGTGATCTCCAAGAGATAAAACGCCTGCTGTGGGGTATGATTGCAAAAGCAATTATTCAGAAAATCAAACTTTACATAATCCACGGATCCGTCCCTATACTCGGCATCAAAGAATCCAAATCACTCCACTGCTCAATAGAATAAGCCATTTGAAACATCTCCTGCATCGGCATCACATAAGAAGGATCAAAAGCGGTAGCATCCGACATGAGATTATCAAGCCATTCCGATCCGATCTCAGTCGATTTCAAGTCCTCACCAGGCGCTCCGTCAATCCCATCAGGAGCTACAACTGAGCCTTGCGATGCTGAATAGGATTGCAAGAGGAAGTCTATTTTGGGAGCCAGGCCGCGCAGGATTCGGGCAGCACTAGTCGCGACAGCGAAGCACTTGCCGAACATGTCGAATATGGCAATTGACACATCGACAGCTCGCCGGGCTTCGGAGACTAACTCATTGTGTGGGTTCGCGAGGACGAAGCCGACGATAGTCATGGATGCGTTCCATTGCCATTGGAAAGACTCGTGCCAGCCAGTTAGGAGTGTTGTTGATGACAATGCTTGGTGTGTGATGCTGGTAAGTGTGATTGCGTGAAGAGCACATTTGGTGGCTAGCTCGCGAGTCAAAGCTGGCTGGCGTCCTGGAATAAAGGAGATAAAGGGGCGATACACATTTATGCATAGTGTATGGTATAGAAGTTCCAGGTTTAGGCGCTGGCGCTGGAGCCATTCGGGAGCGAATTGTTCAAACTCCATTTGAGAGCCGTCTGTTGAGAAGGTTGCGCCATTCCCTTGTCTTTTCGTCTTCAGTGAACTGGGCACTTCTTCTAGCCATTGGTCCACCTTGGACACCTGGGATTGCAGATACCTAGCGTGAGATTCAAGTGTCTCTGGGTTGTGCCAAATAGACTGGCCATCCGGAAGGTTCAACTCCTTGGAGTAGAAAGCCACATGAATCTCCTTAGCAATTGTGAAAAGCTTGACATTGTAAAAATGAAAACTGAGCCACGTCTTGTTTCCCCCAAGGGAAGCAAAACGGGATCCCGACTGCATGGCAGTGTCAGGTTTGTCATCAAGAAGCCTGGGTTCGGTAGATGACCTATGAAGAGTGAATGGACGTCCAAGTTTCATTCCAACTTTGGCATCCAATTGATATAAAGCCCACCATAAGCGCCTGCGCAGTTCACGCTCTGGTTCGGGCATTGACGATGGAGGATCCAGATGAAGCCCCGCAGTATAGGCAGCTCGGCTTGCACTACCGCAGGCATCTGCGGACATGTTTTGGAATGATCCATTGCACAGGTAGATAGCGCTTAGTAGGAAGCACTGCACAGTTGATACTGTTGGGCTTTCAAGGTAATAGTTTAGCATCATCTGGGCTCGTCTGAAATACCATCGGCCAGCAATGCTGGGGTCGCCGTCGGCGATAGGCTTTGGTTGCTCCGGCGTCAAGCGGGATACTCCATATTGCATGGACAGAGCGATGACAATGTCCACGAGCGCACATGGCTGCCTTGAATCTCCAGAGTCATTCCATAGAGAGCGATAGTGATCCATGAATTCGGTTTCATTGATTGCTGGGAATAGGCAAGTGTGATATGACTTCCAGAATAGCTCAAGAAAGTATTCCTCCTGTGTCGGACTCAGGAATTCCCCCGGGGGTAATGGAATTTCGGCTGAAAGAGCGGGGTGTGTCGAGTCCTCCGGGGTTTTCAAGGTTTCAAAGCCCAGCAAAGTGTTTGCAGTTCCATGAAGAACCATTTCTTTGGTCGAGCCAGACTGTGTCTGGTGAAGACTCGAGTCTAAGTAGCTATTCATACGCCCGATGAAGTAAAAGAGCGATGACGGCCCGTACCATGACGCATTCGGAGAGCGGGCGGTGCCTATCTCGATCCCTTCCCAAGGCTTCTGAGCCATAAGGTCACTTACACCTAACATTTTCTCTGATTGATTCTCCGGTGGCGAAGTATTTGTGCGACTAGACACATATGGAGAATCACCTAGCGAAGTTTGCCCGGGTGGACTCCATGAGGAACCCACGGTGGAGCTTGCTTGATACTGGGTTTTGTACCAGTCCAGCTCATTTTCTAGATCTCTGACACGTAGCTTGAGTCTCTCAGATTCTCTATATCAGTAATCTCGTTAATTCATCATAACACAAACCCGTCTTCGCGTATCCTCATACCTTAGCGCTTGTGGGAGCGTCTTCGTCTCATCCACGCCTGTCTGGGTACATGGCTCATCTCTTTGAATACAGGCTCTACATGGTCGCTGATTTTCGCACTTGGATCTTCTTGCGCGACACCAGTCGCATGCCCGAGAGACTTGCTTTCGAAGGGGTTTCACTCCGGCACCTGTGCCGGCTGAAGCCGGCTTGTTTCGTGGCGAAGGGGCATGCATGGGAAATCCAAGCCTATGCGCCGGCAGAAGTGATCTTTATTCCAACGGGTCATAGCCGTAGGCAATTGCGTCACATCTGGATAGCCCTTGTGGCCTGGAATTGTGCAGAGGGGAGTGTCAGGGTGTCTCAAAGGGGCCATCCGACCAGCCCCGCACGACTAAGCCTTATTAGGTAAGAACTTGCCCGACATCGTAGTAGGAAACGAACGTCCCCCTGATGGTTCCTTCATTAGAACCCGTCTCCTGGACCGCCTCTTTCTCGTAACTGTCCTGTCCTTCAATAGAACCGTCCTTGAGTTTCACTCTTTGAATCATGGCTTCATCAGAGCCACATAACATTTTCCTGATAACCGAACTCCTGGAACTGATCCTGCTCGAAACTGATATGCGCATTTTGCTCACATCCGCTCAAAGGGTCTGCCGCCAATGGTACCATCTGATCAAGAATTCGAGCGACTTACAGGCCGCCCTATTTTTCAAGCCCGTCGGATATAACCTACCACGCGGGACGCCGGGTATTCGCAACCCGTTAGTAGAGGAATGTATTTGGCCATGGTTTTGCGAAAGACAAGCGCGTTTACGGAGTCCACCCCCAGTAGAAGGAGGGGCGAAGATACCTCAGATCGATCCTCAGAGCGACGGACGCTTTCTCCAAAAAGGGGCAAGTTGGCAACAAATGTTATTTCAGCAACCTCCTCGATCGTGTATTGGATTTGTGGAGAAAGATGGAACGGATGTTAATGGTCCGGCATACACTGAAGTAAAAGTTCAACCGAAGGGAGACTATTTACGAATAGGCGACGTGGTCTTCCCTTGTTGTGGCCATCCTATTTCGTTCAATCTTCACCCTCTGCCTGAAGAAGGACTGATCTGGCACGGACATATTAGTTCAGAGGAAGAGAAGCAGCTTCTCTGGCATCTTAGTTTTATTCCAAGAGAAGACGAGCAGTATGGAGAAATCCCGGCGAGCCAGGTAGCCTACGCTACCTCAACATATCTGCGGGACTGTGATGTCGTGTTTTTCATTCTGGAATGCGCGCGTATCCGAGGGATTCCCATTGGCTATAGTTCTTCGTCGTTGAATTGGTGGCTCTATCATCTCGAAAAGAGTCTCGTGCCTGGGCATATTCTGATTCCTATGCCGGTGGCCTAGCTTTCTGAGAATGTTAAAATGAGATGAAGAGGCTAAAGTCAAAGAAGGGACTGAGCTTTGCTATACTTACAGTATTTTCTATATCTATTGCCTAACTAGGTTTGATCAACCGACAGAATTTGCTATATATCTCCCACTATATAATGTAAGCGAAAATATTGGGCAATTAATATAGTAATCACATCCATTCTATTCGTTAACGAATGTACTGGAATAAGGATAAAGATACAGATATGAATAACCACTATGCTGATTCGATAATACAGCCCCTAAAAAAGAAAATGGCGAGGTACAAACAAAATAGCAATGATAAGGATAAGGTTAACACGACGCACACAAAAGTAAGGCAGCACGACAACATCGCTACTTCGAGGCTAGCTGCGAAGGCAAGGCTATTTTCCTCATAGCCTCCTAGCAGCCTTGCATGGGGATGTCCTCGCCGGCCGAGCTACTGAATTGATGGCTCTGGGAGGTATTCTCCCGGGTATGTGTCGGAGATTGATTTGGCGCCAACTTCATTATCCGAAGAAGCATAGCAACTATGGTTTCGTCCTCTTTTTCGGTTTGACCCCAGATTAGGATCGTGGAACACCACTTTCAGATGGCAGAAAACAGTAATATCAATAGGTAACGAGGTACTCTTTGACTCACCTTGCTGCTATCGTTGACCTGGTAAAAGAAAAGCTTAATACAATCCGTAGCAATACCGTAGACAGTCGTGTCTTCCCTGCCACGCTCCTTACGGCCGGCATGGACAAGGCCTAGAAATTGCATTAGCGATGCTTCTGGTATAATGCGAATGACTCGCCCATGTATGCGAGCACCTGACGCTCGCCCTTGCCGATCTCATCGCTGGTCTTGGCTTCCACAATAACTAGGTTTGTCTCGACGTTCGCCTGCGCTCCGTACCAGAGCGCGTAGTCTGGACGGCCGCACAACATCTTCTTCTTAGCGTTCATCTTGATAACCACGTGAAATGGGGTCTCGTAACCCCAGGACACTGAATTTCCAAAGATTATTCGACGATCTTCTTTAGCCCATCCCAGGACCAAACCTAATAACATGTCGAGACGCGTATGCACCAGAGCCTCGCTTCTTGTGGAGTCATGATTGGCAAAATCCAGGTTTTGGAGGGCTTGGCCTAGTTTGATGGATGAGTAAACGTCATTTTTTGAAGAGAAAGGTGTACCCACAGAGGAGGTCGTAGAAGGCCTCAAAGTCTTCGGAATCTGGTACGTCTTTGGGATTAAAGGGCACTAGATTCCACTTGTCGCCTTTTTGCTCATTTTTTGGAGTCAACTTCTTGAGGCCGAAGATATTCTCGACGTCCTCGAGCGTCAAGTCACCCATAGCCACTGCAAGTAGGTTGCGGTCGCCCGTAGCTTCCGCCTCGATTTGCTCCAATGTCTGTTTCATCTCCTGAATCTCCGCTTGACTGACGTTGCTCGTGTGCGAAAGCCACTTGAGGCCTATTTTGATAAGCCTGACGACGTAGTTCCGTTGGGTCGTGGGATTCTTGTTACGGGCCATGTTGATGATTGAGGGTTCCAGAGACGCGTGAGGGGTGGAAGCGAGCTTTGGGCGAGGGGTTGAATGAAAGACGCGAGAGCACTGAGTGGTGAGAGTTTGAGGGCGAGTCGGGAATGAGGGGGTGGAGAGTAGCATTGAAGACAAAGATTACTCAGAAAACAGCAAAAATTGAAGGAATCAGGGAGTAGTAGAGTAATAAGACAGAGGAAATCAAAGAGCTCGGTGAAGATGGTTGGGGGAGGAAAGAAGGACAGAGCGGCCATATACACTCATTGGATGCCTGCGGCTCGGAAAATAGAGGAGACTGTCAAAGGCATGTCAGAATCTCTTAGCGCGGTCAGGTTTTTGGGGCTCGGGAATCGAGCATTGGCTTGGAATTATTGAAAAAGTCTGAGGAATATCTTGTGATTGAGTGTAGATAGTGATGTCCATTCAATGCTGGATGTGTCATGAAATTGCGTGCGATGTGAACTATTGACCTCTGGCAATTTCAAGTGTTTGCGGCCAAGTTGTCTATTCGTAGAATACAAAGTTATTTTCGGGTGATGTCAAACCCAAGTATTGCTGGCTCCTTCTGCTAACTAGTAGTTTTCAATTCAAGAATGCTTTCATGCTCTCAATCCATGTTCACTCAGTCATAGGATGAACGGCGTTAGGGTGCGCCTTCAAATATTCCTGGCTGAAGGGATAATCATTGTAACCTTCCCACTGCTTTTGGAGGTAAAAGGTTGGGCGGTTGTAGGGAGCAAGAGGAATACCTTGTTGAATCCTGAAAACCAAGTCCGGATTTGAAATGAAGTAGCGACCAAAGGCAACCATCACATCCCAATTTTTATAATGTGTCTCTACTGCTCGAGCAGCGGATTCAGGCTGATAGCCACCTGCCACCATGACTGGCGAGTAATTGTCCCATACTTCAAGGATGAAGTCTAGTGTCTTGCCAATATTTATCGCTTTTTCGCCTCGGACCAAGGCCCCGGGATCGCCGGTCGCCTCAACCAGAGACAGGTAGGCGAACTTGAATTTCATCTTTTTGAGCTCCGCGATGAGATGAGTGTACAGCTCAACAGAGTCTGTCTTCTCGGAACCTTGAAAGCCGGCGTAGGGAGAGAAACGAATGGCTACCCTCTCTGCTCCGATAGCCTTGACGACCGCCTTGGCGACTTCAAGTGTCAATCTGGATCTATTCTCGATGGATCCGCCCCACTTATCCGTGCGCTGGTTGACACTAGATGTGAGAAACTGATCGAGCAGATACCCGTGAGCAGAGTGGATCTCAACTCCATCTGCACCAGCAGCGATGGCACGCTTAGCAGTCTCAACAAAATTTTGAATGGTCTCTAATATCTCATCCTCGGTCAGAGCAGTGGGTGTAACACCAACACCCCTCATGGGCACCGCACTGCTAGACCTGTATGGCAAACCCCGCTCAGTGAGATGCCCTGGATCAGATGCTCTTCCCATGCCCCAGATTTGCTGGAAATAGAAAGAGCCATTGGCGTGGACGGCATCAATGATCTTGCTCCAGGCCTTGACCTGGCTATCACTCACAAAGCCCGGGTTGTTGGCTTGGCCTTCCTCGATATGAGAAATGGCTGTTGCTTCAGAGATGACAAGTGTTCCGGGAACAGAGCCACGATCGGCATAATATTTCTCCATTAAAGGAAGGGGGGTGTGATCATCGTCATTGCGAAGTCTTGTCAAGGGAGGAAAGGCGATTCGGTTCTGCAGTGTAACGTTGCCGACCTTTAATGGTTTGAAGAGTCGGGTCTCGGAGGGCACATATTCGCTAACAACGTGGGGACTCATTTTGATTGTAGGTCTTAAGATCCTTCTTGGAAATATAGCAGTCTTGGAAAGAAAGGAATGAGAAGCTAGGAAGCCGGGAATCAGATAGAAAGTCCGGTCTATTGTCAAATGGCGGCTAGGAGGGTCTTTTCGATGTCGTGGAATATGCTGGAAGGAAATACTCTATCGCTAAATAATTATTCTCGGGCCAAATGCCACCAAAAAATCAGAATGTCTCCGAAAAGTTATCAATCAGTGTAAACTGAATGGGAAACCGGAGTTTCGGAGCTGGAGGAGCCATTATTGAATGGCTCACCAACAAAGCCCCACCTCTCCGAAACTCCGCGACTCCGCGGCTCCGAAACTCCGCCTTTACGTTGAACCTCTGAAACGTTCACATTCTGTGCTGACTGCGGAATCTGGAACGCTGGCACCGGCTCCCTAGTGCTTACGAACAGGTCAGCTCCGTCTACTCCAGGATATGGCCCCACCTAGACGTCCACAGGTGCATGGTTGCGTGTGGAGCTCCGGAGAACATGATGACACTCTGCTCTTTGGCTCTTCCAGAGCTTTGTATAAATAGATAAACATTTCTATAGCATATATATTCCTCATCACACAGCATCTTCCAAAGCATCTAAAGCATCAGCCTCAAAAGCAAAAAAACGTCCACTTTAATATCTACTTCCATCTTTCAAGTGACGTCCTCCAGTTTTCAATACTTCACCAACCAACTCAGCCAAAATGCCTGCTCGTAAAGCCCTCATCTCCATTACCTCCGCCAGCGCCACTCTCTTTGATGGCAAGGAGACAACCGGCCTTTTCATCATCGAAGCCCTGCACCCATACAAGGCTCTCGTCGCTGCAGGTTTCGAAGTTGACCTCGCCTCCGAAACAGGCAGCTACACTGCTGACTGGCTCTCCCAGCAGCCAGACTTCTTGAATGGCGAAGACCTGGAGATCTGGAACAACCTCAATAGTGAGTTCCGCAAGAAGCTCGACAACATGCCCAAGGCTTCCGAGCTCGACGGATCCAAGTATGGCTTGTTCTTCGCTTCCGCCGGCCATGCTTCTCTGATTGACTACCCCACTGCCAGTGCTTTGCAGAACATTGCTGAGCAGGTCTGGGCCAATGGGGGCGTCGTTGCCTCCGTCTGCCATGGTCCTGCGATCTTTACCAACATGCTTGACCGGGCCACTGGAGAGCCGATTATTCGGGGAAAGAAGATTACCGGTTTTACGACCGAGGCGGAGAACACCATGGGAATTATGAATGAGCTGAGGGGATTCGGATCTGAGATGGTGGAGGAACTTGCTGAGCGCCTTGGTGCTAGGTGTCAGTCACTACCAAATCCCACAATAATTACCTTGTACTAACATTGCTTATAGATGAGCGATCCGCTGGAATCTGGGATGATTTCCATGTTGTTGATGGTCGACTCGTCACTGGTCAGAACCCTGCCAGTTCCACCTCTACTACCAAGGCCGCTATCGAAGTATTCGAGAAGCTCTAGATACTGCAGAGCGAATGTGGGCCATCATAAAAGATATATTTAAAGTGGATGTTTCACCGTTTCACGTTTTTACCTGATTGTTTTCTTGGCCTCCAGTAATGATTTTGTGGATTTAGAAATAGAACATGCATGCTGTTTTCTCTATATCATCACTCAATGATTCCTTCTATCATTTTGTCTAGTCATTTCAAGGCCGTCAACTAAAGCTTAGCCCTGCTCTTACCAGTATAGCTACTAGCAATCTCCAGCCAATCCCTCGGGAAAGTAGACTTTTCCTTCCCAGCGAGCCTATACCATTCCCCCGCCATTTTCTCCTCACTATCCTTCCACATCCTCACCTCCCTCTGAATCCAGGCTCCCAAAATTCGCGACGTCGCTGCAACGCTCTCCAATGGTACATTGTGATTGCAACCCTCCATAACCTCATGCCGGACTTGCCCAGATTCCAATCCCCCGTTTCCACCATACTCCGTCCCAGTAACTTTCGCCGCCTTCGTATGCGACCCATCTTTGTATAACGGACTCTTTGAGCCACTGATATAACACACCGAAGGCGCAAGATGTGGAACCATCTTAAAGGCAAGAATAGGCTCCGCCCGAGTCATCTGCCTCTCCGGAAGCGCCTTGATAATCTCCTTATCAAGAACCTCCCCAGGCATGACAACAGGGGTTTGTTTCCGGTAATTCATATACGTGTACATCATAGTTTCTTGGTGTTTTGTAGTCGTCAATGTCACGGCGCCTGGCTCTGTCGGGGTTGGATAGATGGCCGTGGGGAGAACACGGTATCCGAATTCAGTCCATCGCGCGAAAACCCGTGGGTCCCAGTTTTTGAAGGCATGGCGGGCTTTCGTGCAAGCTTCTTTTCTGAAGGGCCATTGGTCGCGGCGGAATGTGGCTTTGGCGAGCATCTCGGGCCCGTTTCCTGCTATTGGGTTGTTTTTCACGTATGGTTCGATTAGGACGAGAGAGGTGAAGAGGCGGGGGTGGTAGATTGAGGCGAATATTCTAAAAAAATGTTAAGAATTATAAATGGATAATGGGGGCGGAATGTAAGCCTGGGGGCGCTTGAACACGTACAGCTGCGTCGCTCCGAGACTATGTCCTACGCCCATGATAGGCTGGGGCATGTCGTCCCGAAAATGATTAATCATCTGGATCAGATCACGGCCATGGTCGAACCAGGAGGCTAGAATTGTCAGTGCTGAAATTCAAAAGCTATTAGGCTTACTCGCTGTCATTCCCTAACTGCTCCTCATTGAGAATGCCACTGGCACCCTGGTTGGTGGAGTCCGCGATCCAGATGGCGCGAATGCGAAAACCTTTTCCTTTGGAGCAAGCCAGTAATTCTTCCCAGAGGGGCTCATATAGTTCCTGGTCTATTGTTAGAATTTTGCATATGACGATGATGTGAGAGAGTGAACCTTAAGAAGGCTGGTGCCGTGTGTAGCAACGATAGTGACATCTCCAGGCTGGGGTTTGGGGTTATCGATAGGCGTGTATTTCTTGACGCAGAGCTTTAATGTGGGGTTCAGAGTAGCTGTTGCGCGAGGGGAGTCTCGGACATACTGAGCATCAATGACATGCTTGGTGATATGGAAGGGGAAGCTCATTGTCGAAGGTTGGCAATAAAGAAAGATAGATTAAGAATACAAAAAACAACTTGCGCAGGTTTGGGAAGAATTTGATGCAATTGGAAACTATCTCTTTGCGGTAATCTGCTAATGTCGATCCGATCGCTTATCGTGTACCTGGTCGCCGAATAATAAGCCATAAGTTCGTCACTTCGAAGCCCCGGTGGGTCTGCGCTGCTGGCGATGAATGGCGGTAAGGACATCGCCCAGCTCCCTGTTCTAGCCTTTGACTTGAATCTTGCAAGACCCACTATGATGAATTATTGGTAGATCGGGCCAGGGTGAAGCACCGATCTTCGTGCTCTGGGACTCAGCTGAGAACTGCCCCTTGATTCATGGGCGCCACCTACCCTTGACGTTCTGGTAGCAGGGATCCCATTGATTGCCAGGATTATCATCTCGCACGGGTATCATCGGGGACTGGTGATTGTGTGGATCCAGATTACCTGGCGCGATGAAGGCGAGCTAGACAAAGCCCTTGTTGATACACCGTGGGAAATTCCCGAAAAAGATCCTGATCTGCGCGAAGTGCGCGCATTTAGAGTTTGATAAGGACCCAGTTCAGAGTCGGAAAAAGAGGCGCGAGATTGACCGAACCGATCGCCCCACCATAAGTCTTGCGACATGATGATGTGGTTGGCGTCAAGCCATTTGTACTTCGTCAACCGGTGTTCTTACTTCAAAGTAGTCAACATCGCTTCAGGTCGGGTTATAGGAGGCCTCAGTTGCATTGGTCACGATTCTTTGAGAGACGTTGTCTTATAAGGCGAGGCTTCAATGCTTGCCATCTAGGGAGGTGAATTGGTATCTTAATCAATACTTGAGCCGCATTGGGTCTTCCTTTAGGGGCTGTTGACATGGTTCCTAGAACTGCTCAGTCTCCGCTACTGATCAAAAGTGATCAAGATGCAGACTTTCAAAGAATCAAGCTGCCTATATCAAATGTTCTCTAGATGTAGCCGCACGGTTGCTTACAAATTCCGCGATGCGACACCAACCAGGGAGGGTCCACTTGTAGATGAGGGGAAGTGATTGAGAGACGAAGACATAGCTTCTATGTCAAGATTTACGTCGTTTCGCATCATCTATCATCTTTCAATTTAAAATATTGAAGAAAGAGAGTTTCACAGCTTATCGCGAGGAACAGTCAGGAACGGTCCTCTATTAACGAACTCTCTTCCCAGCCACGACCTCTGACGTCGACCCACCCACACTTCAGTTTCACCTTTATTCAAGTCAACTGGTCGTAGAGTCCAAAGTCGAAGCAAAATGACTAAAGTCTTCATGTAAGTAGGAATACTATTCATGGTTAAAAGCAACACATCTAACTTCACCACAGCACTGGTATCACAGGATACATTGGCGGAGATGCCACAGCCACTCTCGTCGCCAAGCATCCTGAATTCACCTACTCTGCACTTGTTCGCAGCACCGAAAAAGCAGAGCAAGTCAAAGCCCAATACCCAAACATACGGGTCGTAATCGGCGATCTCGATGATTCAGCCCTGCTCGAGCGGGAAAGTGCTGCCGCAGACATCGTCCTACGTAGGAAACCAGCACCCGGAACGACCACACCAGCTAACAACTTTCGCAGACACGGCAGATGCCTCTGACCATGCAGACGCTGCAAAAGCCATAGCCACCGGTCTAGTCGCAGGCCATAGCAAAAAGAACCCAGGCTATTGGTTACACACGGGAGGGACAGGAATTCTGACCTTCGAGGACAGCGACAGGAACGAATTTGGCAATCACAGTTACAAGGTGTACGATGACTGGAGCGGGGTCGAGGAACTGCTCAACCTCCCCGATCATGCTTTCCATCGTAATGTGGACCAGCTCGTGCTGGAGGCCGGAACAACGCATGCGGACGTGCTTAAAACCGCTCTGGTTTGCCCGCCTACTATCTACGGTAATCCCTGATTCCACTCGTCTGAAATGGCGACGCAGTGTTTTGACTGAAAAATATAGGTCGCGGCCGAGGACCATGCTCTCAGCGCGGTCGCCAGGTCTACGAGCTCGCCAACGTAACTCTCCGACTCCAAAAAGGACCCATTATCGGAGCAGGCAGATCCATCTGGAACAACGTCCACATCCACGACCTGAGCGACGTGTACCTACTACTCGTGGACGCCGCGATTGCAGGCCGGACTGATGACGGCCTATGGGGATCCAAGGCCTACTACCTCACCGAGAATGGTGAGCACGTCTGGGGTGAACTAGCCAAATCTACAGCAGAAGCAGCCACGAAGCTGGGGTACCTCCCTGAAGCCAAGGCCGAATCTATCGATCTAGAGAGCGCCAAGAAATATGCCGGCTTCGAGTCACTGAGCTGGGGCATGAATTCGCGCGGTCGCGCGCAACGAGCTCGTAAGATCCTGGGATGGAAGCCTCATCGGCCCAGTCTGCTGGAAGAACTGCCTACCGTGGTTCGCAGCGAGTCTGAGCGCATGTAGTAGGTAGATTCCAGGTTCAAAGCTTGCGACCATGTGGGACGGCACACTGCGTTCGAAAATCGCGCTAGAAGGTGCGGTGGGTGAGTCTTATATCCCGGACTTGTTAATCTCATCCGGACAGCTAGAACTAAGCATCGATTTGCAATATGACTTATTGTTCCGATGCCACCAATCGATCCTTTTTTTTTTCTATGCAAGGCATACACGTTTTGAGCCGCGTCAGTGGGACAATCTACACTGCAGGCATTGACAATTCCAAGCCCCGTCGGAAGAATAAAATCGGGCTGTCCCATGCCAAACCCGACCGGTAGCCTCCCGCAGGAGTCATGGACAGGGGTTAAGCCGAGCACCGGCTGACTGGCGGCGTCGGGGTTGAATTGGGCCGATTCTTGGCATTTTTTGGCGCGGCGTTGGGATCGTGATCATTTTAGAGAGTGGTTGTTCAAACCCTACTTTGTGGTCGCGGAGCAATTGTTGGCCCTATTCTAAATATGATGATAATTCTGTGCCCGTATGGGGTGTGAGTGTTCTTTCATATAACTTTAAGTTAGAAACGGTTTTTTCCTAAATGTCTCGTTTACGGCAGCTCAGACTATTCCCCAACTTGACTTTTCCAGACCACGCCGTTAATTGCAATGGCATCTAATATTCCTTCACAAGGTTCCGAGAAGCCAGGGCCGCTTCGTTCCGCTGGTAGCAGGCCGTCATCCACCTTGACAGTTGATGAGAAAGATGAAAAGTATGTTCTGGGACGCAGGGGCATCCTCGTCGTTTTTACACTATGTGTCCTTACACTGATGGCTGCTCTTGATGGGACTTCACTATCCGTAGCCCTGCCAGTAAGCTGGCCTTCAATCGCCTAGCATGCCATTATTGACCCATGAAGACTATAGCGCAAGATCTAAATGGAACAGCCATCGAAGCCTTCTGGAGCGGTACCTCATTCCTACTTAGTTCAACAGGTACGTCACCCATCAACAAAATACAGGTCTTGGCTAACAAGAGGAAAACAGTATTTCAACCAAGCTTCGCATCACTATCCAATATATTCGGCCGCAGACCAATGGTCCTTTTCGCCTTGGTCTTCTTCAGCGTCGGCGCCATAGTCTGCGCAGTTGCAAAGAACTTCACCTACATGCTAATTGGCCGATCCATCCAAGGTATCGGCGGCGGCGGACTCATCGCTTTGAGCGAAGTCATCATCACCGATCTAATCCCACTACGCTGGCGCGGTCAATATTTCGGTATTCTGAGCGCGATGTGGAGTGTTGGATCCGTTACCGGTCCTATCCTTGGTGGTGGCTTCGCGGAGAGCGTGAACTGGGTACGTCTAACAATACCATATCAAGCGCGGAACTAATTCTTATAGCGGTGGATCTTTTATATCAATTTCCCTTTCATTGGACTCGGCGCTCTTTTCGTTATCGTCTTTTTGAATCTGAACACTATCCCCAGTTCGCTGGTTGAGAAACTTCGGAAAATCGACTACATCGGCACAGTCATCTTTGTCGGCAGTCTTTCATCCTTCTTGATCCCTTTGAGTTGGGGTGGGGTCTCATACCCATGGAGCTCGTGGCATACACTCGTCCCTTTGATCGTGGGTGCTGTGGGACTCATGGTTTTTGCATACTACGAGCACCGTTTTGCAGCCGATCCGATTATCCCGCCTGTCATTTTCCAGAATCGCACAGCCATAGCCTCATTTATCGGCAGTGTACTACAGGGCCTGGTTCTTTGGTGTGCACTTTATTATCTTCCACTATACTACGAAGCTGTGAAGGAGTATAGTCCTATTCTGTCGGGAGTAGCCCTGTTCCCGGAGACCTTTACAGTTGCGCCTAGTGGGATGGTCGCGGGTATTCTAATCTCTCTCACTGGTCACTATCGCTGGGCTATTTGGCTCGGATGGACTCTTTCCACTATCGGTCTTGGCTTGATGTGTCTTATCAAGCCGGATACTAGCGTTGCGGGCTGGATATTCCTCAACCTGGTTAGTGGTCTGGGGCTGGGTCTTCTTTTCCCTTCTCTGGGTTATGCTGTGCAGGCATCAGCTAAGCCGAAGAATCTTGCCATTGCTGTCGCTATGTTTAGTTTCTTCCGTGCTTTGGGACAGGCGATCGGAGTTGCGGTGGGTGGTGTGGTCTTCCAGAACCAGATGTACAAGAACCTGCTCAAGTATCCGGCGCTCGCTCCGATGGCTAGCTCTTACAGTCAGGACGCTGCTGGCCTCGTCCAGGTCATCAAGGCGATGGCTGAGGGTGCAGACAAAGCACACTTGAAGGATGCCTATACCGACAGCCTGAGAATTGTTTGGGCAGTTTGCTGTGCAATTTCTGGGGTGGCTCTTCTGGTCAGCCTGTTGACTGAATCTTATGATCTGGATCAGACATTGGAAACCAACCAAGGCCTTCGTGGACCAGATGACGAGCTCTCCGAGAAAGATCTGGAGGCAAAGGCCGAACGTGATATTGAAACGGCCACTCCTATGGCGTGGTAGTGAGACCGGTGCAGCTGGGCCTATGAGCCGTAACGATTGACGAGTCTAGAATGTACAGTGTAGTTTATCTTCAACTAATGGCAATCCCCTCACATATACTCTGGTCTATACCCCTTAACCTCCCGCTCATTCTCTTCGTCATCTTCCACCATATAACCAACACCCCGAATCAATGTTTTGATTCCCTCGCCTCTCTTCGTCTTCTCCCAAGCCTCAACCGTCTTCTCAAATGGAAAAACCTTGGTGATTAATGACTTCAACTCAATCTTCCTCGTAAAGGCCAACTCCAGCGCCATCTTATAATCTCCCGGTCCATACCGGAAACACCCCTTTACATTAATCTCATTCTCCGAGACCGTCGAAATCGGAAAACTGACATTCCGCTGCCCAAGCCCCGTCTGCACAAACGAGCCCCCGACCCTAAGCGCATGGATAGCCATCTGGATGCAGGATTCCGCACCCGTAGCCTCAATAGCAACATCAAACCCTGAAACATCCGTCTCAGTAATATGCGCATTGCGATGCATCCCCCTCAAACACTGAGCATTCTCCTCGGGCGAGAGACTATGCGTCGGAATCGCCGTCGAAAAGGACAACCTCCCATTCGGTATAAATGAATGCGCAAAATCCAATTTGTCGCGACTAATGTCCACCGAGGTAATCACACTAGCCCCAAACTCCCTCGCGACAGCCGCACATAGCAATCCGACTGTCCCCGCGCCAAAAACAACAACCTTATCACCAGGCTGGACACCAACCTGTCTCACGGAATGCACAGCAACAGACAATGGCTCAACGAGAACAGCTTCATCGAGCCCAAAAGACCGACCCACACTAGTGGGGATCTTGTAGCAGCAGTCAGCGGGCATCTTGAAATACTTGCACAGCGCACCGTGGTTAGGTGGACTAGCGGCGAACTCCATTTGCGGGCACAGGTTGTACTTCCCCAACTTGCAGCGGCTACAGAGTCGGCATGCACGGCCGGGCTCGATGGCGACTTGGTCACCCGGTTGCAGGGTTGAGACAGCGGGGCCGACACTGTGCACGATTCCCGAAGCCTCGTGGCCCATGACCAGGGGGTTTGAAGGGGAGACGAATCGCTTAACACCTCCGTGAGTCCAGAAATGGACCTGGTTGGGCTAATCGTTAGTGCTTGTTGGTTTTTTGGGGGCTAAGGTAGGAAACACGTACGTCACTTCCACAGACGCCGACGTAGGCGATGCGGATGATCACGTCGTAGGGATCTTCGATCAGAGGGAGGGGTCGGTCCTCGAAACGGGCGTCTCCTGGGCCATAAAGTAGACATGCTGGGTTCTGCATCTCCGGTGTACTGGAGTTTACAGTTTGGAGCCAGGTGTCTACTGATGTTGGGGTCATCAACACTGATTGACTTTGTAGGTAACGGTTGAATCGATTATATGATTGGAGGTTGAAGATTGGACTGGGAGCAAAAGGTACAGAAATAGGCTTTCGAGTCTATCCAGGTGTGAACTCGGAAGAGGGGAATCCGAGTGATGGGGTGACGGTACGTCGGGGAACAGGTGGGGAAGAACCCCACTATGGCTGCTGACCCCAGACATAGGATACAAGGCTGAGGTACGACGAGAAAGAAGGTGAAAGAAGACTTGAAATCACTATAAAATGCCCACCGAAGATCCAGTTAAACTCCATCCGAAACTCAACACAGGGGGTCGTAACATCATTAGGGTGGAAAAAGCAAAAGTAGACTGGCAGATCATATCATTCACGGCCCAGAACACGCAATCGCTCCTTGATCAGATCCATCTCTTTATCCACATTCATCGCGGCCCTCTTCTCCACTTTTTCGCGGTCTCCTTCCTTCAACAAAACCGATCGGTACTCCCCATCACCATCGGGGGCACCGACAGTCACCCAGACGAATTTAGTCCCGTGGCTTCCGGTCTGTGAACGTTCCTGGACGCCCTGCCAGAACATCTCAGGCGGCACGGACCCATCAGCAGTGGTATAGTTGGTCAAAGGACGACCACCAAGCCGACCATGCTTAATCCACCCTTTCAGAACATCCTTGATGAAGCTAATCTTTTGGACGAATGAATTGGCATCGAGGATTTCGCGAATTCGATCCTCAACCGAGTTGGCAGAGTCGCCGTTGGCAATGTTGAGGAATGTCGCTGCTTCATCCGAGGCAACTGCACGAGTGTCAAATCCGGAGGGATGCATTTTGCCCTTGGCGGAGAAGTAGCGGGCAGCCGAAGGCGAAAGGTGGTAGAAGTCAACCCAGGGTGAGGAACTGCGAGTACGACCGGGCGAGATGACGAGCTTGGTGTGATCGGGGAAGTTGAACTGGAAGGCACCATCGCCGAAGCCCCAGATGCCAACGTTACCAAGTCGCTGGTAGAACTTGATGAACTGACCGTTTGTATGGGCGGAGACTTCATCATTAAGACCTTCATCCCCATGGCGACCAAGGGATCCAATCATGTATTTGCCGAACTGGTCGACCAACTTGATGCGTTTAATCTTCTCGGCGTCTGCTCGGTCAACGTCAGAGCCGCCGCTTACGCGCAGCTTCATGACTCTGGCGCTCTTGGCGTCAAATAGAGATGGGGAGACGTAGGACCTGCGGATGCCACGACATCCTAGGAGATCATCGTCGTGATTTTCGTAGAATTCCACGGGGTTGCCATTGCGAGGAATCAGCTGGTCTGCCTCGGAGTACGGGATGCCCTTTCCTTCTTCGCTGTCCACACTGCGCGCCTTGCGACGAATGTGTTTCTCACCATCGCGGACCAGGACGCTCGTCGCTGGTTGACCGTTCTCTCCTCGGAAAACACATCCCACGCTGCCATCGTCGAGGACATAACCAATGCCGTAGCGGTTGGTGTAGTCCACCCACTTGATGACATACGCGTGTGGTTGTTTTCTCGAGCTACCACGACGTCGCACCGGAGCGTGGCTAACCAGGTTGGACAACATGAGACGAATATCCGTGTTGACATCGTTGAGAGATGTTCCAGGCAGGAGCTCGCAGAGATCTTCTTGATGGAAAAGGGGACTCAAGCCAAGGCTGGAACGAGCCCTCTGTGATCCTGTCTTGCTGTTTGAGCGGGTGAGACCTTGGGAACTAGACTTAGAGCTCTGGCTTGACGCTGAGGCCGATTCCATCGGAGTTTCCCTTGGCCGCTCAGCCCTTTCTGCAGCAATCCTTGGGTCTTGCCGCGTTAATGATCGTAAAGATGGCTGGCGAGCCATCTGTCTCGGATCTTCCGGTCGAGAAGATGAGAGAGATTCAGGGATAGAAGGAAATGGTCCTTGTCCAGCCGCCTCTAGTCTTCGGGATTGCGATCGAGTTTTGCCATACGTGAGACCAGACGGCACGCTAGTAGACTTTGTCAATTGAGGCGCCATAGTCTCACGCAAAGTGGGGGCATTAGAAGCGGAAACCATTCTGCGAGTACGGATAGGGCGTTCGGCCAGGCCGCCCGAAGGTGCGTCGGTGGCAGCTGGCAAAGGTTCGGATTCTCTGGGGTCGCGGTATGGTCGTGAGGAAGGCTCGGGCATTCCAGAAGCTTTGCGAACAGAGTCCATTCCTGGTCGTGCCTGTTGCCGAAGTGTCGCGGCATGGTTCTGTCCCTCCATCCTCCGTTGTTGTGCGGCCGCAAGCGCTGCATTGGTCCTGGTTGTTGCTATGGGGTTGGGACGAGAAGAAACGCTGCGTTTGGATAAAATGCTACTATCGAGGGCAGAGTCTTCTGTGCGAATTGTCTTCCTTGAGGTGTCCATCAAGCACCAGTCGCCGTCGTAATCATGTGGCCATCGATATACAAAGTCATCTGGCAGAGGAACAATCGGATGCAGGCCTCTGGAATCCTCGGCTTCGCATTCGGAGTACGCTGATTTCGAGCAGTTCTTACCCACAGACTTCCGAGCTGTCCCATCAGGCTTTCGTCCTACACCACACAAGGAATAAAAGGCGGCCTTGCAAGAATGGTATCTTTGGCTCGGATCATCCACTTGATACACATAGGCGCGTAACTTCTCATCCGAGTCCAAACCGTAACCCCGAATCATCGCATCACCACGAGGCGAGGTATCCTTCAGCCAGATCGGTTTGTTGAAGCGACAGGCGGGATCCAGTTGGCGAGGGATGCAGCCATCATACATGTTGAAGAATTGATGCTCGACAATGTCGTCAGGATCAGGTCGTTCTTCATCCACAAGGTTCAGACAGGCGCTAACGAGGTCTTTCGCCTCCTCTGGTATGTAATTGTTTTGTTCGGACTCCTTAGGCCAGACATAGGTGAGGCTTCGTACTTTCTTGTAAATCTCTTCTTGGGTTTTCGATTGGAACGGCGGATATCCAGTTAACATCGCAAAGCTAATAGAACAATTAGCATAACGCACTCCAGTAAAGCGGAGCAACGGTCTTACCAAATAACGCCGAGAGACCAAATATCGACTTTTTGGGTGTGTCCACCTTTGCTCTTGTCAAGTACTTCTGGCGCAATATAATTGGGCGTTCCACATAACGTGTTCCGTCGCTTTGCATCCTTGTCGGATAGAATGATTGCAGCTAGTCCAAAGTCTCCAACCTTGAGGTTCATGTTGTGGTCCAGGAACAGGTTTCCCATCTTCAAGTCGCGGTGGGCCACGAACCGTTTGTGTAGGTACTTGACAGCTGCACAGAGCTGGATCATGAATCTGCGCACCTCTGGCAAGGTAAGGCACCTTCGCTTTCGAACCATGTCCATCACTGAGCCGTTCGGGCATAGCTCGAGAACAACGTAAGTGCTTTGGCCGAATGCGAATGCGCGGAAGAATTGAACAATAAAGGGGTGTCGCATCTTGGAATGGATTTGAAGCTCCGTTCGGAACTGCATTGTGATTAGCGCGCTGCTTTTCGAATGCTTTTTCGCAGCTCACTCACCTTCTCCTCCATCTTTTTCTGTGGCATTTGCGACTTCACAACTTTCATTGCGAATACACGGTTATTGCGCGCTAGCGTACCCTCGTAGCATACAGCGAATCCTCCCTTCCCCAAGAAGCCGCCAATTGCGTACCGCTCTGACCCATCCTCCGGCTCGGTGACTATTGACGGCGGCGGGTCGGCATGGTTCTTCGATGTTGAGGTTTTTGGCGCAGCGCCAGCAGCATGTTTGTCGTGTCTGTCGCCCATTTTCTTATCCATTACAGGCTTGGGTTTCATCATCTGATTTGTGCTGCGCGGTGACAGGGCCTCCATTATTAATCGGATCGACTTTTTCGCGGTCGGCGAGGAAATTAGGATAGTCGCAATATGTCTCGGGTATCACAATCTCGCAAAGGGATATCAGGCGTAAAGGTCATGAATAAATCAAAATATTAATCGATCGTGCAAACGGGGGTATCAAGATGCGGCAAGATTGGGATCCCTGTAGCGATCGGATGGTTAGTACTGCACTCCCGGGCAAACCGAGTCCGCGATGACAATTAAAAGTAGGGACGGAACACACCAAAATCCAAAGCGCTGAAGAAGCAAAAACTGTACAAAGCTCGCACAAATCGACAGGGCGCAACTCGACCGGGAGTTGTAGTGGCGAAGAAGCTAAAGTGAAGAGTCGGGCCATAATAGTTTTCCTGATTGGGAAATCGATAAACAGTGGTTGCTAAGTCACCTGATCATCTTTCATCACGTGTCACGTTACCGGTTTTTGCATCCTATATTTTCAATTTTGCTTGTTTTCAATGACTATTTGAAGACATCCTCTGTGAGATCATCTTTTTTGTTGTCATGGTCAAAAGCGGGATTTGAATACTTGAGTAGAGTTGATGGTTCGACTTCAAATGTGATTTGGCGTTCCTACCTGGATTGTATATTTCACATCGCCCGTATTGATTGCCTTGGTGTTTTTCGACAAAGACGTACCCATTAAAATAGGTCAAAAAAGGGGGTTGAAAAAGGACAATTGTCGACTCTATGTATTATTGAGGCTTGGCCTACTACTTCTAGACTATTGAATAACATAGCAAACAAGGTTTGATAATATCACTGCTAGTAGTAAAAATCTTGAAAATGGCAAAGGGACGTCACTGATAGGTAACTCCCATCGCTTCCAAGCACAATTAGGTGCCGTTCTAGCCATTCTTACGATTGCGACCCTACGTATGCACCGTGTTGGTACCCCTAATCTAAAATCACGTTCACCATGAGCCTTGATTCTATCGCGTATCCTATACAACCTAAGAGTAGATTCACCTGGCCGAAAATACCTACGGTGTGCGCCACGCAGTCTCCCTTTCGCGTTCTCGGCGATTGCCAACGTTAGATGCCTCCATAAAGAAACAGACGTCAATTACGCTAAAATTGCACAGATCCGCCTAGTTTCTCTTTACTTTGACTCACGATAGGCCTGATATGTAAGGCGCGTAGTTCCTGATGTCGGCCCCATTGCTCCCCGGGCTTGGCATTATGCTTGGCGCCTCGGTATAGCTTCTAACGCTGTAGGTTAATTGGTTATGTTCGGCGTGGGCCCCGGTTCTCATCTCATAGTTCCCTTGGCCGCTACCACCCCGCTTAAGCGAGGCTCTTTTGCTTCTCATTACTGGGCCCGATACCGCTTGTTGTGACTTGTGTAATTTTTTATTTTTGCTCTGCTGTTCTTCTTTTCTTTCTCCCCAAAAATCACCCAAAAATCTGCAAAATGGGAAGTCTATGGCTTGTCTGTTCAATTATTATGGGTCATGCAGCCCAGACCGCGTTTGCTCGGGATAGCTCTTCTATCTTTCGCCCGTTGAATGTTACAACCCAAGGATATCTTGCCGCGATCTACCCATGGGTCGGATCGTAAGCCTGTTTCCCACACGTTATTTCATATTTGGCAGTGCTAATAATGCAGATACTACAATGGAACAGCTAAGCTCGAATTCACTATGGGCGACCAGCTCACGAGCTGGGATAATAAAAGCATATTGTTTAACGACGAAAGCTGCACCAACTACCACAATAAAACGATCCACCTGCAAGAACTTGACAGTATCTTTGCAGTCATTTCTCCTGCTGATGATAGCGTATCAAACCCCGTCAATATGGTTTGGGGCCTCTGGCCCCCAAATTTCAACTTTAGCTCATCGCAGAATGCTCCCTACTGGACTAGTCGCAAAGCAGAGGGTGAAGATGGTCGGGTCAGATGGTCTTTAGAATCTATCTCGTAAGTGGTGTACAAGAAAAATTTCAGGCCAGGTTACTTATTAACGTTATATTGCTAGAGAGTACTTCAGCAACTACACACGGTACCAAAATATTTCTGAGATTCAATGTTTCCCCTTGGAAATGAACAAAACCACTCAAGCGCCTTATAATATCTCAGCTAGCTTGGCATCGGGATACATGCCGCTAGGGCCCTTAGACGTACCCTCATGCAATGAAGCCGGACGTCTGGAAACATCTACGTTCAATTTTTGGGAGTTACGGAGGAACACGGTTATCAATTTTCAGTTCGACAGCAAGACTCTGAACGCTACTGTCTATGCGAATGGCACTGACATGGTCATAAACATGGACAAGAAGATCTCGGGCGTGTTGAAAATTACCATGACTGGCGTCATCGACCCATGGCACTCAGACTTCCTTTCAGACAATAGTACCACACCCTCTTGGAAACGCACAGTGGGATACGATGAAAACTACTATGGGTACGACTTTAGTAGCGGAGCCATGAGTCGTAATTCCGAAACGGCGGTTTCTATTGCTGCTGCGTTGTTTTCTACGGTTTTGATGCTCATCTAATCAGGATAATTCTATAATAATTGAGCTTATAGAAAGCGATAACTATGTCTATACCTCTACTTATACTACTTGCGAACTATACCTTGAAGCAACCGTGGTTTCTCCAAATGATTTTTGGCGTGCTTTTTACTGAGTCTGATAAGGCTCCCCCATGGCAAACTTTAGCTTCTTCCACCTCATCCCTTCTCTCTAATTCCACATGCTCTCGAAATCTCTGAAGCATCTTAAGCTCAATAGAATCCAGCGATGATTATATCTTCCTTAGATAGAGAAGCCACTCCTTGCGGCCCAAGAGTAAAGAAACAATGTTGATCTTGAGAATACCATCGCGATATCCGCACACATCCGAGATAAAGATACTAAAGGCTAGGGCGAGGAATTCATTCAGACATAGATTAGTATTGTTATCATGGCGAAAATCAAGGAAATTGCCCACCTGAAGGCACGCAGACCGACCTCGTGCAGTTGGCTGGATGCTACCAGAGATGTAATCCGTATCTCCTTTTCCATGGTAGACAAATCTCACCTGAGGGCCTATGCAAATTTGATTTGTGGAAGTCCACTCGCTGTTTACTCCCCTCGGAAGGCCGTTTTATTTAAGAGAATGGCATAGAGTGGGCTAGTATTGTGGTAGCCCGTGCCTGACTAGCTTTGGATACGAGATTAGCACCTTTTACTCCACCAATCAGCTCGCATGGCTTAGTTGGTAAAGCGCGTGACTAGTAATCACGAGATCCTCGGTTCAAATCCGAGTGCGAGCATTTTTTTTAAGTCTTTTACAGACCACCAAGTATCGAATCAAGCTTTGGATTGCAGATTAGGTGCAACTTTTGAATTTTTGCATCAATTTTTTTTCGATAATCCTTTCTCGAGTCCGGTTGATACAGAATGTGACGAACCCAATTTCTCTGAAATATGAATGGTTAGAGAAAGAATTATGCCACATTGGATAGTTTGCAAGCCCGAGAAAGCCTGGCTGACTCACCACGTTAAGCCGCAGCGAGGGTGGGGACGCCCCGAGGCGGTGCCTGGAAGAACGTCACGGCGCGGGTTCTGACCCGAGTCAAGCTCGAGGCAACTTGGCTTGCTCACCCGTCAACTGCACACCATGTCGCTCACACTCAAACTATCCTCGCTTGCGATCCGCACCCTCTCAAAACCTATCGCCGTACGTTCAAATACCGCGCCGTAATACACTCCAGAGCTAAGCTGACAAGCCGCAGAACCAAATCAAAGCTCAGGCTCGTGAACATGAGCGCTTCCGCAATGTGTGCGTCTCAATGGCACAAGCCCTTCACCGCTTCGATATGCGTCTCCGATTAGGCTCCATTCGCGATACGAGTGCTTCACAACGACAAGCTGCCGCTGAGGCGGAGGTAAAAAAACACGCCACGACAAGCCCAACTGTGAAGACCCAAGTGGAGACCAAGGCGGAGGAAGAGGCTATTGAAAAAGCCAAGAAGGCAGCAGAAGAAGCAGCGAAGCCCCGCCATTACCGGATTCGACCTTTGTCCGAATCGAAAGCTATCGAGTCCGGCGCCAACTTCATCAGTGAAACTTTCTTGTTCATGGTTGCTGGTGGATTGATCCTATTTGAGTCATGGAGGTCACGTCGCAAGGAGACCACGCGCAGAGATGGGGTTGAGGAGCGGCTGGCTGAGCTTGAGCAGTCAGAGAAGACAGCAATCCAGGCATTGGTGGCACTGGAGAAGGAGCTGCTCGCACTAAAGGCCAAGCATGGCGAGTCGCCAAAGTCGACACATCACATTTTGCCTCGCGAGGTATGGGAGGCTCAACCTGAAGTCGAAGAGCCGGCAGTTGAGGAGACTTGGTGGACCAAGGCCACGTCCTACTTCTCCTTTGGGCAGAGTGCCTCCAATACTGCACCGACAGCTCCTGCAATCAAAACCTCACAATCCCCAGACACGAGACAAGTTGGACAGCCAGCTGTACCGGCAGGTCAGACTCAACCATCCGCGACCAAGAGCTCGTAAGAAGATTGCTCAACATCTATTGTACCATTTACATGCATTGCTGGTGATTGTTGTTGATTATTGTTTTGAGGCAATTTGTTTCTATGTTGCCTGGCTATCGTGTTACTCATGAAGAGTCAGGGTAATGCCCTGTTTCAAGGGTTGTTGATCCTAGTCAAGAGCTCTTGAGTCACCCCGGCTGCTGCTGCGATCGCCCTGTGATACCCTCCCCTCCTCCAATCCTCGCATATAGATTTCTTCCCTTTGTATATACATTGCTCATCTTCTCTTATCCTCTCTCAACTACCTACTTAAATAACAGTATCTTGTCTCTCAGAAAGGTCAGCCTCAAATACTGGTGCTTACTTATATTTCAGGCGTGATCCTCAAAGTAAATAGATACCCTCAAAGCTAGATAAAAATACCGTTTGATGTCTCGGTCTGCAGAGGAAAGATACTAATTCGTTTAGATATTTGATAGTCGCACAGATAGTAGAGAGGAGAGAATAGATAGTAGCCTAAGAGAGTACAATGGCATTCATCGGTCTAGACTTTAAGCGGGGATTTGCCACTACCTCAGGCGTTAAAAACCGGAGACTAGGAACTCTTACAGTGACAATAACAATTTTGGCGCCTAATGAGAGAAAAAGCAAAGACCCTACCTACGCAAGGCACGGGCGCTTACGAACCACTCGGGCGTCAACTCGCCATTCGGGATCCTCATGCCCAATGACGTCGATGCTTCTATTTTGGACTGTGGTTCCAGCCACACTTAGTTGAGTTACTTTTCTGTAGACACGCAATACTTTAGGGTATACGTTCATGGATAGCCAATGATAGTTGCGTAGGTTGACAGAGGTAGACTAAAATGCCGAAATAACCGGCAACCAAAGTACAACTTCGCCCCTGAGGCAGCGGAGACCCTGGTGTGGCGCAGTCTCCCCGAAGTGTTTGGTGGGTTTGCGCGTTGTACGTAAGTCCGGCTTCCGCTTTCCCAAGTGTTCCCTGGTGAGATCGACATCTGGTCATTGCAATTACCTGTCCAGGCCTACCTTCGTTTACACTTGGTCTGCCTCATATCGCCTGGGCGCGAAATACACAGAGGTCGACACAGCATGGTGAGTCAACCCCCCAACAACGATCAGAGCGGGGAGAGACTGACAACCCCTCGTGCGACTCTAGGGTCAATCACGACGCCCCGTAGGCGGGGAGAAGAAAAGTCGCTTTGGGCGCAACAAAGCAGTCGCCGACGTCGGTGACGGCCGTCAGTCCGGCAAGGGCCAGATCAAGAAGGCGACATTCGAGACCTCCAAGAAGAAGGAGATCGGTGTCTCCGACCTCACACTGCTCAGCAAGATCTCCAACGAGGCGATTAACGAGAACTTGAAGCTTCGCTTCCAACATGGCGAGATTTATGTAAGGGAGCGCTATCGCACGCGGACTGCGGGGTTGCGGTGCGCGGACCAGGACACGGGCTAACGATCTCATATCAGACCTACATCGGACATGTGTTGGTGTCTGTCAACCCGTTCCAAGACTGTAAGTGGTATCAGCGAGGTCGCAAGACTTGAACCAGCTCACTAACATGCGACTTCCTAGTGGGCATTTACACCGATGAGGTGCTCGACTCCTACCGCGGCAAGAACCGCCTCGAAGTTCCTCCTCACGTTTTCGGAGTCGCCGAGTCGTCATACTACAACATGAAGTCCTACAAGGACAACCAGTGCGTGATTATTTCGGGAGAGTCCGGTGCCGGAAAAACAGAAGCTGCTAAGCGGATCATGCAATACATCGCGAGCGTGTCCGGCGGCAGCGACTCGTCAATTCAACAGACCAAGGACATGGTGCTTGCTACGAACCCTCTACTGGAGTCATTTGGTAACGCTAAGACTCTGCGCAACAACAACTCGTCGCGATTCGGCAAGTACCTGGAACTGGAGTTCAACGCCAATGGCGAGCCGGTGGGTGCCAACATCACAAACTACCTGTTGGAGAAGACTCGAGTCGTGGGGCAGATTATGAATGAGCGAAATTTCCACATTTTCTATCAATTCACCAAGGGCGCACCGCAGAAGTACCGCGACAACTTCGGTGTCCAACAGCCGCAATCCTACCTCTATACGAGCCGATCTAAGTGTTTCGATGTTCCCGGAGTCGATGATCTAGCAGAGTTCCAGGATACCCTTGATGCGATGAAGATGATTGGTATGACCGAGGCGGAGCAGGACAATGTTTTCCGTATGTTGGCCGCTATCTTGTGGATCGGCAACGTCCAGTTCAGCGAGGATGATTCGGGCAATGCGTCTATTGCGGATCAGTCTGTGGTGGACTTCGTCGCATACCTGATGGAGGTGGACTCCGCCCAAGTCAACAAGGCCTTGACAATTCGTCTTATGGAGACCTCGCGCGGTGGTCGCAGGGGCTCCGTCTACGAGGTTCCGCTTAACACTGTTCAGGCCTCGGCTGTCCGGGATGCTCTGGCCAAGGCGATTTACTTCAATCTGTTCGACTGGATCGTGGGGCGCGTCAACCAGTCTCTGACTGCGAGAAGCTCTATTACCAACTCAATTGGTATTCTAGATATTTACGGATTCGAGATTTTCGAGAAGAACTCGTTCGAGCAGCTCTGCATTAACTATGTCAATGAGAAGCTGCAGCAGATCTTTATTCAGCTGACCCTCAAGGCGGAGCAGGATGAGTATGCTCGCGAACAGATCAAGTGGACGCCGATCAAGTACTTCGACAACAAGGTGGTGTGCTCGTTGATCGAGGACAAGCGACCGCCTGGTGTTTTCGCCGCGCTGAACGATGCTTGTGCAACTGCGCATGCCGATTCTGGAGCCGCCGACAACACTTTCGTCGGAAGGTTGAACTTCCTTGCTCAGAACCCCAACTTCGAAGGTCGCCAGGGCCAGTTCATTATCAAGCATTATGCTGGTGATGTGAGCTATGCAATTGAGGGAATGACGGACAAGAACAAGGATCAGTTGCTGAAGGACTTGCTGAACTTGGCGGGATCCAGCAGCAACCAATTCGTCCACACGCTCTTCCCCAACCAAGTTAACCAGGATGACAAGCGACGCCCGCCCACAGCTGGTGACAAGATCAAGGCATCTGCCAATGACCTTGTCGCTACGTTGATGAAGGCACAGCCTTCATACATCCGAACCATCAAGCCCAACGACAACAAGGCTCCCAAGGAATACAACGAGGGCAATGTCCTGCATCAGATCAAGTACCTGGGTCTGCAAGAGAACGTACGTATTCGACGTGCCGGTTTCGCTTACCGCCAGAGCTTCGACAAGTTCGTCGAGCGATTCTATCTGCTGTCGCCGAAGACCTCCTACGCCGGTGACTATACCTGGACGGGCGATTCGGAGTCTGGCGCCAGGCAGATCCTGAAGGATACCAGTATTCCCGCTGAGGAATACCAGATGGGTATTTCCAAGGTCTTTGTCAAGACACCTGAGACCCTCTTCGCGCTCGAGGCCATGCGTGACAAGTACTGGCATAACATGGCTATCCGAATTCAGCGTGCTTGGCGCAACTACCTCCGGTACCGCATTGAGTGCGCTATCCGTATTCAGCGCTTCTGGCGCCGTATGACCGGAGGAATGGAGTTTATCAAGCTACGTGACCAGGGGCACCAAGTTCTCCAGCACCGTAAGGAACGCCGGAGGATGAGTATTCTCGGATCCCGTCGCTTCCTGGGTGATTATCTCGGTGTGGCCAACGATGGCGGGCCCGGTCAGATGATTCGCAATGGTGCGAATGTCAACAGTAAGTCATTGTGCCTCTTCATTATGTTCGCCAACTAATCTGTTGCAACAGGCTCCGAGGAAGTTCTCTTCTCTTGCCGTGGCGAGGCCTTGATATCCAAGTTCGGTCGTTCCAGTAAACTGGCACCTCGGATTCTTGTCCTGGTAGGTTTTTGGCCCATCGTTGTTGGACTACTCTAACCTGTCCAGACCAACCGTCATGTCTATATCGTGGCCCAGAGCATTGTCAACAACCAGCTTGTCATTTCATCTGAGCGCACCATCCCGCTCGGCGCCATTAAGGCTGTCAGCACCTCTAACCTGAAGGATGACTGGTTCTCGCTGGTTGTCGGGGCTCAAGAACCCGATCCCCTGCTCACATGTGTCTTCAAGACTGAGTTTTTCACCCATTTGTCGAATGCCCTTCGCGGTTCATTGAACCTGAAGATTGGCGAGAGGTGAGTACAGCCCCGATGTCTAGCCGTTCAGGTACTAACAAGCTGTAGCATCGAGTACAACAAGAAGCCCGGCAAGCTGGCCTATGTCAAGGCCGTTAAGGACCCCCAGGCTGGCAACGTCGACTCCTATAAGAGTAGCACAATCCACACCAGCGCCGGAGAACCTGCCAGCTCTGTGTCTAAGCCCACTCCTCGTCCCAGGCAAGTGGCTGCGCGACCTGTCACCTCAGGTAGACTACTTCGACCGGGTGGCCCTGGTGGTGGTCCGTCGAAGCTTTCTGCTGCTGCCCGGAAACCTCCCCCTGCCGTACAGTCTTTGCCCCAGTCCACGCCTAAGCCCGCCGCCGCTGCTCAACCGCGCATTGTACCTCAACCCGTTGCAGCCGCCGCTGCTGCACACACTCGCAACCAGTCTTCGGGCTCTGTGAGAGCCCCGCCCCCTCCTCCCCCGTCTGCACCTGCTGCCTCGAAGAAGCCCACTGCCAAGGTCCTGTATGATTTCAACAGCGACCGGGCGAATGAGCTGTCCATCCGAACCGGTGAAATCTTGCAGATCGTCTCCAAGGAAGGAAACGGTAAGTCATCATAAATTACCCTTAAATTTAAAAGAAGAAATTCTAACCGATCCAGGCTGGTGGCTATGCATGAACACCACAACCTCCGCACAAGGTTGGACTCCCGAGGCCTACCTTGAGGAACAAGCAGCCGCTCCTCCCCCCAAACCCACACCTCCCCCTCCCCCGGCTGCACCTCGCGCAACCCCCAGTCCTGTCCCCAACGGCGCAGCTAGTGTCGCCGCCGCGAAGTCCAAACCTGCCCCTCCCGCACCCCCAGCCAAGCGGCCGAACATGGCCGGCCGCAAACCTGCACCTCCCCCTGCACCCCGCGACAGCGCCGTGAGCATGAACTCAGGCGACTCATCCGGAGCCAGCGGCCGCGGCACACCAAACAGTGCCTCGAACGCCAGTCTGGCCGGTGGTCTTGCAGAGGCTTTGCGTGCGCGGCAGAGTGCTATGCAAGGGAAGCATGATGACGATGATGAGTGGTAGATACCGCAGGGGTATGATAGATGCGCAAGTCGGTAGTTTTTCCGTTCCTGCGCTTAGCGTTGCCATACCTTTTTTCTTGTTCTTTTCTCTTCGTTTGTTTGCAAAAGAGACCCACGGCATGTGCATTCAGTCTGGTTTTGATGATGATGATAGGTTCATTTGAGTCATTTTCATTTTACTTGTTGGATCATGGGCTGGCGGTTCCACCGTTTCCTTTTTACATGGCTTGTCTACAGTGTAGAAAGAGTTTGGAATATATACCGTTCTCAAGTTCATTGTATTCATGGATTGTATTCCGTCACATACAATGCATCATGTGTAAGCTACCTAGGGAGTTCATGCTCCTAGGTTAGGTAGATAGACAGGCGTCGAGATGCATGGCATTGAGTCATGGCTCCAAATCCAATCTAGGACAGGAACTTGCTAGCCAGGCTCATGAGGCCACCGGCACCACCAGTACCACCAATACCACCACCACTCTTCATATACATCTTCAAAGCCATCTCAGCAGCATTGTTGATAGCAGACTGCTTGTCACCGGACTAAAAAAAAACTCCCATTAGCAAACCCCTCAACCTGAACCCATCCAGAAAAAAAGAAAGAGAACTCACCATATTAGCCCCATTACCAGATTTCTCATCCCACAGCTTCCCAGCCTGAGACATAGCCATCCCAATCAGCTTATTCTTATCCATACCCCCATCACTACTTCCACCGCCAGTAAACATCTTCAAAGCCTGCATAGCAGCACCCGCACCAACAGTGCTCGAGTCATGAGTCTGTCCCTCGTCATTGCCACCATTGTACATAGCCTGGTGAGCCTGCACAGCGTGACGCTCGTCGATCTCACCCGAGCCAGCGGAGGAAGCGCGGCCCTGGATGAAAGAGAGCGCGTTGGAGAATAGGTCGCTGTTGCCGCTGTCGTGTTGCGAGGCGTGTTGGGCCGCGGAGGAGAAATCGTCGCCGCCGGAGTAGGGCTCCGAGCCTTGGTAGCGCGTGTCGCGGTACTCTTGCTGGCCTTGGTTTTGGTGGCCGTGCTGGCCTTGGTTGCCGTAGCCCTGGCCCTGTTCCTCACGACCATAGCCCTGGCCCTGCTCCTCACGGCCACCGTATCCTTGGCCTTCGTTGCGGCCGTATCCCTGACCTTCATTGCGGCCGTAGCCCTGGCCTTGCTCCTCACGGCCGTAACCCTGACCCTCGTTGCGGCCTGAGAAGTCGTTGGACTGGTCGTAGTAGTTGTTTCCGCCTCGACCGCCGCCGCCGTACTCGGACCGTTCGTTGTTGGAGCCGTACTCGTTGTAGGACATTGTGGATGAATTGATGGGTATGGGTAGATGGATGGAAGAGAAAAAACAGGAAAGGAAGTGAGATGGGGGGTTGTTTTGGAGGGGTAGTTAAGCTACCTATGATTTGGCTCGATCGGAGCGGGGCTGAGCTGAGCTAGAGGTCCCACATCAGATCGGATCGATTGCTTGGTTCTTGCGCCAGGGCTTCATGTATTGTGTACGTATATGTCTAGAGTGGCGTACAGGTGGCGCGAGTCATGCTGTAACACATGCATAAAACATAGGTGTAGGAAGAATGGAGTATAAAATTCGTATACATGTGCGTGGGTTGATCAACAAAGACGTGGAGTTTACACCCGAGCTCATATTTTGCCTCCCTCTAGCACTGGTCGGAGTTGTGCACTACTCCACTTCCACGTTTAGCTCCAATAGTTTCGTTTTTCGAAAAATGAGATACAATAGTCTTTCGGCGGCGTGTATTAGGTATTTATTCCAATTAGTAAGGGGTATTTTGTCTTCACACGGCTATACTAAGACCAATGCGGGACCTCGGGCCAGGCATCAACGCCATCGAGCAAAACCATGCCCATTCCCGTATGGAGATGTGTTTCCATGTGGCAGTGCAAGAGGAAGGCCCCAGGATTCTCGACGTGGTATCGAATTGCAAGCCAGGCGACGCCGTTCGGCGCAGTAACGAATGTATCACGATAGATAGGAGTTTCCAAGAAGTTATCTGTTGACTCACTCAAAGCTTCTTCAACAGAGCTCCAGGTGAAGGTTCCCATTCCGGATCCGATCAAGAAAGCCTTGTTGGAATGCTTGTGGATAGGGTGAGGCGGCTGGAGCTTCGTCGGCTCTGGAATGGCAAGCTGGAAGACGATATCCACCCACGTATCATTCTTCGTCTCGATCTTGAGAGAGGAGTCCAAGCCCGGTGCCTCCCGATTGTAGAGAACGGGTTCCATTGCAGCGAGGTCGGCTGGAAGGAAGGTAGTTCCATCCAAAGTCCATTCCCAAGACGAATTGATGCGTCCAAGTGTCAAGAGATGGAAATCATCCGCCTTCGCGGCTGGTAGAATGGGAGGATACGGTGGAAGGTGCTGGGTGTCAAGCGAGACCACTTCAGCCGTGGTATTGACACCGCCGTAGTCGATGTATGGCGTTGACTGGCGCTCATTATCCTCACCACCCTGGTATGTAACACTAGCATAGCCAGAGATAACCTGGTTGCCATTGCCAGCAACGCGCATCGTATAGCTCGCGTACTCTTTATCCAGCTTGATCATAACGGAGTACCGCTCGCCATTGTAGATGGGGATTACATCAACCAGCTGGGGCTCGATATAGCGACCGTCGACTTCATAGACGTACATCGGATGTTCATCGATTGATACGGCGAGGGCTTTGAGACCAGCGGCGCTGATGAAGTTGAAACTTGCCCATTTCGCCTCAGGATCGACTATGAAGCCGGTCTTTAGGCCGTCGCTGGGTGTGCATCCCGAGTTTAGACCGCCGGGCAGGAGTTCAGGGTGATGTTCCCAGTCGCCTTGAACCACGCGCATGAATGGATCACATCTAGTTCTTGTTAGACCATTGCGAGAAATGTGAAGAGCTTAAGCTTACCCTTTGTCGGTCAGTGGATCGGTGATAACTGCTCTGATCTGTGGCGGCTGTAGAGCGGTCAATTCTTCTGAGGATTTGCAATAGACAGATCCTCGGCCGTTGACAAGAACACTGTCCGAGCAACTAATACAGTTAGTACAATTATTTGAGACCAGGTATTGGATGCTTACAAGATGTCATATCCGGAATATTTCAAGGCATCCATGTATGCGTCGGATGTCAAGTGGTCCCAGTCAGAGAGAACGACCAGCTCGGCGTTTGCTTGAGCCTTAGTCATGGCCTCAATGTCGTCGGGGTCATCAGAAATCATGGAAAATGGCGTGTCACGGTCGGCAGATGGTCTATTGTAGTGTTAGAAGGCCATTGAAGAAGGGATGTTTCGTATTGTAGAATGCATATGCTCGCGCAAACTGGAGCTGCCCTCCAAGATGAATAGACTCGGGAACAGACTTACCGAATTTGAATAGGCCCATACAAGCCATCCATGATCCTAGACCTATCATGGGAATGATACCAGTATGTGCCATAGGTATTAGCTACCCATTTGTACCGATAGGAGGCACCAGGCAAGATCGCCCACTGCGACAACCCGGAGACACCGTCAGACCAGGGCGTTCCCTTTTGCCTATAAGAAGCAAGTTAGCGATGTACCAAAACAGAAGAGAAGTGAACTAACTCAATCCCATGGAAATGAATCGAAGTATTAAACGGCATATGATTTGTAACATCGATCTGTATAAATTAGCAACCATCCATAATGCCCCAACCAGAGCCCAAGAAAAAGACCAAAAACAAACCGTCACTTCATCGCCCTCGTCAATAATCAACGCGGGTCCCGGAAACTGATCATTAACAAAGATCATATCCCTCTCCAGGCCATTCGGAGCACCCCGTTGCCACGTGAGGTCCAAGGAGAATTGGACCTGAGCGGCCTGAACGAGGGAAATGAACTCCACGAGCGGAATAAGCCATTTGACGCGCACCATTTCGAAAAAGTCGAGTGGTTGATGAGAGTGGATGTGGTTTTGGAGGGAAATTTATTCAAGGCGCAGGTTCATGGTACATACTTGCCAAGCAAGGAAGGTGTGGTTTCGGTTGTTTACATTCCTGAGGTACCGGAAGGTACCGAATGGCCGAAGCCTTATAGCGAGACAGGGAGGTCCTCGAATGGGGAAAAGCTTTGCGCATTCATTAATGTCAGCCATATCTTTGGAATGGGTTCACAAGGGTTCAGGCTTGACCCGGCGAATGAAGTGCGATTCTAGTGACTGTATTCGGTAATAGGTCCAATTGCTAGCCCGTGGTTGGGGACCACCATGTGGAAATCTCAGGTACTGGAATGGAATGGAATGAGCCGAAGTAGTGAAATAGCGTAGTGCACTCTATTCAAATGTCGCGAAGATAAGTAAAATACAGGAAGAAAGATGGACTAAGATAGCCAACAACACCGAGCCCAGGGTATCAGATGCAAAACAGAAAAGAAAAAGCTAAAGAATGAAGGCATCATGCTGCTCATCCGACAAATTGCGCAAAAATCTCAAGCTGCGCTCCCTCTCACTCAAAATACACCTATCATCCCCGTCCAACTCATTCTCGCGCAGCCATTCATTCGGTAGATCAGTTAATCCGAATGAGCTACCCCATTGACAGCGCTCATACTGCATGAACCCGCCAAAATGGGGATCGGTATTCGCAACCCAGACGGACCCGCCATCGGGCGCGTAATCAGCGCCGCCGATCTCGCCGAAGAAATCATGGACTTGGCGACTTTGAAAGAGCTGCGCGTCAACGATGGAGATGCGGTCTGCGGGTTCGCAGCAGAGGAGAGTGCGTGGACCCCCGCCGACCGGGGAAAAGCGGAGGGAGCGGTAGCCGGCAACATCGGAGTCGATGGTTTCCAGAGGTTTCCAGGTACGTGCATCCCATATGATGAGCGTTTTGTCTTGGTTGCTTGTGGCGATGTGGCGCATGTCGGGCGACCAGGCGCAGGCGAAACCGAAATCGCGGTGGCCGCGTAGAGGGTGCACGGGCCGGCCTGTGTCGGCTTCGATGACCCATGCTTCTGGGGAGTCGCCGATCACGACGCGGAGGCGACTATCTGGGGATGTGGCGGTACAGTTGATCGGGCGAGAAAGTTCTTGGTCGGAGAGGAAGATATTGGTTTCACAGTCCAGGACGCGTAGATGTCTGTCGTTGGAGGCAAAGACGCAAATCGGGGAGGGGCCGGTGCGGCTAGGGATGATGTCGACGTGGTTGGTGATCCCGTCGTTGAAGTCGGGTGTGACGAGGCCTTTGGCGCCTGAACCTTCTGCGTTGGATGAGCGCAATGCGTACTCACCGCAAAAACCGCCAGCCATAGTGAGGCCGTATGCTGATTTCATGCTGGAGATCTTGACCGCGCTTAGGAATCCTGATTCCGGGCAGGGTCGGGTGAGGTCAATGAGACAGCGAAGTTCGTTGATTTGGGGAGTCCATGCCTGGACTTTGGATCGACTGGCAAAGTGGACGGTGTTGTAATAAGGCACCGCCATCAAATTGCGGAGCTGGAAATGCTCAATAGAGGCCATGTGTGCAGTGTGCATCGATTTCCCGCGGAAGTAAGTCTCATCCGCAGGAAGTCGCTCCGCACCCCCCATGCGCGTGTAATCAAGATTGTGATATGAGGTATACCAAGTATCACGGAGGTGACGAGCGGTCGACCGCTTCACTTTCAAAATTTCTCTCCAAGGAATTTGTTGGAGATCATAGAAATTACGTTTGAGGTTGGAAGGTCGTTCGATATCCAATGCGGGTTTCCAGCCCATCATCTTCGAGAGCGGGCGTATCTGCGCAGGGGGTCTGCTTTCGGCGTGAAAGCCATCGTATATGAGATTGGTTTGGATCATCCAGCGTTGGATGAACTCGTCGACGGTTAGATTTCGTTCATATGCTATATCAGTTAGCACTGCCTTTTAATACAGCCAGGTAAAAACGCGACATACTGGCTGTGTGAACAATGGTCTCAGGATGCACTTCAGGCTGGTCCTCACTTAGAGGGATGGGGCCCGGCCCCGGGTTCGCAGGTGTCTGCGGCAGGCTCGGGTCTGTCGCACTGTAACTGACAGTGGCGTAGAACTCATCAAGGTTGACCTCACCCATCATAGGTGAATCAGTACGAGTGTATGGTGTATGCTGCCAATGATAGAATTCTTCCTCGTCCGGATAGAATCGAATCAGATCTTCCAGGTCGTCATCTGGGTCGGCCCACGGCGATGAGTGGTTTCCTTCAAAACCAGGTTCAAAATCGAGAGCATTGTCTCCTGACATGTCGTCGTCTTCACTATAATAATTGCTTTCGGCGTCCGCGATGCTATGCGAAGGTGCGGCGCGCTCAATCAGTTGCTGCACGGAGATGTCCACGTTCAAGTCACTAGCTTCGCTAACAATCTGAGGTCCAGCTGAGAACGCCACTGGCTCGACAGGCACACTTTCTGGAATGAAAGATGCTGCAAAGTTCATCCTCCTCGAATTTGGGAACTGGAGGCTGTCATCCTGGAAGAGTCGCAACGCAGATGGGTTCGGAGGCAACGCACCGCCGGTCATCGCGTTTACCACCTCATTCATCAGCAAGGATCCGCTCTCTTCATTGACGGCGTGCGGATGTTGCGCGACAGCGGCCAGAGCCGCAACCCCAAAATCGTGCAAACGTTGATCTTCCTCGGAAGCCATAGCATCCCTAGTCGGAGCAAGCGTGTTGGCACTCATAATATCCATGCTCATGGCAGAAGCATCATCACCAAAAGCAGGCGACCCGCCTCGGGGGGGATCTGACGAAGAACTATTCATAACCCCGGGATAAGCCGTTGACCTCGAGGGTTCACATGACCCATGACGTGCGCTGAGATAATCCGTTTGAAAGGTAAAGTCGAAAGTAAGTAAATTGTTGTCACTGCTCATCGCCCCTCATGGGGTAGCGCAGTCCCGCCTGGGGAAAATGCCGAATAGCGGGGGGAAAGAGCGCACACCCAAGGAAGCTCGACAGTTGCGAAGACGATGCCAGGCACGAGACAAGTCCACGATCAAAGCCCGAAAAAAGGCCGTAAATCATATATGATTGGCGGCCGGGGTTACACGGGCTTATGAGGGCAGCGCGAAATCTTTGTCCGTGGATAGGGATGCGGGACCCTGGTTTTTGCAGTTGATCGGTCGGCGTCGCAGCTGACTCGCAAGTCTCCACACGGTGTGGCGCGCCCTGTGCGGTGTCGTAGCGGCAGGCAGAACAGTAAAACTGTTCGCGCGGTTGGCGTCGGTAATATCAGAGCGCAGAGCGCAAAGGCGTTGCAATGGGGGAGGGGAGAGTTAAGTTCCACCCAAGAAACGTCTGGAAGATGGGAGGCCTCCGTTTCAGCCTGTGGGCCGTTGAAAACCCGAAGGGGGAAGGTAATGGGACTGAGCACGGGCAGGCCGTTTTTAGCACTAGTGCCGTGTCAGCTCTCGGAGACTCTCGAGTGCAGCAACGTGTAGAGGCAGGCCGGTGATCTGAGTCCAGGATCAAAACGAGGCTGATAAGCGGGATGCAAGATGACGAAAGGGGAGCGAGAAGTGGGGGGTGGAGTGGCCAAGCGTAACCGGCGCTTCACCCGTGTGAGTGGCAGTGCAGTGCAGTGCAGTGCAGTGCAGAGCGCACTTAGAGTTGACCACCTTCCGGGTTATTGAGCCACTGGGAGTCGAAGGGACAAAGACCATCGAAATAGACGGGATGGGATGGCAAGGGATGGCATGGGAGGTCAAGGTCAAGGTCAAGGTTATTGTCAGGGTCATTGCCAGGGATTCGGGTCGGTGCCCAAGGCGCCCTTTCCACGGTTCCAAGAGTTCCCGGAACTCCGAATTTAGTCAGCTTTGGCACGCATCTAGACAAATTAGGAAATACAGGGGAAAGGAAGTTAGGAGACAGAAGTTAGGAGGGAATAGTTTGAACATGGTGCCAGAATACCAGAAGTTGATGTGTATGACCCGGAGCCCCTGTAGGTCAGTCCCATTAGGAGTCGCTGCATATGTAGCGCATCTTCCCTGTCATTTCTTGGCCTCCCCTTTTGACGCTTGTTCTCTTGCCGCTTTTCGGTTTCACCGTTTTACAAAGAGATAACCCAATGGTGCGTAAAGACTTTGCTCCTTTCGTTCTTCTTAACCTCTTTCGAGACATGCTGCTAATTATCTTTTTTGACCTCTTTTTCGTAATATTTGTACCTCTTATGTATGCTCGAGAAGATACGTCACGGCTGCCTAAAATGAACTAACCAATCCAATTCGTCGAACCACGTCAATAATGGAAAATATACAGTAAATTTATCGCCAGCTGCTAAGCCTTGAATCATGGAAATACCTCCAATACTCCGAACTTTCGATTGATGGAAAGCACGATCTGGTCTGCAATGCAGTAACGTATCAGACAGTTTCGACGCGCTTATGCACGTCTCTCTATTCTCAAGTTACAGAACACGTAAGTAGCCAATTATGCAGGCATAAGTACACAAATGCGGGATATGAGATACATTAAGACCATAATTGGGCACCTAGACACACCTGGCTAGGACACATCTTCCCAAGGGTGAACCAAAATAACCATTGCCCAACCATCAAACTTGACACGGCTCGATTGAAGGCGGTGAGATAGTTATTCAAATCCTTATTACTGTAGATTTAGGTCTAATGGATCTAAGCTAAACCAAAGTAGCAAATCCAGGATAGCAAGGGGGTAGAGGCCGATCTCCCAAGAGAATTTATGTGCATTGCCCTGGTGCAGCCTCAAAACCTGAAACCTTGGAAAACTCGAGGGTCCCTTGTCTGGAGCTTCATCCTAGTTCCTGGATAAATTTGCTAGTACTGGGCCATGTGGATTGATCAGCCCCTCTAAAAAAGATTAAAATTGTATAGCACATCAAGACCTTCAGCTGAAGATGAAGCTGTCTTCACTGCCCAATCAAAGGCCCTGGAACATAGCCCAGTCGATCCCAGTGAATAATGGAATCAGTGAGTAGAAGACGATCATCGTCATGATCATCATCGCACGATCATGAGGTCATTAACTGGGGGGGGGGGTCAGGGGTCCCGCAAAGATTTTAAACAATACAATGCATTTCCCCAACAACTGAATTCAATCGCTTGACTCTTTAACAAGAACAAGATATTTCATGAAGCTATTAGCTTTTCAGTTCTCGACAGAAACTAGTATCTGAAATGCAATAGTCATCCTCCGGCAGACAATGCATTTCATCTGAGCCATGTTAGTGCTGGCTGCTCTCATCGGCACAGGCCACGCAAAATTGAAACATAATGAGCTGTGCTGAAGCAACAAGGAATGTCCATCTAAGTGCAAATCACTGAATGTCGTATCAGGTGGGATGACTACAATACCACCCCGTAGTCAACACCAATAAGGATTTGGATTAGAGTTCGCTTGGGCGGGAAGAAGAGGTCTGACTCGCTCGAGGTCTACGGACCCTGGTCGACGTGAATTATTTATTTGTTTATAGGCATAGTGGCACGTTAGGTATGGAGCGCAGCATAGGGGTCGGTCATAGGTCCTAGATGTCGATGGCACTGTGCGGGCGGAGAAAGCTTGCACTGTGGGTTTGAAACTAGCTGTCCCTTTAACCATCTAGGCACTTCAGAGTATCTCTGGGCTGGCGGCGCTAACTAAAGCTCTACTTCTTCTTCTTTTGTTCGCAAACTTGGTCCATTCTGAGCTTTAAGCGGATACGAAGGTATAATTATGTACTCCTATTCACCCTTCCACTTTTGTCCCGACAGAGCTTGAGAACGCAGAAGAAACCACAATTTGCAGAACAAAACATCGATAGCCTCTGGCTGCCTGGAAAATTTCTCGCAGTACTGGTGATTAAAGGGCCCCGCTTCAACCCAGGAACCCCGCATTCATTCAGGATGCCATTGGATCTTCCCAACCTCGGCGGATGACTCATGAAGACAGTGGATGAGTCAAGAGCAAAGCACGCCCCTTTCCGTGCATCTGAGACAATTGCAAACCTTATTCTACCACGGATACTAAAAAGGCTTCTCCATCTTATGTCTTCTTCTGGCGTAATTGTTTAAAACCAAACCTTATACTTCATCATTCTCTCGTGCGGACAAGACAAGATGGCAACCTGCACGAGCGTTCCTGTGACTATTCCGAAAGATGGCCCACTGACAAACGTTATGATCAAAGACATTGTCAGCACATTTTTCGCCAACGAGTGGCCCAAGGTGGATTCGGAAACCCTCGTTATCACACACCAAACTGGATACGCAAACACAAACTGTGTAGTTGAACGACCAAAGCCAAAGGGTGAAACACATTCAGAACCTCTCAAGGTGTTTCTCAAGATCAACGGTGTACTTGACGGAGAAATTGAGGTGTTCGAGCACTTAGTTCCCAACAAGCACGAAGAGGCACAACTATGCTATGATTATGGTCTTTCAGGCCTGGGTGCCAAGCTCTATGGTTTCTTCCAGACACAGGATGGTGCTTTCGGAAGGATCGACGAGTACTTGGATGCACGCAATTTGGAGCCAGAAGATGTGGAAGATGAAAATATTCGAGCCGATGTTGCAAAAGCACATGCTGTTTTTCACGCCATGGTATCACAACGAAAGAAGAAACCGATTCAGCTATATTACGATGCAGTCACCGGAGGGCTTGCAAAGTATCATAAGATGGACAAGTTAAAAAGGCTAGCCAACGAAGGAGGCGTTAGTCTGGATGATCTTGTTGATTATGACTTTGTGTCTAGGATTCAACGAGTCACAGACAGGCTGGAATCCATCGGAGCAAAGAATGGATGGTGCATCCACGATGTTCAATTTATGAACGTGATGGTGAAAAACAACCCCAAGCAAGGAGAAAGCAAAGTTGTCCTAATAGACTTCGAGTTTGTCTTTCAGAATTACCGAGCGTTCGACATTGGTGGGCACTTTATGCAAAAAATGTTCAAGTGGTTTGACAAGGATAGTCAAATTGCCAACTGCAGACCTTACACAGACGAGGAGAAGAGACACTTTTGTGAGGAATATGCACGGCAGTGGAACGAGGCGACCGGGGAATCAGATACAGGGGAACAGGTCTTTATGGAATCTGAGCTGGGTTTTCTGCTGGCTATCACGTTCGATATCCATAACATGCTCTGTTTTATGGATCAAGGCGATGATAATGACCCGTTGAGCCTCTTGGGGCTTAACAAGCTCTTCAAAGAGTTCGCCAGTCAGTATGAAAAGCTTGGACTAGAGAGTTTAGGGCATTGCACTTAAAGCAGTATTATCTAAGCCGAGTGAGCTTATCTTCTTGTTTTTTCCCCGTAAATGATGGCGCTAAAACACACCCCGCATCAGTAGACTCGAACAACAGTAAAGCAACTAGCCACGGTGCTTAAATATCATGAATGAATAGCCATCAAAATTTTCTACCTAGAGCCTGCAACCTCTCTCATCTGACAAGCGCTGATTCTGTCATGTTCAGCTCACGCAACTCAGCACAATGACACCTCTAACCCACCGCGTCTACCACTCAGTCACCACCTCGCGGTTGCTCATCCAGGGTGCCATCCCGTCGGATGCCCAAGCAATCACCTATCTCCGCGATGATCCAAGAGAAATCATTTACACACCAGTCTAGCCCAACTTTTCAGCCGTGGTGTTCGAGGAACCCACGACTGGACGGACTCCCCCAAGAAGGCAGGATTGTCTACATGGCAATTATCCTACTCGATAATCCGATTTAATTAGGTGATGCTGGGACTTTGATCGGGTTTGGTGGTTTTGATGATCTTGAAGCCGAAAGTGATTCTCCTAGTGCAAATTTAATTGCAGAACAGGAGCGATCATTCGTCACGAATATCAGTGGACAGGCTATGCGCGGGCAGCGGTCTGCGCGACGGTAGAGTATGGAATATGTATGCTTGGATGTGAGAAGATCACGATGGATACGATAGTGGATATTGAATCATGGCTGGCTTCGATGCGATCGGTGGGACTGGGGTCGGTGGTACGATTGCGGGAGGTTGGTGACGAAGCAAATTCGCAGCAAGAGTGCTTTTTTCGGGTTTATAGATCGAAATGAGAGAAAGCGAAGTTTGAAATAAAGGCTAATGGGAAGTGGATGAAAAAGAAATCTGTTCAAACAAAGGAAGTAACGACGATGTTCTGCCAAGTGCCGGCCTTTATCGTCCGTCCTGCCTATAAAACTATCCTACAGCTGGACCGGGGAGATATCCAAGACAATCATAAATAAGCGGCCATGGCTCTTGTTTCTGGTTGTATTCTTAGAGAATCACTGTCACATCGTGATTCTGGAATGCTATTTTACGACTTGATGAAACTTGCAAAACTTAATCTTGTCGGCTATCTGGTCGTAAACCTAGCGGCATTGGCCGGCTGGAGGCGGATATCTTGATACTGTCGGGTATCTTAGTGGTGATGGAATCGTCCGCTCCAAGCCGCAAATACTATAAATTCAAGATTTCTTCTCATTTATCAGTTAACGAAAATAAAGATCACCAGATTCTAAAATCAGATTTCACATTTCTTGAATCCTTTCTCACCATGGGGTCCATCTCAGAAGCACCAGCCAAGAAGCGGGTGGATTCGATGTTTTCGACCCTCTCTGAAGTGCCGCCTGACGAGCCATTTGCCGTGAATGGTGCATACAAGCGAGACAGCAACCCGCAAAAGGTCAATCTCGGCATTGGCGTGTACCGAACTTCCGACGGCAATCCATGGCCCCTCCGAGTAGTTGAAGAGGCCGAAAAGGAACTTTTCGAGGCCAGCGATGTCAACAGACACGAATACCTGGCGATTCAAGGCGACGCAGACTTTCTTTCACTAGCGGCCGATCTAGTTTTCGGATTTGGTGACTATGAAGGAAGCTCGAGGCAGGTTGCCGAAAATATGCGACAGCGGGTCGTATCTATACAAACCGTGTCAGGGACGGGAGCGAATCGACTCGGCGCGGAACTTCTGGCTCGGAATATTCGACCGGGATGTGTGTGGATTCCGAACCCTACATGGGCCAACCACTACACAATCTGGGACCTCGCAGCTGTTCCGAAGAAAGAATATCCCTACTACGACTCCACATCCAAGGCTTTCGACTTCAACGGAACATTCCGCACGCTGTCAACTTATGCGAAGGCCAATGACGTGGTGATTTTGCATGCATGCGCCCACAATCCTACCGGAGCTGATCCGTCACAAGAACAATGGAAAATGCTGGCTCAATTGTGTAAAGAAAAAGGAATCATTCCCTTCTTCGACCTTGCCTACCAAGGCTTCGCCTCCGGTGACGCGAAGAAAGACGCTTGGGCCATTCGGCATATTTTTCATGATCTGAATCAGGTGGAGTTTTGCGTCGCGCAGTCTTTTTCAAAGAATTTCGGATTATACGGCCAGCGAGTGGGTGCTTTACACATGGCACTCTCTGCAAACGCGCCGACAAACGTTTCATCAAATCTGCTGGCTAATTTATGTCACCTGGTCCGTGGGGAGTATTCTATGGCGCCAAGAGGTGGTGCGGAGATAGTTAAAACTGTGCTCGGAAGCAAAGATTTGCGGAAGAAGTGGCTGGAAGACCTTACAACGATGAGTGAGAGAATCCTGCAGATGAGGCATGCCCTTTTCGACGAGTTGGTCAAATTGGGTACACCCGGTGACTGGAATCATATTACCAATCAAGTACGATCCTTCGATCGCTTGTCAAAGTTGGATCAAAGCTTGTTCTCAGAGATTTGACTAACAGAATTTCAGATCGGCATGTTTACCTACATCGGCTTGACTGAGAGCCAAGTCAGTGCCATCACAGAGAGGCATCATATTTACATGCTCAGCTCTGGCCGAATATCTATTTCGGGGTGTAAGTCTCTCAAATTTGGTGGCAGATACTTCTCCGGTCGTATACTGATGATAAGAACTAGTGAACGAAACCAACGTTCAGTATGTTGCCAAGGCAATAGATGATGTTGTTCGCACAGTGAATTAAAGGGCTGGTCCCATGGTCGGGGTCAAGGGTGTTGTGTCTGCTCGGCCCTACCTTGTGCACCAAGTGGGCAAGGTTACATATTGCCATAACAGGTGGAGAAAACATAGAACTCGGAGTAATTGCATTTACCAGCGATAATAATTCTAAATTGGACTGAAATGGTAGATCTGAGCTTGATTTGGTTTCACAAGGTCTTCCGCTCTTCGGTTCGACTTCCCTTTTGAATCAAGTACAGTGGAGCTCTCCCCCGGCATGTGTATGGCAGTGCTTGATTGGTCAGCATCTGATTTTCTAGCACTTGAAGAAAAAGGGTAATCACTTACAGCAGGTGCATCAGACGTCGTCGAAGACAATTCAGAAGCAGTCGATGTGCTCGATGTCTGATTTGCACTGGCATCGGGCTCGGCCAAGTCGCTGCCATGATGCTTTTGCTGGTTGCCTGGACATCCTGTACCTGGAACAGCGATGTCATACGCATAAGCTTCCAGCGCAAAGTACTGAAGTGTCTCCGAGTCATGTGTTGACAAAGTGGCATTCGTAGTCGCTAGGTCGACTACCTCCTCATATCCGTCCGCAAAATGTCCGATCCAGTCTTGCCCTACAGCCGGAACATGGTACAGACGATGCAGGAGATCAGACGCCCAGAATGTATTAGTCTCGGAGCCAGAAACGGTGTATCCTAAAGCACACATGGTGGAAAGAGATCGACGAGTCTCGTAACTCAGGTCGCAGATGACGGTCTCATCCGTCGCATTTTTACCGCGCCAGTGTCCTGCATATCCTATCGACAGATGACCCGATCAGCATGTGCATAATTTTTGAACAGGGGGTTTTCATACCTTGGAGATCGCAGTTTCCGTCGGGGTTATCACAGCGAAACAGAACATCTTTCTTATCGCCGTTGACCACGATGTCAAAGGCACCAATTGCGTTCATAGAAGGACTGTTGCCAAAGTACTTCCGGTAAATGTCACTATTATTGCCCCATCGCAGAATGTGTGATTTGGCATGCATAGCCAGAGAGACCGCCTCATTCAAGCCCAGATTAATCTGTCGTCGCTGGGTTGCGTTACAACTCGAGTGGATAGCAAATTCAGTAACAGCACCTGCATTCCAGGGTGTCACTTCTGCCTGACTGAAGGGTTGAGACATATTCTCTCCAATACGACCCGGAGCAGGTAGTGCGGCTGCAAAAGCTGCATAGAAGAGGGAAAGACGAAAGATAATCATTGTTGACGAGATGTTTTCCAGTTTACTCTCGATTGAGATGCATACATGGGGGCGTTATATACTCGTCTTCTCGTCTTCAGAACAGATTAGTGCCAAGAGCCAAGGAAGAACCTTGCGAGCGCAGCTATGGGTACATTATATTGTCAACCCCATTCCGCTAATTCTTATGCCAATGGCTGTCAAGCACGGCGGATAATTCTCGGCAGTGCCAAGAGCCAAGGCCGGAGGGATCGCGCCCAGGGATAGAGGCCTTGGGAACGAGTACCTTGAGAACATAGCCAAGCAGACCAGTGATTCTACACTGGAGGAATCGACAGACAAAGAATGAGTTCCTTCTTGGCAGCGAGCCAGACGAGCGGTATCCTCTTGGCCTTGGGTACCTTTGAGGTGCGACCATCGATGGCTTGCGTCCGCTGTAATTCCCTTGAGAGAAGTATCAATGATGAGCTCGTAGTAGCCTGATGCTGGAGCCCTATGTATCACGGAGGAAGAGTGAAACAGTGTACAACGGAAGGTCGCAGCCTAAATCATAAGACCTGTAATATCCATATTATGGGACATATAACTACGTCAATGAATCTTTCTGCTTTGAGTTTCCCACGCCCGCGTTATTAGTTTCCTCATTGAGACCTCATTCAGTTGTTACTTCTTCATTGCGTTGTCACTCCAAGCATAATGAACATGTTGAGGTGACGGACTGGCAGGCCCTCTCCATCTTCCTAGTTATGCCTAGTGAGATACTAGCGTCTCTCGGCGCGCCGAAAATTCCCTTCAGATTTGTTTCTTTTTTGAATTATCCATGTGCTGGTAGGCACTTAACGCGATATTTACGATTTGAGTAAGGCTCTTACGCCAAAGTTCATACCTGGACGTGAACACTTGTGTGGAGGCCGCTCAAAAAAACATCAATCAGTCAATCAAAGTTCTATTAACCTGTTAAAGCCTAACTAGATACGTCGAGGCTATGCAGGCGCTTCGTCCAAATCCGAAGCAGAGCCTGATGTCCTTAACTTCAGACTCGCGGCTTGCAATAAACAGTAATACATAGAATCACCGGTCTTCTGCAAGAGGCCGGCACAGAAAAGAGTGTACTAAATCCAAACCCCAAGCATAGAGAACCCCATATAAAATCAGACCCAAAATTACAAAGCCCACAGTATTCCACTCTTCTGCGTCCCCTCGTCCCCGTGGCATGCTCCCGCCTCTCGTTCGTCAGTCCTCTCCAAGCGCTTTGGTTCTCAGCTGATGATGTTGGCGTGGTGAATCGGTTGTAGTTGAGTGTCGACCATTCTCGGTGGTCGGGCTTGGTGTTCGTTGGTGTATGCACAGCGTCTTCACAACCTCCCTATGGCCGCAAGGCCGATTTGTTCGTGGTCATCGGCATCGTTATCGTTAGTGTCCGCTTCCGCTTCCACGTGCCGGAACTGACCGAGTAGACCAGCCTCAACGATCGTAGAGAGTAAAATTCCGGCTTTCCGATGCTAGAATAAGTATCATGAAAATCTACATCTATTTACAGGCAACATACGATATCACTATCACAAAACGTACGCTAAAATGTCTTCTTCGATTATAGGAGATTCGGGGTGTATAGCTATGTACCCGTGTACAATAGCTCACCCTTAAGTATATTTGAAGTAGAATCCAAACGACTGATCTGGGGGTGAAAACCTCTATCTAATCCAATGGCTGACGAGTTAAAGTTCTGTCGGGCAAAAGGATGATTACATCATCATTGTCGGTTCATCACGCTAGTTACTCGCCGCGGTAACAATGCTGAACTCCAATTGTTCAGATATTATATCTCAACAATCCAGGTTTATATAGATAGAGATCGCCATGCGCTGAAAGCGATGGCTTCTCGTCGTCAAACAAGAGTTCAAAAAGCGGAGTTGGGGAAGAAAGAGACTCCACATAAGCGATGAAAGAATAGCCCGAAGCGACTTTTGTCTCATTGAAGTAGTCAAATTATAGGCTGACATCACGATGATAGCTCCACGCCTATTCGATAGACCACATATATGAAGATCTTTCTAGATCATGCAAATCACTATTGACCAATATCCCTCTTCGCCAGTCATCGATTGGTAAATCTCAAGTTAAATTTATTACAATATGCAGCTGGCCACAGTATTGCCGCAACGCTCCGAATCTAGCCCTGAAGCACTTCCTTGGCCTTTTCTCAGGTATTCTCCTGCTGATAAAGACCCTATGTTATGTGTGTCTTGTGGGCGTAATCTCTTCCACTGGTGGGGAGGGATGGCAAGACACCGAACTTGTTAGTCCAAAACATACTTAATATCTGTGTACCAAGCTCATCATGCGCAGTGCATTCAACTCCAACCGGAGCCCAGCTGTTAGTTGTTTATATAGCAGATTTAAGCGGATATTGTGAAGACCAATACACTCTGATTGAGAGAGTTAGGCCGGCCTGCTCCTTTATAATTCATGAGAACTGTTTCTTTCTCCTGAAGTCACATTTTACAGACCAGGAGATCAACTTGGATAGGCTTCTAGAGGTCTCTTGGGATTTACCTTTCCGAAGGGCCCATTATATTAACGGAGGTGAGACCCTCGTTCTTGCTATTGCAAACATATCCGATCGATTTGAAAATATTGAACAAAAGACCTCAAATCATGCAGAAAGACGCCACTTTAGCCTAAGGAATTTTCGTTTCGAACCTTTGAAGCGACCTGTTATTCTCAGTCTTCGAAACGCAAAAAATCGAATTCCGAAAAGAGGCAACATAGCTACGGGCTCTAGAAACAATCTGAAGTTTATTCCGGACGGCTTTAGTTCGCTTGCGATGGAGCTCCGACAGGAAATCGCTACTTTGCTTTCTACAGATGATTTTCTGAACCTTTGATCTTCGTCTAGAGCGATGGTACCTATATTCGAACTTCAACTATTTTGGAAATCGAGATTTCGGATTAATGGAGAGCGTGGGTTTCTTAACTGTCTAGTGGAAAGCCCCAGAGATCACGAGAGTAAGGATTGGCGACTTATCTACAACGTCACGGCGAAGATTGAAAGATCTGATGGACAGCTCTGGGAACTAAGGCGAAGATGGCTAATTAACCTTTGGCTAAGAAAGTGCTGTTCAATGACTAGAGCCCCAGATGAAGAGATTGCCGGCAAGACGGATATATCTTTCCCGCAAAAATTACACTGGGAGGAGTGTCATACTAGGCTTCGATGTGACTTGGGATGCAAAGAAGGTGACGACTGTACTCTATGTAAGAATCACCTCGCAGAAGACTTTTCTTTCGTTCAAACTGTTGAATTAGAAAGCGCTATTATTAGCTTGGCCATATCCGTCTTACGTGAAGGGGGAAAGACTTTTATCACTGGGTTTGAGCTTATTAGCGCAGACATGCAAACCCCTAACGTCCTGTTTGGATACCGGCTACCAGGAGAACAAGTGATAATCGACATTCGAGACACAAAACTCAGAGGATTCACCCTTCTCAGAGGTAGGGGTGGAATCCATGCGATACGCCCCATTTTGGATACCACCAAACCTATTGTGAGCTGGATAGGTCAGCCAAAGGGCCGGACAGTCGCTAAGCCTTTCGATATCAGTCTACCGCAAGACATTAGGGTCCTTTGGGGGAAGTTTGATGTAAGCCACCTCCGCATGAGTCGTCCAATATGCAGCATCAGCAGCTAATGATCAATTAGTACTACAAGATGATTGGTCTATGTATAGCGTAAATTTCTGCTCCAATAGTGTTACTTTCTGAGTACGCATCTCCTTTGCTCTCACGTCACGTTACCCCTTTAGTACGCAATTCACAGATTGCCTATCTACTTTGATATTGCGTGACGTACTCTTATTCGTATCTCGGATTGATATTACACCCCAACGCTAAGTGACGGTAAATTGGGCGCCGAAAAAGGCTACTTTTGACGCTGTTTTAAGCGTCCTATTTACCAGAATATTAGTCATCAAATAATCACGTGATCTGATTGGCCCACTTTTATAGTGTGGTCACTGAGCACTCATAGTTACTCAGGGATCAGCTTACCCTTCGCTCAGGGTACTTAGGGCAGACAATCAGGCATATCATCATTGCCTATCATCTCTGACATCCGTGTGTAGCCGCTCATTAGAAAAATAGAAAGGCTTTCTTATTAAGTGCTAAGCCACCTTAAGCCTTTTTTTTCCTAATAGAGGCACGTGGATCGCAGGCCGACACATAAAATCTACTCCGAGAAGTCGAGAAAGCGGTACGGAAATGCGATAAAAATTTTTATTATGAGAGAAGATTAGATAGTCAAAATTGAGCGTTGCGGTGAGATGCGCGTACGACTGAGACCCACCTAACATCGTTACCGCTATAGGTAGGGAGGACCACGGCTACTTTGTCAACATCGGCTAGGTATCACAGTCAACAGTGTAGCTCGCCCGAGACATTTCAAGGTACCTACCCACACCGTAACCGCGTATGCCTGCTTCTTGTTGACTACCAAGAAACCGACCCTGCTCCTCACGGTAGTAGTCCTGAAAATAATCAATAAACAATGCCGACGATGCTCGCAAATGAAACCTTATTTGACCGGAGGAAATAGGTATATTGGCGCGACTGTCATTGTCTGCGCCTCTTGAGTCCGATGGGCTGGCTGAGCAGGGTTTAGGGTTAAGCAAATGAAGAGATCCAACGGCGCTGTAGCTTCGACCTCAAAACTCCAGAGTTTGGAATACTGGAGCACAATTCGTCTTTTTTCAACGACAATTTGAGTGATTCTGCCATGCTGCTTACCCATAAATGAGAGAAGCAAAAACTACAAGGTACAATGGTAATTAGTCTTCTGTTCCGCTACATATTATAGGTACTCACTGGGTAGATGGGATTTTTTCGGCGCGGCCCACGAGCTCTAATAAGTATCATTCTCATAATAGCTCTCATCTCGTGGAGAGTAAGGTTCTGATCTGCAAGTGTCGCATCAACATCCGCAGAGATAGTGCAAATAGCATGTGGAAGAGGTGAAGTTTCGTCATGGGCTTCCAGAAATAACGCGGATTTCCAATCCAGAGGCATTGCTTCAAGTATAACCGGGTCCCCATATGTTGTGCGTCTACGAAGGACTTAGTATCATAAATTAGTCATAGTGCGGGGATTCAGTTGTTCACGTACATCCCCTCCCATGAGCCGCGGAGATCGCCAAGACCAAAATTTGGGGGTCCATCCTTTCGTGTTGCCCCGAACTCGTATCTGATATGGTTTTCAATCCGACTACAGTGAGTGTCATCCCAGAAGTGGTATTTTTTAAGTCTCTCCTCAAGCAAATTCTGAGCCGCTCTAAGAGGGTCTTCCGGGACAGAGAGGCTCTTTTGTACCGTCTCGAGGGCGTCTTGGAGCGTAGGAACGCATGGCAACCGACGGACATCATAGTCATTTGCGGCAGCATCGATTGGATATTTTGAAGGATACCCGCCGGATGGGGATCGAAGAAATAGGCTCAAATTGTAGAACACTCACATCGCAGAGCTTTATGGAATCGTCGGCATTGGGCACGAAGTTCGTTTCTACAGAATGCCCACAAGGACTAAAAACCTAGACAGGTGGTCTAATGGGCTATACGGGACAGAACACATCTTCTCAACCAAGGCCAATCCTGGGGAAGTTCACGCAGTTATGCAGAGTTTACGTCAGCTGGTATGAAGTTTTCGTCCAGATGTCCTAAGGTGCTAAGACTGATATCAATACCAGCCTTGCCAAACAATGTAACAGAACTAAATCCTATGAAAAGTAATCAGAGAAGGGCGAATTTAGCCCTGAAGTATTGTACCGTGCAGTCATCTTATGACATTCAGAAAGGCCAAGATGTGAGTTCAAGGTTATTGGCGGTCAGCGGGCCCAAAAGGCGAAAACCTGCGTAGGCATAGAGTACAAGCACGAGCCGATTAAGATCAATTAGAGATGATATAAGAATTTTACTTCGTGAGCTATGTACACCAGACCCGAGCCACCAAGTCCAGCCTCTTTGTACTTCTCTACAAATACATAACCTTAACGCCATCTATATATACCGAGACCATCGACCGAATACATTCTGAAATATTGCCTAGTCCGAGCGCAAATACACAATACCGAGCCACCCCGTAAAAGCGGCGCCAAGAACGGATACATCTATCTAAGCTGCATGAATATGCATAATAAACACGCATCCAACGAACCGCAGATCCGAAGGGCACGACACTCTTCTTACAGATCCACCTAGAAATCAGCACCACGACAAGTCTTGGCTTACATGTGCAGACATCGCAACCTGGGATTTACAGGGTCCAGCCTAGAAACCAAAAAATAGATACATCCAAATCTTTCTATGTATCGGCTGGCCCTCTTTTAATATGAATACAAAAATCGAAAAATGGAACAGTGGCGCCTTCGCTGTACATTAGATCCCGCCGAAAAACAAATAAAAAAATAATCAAACATTGAAATGGCACAGGTCAGAATCTCGTGAATCGTGCAGCGCTTAAAAATATCTCCCCAAATGGAATGAGTAAATGGAACCCGGAGATTGACTCGAAAGGAACTGAAATATAAAACGCCCCTGAGGTATGTAGATGGCGAATGAATAAATGACAAAAATGATAAGATTGGAATTAGTAATCGGAGTACGTCTCATAATGAGAGTATCCGTTTTGGGGTGGGGCCCAGGCTGTGTTGCGGAGACGGCGTTCTGCGGTAAACCATCGATGTTAGTTATTTGATTCGGGCTGGCGTGCCAAGGTAGTTGGAGGAGGGGAATATGCTTACCCTTTTCAAAATCACGCCACCGCTTCATAGTAATCTGTGAACTGTCGAACTCGCCCTCGGCATCACCGTGTCCCTTATCCTTCTCACCGGCCGTCTTACGGGTGTCACCCCAACTGAAGTCGTCGAATTTCCAGAAGGCATATGTAGGCAGAACGAAGTTCCAAATTGGTAGGGAGCAGAGGTAAATCAGCATCCAAAGGACGTAGACAAGACGGTGTGCGGTAACAATGATCAAGACTCCGGGGAGACCGAGGATAAGAGCCAGCAGGACGAGGGGAATGACCTGGACAGGCCTGCGGATAATAGAGGAGATTATGACATAGATGGTAAATGCGATAGCGGCGGGGAGGACGAGGGTTCCGATTAACTCGATGAAGATGACGAATTGCATGCTGAAGCAGAATGTACCGCAGAGATCACGGACAAGGACGAGTTCGAGAAGGTTGTGGACGGTACTGTTGATCCAGCGGCGGCGCTGGGAGAGAAGGACCATGAATTTGTCGGGAACCACAGTTTTGCAGACGGCTTGGGGGACGAAGATTTGTTTGCGTTTGGGGAAGGTTTTAAGCATAAGGGTTGTGAGGTAACGGTCTTCGCCGAGGAGAAGGAGGTTCTTCTTGTGGAGAGTGTCGACTACGTTTTCCGAGTAGTGTTCCACGATGTCGGGGTTGGCGAGGATGGGGACCCAGTAGTTCTGGCCGCCTTTGGGGGCTTTGATTCGGTACATAGTGAAACAGCCGGGGAGACAGGTGACACCACCGAAGACGGACTCGAAAGATTTGGCTTGGTGATGAGAGATGAAGTATCTGGAATGAGGGTTAGTGTTTGTGTCACTGGTGATAGTACTGAGGAAACATACTCGAAGACTTGGATCATCGTCACCCAGCTGTCTGTCTTGTTGGCAATCTTTGTCTCGCCACATAGACCCATGATCTCGGGGTCCTTGACCATTGCGGAAACCATGTGTGTTAGACTATCTGGGAAGACCTTTGTGTCGGCATCAACCATGAGAACAACCTCGTAGAAGTCAGGCGGAATGCCGGTGACATTCCACAGTCCGTTGAACATCTCGAATTCGAGCTCTGTCATGCGCTCATCGAACATGACCTTCTGCAAGAAGGACATCAGGATGATCTGACTGTCTCGCTTGCCTCGGTTACCCGGCTTAGAAACAGTCGATTCGGCAGGAGTACCGCACTTGACAATGACCATCATGGGAACACGCTGCTGTCTTTCTAGGGGGATAACGGAGGTTTCGCCGTAGTCGTAGAAACCAGTGTACACCTTGGACATGTTGTGACGCTTCGAGCCAGTTGCCACAGCCACGTAGGAGAAAGGCTGAACCTCGCTAGGGGGAATGACATGGTCTTTAACCATGCCGAGAACAATATCGGGAGTAGAGAATTCTTCTCCTTTACCCTTGATGATTCCGTCACAAATGACAAGGATGGTCTTGTGGCTGTTTGGGTAATCGGTCATGGCAATGGAGTCCAGAGTAGATCGAATGCCCTCTTCACCTTCAGAGTAACATGTAACCAGACAGAGCGAATGAGCCAGTGGGTAGCCGAAAGGCTGCCAGTCGGCAGGAGGTTGCGGGACGACGGCTTCGTGGATGAACCCGGCAGGACCAGGACCCTCAGATTCGGAATTGATTCTCGCAAATTCCGGGTCTTGTTGTCCCGGTGCCAAGCTTGTGCGACTTACGGCAGGGTTACTCAGGGTACCGCCACTGCTGTTGTGGCTCATCTTGTACATCGTTCCTGTCGTCGTGGAGCTCGGCATAAGTCGAGAAGTTGAGTTTTGACTGGCCATGGTGACATATTGCGAGGGCTGTTTGCTACCACTTGCAGCGTTGACGTTGTATGGACTGGAGAAGCGAGAGGTCGTAGGTAGGAAGCTGGCACGCTTGCTGACTGAAGGAACCGGAGGATCAGCAATTCGAGGACCGGGCCGGTAGATATCGTTGGACCAATCTTCAATCTGCTGGTTTCGGGTCCGTGTATCAGAGCTCATACTCGTTTTCTGAGCGGCGAATTTAGGTGCTAGGAACCATTGGAAGAGCAAAGCGAAAGCAAACTTGACGACGACAATGGAGAGAATGAAGATCAGGGAGACGTAAAGAACGACCTTGGACGCAATGCACCCGACGGTGTCGGTATCGATGCTACCCACTTTGATGATCTGTTCCAAGCATTTCCCAACCTTCTTCTGGTCACCGCTCTGAAGGTAGTATGTGAGATCAACACCGCGGACGGCGGGGTTCTCACGCAGCAAATCGAACTCATTGGGATATGAGACCTGCGATGTGTTAAACCAGCGCAAAAGATCCAGGTCCAGAACATTGCCCGAGTACACGGCCAAGTTACGACTCTTGTTCTTGGTGTCCTCCCAAGTATAATATACATCCCCGGAACTCTTCAGAGAATAGAATGGAGTTCGTGCGGCTGAACTGGTGTGGCAGGCCCAACCAAGGTAGTAAGAAACCGTCCCATTGGGCTCTGATGAACCGTCCTGGTTGAAGGGTTGGCAGGGGAAGTACCATCCAAGATCACCCTTCGAGTTGGTGGGTACGTCGCCGCCGTCAACCGCGGTAATGAGACCCTTGCAAGCACCGTTGACTTGCTGGAAGAAAAAGCTGCCATCTTGGCCGCCGTACTTGTGAGGAAGATCATACAGTACATTGGTACCAGCAGGAATGCCCTCAGCAGCAGGATGCTTGGAGTTTGTCAGGTCGTATGCTTCTCCGTGGAAAATCATGTAGCCATCGCCAACCTCATTCACCTTTAGACGCAGCGGAGGTGTACCGCAAACCGTAGCGGTGAAACCGAAAGTCAGGAAACCAACGAAGGCAGCGATCATTAGAATGAGACTGATCAGGCCGATCTTCTCTCGCCAAGCAGTGCGCTGTTCCTTCTGCGGCATGCCGAAGCACTTCAGCACGAAATCCGGAATCAGGCAACTGACAAGGGCGCAGTAGGTGGTCCAAAGGTCTGGTGGCCGCGCCGCATCCAAAGCCTTTTGTCGCTGTCGATCCTGCGCCGATGCGCTCTTAGATACTCGACGAGAAGACGACCTCTTCTTCTTTTTTGAGCGATGACGGCTAGGCGCCCGGTCCATGGGTTTATTAATATTTCCATAATCCTTAGTCTTGATACTCATGCTACGAGAGCTATTGGTCTCAACCTCGGCGTCGCGATTGAGTAAGGGGTCGTTTCCGGTCGCAGAGGGATACGTAGGCATTTGCTGCGATCGCTGACGATAATAATAATCGCGATTTTCCTTGTCCACATGACGTCGCTCGGGTTTGACGAGGTTCTTCTTGCGTCTCACATCCCCGCCTCTTTCCATGCGCTCCTCGTCGGTGTCCGCCCCGCGGCGGTGGCTGTGTGAGTGTCGGCGGTGTCGACGATGTGAAGAGGGGGAGGATTGGGGGTCGTCGCTGTAGGTGCCGGTTTCAATGTCTCGGCGACGATGGCGGCGTGTGGACTCGCGGAAGGCGCTTCGCTCATCTCGGCGCGGGGAGGCCTTGCCCGGCCGCTGCGGCAAAGACATCAGGCTTTCTGGGACGGTTTCAGGTCAGACTCGGGTTGACAATGGGTTGGATCGGTGTCGCACCTACTTTTAGAAGGTTGTGGTCATGCACACAGGCTTAAATTAGTAGAAATGATCTGGAACAAGTTGTTGTTCTGTGTCTATCGGCGCATTTCCCCGGCGATCAACAAGCCGCAGCAACTCTGATCTCCGCACGAAATGCGACGTGTGGATGGGCTCGAAGGTCGAGGGTATTGACGAGGGTATTGACGAGGGTATTGGCGAAGGTCTTGAAGAATGGAGATCTTGTCTAAGGACAGACCCGATCTGGATCGAGACACTAGTCGAGACTCTGTGGGTTGTCGGCCGGTGCAACGAGAGCCGGGGGTGGAGAATAAACAAAGGTCCACACTCGGGTCCGCACGAGAACGAGAGTCGAGAAAGAACGGAATAAAAATAAATCAGATATCAAGCTAATCACCTTCTTTATCACAGAGATGCCCGAAGGAAAAGAGAAGAAAGTGAGACAGTGAGACAGTGAGACAAAGGTTAAGGTGGAGAGTCAGGGTCTCCAGGCCGAGTCACTTGGCACCAGCACTCGGAGTAACTAACAGCAACAGCACTAACAGCCCCTAAGACCTTGCGTTCGCCTCCAGATGGAAACGAGCTTCCCATTTCCCCTAATTCTGTCGCTAGGGGCAATGGCCGGGGTACACAGCAACCCAATCAAGGACAGTAAAAACTCGGCCCAAGCCCAGAGGCAAATCACAGCGTCTCGAACTAAGCCAGACCTAACCCGAATGAGGCTAAAGCCTGGCTTTTCACGCGAATGTGAGGGGAAGATCAAGCCGAGGGCTTATTTTTGCTCTTTTTTTTTCTCATCACGGGGCTATTTTTAATTTCGCTATGCTACATGGTACATTGGTAGCCCAGGATGATTCCTCTGTTCCGAGCCCCCGTTATGCACATGCACAATATCGTCTGTTTCTTCGCGTATGATCTCTCGCAAGACCCACCAAGACCCTTCGACCCCTTGACCCTTCGGGAGAGCCACTCTACCCGACACACCTTGTCGACAAAATTCACTTCTTATTGTGGGGACATTGTGAGCTTATAGCCCACGGCTTACAACCCTAATACGGGAAGACTTCATGGAGGCTTTCCACTTCAACCACGGTGTCCTTGGTTAATTTCCTCTCCGAGCCCTATGCCCATATTCCATTTTTGTCGGGCCGGTGGACATGAGCTGCTAGTGCATGTCTATGTAGCTCCAGCATCGATTATTGCCATTAGCACAAAAAGAGCGTGCGCGTGCCTTGCTGCCATGTCGTCAGACACCTGCGGCCTCACGACAGCGATGAGAAGCATCATATCCTCGTTAGCTAAAGCCACACCCGCTTTCGTAGAGATCGTAGAATAAAAATATTTGAGAGCTGAAATTCAAAGGTCTATTCCCGTAGCTCCCTGTGCTCGAGTACCTCCCAATGCGATCGGCAGGCGATCCCTGCAGCACTCCACCCTCTCCAGATTATCATAAACAGCAGTCATCATTATCTAAATGATCACTAGTAAATTTTTATTCCCAGGCAGCCCAATCACACCATCAAATGTGTACATGTGTTTTAGGAACCTAGTCCAAATCCGACCGCTCAACAACCCCGACCAGAAGCACGGAAAATCACCCACGAACAAGGAGCCTCCCTCTTCTGTGGTTTCCTTTGCACTGGTCTTGTCCCATGCGATGGGAGTAATGATTGAGACACCATCTTCCCTGATGGAATGACACCAATCACCTCCAATAGGAGGGAAATAACTCCGATGGAACTCGGGTTTGTGGGGTGCCGGTATGCGCCACTCGCGAGGGGCTATTTCTGGCGAGTTTACACTTTGCTGCCTGCCCTGGATCGGTGAGATTCGATCCCAAGAATTTCAAAATCAAAGAAATCAAGAAAACAAGAAAACAAGAACCTTGGCCTTCAAAGGTCGCTTTTTTCACTTCCCTGATCTCCAGATGTTGCCCAGCAAGGAGATCTCAGGTCCACTCGGGCCGTGCGAGTATGGCATAGTCCCAGCACGGAGACGAAAAACTCAATTTAACCCTTTGCCATGGAAGGGATGTTGATAGATATAGCATGGCGCGATTTCAGTTCCCGTTACCCGCCGAATCCAAGTCCGTACATTTCATGTACTCAGGCGTCTGCGGTTTCAGCCGGGGCACGCCGGACTATTAATATGTCAAATAGAGAGGCCAGGTCTTGACACGGTAGGAATGCAGGCGTGGCTGCAGGGTATGCCGGGAATGCCGGGGCGTTCGTTTCCGCTAGTGGGCTGTATTGAATTCCCCGTTTTTACTAGCACGATGCGAGGATGTGTAGATTTGTGCCCCAGCGTCGTCTCCACACGATCGCCGAGCTCCACTGAACGCATGGCTATAGGATGCTGTTCGGCTCGGCGGGCTGGCGTCGCGAAACATGGAAGCGAATGGAATCAGGTGCCGATGCGGAGGATGTCTCGGTTGACCGCTACTGTAGATTCGTGGGCCGTGGATGGGGGGTTATATAGACATGTGGTCTCCGTTCGTGAGCTGCCTCCGCATATTTGCAGAGTGGATCACGTCGTACAGAGTATTGTGATCAGGCTCTGGTCCCGTGCTATACGAGGAGTACAGCGACCCTAAAATAGCGAGAGCCTAGCTCCACCCTTCAGTCGTCTGACTTGGTTACCAGGGGCTTTTTTTTAATTTTGTATCGCCGAGTTCTGTCAAAGACATAAAAACTCGAATTCTCCAGCCTAGTTACGGGGTAGGACTGTGTAGGCAGGTACCGAGGTTTAGAAGCAATGTGGCAACAATCAAGTAAATAGTTCAGCCTTCCCAGCTTTATCAATCAATAGGAAGAAACTAGCGACTGGCACTCCAAGTGGGGAGCCTGAAAGTGGAGGCTGTGATCTTTGTCGCTGTTGGCTGAAACACTACTTTTTTGCTAAACTTCCCCCCTCCCCTTCCCCTCGCTTCATCCAAGTCCTTCGCTCAGGCTCACTGTTCACCCTCGTTCAGAATTCGTTTGTAAGTACCTAAATGATAGACACTGGCTATTTCGTTCATGACGAAGCTTGCTAACTAGCCGCAGTATTTGGCCCACAACTGGGGCTACCCGACCCCAACTGAACCCTTCCGTCTCCACGGCTCATTTGAGCTCTCATTGGAACCCAACATCCCATTCTCCATAGAGAGATAAAGGAGAGAACTTCTGTCACTTCATTCTCTCTATGTCAGCGCATTAAAACCCTCACGATTTCTCCCGTCGCTGACTCCGCATTCCACTCGCTTTTTTTTTTTGGACCCTTCCCCTCAAGCGGCCCGACAGTCGTTACTCGCACTAGCACATAATGGCTGCTCATCTCATACCCGAGCAGCCCATTCCATCGCCTCCTGCAGCTTACCTCCAACCTTCTCCCCCTTTCCCCTCGGATCAGACCATAACTCGGACACCACCTCGTCAGCCCCAGAGCCTGCAAATCACTCGACCTATGCCCGGAGAGTCCAGAGATTCGCCCGTCATCCAGCATTCCCCTCGATCGCCAGTCAAGATTGACCACGGGATGGAGCTACCTCAGGCATCCAGCGCCCGCATTGAGAGTCTACACAACGGCCGTCGAACGCCCCAGATCGAGCTCCCCGAGTTCGCCGTTATGTCCATCGAAGACCCCGCGGAGCCGCAACAGGCATGGAACCCTTCATTCCCGCCGCGACGGGACTCGAATCAAACCCCACATTATGTTCACCAGCACCCCTATGGCCACACGCCTGCTAGCAGCGGCTCTTGGTCTGTCGTGGACAACCAGCTCAAAGACGAGACCAATGCCAACCCTAAAAAGAGTGCGTCGTCGCTGGAACGTGAGATGGAAAGCCACAATAGCTCTTCCCACGGCAGCTTGGAGAGCTTCACTCAGACCTCCGATAGCTATGAACCTCTTCCATATCATCACCAGCACCTTGAAAACCAACAGGCTGCTCGAGCGTCCAAATTGGGAGTGAGCCCGGCGGATAATCCCTCTGCTTCAACGGGAAACCTGGCTGTGAGAAAACCTCGTCTTTCTCGGCCACTGTCACAGTACTCCTCAGGCGGTTCTGATGTAGGTGGTGGAAATCACCGACGCAATCTATCAGCATCTCCATACTTGCATGCTCAATCTCCTTCACGAAATTCTGCATCTCCCGATCCTCGCCCTCTCTCTGTCCTCAATCTCTTAAATACATCTTACCCCCAGCCCGGTCCAGCCGTTACCTCATTCGACAACTCACGTCTCCAATCGTCTGTTGGTAACAGCGCATCATTGTTAAGCCACAAACAGACCTTCGAGATGTACCTGGCGAACGTCAAGAAAACAGATGAACCAGCCGTGCAGTACGAATTTGCCGTCTTTATGATCAACTCCATGCGCGAAATGCCAAGCGTCGACTTGGAAGACTCGAGCTCAATTACCCGCCAAAGACTCTCTCGCGAAGCCAAGTCCATTCTCCAACGCCTCTCCGACCGCAGCTACCCATTCGCGCAATACTATCTCGCAGACGGCTATGCATCTGGGCTATTCAACAAAGACAAAGAAGACTACGATCGTGCATTCCCGATGTTCCTTGCCGCTAGCAAACACGGTCATGTCGAAGCTTGCTACCGCACTGCACTGTGCTACGAGTTCGGGTGGGGCTGCCGAAGGGACGGCGGGCGCGCTGTTCAATTTTACCGCCAAGCCGCGTCTAAGAACCATCCAGGTGCGATGCTTCGCATGGCCAAGGCGTGTTTAGCGGGCGACATGGGTTTAGGAAAGAGATACCGTGAAGGTATCAATTGGATGAAGCGGGCGACCGAGTCATCTGACGCTCAATACAACTCCGCGCCGTATGAACTTGGCGTGATGCATGAAACAGGCTTTGGCGACGACGTGTTCCCCGATGCATCCTACGCCGTGCAACTGTTCACAAAATCAGCCGAACTTGGCCACGCCGAGGCAAACTACCGAATGGGCGATGCCTACGAGCACGGGAAGCTCAACTGTCCCCGTGATCCTGCTCTGAGCATTCACTTCTACACCAGTGCCGCGCAAAACGGGCATCCCTTGGCAATGATGGCCCTCTGCGCATGGTACCTCGTCGGAGCCGAACCAGTCCTCGAGAAAGACGAGAACGAAGCCTACGAATGGGCCGTACGCGCTGCTGCCACAGGTCCGTTCCACCGCTCTCAAAAATCTCACTCCAGCTAACCCTCTTTACCACAGGCCTCGCAAAAGCTCAATACGCTGTCGGCTACTTCACAGAAATGGGAATCGGCTGCCGCCGCGACACTCTCGAAGCCAACGTCTGGTACGTCAAAGCCGCCGACCAAGACGACGTACGCGCCAAGCACCGCATCGCAACCATCCGAGCCGCAGCAGACGGCGCAAACCCGACCCCCCCCAATCAAAAACAACGGCCGTCTTAAGAGGTCGGAACCCAAGAGCCAAGGTACATCCTATCTATCCGTTCCTCGAATTCACAACCTAGACCAAAACTAATATGACCAAGAATCTGAAAAACCTAAGCCAAAGCGCTTCGTTATTTTTTGAAAACTTCATTCGTCCCACCTTCACATCTACAGCTCCTTGATCGCTGTGAGAACTTCAAAATAACCTTCTCTCAACGCAATGATATCCCCACCATGTCACTATCACGACCAGCATCACCATCTCATCCGGTTGATCTACTCGATTCACTCCCCGAAGATCAAGCTCCAATCCTACGCGCTGATATTCCTACTTTCTCTATCCTGCATAATCCTTCATTATACTCATATTCATAATCACGGTTGCATGTCCCGCTCGGCCTGGTAGTCCGCCATCTCTGAGCGACCAATGTTTGTGTATAGCGCTCCTTTACTCGCATTGATTTTTCGAATCTGGCAGAGTTCTGCGAGGTTCCTAGCGATGGAACTAGGCGTTCTTAATGAGTAAATGAAAATTTCGTTTCTCTGGGTTAGACCTTCGATTGTAAATTTACTCAACGGGTTGTCGTTGTTAGCCATACATGGGTGCACACGGGCTCATCTCTTTGATTCACTGGTCATGAGCGCAAAGCGTCCGAGGAGCTGAAGACCATGATCACTGGAAGAAAGCTATGACACACTTCCAACCGTTCAGGTCCGTCGCTATGCACGCACGTAAGGTCCTATGAAATACTCAGTTGTCGAAATACAGTTGCGGACAAATCTCCGCCTTCCCCGCATGCCAGCACGAAGGGTGCCACCCTGAATTACGCCCTAGATTGTTCACAAATCCCAAAACTAGCCTCATACAAGTGACCTACGGATTCAAGTGCGATCTGAAATTTTGGAACAAGCAGAAAGCCTTGAGATAAGTCTCGTGCTCAGAACATAAAGGAAGATATACACAATGGCTTGCAATATGGTCCTGAGCGCAGCAAAATATACATATCCCAGTGAAACATCCCGTCACGCCGCAACCATCCTCGGATTCCCATCAACACACTCCATCGCCTCGGAATATTACGAAACCGCATGCTTCGAAATCGCCAGCCTGGCATGTGCCATATCTGAGTTCGAGCCAGTCAGATTATATACGCGCACCGAGGATATCTCTAAAGCTCAATCGAAAATCAAAGAAGCCGACACCAAGTACACAAGCAACGCGGCAAACATATCAATTGTTCCATTTCCCACCAACCACCTCTGGACCCGAGACACAGGTCCCGTATACGTGTATAGCGGTGAAGGAGCCCACAAAGCCCGTTACGCTATAAACTTCCGCTTCAGCGAATGGGGAAGAAAAGACAACATTGGTGACGATGATCGGGCCACGGATGGTCTTGAATGGCCTGTTATGAACCAAGAGCAGCTTCAAGAGAATGCAAGTTTCGCGAGCAGAGTCATTGAGTCAGATACCTCCCCGTCACCAGTGAATCTGGTCGAGTCGAAGATCTGTCTTGAGGGCGGTGCACTCGTTGTGGATGGCGAGGGTACCCTTCTCGCAACGGAAAGCAGCATCTTGAATGAAAACCGCAACCCAGGCCTCTCTCGCGCCGAAGTAGAGGATGAGCTGCGCCGTTTGTTAGGCGTTCAGAAGATCATCTGGTTTCCAGGACGGAGGGGTCTGGATGTCACAGACGTGCACGCCGACGCTGAAGTCATCTTCATGAGACCTGGAGTCATTGCACTTTCGAGACCACATTCAAGCGCGCCGAAGCCTTGGCAGGAAGTCTATGAGGAGATTCGGGACATTTTGAATGAAAATGTTGATGCGAGAGGTCGGCGATTTGAGGTTCATATAGTTGATGAGCCGGACCCGAAGGTTTTCGGGGAGTTGGCCTATGATGAGCCGGCGACTAATTATGTCAATTGCTATTTTGTTAATGGAGGGCTTATTCTTCCGCAGTTTGGCGATGAGCGGCGGGATCGCGAGGCACTGGATACGTTCCGGGGGTTGTGTCCTGATCGTGTAGTGAGACCCGTTCTTGTCCGTGGGCTGCCGTTGGCGGGAGGTGTAATTCATTGTTCTACGCAGCCTGTTCTTGCTCTTGATGAGCATTAGGAGTGGGCTCAAGTCCGATAGTGAGGTCTCAGTGGTGTTGGATCCCTAAGATTAGCTGGGCATAGTGCAGTACATAGGGGCTATCAACCTCGGGCGTTGCGTCACACAGGGTACCTTGGCTATTCCGCGGCATAATTCACATCAAGTGCTAATGAATGATATTGATGAACTACCGTCTGAAAGCTTCCAAACAGGAACTGAACTGCCCCACAGGAGCTTCTGCCTGGAAGTCTCCACTTGGTGCTTTGTTGCCTTGCGCTACTCAGGCAGCAGCCCCCAATTTGGCCTGCATCCTCAGGCCGAAATAGAATGTATTCATTCAAAAGCCATCCTTTTCTCCTTCTGTTCCATTCGCTCTTCAGCTGTCTTCAACGCTCTTATCCCTACTCTCATATCCGTCTCTCTTTGTGACATGGTTACATTGAAGCCGCATTTATCCTCAATACCCTCTGACCTATCCTCGAATCCCGCTTTTGTTTACACACAACACCACACGGTCTCGTCCGTCCGACTTTGTGTTTAATCTATCGAATTTCAGCGCCATGGCTTCGCGGAATTTCAAGAAAACTGTTATCGCCGTCAGCGGAACTTTTCCCGGCTACAAGCATGGTCAGTTCCCTCTCACTCCAACCGCGGAGGAATTGACCCCACACGGTCGATCGCCCGCACGTGGATATCGAGATGACACTGACACCTGTCCTGCAGCTGATCTGAAGAACTTCGTGGAAGACCAGAAAGCTACATTCTCGACTTCTGTTTCTGAGTCATGCACTCACCTAATTACCACTCCAAAGGACGTGGAAAAGAACACCACGAAATGTGAGTTGGGCCCATGTCAACACTCTGAGTCTTGGCATTGACCAAATATCAGACAGGGCTGCCTGTGAGATTCAGTCTTGCCAAATTGTTTCTCTCGACTGGTTGCTCGATTCCCTTGAGGCAAAGAAGCCACTCGCCGAGGAAAAATACATCCTGGGCTCTGGCTCTGGTCAAAACGGACTCGACCAGGACGTGCCAGAGGATTCCGAGGACACGAAGACTACTACTCAAAAAGGCACAACGAAGGGCACTCAGCGTGATACAGCTGCCGTTACTTCCAAGCTCGGCGTAAAAAGCAACTCCTCGACTGATGCCAAGACAGACGCGAAGGAGAACGCCCAGGCCTCCGGCAAGAAGCGCGGCTCCGCACTGCTTGATGGTATGGAGGAAGATGCAAGCAAAAAGTCCAAGGATGCTCAGAAGGCTGGTTTCAAGAACCTTAACATCCCTGTTGATGAAGGTTTTCTTCGGGAAGAAGTTAAACACAAAGGTGATTTGACCCTTTTCCCGTTACCATTTGTTCATCAGTCTGACTGATACACAATATTCAGGCCCCGAAGTGTACATCGATGACACAAACCTGATTTGGGATGCCACCTTGAATCAGACTGTGGCCGCTCAGAACAATAACAAGTTCTACATCATCCAGCTGCTTTCCGTCTCCGGCGGTAAGAATCACTTCACCTGGACCCGATGGGGCCGTGTTGGTGAGTATGGACAGCATGCCTGTCTGGGAAGTGGTAGTCTGGATGAAGCGATCGGTCACTTCATGAAGAAGTTCAAGGACAAGTCGGGTCTGAACTGGGAGAACCGACTGGATACCCCAAAGGCAAAGAAGTACACCTTCATCGAGCGCAATTACGAAGAGGATGACGAGGAGGAGGAAGATGTGATCAAGAAAGAAGAAGGCGATGATACCAAACCGGAGATTAAGAGTGCTCTATCTAAGCCCCTGCAGAACCTCATGAGCTTCATCTTCAACAGCGATCACATCAACTCGGCCCTGGCGTCCATGTCATACGACGCGAAGAAGTTACCATTGGGAAAATTGTCAGACCGGACGCTCAAGAATGGATTTACAATCCTGAAGGAACTGTCTGAGCTCATCGCGGATCCGAACCTGGCAGGCTCCAACTACGAGACTGATTACGCGACTGCGACAGAGCACCTCAGCAACCAGTACTTCACAACCATCCCGCACGTTTTTGGTCGAAATCGGCCCCCCGTCATCAACTCGGACGCCCAGATTAAGAAGGAAGTTGAGCTTTTGGAAGCTTTGACCGATATGGATGTCGCAAATGAAATCATGAAAGTTTCCCGAGAGGCTGAGGAGATCAACCAACTTGATCAACAATTCCAGAGCCTCGGAATGGAAGAAATGGCCAGGCTTGACCACAAGTCGAGTGAGTTCGATGAGCTGTCCAATTATCTGTCAAATTCGCGCGGCGAAACACATCATCTTCGCTACGAGGTCATCGATATCTTCCGCATCGAGAGACGGGGTGAAAATGATCGCTTCAACTCATCTGTCCATGCAAATATCAAAAACAGTGACCGCCGACTTCTCTGGCACGGCTCCCGGAGTACGAACTTTGGTGGAATCCTCAGCCAGGGTCTTCGCATTGCCCCACCTGAAGCTCCCGTGAATGGCTACATGTTCGGCAAGGGCGTGTATCTCGCAGACACGTCCAGCAAGTCTGCCAACTACTGTTGCCCCTATAGCAGTGGAAATATGGGTTTGCTTCTTCTTTGTGATGCTGAGCTCGGAGACCCAATGCTAGAGCTGATTAGCAGTGATTACAATGCGGGTGAGAACGCCGCCAAGGAAGGCAAGGTTGCCACTCTTGGTCAAGGCCGGAGCATCCCTGCGGGGTGGAAGGATGCAGGTTGTCTGAACCCGGCTCTGCAGGGTGTCAAGATACCGGATGTCAGCACCGGTACCGCGGAGAGGAAAAACGGGGCCTGGCTCCAGTACAACGAGTACATCGTCTATGATGTAGCTCAAATTCGCCAGCGATACTTGTTTTATGTTCATATGCGATGATCTGTCTCTTGTTCTTATCCTACAGCATCTTCGTGGAGTTTTTGTTTATAGATGGGCACTGCGACGGAGTCTGTTTTAAAAAGGAGGGATCTACCCATGCTCCAAGGTTATAACTGAAGACATCGATAGTTATTTCAAATATTTCAATTTTGTATCAATCAAGAATTCAAGCAAAATCCCCTTCGTTTTGAAGTGAATTCCTCCGTACAACATGCAGCTCACAGCCTTTTGCCTATCCACACAAAACCTCCAACTTCCCACCATCAACCCACCAGTGGACATGGTTCCTATCCCCAAGTCTTCCTAAATCTTCATCCCCAAATCACGCCCTACAATTCTCCTCCGACAGCACAGCCTCATACTCCAAATCCTCCTTAATCATCCTCGCCTCGGCGCCCTTCTCCTTACAAAAATCCCCAAACCCATCCCCCTTATCCGGCACAACACAATAAGCTTTCGAAGAACACCACCTCCCCGAAGCAGCCTCACAAACTTCAATGTTATCCTTGAATACAGTGTCCTTGCAGTTCCAGATGGAGTACTTGATCTCGTGGTCTGCTTGGATGGTACATGCAAAGTAAATGGTGCCGTTGGATGACATTGGGTGAAAATCGCCGTCTTTACACGTCATTGAGCATTGGTTGTTGCTGCCACATTCTTGGTTCGCTTTTAGATAGGCGGACTTGGTGCTGTTTGTCGTACTGGTGCTGTTGGTGAAGGGGATTGCGTAGGTGAGGGTTAACAGAGGGAGGAGGTGAAGGAGTTGGAGATGCATCTTTTCTAGACGGATATTAAGATTGAGGAGCTCGCAAGGGAAGGGAAGTCTCGGACCTGTTGAGTCGGGCTTTGTATTGCTTTATGATATATGCTTGTATGCTGATAAGTTGTGGTTCCGTAGCTTCGGTAGTCAGTCGGGTTTTATACTCTGACACGCTCATTGCAATGACGAAATGCAAATCACTCCTTTAGAAATCTGGGGTATGGAGAACAGTCAATGGCACCCCAGACTACTATATCCGCTCCTATTGGCTCTAGCCCGCAGAGCCATCATTCCAGGGGGTTGGTCTGCAGATCTATTCTGGCAACGATTCTGTATGGACAGAATGCTCGATGCCTAGAGGTGGTAAGCGTTTTTTTAATCTAGGGCTGAAACGCGATTATGCGCGGACCTGAAGCCGCGAGCTCAAATTGCCAAGCCTTGTGCAGTGTTTGGTTCACGTATTAGCTGGATCAAGGGGTTCATAGGGGTTACCTGATCCCCCGAAGTATGCACCGTTGGAAGGTGCTTGAAGATACCCTGTATGACATCATTGCGTAGCAAGACTTAGGTTCAAGTGGTATGGGAATGTAATTTGCGAGAGCTCACATTGCCTCCTCCAGTAATATTATAAAAGTGATCGTTTTACAAACTCAACCCGGTTATCTCACCCTATTTCTCATCACATGTTTGAGTTTTAGCTACAGATGCTCATAGTAATCATATAAGCACATACGACCATAGGGTGTGGAAAATAGGGAGGCTTCCCGTCTGCTTAGCCGTACTTATGCCGCTACTTCTGTATAGCCAATTCTCGAAGAGCGCTTAAGTTCCCTATCTTTCTCAAACAGCGACGGAAACTGATTAAGGGTAAATTTAGCTAACATAGGTAGAAAGGCTAGAGAAAGGGGTAAGAGAGGTAACAACGGGGTAGAATTCTTACTGTCAGCCGCAGAGGAAGGCGATACCACGAGGGCTTTGTGGCGGTGTCTATCTCGGGCCGTGGACTGTCCGAATAAGAGTCTGAACAACCGCTGCTTGGTATTTGTGTTTATGCCTAGCTCGGACACAATAGAAGAAAAAGATACATTGCTAGAAGGCAAAAATAAACACGATTCGAAACAAAGCACCCGGCTCTGGGTCAGCGGCAATGGCATTTCGGATGAAAGAATAGAACATCAACAAATAACAGCTGGGAAAATCAATGCAGTAAGCTGTGAAGTGCTATTTATCGACAGAAAATGAGAGACTTATCCGGAGAATGGTAAAGCAGCAACATGATAGTGGGCAACTCCAGGATCTATCAGATCTGTTTGCAGGGAACCTCGCCCCACTCCGACCGGACCCACTCCGAGACCCGAAAGACTTTGGTCCGATACCTTGAACACAAACGATCTCACGGGTCCGAAAGCTTTCCCGTAAGCCCATGTGTAATAATATATAAGAGTAGCTATGCTCTACATCTCCAGTAGCTCAGCCCATCGCGCGACACACCCTTCAGAATTCCAACTAAAAGCCCGAGAGTCATCCTTTGAATTTAACTGCAATCACTCTACCAATGTCTTCATCAGAGCTACCTTCCTACTGGGAGCAAGGCGAACCCGAGGCTTCCTCAAACGATTCCCAAGAAAATCTTCCAGCATACTCTGAATGTACAACCGCCCGCACAGTGCCAATTTCGTCCGGTCAATCATCATCCCCAACGTTACCCAGCATTAAATCAGCCATCTGGTCCTTCATAAAAGGTAAGCTTCGCTTCGTCCTCATAACCCACCATAAGATAGCTGTCCGCTGACTTCATCGGTAGGCGATGTGTATAAGCACCATCCAGCCTTCACACAAGAGAGATACCTCGACGCGATGATGAAGGGTCAGAGAACGAATAATTGATCAAGGGATCGATTAGCTTCGGGTGAAGATATTATGCGGTCTTCGGCATTCAACCATCCTTGTCCGTAAAATAGGCCCCTGAATCGGACCCCGAAACCGGACCCTGAAACCCCTAAAACACAGAAAAACTAAACAAGTTCAGCAACTCCATTCCAAATGCCCTGGATGTGGACAGAGCGGATGCTCACCAAACTGTGGCAAACATGAAGAAGCAATGATTGAGATCCTGAACCTGATGATCACTTTGTATTTAAGATAGTACTCTTGTTAAGCTTCCTGAGATTGTATTTACATTTGAATTCGATGAGTTGCCAATCCAAAGATTTCCCCTTTCCTAGTAGTAGCAACAGTAGTAGTTTTCATATACCCATTGGCCTCCGCAACCCATAAGTAGGGAAACCATGTATGAAAATCTGCTTATGACAAGATGGGAAATTCGAAGTCAATACTCAATTGAGGGGTTGCTTATGCTACTATAAAATGTTTAGATTCGGTATAAGTATTGTTGCAGGAGAGCGATTTCTTAAACCCAGCGCCGGTGGCTGTGGCTTGAGGGGAGATGAATAAAAGTCAGTCCAGTACTGCTGGCCATGAATGTATATTGACAGGTCTAGGTCGGGCTCGTTGCCATTTCTAACATTGAACGCGATAAAGGTGAAGTACCTGTTAATTTGAGGTTTATACTATCTTACTCATGGAAAATCTAGAGTCGGAATGCTTGACTCTAGCCACGGGTCTCCTTGTAAGCCTAATGAGTCGAGCCACGCCATCCACTCGGGATCTTGGGCAACTACATTGGAGATCTCGGGGCTCATAGAACCAATTTGCTCGTGATGATGCTCGTGTTGACGCACCATCAGCTCTTCAGACCTGTTCCTCTGAGTAGGCTCGGTCCGGTTTAGGATAGAATCAAGGCTTTTGGAAAAGATCGACTGGGCTTGTTTGCAGATTTGATAGTTACTCTGCCCAGATTCTGTCCATAAGTCGCAGCATGAGATCAAAACGCTGATATCTTGGATTATGCCGCTTCGATTGATAGATAGTTGCTCAGCAGGATGTTGATTTTGTCGCAGAAGCTCCAAGACCAGAACGCTTGCGCAAGGCATAGCATAGAAAACTAGCTGCGATATGTGTAAGTATTCAAAGCTTGAGTTGATTTGAGTCTTTCTGAAATCCCGCCACTTACAATCCATTCGATGTCTGCCCTATGACTGTGCAGTAGATCCCTTTTCCGCGTTGTTAGGAGGACAATATTGACAATCTCGTGTGCAGTTAATATCAGCCGTTCGCGATTGATTTCGCTGGAGCTGGCAAGCAGAGTGTGTAGAAGGAACTCTGTGTAAAGATATTCCAGTCGCAGGCCCAGTAGGATCATGGCAGTTTTAGTTTGACTTGCCCACTGTTGCGCTGCATCGTATTTCATATGTGATGGAAATGACTGCCAGGTCGACTTTAATTTTCGTAAGATGCATCTGAAGCTAGCGTAAATATGGATTCGATGGAGAGTGATTGCAATACTTACTCAGCCTTTGCCTCAAGGTCTGGCGCTGCAGGCCCTAGTTTCAGCTCTAGGGCCTCTTCACGAATCATACACAACATCAGTGATCCCCGCTGGCCGGAAACCGAATGTATGACCTTATCTTTACTCCAGCCATCTGCACCTAAGTTCTCACGAGCTCTCAGGAGCGTTTCTGCTGTACCCATAATAGCAGAGTCTGCTAGATCAAGGGGCAAATCGATCACGCAAAAGTGGCGACTAAGACGAACAGGTCTATAGCCACTGCACTGTCAGCAAATGTTATATGGAATTTGAGCTCAAGGATAAGGTCTTACCGCGACGTGAAACTGGCGCACACCTTGTCATGATCATGTGCCCAAGCGATCGCTCTTTTCCGAATCTCGGCCAGATATAATGGCATATCAGGATCGTTCTGGACACCTCTATGGAAACCCAAGGCAAAAAAGACGGATGACATGCTACCTACGAGCCGTAACACATGGTAGGAGTCGTCACCAAAGCACCATGTGGCGAACAGGATAGTTAGCATTAAGAACCATAACGTAAGATCGTTAGTAGCGCCAAGATGGTCGCAAACCGATTCGCACTGGATGCAAGCTCGAAAAGCCCTTTGCATTAATGTTTTGCGATCCGATTTCCATGTTTCATGGGCAGCCAAGCTGAATGACTTGTCATGTTCTCCACCAAGGTAAATTCCGATTTGGGCACAGTATATGCCAATCATCTCCCAGCGTAAAGCCTGCGTAGAGAATGCTGATTCCAACGCGCCAGCAGCTGCATCGGGAGGAAAGACAGGGGGCGAAGAGGTTCGCTCGAATATCGCTTGGGATATCGATTCCAGGTTTAGGGCAGAGCGATCTCTTAACAAACTTCGTATGCTATTGTTCGTTGCGTTCCACGCAGCCTGGATAAGAGGTCCATGAACACATAACTCGGTCTCAAGAATCGAGAAGCTTTCAAAGGGTTCACCAAGTTCGATGACAAGTTCCAGGATATTATTCAATAGTTTTGCTCCTTCAAAAATTGTTTGTTGATCCGGTAGAGAAGGCTGAGGTAGGGCTACACCAGTCCTCGTCAGTGATGTATACGAGCGGTGCGGGTGGGGAGTATTTGCGTCCGCAAAGGACATCAAGTTCCTGTTCATATTGATGAGTTCGTAAGGGCGAGAGCCTTCTGTCGGAGGGGTTGAGACTGTTGCGATAGACCTGGGAACGTGCTGTTGGTGGCGCATCTCCCTGTCACTTTGGGGCGTGAGCTGTTTCGCCATCGGGGCTGGGTGGTAATGGCATTGCTGCTCCGACAGGCGGCGGCGGGCACACCTCCCACAAACTGGTCGACCATGATCGCATCGGAGTTTGGACCTGCGGCATGGCTCACACGAGGAAAGCTGGCCGTTGCGTCGGACCCTGTCGGTCATTTTGAATCGCCCTATGAAAGTGTGAAGAAGTGTGAAGAAATAGGTACAAAGAAAGTCGGACTTGCGAGGTCCGAGTGGTGGCTCGGAGTTGTGACGAGCTCCGATGGCTTTGCGAACAAGGCGGCGAGTAACTCCCGGGCTGACCAACCACCGACACTCCGAGGCACGCGTCTGCACGCGTTTTGGGCGCATCTCATTCTCTATTTTGCTTGGCTTACAGACTAGGTAATACACCTCGATTCAAGTAGCTACAAGCGCATTTTTCGATTCCTTATGTAATACTTCGAGAAAGAATCGCGAGAGCGAATTCACGATTATATGCGAACGAACCCCGACAACTCCTTTCAAGCACTGAAGAGAAAGTGCGTTATAAGGAATGTCGCTATCTATTGAAATGGCGGAAAACCTTCGAAACGAACGCATACAGCTTTTGAAAAATCCTTCAGATTGTCACAATCTGACAAATATATGAGTCGTGCGAGGTGTTCACAATACCAACGATAGGACCCTGCGTTCCATCCTCCGCGAATAATTGTGAGATATACACCACGGCCAACTTGCCTTCTATAATTGTTTTCGATGAAAATGAGAGTCCCAGCACCACGATAAGCCAATGCGTCTTCCCTCGGGTGTAGGAATCGGATCGGCTATATAGAGGAGGATTGCATTGACTAAAGTAGCTCAACCTGCTGACAGTTCAATAACATAACAGAATATGCTTCCCTGACTTGGCTGACAAGAAGAATATCCCGACGAAGAGTATAAAACTAGTGTGACTTTTATGATAAAGATTCACCTGTTGTCGACTGCGTGAAATGCGGTATTTGATTTAGGTAGGAGTGGAAAAGGTTCAAGTTGACCAGGTTGTTTGATGAAAGTGTGGTGGATTCCAGAGCATAAGGATAACCGGTGTATACAGTTGAATACGATGGAAAATACCTCCCCAGCGATTATGAGTAGACGAGCAGGATTGCACAAGCGAACACACACACACACCGTTGGAAATACCCTTCAGACCAGATACCAGGCTACCCTGAATCTGGTCTTGCGCTCTTAAACTCCTGGATAAATCTAAAGCAGTTCAAATGAAGTCAAATCTATGAATACAATAGGCCCAAGGTCGGTACGACTTGATTTACGATAATTTTTGATTGCCAGCCTGAAGGCTGCAACCGTTTGTTAGGAAGAGAATGAAGACTCGTTAGCATCATCGTGTCTAATCCCTCCAACGACTCGCATTGCTGTTCCTTCAGCTACCCGACGACAATTGTGATTCCGCTTCTCCCACCAACCATCTACAACGCGATCATGGTTGTCAGCCCCATACATTCGACACGTTCATCATCCGGTACATTCACCCCGAGCAGAGTGGGTGAATACTCACCGTTGACCATGACCAACCGCCAAATACTTTGTGGAAGAACCTGGTATTGGGACTGGGCTGCGAATAGCCACATCATCTTTAATCCAGACGGAACGGGCGAAGTAAGTCCATCACCTCATCCAATCCCCCATTTACTGACATTTCATAGTTAACCTGTGCCAGCGGCGGCACCGTCTTCATGGCGGTGGAATTCAACTGGGCCCCGCGCAGCGCCATTGACATGCCAACGACTACCGGTTTCTTCAGTGCCGATGACCCGATCACATTAGGAAAATGCAAGATCGGCATAGTTCTTAGCAAGCGCCCTGTTGTGAACTCTGGATACTTCGCCGTTGGAGACAACACCTGGAGCGACGGCTTACTTTTCGACAATGCGTTCAAGGAAAGACAATTCACAATTACGTTTGCTCAGGGCAGCTTTGTCTCGGGTGGGGATATCAAGTGGAAGAAGGTCAAGGATCTCTGGGATGCGCCGAGATTCAGGTACAAGATGATTGTGGATCCTTCCCCTTACCCGGCACGAAAGGATTGGGTAGATCCGTCGTCAGTCGAAGCACTGGGCTTCTGGAACTGGAATTTGTTCTGTGCCGAGAAAGATGTTCTGTTTGTATCGAAGAAGGAGAAGGAGAAGGAGAAGAAGAAGTCATTCGGGGCGAAATTGCGAGTCTTTCTCAAGAAGATGAAGTTTTGATGTGAACGCCTTAGTTTAATTTTATGCCCGGGAAGGAGGAGTATCCCGACTTCACAAATGGACACATCTATGAAGTATCTAAGCTCAGCGAGTGTTAGCCGCTCCAAATTTCACTTCAACATCTTATTTCCACCCGGCATGTTCCTCCTAGGCCAGGCCCAGTGGGCATTTGGAATAATAAAGGCGGCGAAGAGTACAATTGGCGGCTAAGTGCCCCAAGCGGCCCCAAAAGTCACCGTACCAAAGAAGCCAAACACATCGAATCCAATTGGAATTGGAATGCCGTGTATTGTTATCGGTAAAACCGGTGGACCCCGCTCAAAGCCCATGGTATTCGAGTTTAGAAGTCGGCTTTCGTGACCGTGAGGCTGGCCGGTGCGTAGATACTCAAAATAACAAGTAGAGGGTAGTGAAGAGGATTCAGCGGTGAGGGGCACGATTGAACGTGTAATTTCGGACACGAGTGTTACTAAATACAGAGGGCTAGAGCTGTGTTTGTCGCCATCTCTCCGCTGGAAGGATCGGAAGAACCTGTGCTTGCAAAGGCTACCATTCATGGAGCGAACATGGCGGCGATCACAACGATACGGTTTTCGTCAGCCTATTAGAATGCCTATGCGCTAGTTCGGGACTCGGTTGATATCATTCCGAGTTTTCTAGCACGGCTATCTTTCCCCTGATCCCAATATGAAAAGACCCAGAAATGGAGGGTTTTTCGCAGAGCAATATGGCTCCTAAAGGTCAGTTGTCGAGAATGTGTAGTCCCGGGGCTCTAGACTACTTTGGATGCCAGGGCCACATGATCCACCTACTGCACGGTAGATTGACAGACGGGGGGGAATTTTCAGGTTGCTTTAAAATAAGGATGTGGGCCTAAGTGGGACACCAATAATGCTGGAGGCTTCATGTTTACTGGGGCAGCAAAGCCACAACAAGCTATTTAGATTTACTGCCACGAACAGACTCACAGAGAAGTGATTCACACAGGGTTAAGGCAGCAGAAAATGCAAAGGAGCCTGCAACTGAACAACAGTGAAATTCATAACAATCCGAATCTATCTAGTTCGACCCACAGCTTCCACTCGGCGCGAAAATAACATCATCAATATAAACCCGGCCCGTAACCGAATTATCCTCGAAGTCACACGCAGCAATAATGCTCAAGCGATCCTCGGATCTCTTCGGGGTATAGCTTCCGGTAACAGAAACCCACTTCTCAAAGTCCGACACGTACTCAGTGGCAACCTGGCCGATAGTCTCATTGCGGCCCATGTAGACGTAGACTAAGCAGTAACTGGCGCCCTCTCCGGGGATCTGAACCTCTGCGCTGAAGTCGTATTTCGTACCGCGCTTGAGATTCTCGAGATTTTGAGAGATGGTGTTGCCGCCGTTGTCAATGGCGGTTTGCAGGTTTCTATCTATCGTCAGTATTGGATCAATAATCTAGAGAAAGCAATGAACTTACAAATAGTATTCACCGCTGTAAGCACTGTCTGCATTGCTAACAGTCGCAACGTTGGCGGCAGAAGCGCGCCAGGGGAACAGAACGCCAGACTCGAAAGATGGGTTGACCACCGCATTGCACGCTGAGAGAGACATGGTGAATAATGTGTAACTTGTTATTTTGTTCCTGTGTTATCGTATCTAATCCAAGGAATTCAAGACAAGCTTTATAAGAACCAGTGCTCCGCAACAAGCTCAAGTCGCTTACACGACTTGAGACATTTGAGACAGGGGCGCGGGATTTGCCGACAGCCGTCAGGGTCGACACGGCACGATTTAATGCAACGCAAAGTTATTTTTCGCCCTTCCTAACCGCATTCGCCTCTTGCTCGTAAAGGAAAGCTATTCGAGGCCTTCATTCAGGTTTCGACTCATGGTCTAAAATCTGACGATTGAAACATGGCCTGTCGATGACCAATGTGGTCTGGCGCGTGCCTTAGGCCGCCCGTCTAAAACGGGTAGAGGTTACGGTTCCAGATCCTGCTGAAGGTTCATCGGGGGGTACTTGCCAATACTATTTTTGGAACAGTGTGGCTGTTGAGACCCTGTGGTGGTGTTTCTTCATACTAGTACCCGGGATACGTCACCCGGGCGGTGCTAAGACTGTGGCGCCTCCCATAAGCATTGTGGACCGATCATGGGGTAGATTAGTGTCTGGACCCTCCTCATTCTATTTTCATATAAGCTGAAGGCCAAAACATCATCAATAGGCATCGTGATCTGCAGGGCTTTTCTTGCAAGCGCTGATTGGGCGCCTAATGCAGCCGAATCCCGATGTCACTGTAGATTTGTAGAATTGATGGTATAGATCCTGGTGTTCAGGTTCCAGATTCCGAAGTCGCGTTTCACTTACTGCACAAATTCAAAGCACGCACGAATGCTGTCATCGTCTTGAAGGCTTCGAAGACCAAAGCAATGTGGAAAGAAATCCCCTGAGTCGAACGAGGGGCGAAAGAGAGAATATCAGCAACCCACGGTGATAAATAGTCATTATCCGCCTCCAATCCTCCGATATCACCCAAACAGAATTGTCAAGCTCGGAAACTGTTGAAGCACACCTCTGAGAGGTTTAAGTGTGCTTTCTCACTTCGATGAGGAGGCCTCCAACCGCGGCTCCAATCAGCCAACCCGCATCCCTTTTAGGCAGTTGACAAGCGATACGCTAACCTATTTAGGTATGGAGCCGTTGAGTCTAACCCAATTAGTCCGGTCATAGCCTACGCACGCCCAGTGTGGATGTTTGCCGATGGAATTCATCAGGCGCATACTCATTGCAATCAGAAAAAATTGGGGTAGATAGACGCAAATATAATACCCCAGGATTCTATTCCTCCCTTTAAATCGACTCAATTACTTTCATCTACAGCACCATCAACCTCGGCCACTAAATACTCAGAGCCTCTACATCCAACAGCCGCCGAAATGCCTGGCCTTACAGAGACCGCGACCACAACCACAACCACAACCCCAAGCACCAAGCCAGCCATCTGCATAATCGGCTCTCTAAACATCGACTTCGTCACCAGCACCCCGCGCTGCCCAGGGCCCGGCGAAACGCTAACAGCAACCTCCCTTACCGTGACAGCGGGCGGCAAAGGCGGAAATCAAGCCGTCGCGTGTGGCCGGGCCTCGTTCACCGCAAAGCAAAGCCAAGATGTATTGATCAGCATGATTGGCGCCGTCGGCGCAGACGATGTGTACTACAGCACGCTCCTCAAGCCAGCGCTGGAAGCATCGGGCGTCAACACCTCGAACATTGAGGAGTCTCGGGATGCGCAGACGGGGTCAGCGAGTATTATTGTCGAGGAAGACAGTGGGGAGAATCGAATTCTTGTTGTTCCTGGTGCGAATCATGCTGGGATGATGGGGGATGTGGAGCAGATTGTCAGTGCTGTTAAGGAGACGGGGGATGTTGGGCTGGTTGTGATGCAGGGTGAGATTCCGCGAAAGACGACACTGGGATTATTGGAGTATTTCAATGGCGGAGCCTCTGCCTCTGATCGAGCGCATGTGGTTTTCAATCCGGCGCCTGTATTCCCTGAAGGGATTCCAGTGACTGCGTTGAAGGGGACGTCTGTTTTAATTATGAATGAGACGGAGGCTGTTCAAATGTCGAGGTCTATTGCTGGGCTGTCGGTTAAGGATATTCCTACTGATTTGGATGGTTTGAAGCCTGAGGAGTTGGCGTCGAGGTTTCATGAGATGGCGGAGGTGCAGATCGTGCTTATTACTCTTGGGTCGAAGGGGGTGTATTTCTCGACTAGGAATGGCAGGACTGGAGCTGTGAATGGGGTCAAGGTTGCGAAGGTGCTTGATACCACTGCTGCGGGGGATACGTTTGTTGGATATTTCTCAACGGAATTGGCAAGATTTCTGGCAAAGGGTTCTTCGTTGAAGGAGTTTGATGCGGAGATTGAAGGTGCTGTACAGAAGGCGAATGCTGCGGCGGCGAAGACTGTTCAGCGATGGGGTGCGGCGCAGAGTATTCCCTTTGCATATGATATGGAATGAATGATTTAAAGTAGGGTTAGATTTGTGCTACATACGGGAGAATGGCGTTTTGTTTTCAGGACATAATAGAATCATCCGCATCTTCATCCGGCTCTTCATCATACCGCGCAATTCTCCATACCGACTGAAGTGCTTCTGTTTCTTGTTTCAGATTGATCCCCGTGGTCGCCGTTATTCTCCTTAGTCGTTCCAGAAGCACAGCCTGTTGAGACTCGTGCGACATGTCTCTTGCGATTAACAATAGACTTGCAATCAGTATCGGATCCCATTGCTCCGGAGAATCATTGCTAGCGGCGATTCCAGCGATGGATTGGGCGTGCCAGATATGCGACGTGAAGCATCGGGGACCGGGTAGTGACTTCAGTAGCCGGGGTTTATGCGTCAATAATAGGAGGGAGGTAATGTGGTAAACCGCGTTGGCGACCAGCGCCATTGGTGTGGTGAAGATGAGAATGGGGAATGATGAGGAGTGGTCAGGATCGATCTGATCCGCTTCGCCGCCACGGACGTCAACTATTTGTTGGGCGTCGACTGGGCGCTCATTGTACCATTTTTGACAGTCCGTCCAGAGAAAAGTCCATTGTGATAGGAAATGGGACTGTCGCAGGGATGGAAATGCTGCTAGTTCTGGGGAGCCAGCAGCCTGTGGAGAATTTACGTCTGAGGCTCCGTATATGAGGGCCAAAGAGTGTCCGAGGAGACAGAGCGCATGGTCATATACTCGATGGACGGTTCGAGAGTGCATATTCAGTCGGGTGGCGTGTATTGGAGAGCCATCACGATGAAGAAAGGAGCGAAAGGCTATTGATGGGGCTTTTGAGGTGGCGATGGAGGATGCGAGGTCTAGAGAGTCGTCAGTATATCCGAAATCGAATAATTCATCTCCGCATAACATACCAAGTCGGAAGTGTAACCAAAACAAAGCTTCACCCAGGTCTTCTGTCATAGACAAAGGAGACAAATAGCTGCCAGCTGATTCTATCCAACCTCTCCATCGCTGAAGGCCCAATGGCAAAAGATCCTGCAGCAGAAGGATAGCATGACCTGCCTGTCTTACCAAGTCAGGCTGGAGCTCCAGGCTTTCTTCTGCCTCCTTACGAAAGCGAATGCCATTGCTGATATCTTCTCCATGGTATGGTATAGAGAGAAGCGACCTCTGACCAGCGGATAGCGCAAGGATAGCTGCCTGTAATGGTCTGTTAGACCGCGAAAGGAGCAATGTCTGAACCCCAAGGGCACATTCGGGGTCCCCAACGTCCATCCAAGGACCGATGTGATAGCGAAAGTGCCGTAGCAAGTCAGTCTCTCGGCAGCTATGAGCCGTAGTCGGTCGCCTTGTGATCTGTTGAGGGCTGGTGAGGAAGCTCATATATTCGGGAATAGGATGGGTTCCAGAAGTTCCTCGTGGTGTGGCATTAAGAAATAAGTCTGGCGTGTTCTGCAGATTTTGTTGACCGGGTGAGAATCGGATTGGTACATTTGACGTTAAAATTTCGTCAAGAGGAACAGCTGTGCGGCTTTCGTCTGTACTCTGGTATGCAGGTTCATTCAGGCCACCGGAAATTTGTTGAGTAACAACCTGAGACTCGGGCGTTGTTTTTTCCTGCTGTTGGGATTTCCCCTTTCCTCCTGCAACTGGAGAGTCGTCGACGAACTATACCTCATACAATCAGTCACGTCCCCCAATTCTTCCCCGATGGAGACCTACCGTGATGGTATTATACAGCTGCCCCGTCCCGCCTGAAGCCGCACCAGATCGGGGGGGCACAAAAGCAAGATCAGCACCATATTTGCAAGTAAAACCCTTCACTTCACAATTGGCACACCGCGGCTTCTGCTCATCGCCTGGAACCAGTCAGTCAAAGCGCCCGAAGCTGGCACACGACACGTACATTTTCTCCGCCTTTTGCGGCACGTCAGACAGCCCGTCCTGACCCTCTGCTTGCCCGCAGGTGTGGGCTTCCTAGGCATGGTGTATGGCATGCATAACCCCGGATGTTGGAGAGCAAAAAGAGAGCGGAGCCTCCAGTGTCCCGAAGAGCCACAGACCGGAGGTTTCCGAGTTTGGTGGGGTCGCCCAAAGAGGCAGCCACACTCGACGCGGCTTGGACCGCATGTCGATTATATTTTGGAAGCTTGACGCGGACGCCACCCGGGACATCGAGATCTTTGTGGATTTATCGTGAGTGAATCTCGGTTGAGTCTTTCTACTTGAAGATTAAACTGAACGTTGAAGATTAATTATGGTACATCGTCATACGTCATTGTTATTCTCTAGACATTACTCGGGTATAGATCGCCCAGCATTCTTAAACTATCCCTATGTTCAGAGGGTCTCAATATATTGAGATCCCTCCTTCTTCTCCAAATCACGACCCGTCGCACATCCCATTCTCTCAATGAACGAGGTCAGGCCGACATCCCGCTGCGCTTCGCGCAGCAACTCGGCATCTCGCTCGCCAGTGTGGCTGCCGAAAACACGATCCATCTCCTCGAGACTGGCATTCTTGGTCTCGGGCAGGAAGAACCAAACCCAAACAATGCCAATGGCTAGGAAAACAGCGAAGAAAATATAGGTCCCCCACTCCCAGGCCTGCAGCATTGGGGGCACAAAAAAGGCAATGGCAAAGTTGTTGATCCAGTTGCTGGAAGCACCAATCGAGGCTCCCTTGGCGCGAATGGAGAGAGGGAAGATCTCCGAGACGAGTGTCCATGAGCAAGGGCCCCAGGTAGCTCCGAAGCCGGCAATATACACCCAGATAAGTGCTAGAGTCTGTATTAGATTTGTTCGTTTCGAAAGAATGGCAGACACTTACCAACAGCAGTCCAACCTGCAGCCACATGGTGAGGCCAGTCATGCTGGTATTTTGCCACGATGATTCCGACAATGACCATGCTGCAGAACATGACTAGGGATCCGACCAGAAGCATAGGCTTACGGCCAACCTTGTCGATGATCAACTGTAGAGAGTAATTAGCATGTGTTTCCACCTAGTCATTGTATGAGTCGACATTACCATTCCTGGAATCGTGCTGATAATGAAAACCACACCAGTCACTCCAGTAGCCAGCAGTGCAATGGTACCGCCAGTTAGACCAAGACTCTTGAAAACATTGGATGCGTAATAGATGACTAGAAATTGTCAGAAATGGGTCTCATCCCCGGGAGAGAAAAACTCACTGGCATCAATACCACTCCATTGCTGGAAGAACATGATCAGCCAAGCAGTGGCCACACGCTTGAAGTTATCCATTGTGCGCACGCAGTTGGCATACTGCGCGATCTGGTTCATGAAGATACTTTGGCGCTCACGTTCAGCCAACTTGGGTGAGTTGCGCGCAAACGCACGCTGCTCAAACACGGACTCGGCCTTGATTTCAAGGTACTCGACCTGGACCAATTCATGCTCGACTGGAAGCTTGCGCATCCAAGCCAGAGTAGCCTGAGCTTCCTCGTCGCGACCCTGCTTAACCAACCAGCGAGGAGAGAAAGGCATGAACCAGATACCACAGGCCAAGAAAAAGGCAGGAATACCCTGAATGATAGAAGGTAGACGCCAAGCAATGTCGGACTGCATCTCACCGGTTCCGCCAATATAGTTGCTGCCATAGCCAACCCAGAAGGAGATCATGATGCCGAGAATGGTAGCGAATTGGTAGAAAGAGACCAAAAGACCACGCATTTCAGGAGCAGCGAGTTCGGCATTGTACAGGGGACCAACACCGCTGAACAGGCCGACGCCCAAGCCAGTGAAGAAACGACCAGCGTACAAGAGAGCTGGGTTACCAGATGTAGCACCGACATAGAGATAGCTTCCCAGAACAACCCAGCAGCAAGCGAAAAACATGGTGTACTTGCGCGAGAAGATCTCACCCAGGATACCAGCCGAGAGGGATCCTACAATACCTCCCACCTGGAGAATGGATGTCAACCAGCCTGTAGCCGTAGATGAAGCCACCACAGACGGGAAATTCTCAGTAAAGCGGGTCATGACCAGAGACTGGCCAAGGACACCCTGCTGGTAGCCATATTCGAAACCACCGAGTCTGATTCCACGTTAGTCGAAAAGTTTTCCCCGCCAAGACAAAAACCACTCACGAAGCAAAAAAGGCAATAAAAATGACTTTAGGATTATCGAAGATCGACTGCCACATCGATTTCTTCGCGATCTGAACGCGCGGAGCAACCTCCACGTCAACAGTCGACTCAGTCATGGCGAAGAGGATTCAATACCACCTAAGCTGATCAAAAAAAAGGGATTCTCCACAAGAAGATCTGGGGAAAGGAATTGAAACTACGGGGAAGTGAGGGACATTATATCTGATTTCCTACCCCAGTCCAACATGCCACCACCAGAAAACCTTGTCACCGTCTACCCCGGTTTGTCCTCGGCGTCCCGAGTCGCGTGGTCACACCCCGTCAAAAACACAAGAAACGTGGAGGCAAAAAGCAATTGCGGAGAGAGCCACTAAGCCACCTCTGGGCGTGCGTAGGCTACGCTCGCCGTTTCGGGCGAAATATCGGGATCGGGTGGATCCACTCGGGTTGCAAAGGGGGAAATGGAGCCAAAATCCCGTGCGAAGGCTCGGACCCTGGCCGCCCAGAGTCTAGTTTTCGGGTTGCGTGCAATTTTCGTGACTGTTGGTTTCCACGGGTGAAACTAGCTTTGCGGATTGTGGGGTTTGCCCTGTTTGTTTGCCTGCTTTGGGAAATCGGAGGCAGGGTTTTGCTGTTTCGGTTAAGTCGATGCGGAGAGATCGTGTGGAGGTGGATGCAAAGTTGACGCCAATTCTTCAGAATTGAGGACGATGGGAAGGATGGGGTCGGGACTGGCCGATGAGATGGCTTGGCCAGTAGGGGCCAGTAGGCAACAGGAGATATAAAGAGTCCGGTGAGTGAACGGGGTGTAGATCTGGGGTATTCACACTGTGCATTGTTAGATTGGAGATGTATTGGACTTCTTTGCCGCTGCTATGCAGCTCTCTGCTCCCTTTGGTGGCTGGCGCCGTCGCCACAGATAAACACTATGCCATCATGGACAATGATTGGTACACGGCTGGATTCGTGCCGTATCTGATTGCCCTCGATGGAGACGTGGACGTTCTGGCCCTCGCGTCAGGTGAGAGTGCGAAAGACTAGCTCTATACAATCGCTGACCTTCCAAGATACCGCGAACTCTTGGCAACCTCAAGTAGCGCTCCACGCCGTTGCAACTCTAGAAGCTGGCAATCTGAGCTGCATCCCCGTTTACCCTGGTGCTACTTGGCCATTGATCAATACTCCTCAGCGCTTCCAGGCATGGGAGACCATCCACGGCAAGCTTCCCTGGGAAGGAGCGTTTGCGCCGTACAACGAGACCTACGAGGCCGAGGGTAACGATCCTACTTCGGGAAACCCAAACAGAATTGTCAAGTCGGCCTTCAAGGAGGGTTTCCCGAAGGGCAAACCAAACAACTCGACTTCCGCTGCAAACTTCATGGTCGAGATGGTGCATAAGTACCCCGGCCAGGTGTCCATTTACTCTGCTGGAGCTCTGACCAATGTGGCCCTGGCTGTTCGCATGGATCCTGAATTTGCATCGCTCGCCAAGAACCTGGTGATCATGGGCGGTTATGTTGATCTCAACATGCTCCAAGTTACCGGGAGTATCATGCTGGCTGATTATCAGTCCGATGTGAGTAAATTGTTTCATTATGCGTCCCATTCACTAATAATAGTATCCAGATCAACCTGATGATCGACCCCGAAGCTTCCAAGATCGCCCTGACAGCCGATTTCTCCGAGATCATTATCGCTGGCAACGTCGCGAACCAGGTTTTCCCTACCCAGGAGTTTGTCGACGAGATCAAGACAGCCGGAAACCCCTACAGTGAGCTCTTCGCCAACTACTACGATCTTTCCTTCCCCTTCTGGGATGAGACTGCTGCAGCTCTGATGGTCGATCCTTCTCTCGCTGTCAACCAGACCACAGGTATGTCACTCATGCCTTTTAAAGGGTCCTGAACTATGTTTAATCATCATTATCTAGTGTATCTGGATGTCGACACTTCCTATGGTAGTCCCAGTTACGGCAACATTCACGTCTATCAGAAGGCTCTTGCGCCTGCTGGTATTCGTAATGTGACTTATGTCTTTGAGGTTGATGCTGACAAGCTGAAGCAACGGATTAAGCATTCGCTTATGCATCCTAAGTCCTGCGCCGACTTGTAGACGTTAATTTTGTGGTTCCATGGTACATATTTGTATATACTGAAACAGCTCTTAGAGAGCGGTTGATGCGTTGAAATAGACTAAGTGTAATAAGCCGCTGTTTGAGGCAGACATGGCATGGCTATCCAAAGAAATTCAAGTGTCTTACTTTTTGCTCGACGCCTAGTTTCCAAGGTTCATTTTCGCCTCTGTATCATTTGGCCCACATTAGGCTTTTCATGGCTATCCACGGGTCGCAATCCCACCACCTTGGGGTAGCGCGGGTCTCCGTGACTAAGTGACTTTCAACTCTGGATCCCGAACCAGAAGCTCCACTCATTACCTTTTCTACTTTTCTACCCCAGATCTCAATCTCACCTTCACTAGACACCACCATGGACGACCCCGTCCCACCAATTCTTCCCAGTGGGCGGATACCCGATACATTCAACAGTGCAACACCACTGTTCGAAGAAGAAGCTTTCCTATCACCTGGGACATTTTCAAGCGCCGACGAATACGCTGCTAACCCACGGTTCCTGGAACTCCAAGAAGAGTTACGCTGCGTCCTCTTCTCCGCAGTCGCAAGTCTTGAACCAAGCTCATATACATCACCCGCACCAACAGATCCACTAGACGGCCCCGGGCCACGCGCATCACACCAAAGTCTAGACTTCACCCGAGTTTCCATACCGAAGATCCGATTAATATACTACCTCAAAAACTGGATCACGGAATGCGCCCCATACCTGGATAAATTCGACGAGGCCCGGCATTTCGGGGTCCACATCCCTATCCTAGCGCAACGATCTCCGACATTATTCTATGCTATTCTAGCTTTCTCAGCCCGGCAAACCGAGCGCAAAGCATGTCTCGATAAAGCCTACGACAGCCTGGAACTCTACCAGGAATCTATCCGCCTCTTAGGACCATGCCTCCAGGCGAAAGATCCGAATGTCCTCGTGACAGTCTGCATCCTCGCAGTAATGGAGCTAATGTCCGTTAGCCCACGCGACTGGCGTCGACACGTCGAAGGCTGTGCCGCATTATTCGACTCATTCAATGTAAATGGCCTATCAGGAGGCCATTTACAAGCTGTATTCTGGTGCTACGCGCGTATGGAGTTGTGCGGAGCGATAATCTCGAACGGGGCCGAAAGCACAGTTCTAGCACTTGAGAAGTGGGTTCCAGCGATGCCTGAAACATCAACACCAAAGGAGAGAGAAGATATGATCCGTGATCTATTCTGCGCAAAGGGTCGCATCAGTCCCGACATGCACGCCAACTGGGCAGTTTACCTCTGCGCCAAGACCTGTGACCTTGCATGTCGACAAACCAGACACATAGAACTAGGTGAGATAGTCTCCGACTCGCGCCCATTTACCGAGCAATGGACTTCTCTCTGGGAGGAACTGCAATACTGGCTCGAAACACGACCTCCAGCCATGCTACCCATCAAAACCACGGGAATAGGAGGCGGACAGATATTCCCTGAGATTTTATTTGCGCATTGGGCCGCTATCTCGGGGAACCAGTTATATCATGCATCTTGTATCATGATGCTTGATATGAGGCCGACAGAAAGCGTGCTACCGCCGGGTAAACCGCATTTCTCGGCGATTTGGCATGCGAGGAGGGTGTGTGGGATCTCGTTGACGAATCCGCATAGTGGGAATTTGATCAATGCGATTCAGCCATTGTATATTGCAGGGAAGTTGCTCAGTCATCATAGTGAGCATGTGGAGGTTGCGAAGTTGTTTAAGATTGTTGAGGAGACGACGGGGTGGGGGGCGCTATGGAGGTTGAAGGATCTTGAGAGGGCTTGGGGATATGAGCCCGGGGAGATACTGTCTGCGATATGAGTTCAGCACCAAATGCAGCATGTTACAAGATGCATTGTTTGCTAGAATAGATAGCCATCGTGTGACCATGAATGCAACGAGTGACAGGAGTAACCAATATGTGAGAAAGTAGCCGCTTGGGTACTTAGGTCAATCTCAGGTTCGACGAGGTTGTTTTCCAGATGGGAGATTCAAGTTTAATACATATATATATATGAATTGAAGCTGCCCAGTCTACGATTAGTGGCATTCCTTGAGTATGCAGGTCCCGACACGGCTTACAACACTGGGTAGGAAAATATATGTTAAACTTCATTTTTGTTTTGAGTCCATCGGGCGGAAACCTTGGATATATATATATATATGATATCAGTGTTTACAGGCACATGCGGAAAGTTGAGTGCCTTTCAGATTTATCCATCATTTTTCCCTGTGAAGAGCAACAAGATCCGATCGGATCAAAAGTACAGAAGAGGATTTATACACATGTGGATAAGGAGATGATGAGGCCGCAGACTCGGGTGGATAGTTCTAATGAGTTTTGCCTTACAGCCCATTGACCGAGGTCTCAGCTTCACCCGCTACTAAACACGGACTATGATTATGCTCAAGTGCTCGACCTTAGCGCAGATCATCTCCAGGCCTTGAGATTGGCAGGTCCCTTCTCGTAGTCGATACCTAAAAGTCCACGCGTATGCCTTGATGCCTTGAAGCACCGCGCTCCAGAAACCCTAGGTAGGTTCTAAGCGATGTCCACGAGGTACTCCAGGACTGTCTGTAGGTGCCTACGATTCGCTAACTGATCTCAGCGAAGAATTTGACCAGCCGCCTGAGCAAGAATGCTACGATTGCGATTGGAAATGCCGATCAGGTGTCAAACTCGGCCTGGAGAAGAGATTGCATTCCAAGACACACGTGGAGCTAGGCCTCCATGTCTCACGCCTGGATCGCACAGTAACATTTAAAAATATCTTTCGTCCAGGTGAATGGTCAATTAGGCGCCAAGTACTAAGATTAACCCATTCCTGACCCTCGGTCTACAGTAAATGACTAGCCTTAAAAAACACCCGCCAAGACCGTTAATTTGGTGGCGCCTCAAAGGGTCAAGTGGCGAGGCAGTCAGAGCTCACAGGGAAAATGGAGGTGGCGGTGGCTACCGGCAGGGTACTTCGTAAATACAGGAAGATGGGAAAAAAACACTCGACCCCACACCCAGACACCGCACTCTGGGGACAGCAAAAAACACAGGTCCAACGCCCTGTCACCCCCTGAATAACCTCAAAATCAGGGTCTTGCCAAGCCTCCCCTCGACCAAGACACTCCATTCCCCAAATCCACAAGCTACGCGGCGCCCAGATCGACTATACCGCTTGGCACGCCATAGTGTCTCTCACGGTCGAGACCGACTGCCGTGTGTTGTGGGGTCACATTGCCCAGCAAATGCCACACTGGTTCCCGGACCGGTTCTAGAGATGAACGGAGACGTGTTAGGGGTTGACATGGCAAACCAGACAGAATTTCTTTGCATTCTACGTATTCAAGACCTTTGCACAAAGTTTGGAGGTACCCCTGAACAGCACATAGAGCGTAAAGTCAATCGCTTACTCCAAGGTAATTATTGGCCCCCGATCGGGTTATGCTCGGAATTAGGCGTGCCGAGACTAGCGAGTGTATTTCAGGAGACGTGGAGATGAGCGTGGCTTGGACAGTGTTCATTAATTCTGTTCGACTCTCCACTTGGTAACGTAGTCGCCTTGCTTGGCTATTCGCGGCAGTTAGTAGGACTACCGCATGAACTTAACAGCTTCTTCTTCGGGCGGGATTGAAAAGTTAATGATTCTGATGGATCTAGACCGGAGTGGCAATGGGATCGGCAATGGAGAGATGGTCTATCCGTCTTTATGCTGATCTTTCATGTGGAGGAGGGTGGGCGAGATTCTATGGAGTTCGATAGGATGATTATTCTGGAGAAAATGCTAAGCCTTGAGTAGAAGGTCGACCGGGTCTGATTCTGCGTCTGCTTGTGGTCGGGTTAGTTCATAACGAGGCTTTACAATGCCGGATGATCGGCAAGGATCGGGACAGTGCTGACGAGTCAAGGTTGATCGAGGACTGTGCGGGGGGTGTTAGGCGTGTAAGCTCATGGAACGGTTAATTTTGTGGATGTTGCTATAGGATAGTTAAGATGAAGCTATGTCATGGTTGCCACCTGAACCAGACTTGCAGGTAGGTACGGAGAGTTCAAAGTACAGACGGAAGGTGGGAATCATAACAAACATAAACGAGTACGGTGCGTAAATAAAACTAGAGCGAATGCGATCGGCAGAACGGAAATTAGAGTCAGATGCCCCGCCAATGGCAGGCCAGGCACAGGTCCACTATGGCTGGCTCTTGACCGCTTTTAGATTAGATCAGGACCACATGGCGCGTTTGATATTTCCTGTTTTTTTTTTTTCCTTTTTTCTCAGGAGACAGCAAGGTTACTGTTACTCGCGGTACACTTCACGGTGTACGGGGTTGTCTAGATCTACCTCGTGTCTTTTGGGATCTCTAGGTCTCTGCCTCATCTCTAGCTGGAGTATAGCGGACAGAACAGTCTGGGTCCATGCACAGCTGTCAGGGGTAATCCGTAAGGGGCGCACTCGGATCCCCGAAACTGAGACAGGCCTATTTGGTTGCTGGTAAGGTAACTCTGCACCATAATTACCTATAATACGTATATACGGTCACACTGTTTACTCCCCACTCCTGCCCGAGCCGTGCGGGCCAACCAAGACTGGGAAAACACCGGGTCTGTAGGTAACATCCAATGATACGGCTGTGCCTGAACGCCTGTCTAGACCTGAGCCCCGTATGACTATGAACCGCTATGAACCGCCCAGGGGTAATCACGATCAGTGGATACAATCTCCCTTTTCTCTGCCTGTTTCTCCCCTTTTCCCTCCTTTCCACACACCGTGCTTGAGTCTAACAAAAGGCCTTACGTGCCCCCCATACTCTCCTTTCTCAACCCACGTTCCTTGATACTACCAACTACCACCGCTTCACTCGTTCAGCGGGCATTCATTCTTTCGTGTGGACGCAATTCTGAATTCTCATCATGAAGGGTTCAATCTTTGCGGCCGCGGCCGTCGTCGGCTCTGCCATGGCTGACAGCCACCTCCACCGTCGCCACGAGGCTATTCACCAGCGTCGTGATGCTTCATCCAGCGTGCCCGCTCTCAGCACTTCGGTCCCGGCTCTCGACCCGGAGCAGACCTGTGGCTGCACCACCAAGGTCATCACCTACTACGGTTCGCCCACCTTGGTGCCTATCGAGGCTCCCACCTCGACTCCCACCTCGACTCCCACCCCCGTGTCGACCTCGACCTTGACCAGCACCGTCCACTCCACTAGCACTACTACTCAAACTGTGACTGTCACTCCCTCGGCCGTTGCTACTGCTAGCGCTACTCCCTCCACCTCCACCGTCGTCGTGACTCTGCCCACCAACGGTGTTACCAGCTTCTCCTCCACTGGTACCTACACCATCCCGGCCACTACCATGACCGTTACCGACACCACCACGGTCTGCGGTGCCACCAGCACTGCTGTCCCCAGCGGTACCCACACCATCGGTGAGGTTACCACTATTGTCGAGACTGGCACTGTTGTGACCTGTCCCTACGCCACTGTCAAGCCCACCGGCACTACCGTGACCAGCATCATCGAGTACACCACCTACACTTGCCCCGTTGCTGGTACCTACACTGTTGTGCCCGGCACCGTCACCTCCGTGCCCTCGGCCACCACCATTGTGTACCCCACTGCCTCGACCATCACCCCCGGTGTTTACACCAAGCCCGAGACCACCATCACTGCTACTGTCACTGATACCACCTACTACTGCCCCTTCGCCACTAGCACCGGTCTCGCTACCTCCACTGCTCCCGCCGTGGCCGCTACCTCTACCGCTCCTGCCGTGGTTGCTACCTCCCCCGCTGCCGTCGAGACCACCGCCGCTGCCGCTACCACCAGCGTTGTTGCTGCCACTAGCTCTACCTCCACCGCTGCGGCCTCCACCGGCACCTCCAGCAGCGGTCTGACCGGCTCTGGCCAGCTCGGTATGACCTTCTCTCCCTACACCTCGTCCGGCGCCTGTATGACCCAGACCGAGGTCACCAACAACCTCAAGACCATCAACGACAAGGGCTTCAACCTTGTCCGTGTCTACTCCACTGACTGCAACAGTCTCGAGTACATCGGCTCGGCCTGCAAGTCCCTCGGTATGAAGATGATCTTGGGAGTCTACATCGAGTCCTCCGGCACCTCCGGCGCCCAGGAGCAGGTTGAGGCCATCACCTCGTGGGCTCAGTGGTCAATGGTCGAGCTGATCGTCGTCGGTAACGAGGCTGTCTCTTCCGGCTACGTCACCGCCGCCCAGCTTGCTTCCTTCATCACCTCCGCCAAGTCCTCCTTCACCTCCGCTGGCTACACCGGCCATGTCACCACCACCGAGCCCATTGACGTCTGGGAGCAGTACGGTGCTTCGACCCTTTGCTCCCCCGTTGACATTGTCGGTGCCAACATCCACCCCTTCTTCAACTCCCAGACCACTGCCGAGCAGGCTGGTACCTTCGCTCTGAGCGAGTACAAGATCCTCCAGAAGCTGTGTGGCAAGGATGTCCTCAACCTCGAGACCGGCTGGCCCAACGGCGGTAGCGCCAACGGCGCTGCCGTTCCCGGTATCGCTGAGCAGAAGACTGCCATCCACGCCATCGCCGAGGCCATCGGCTCCAAGTCGATCTTCTTCTCGTACGCTAACGACGACTGGAAGGCCCCTGGCGACTTCGATGTTGAGCAGCACTGGGGCTGTGCCTCTGTCTTCTAAGCATGAACTTGCTACGACAAGGGTGTTTTGTTAAAACTGTACAGGATGAATAGGAGTTTTTTTTTCATTCTTGAAGTGATCTCCAGTTGGTCCCATGGGCCGGGGGAGAGCCGTGATCTTTTCTGTTTCTCTTGTCTGATATCTTGGACGTTTTACGTGGTAGATACACCTTTTATTCGACGTTGTCTACTGACCTGGTTGCATCCATTTTCTATTTCTTTTTGCTCTTTGCGTTGTTTGTATAGGCTTATATTGACGCATTTGATGAACCACTGCATATGTAGATGTAGGTGTAGATCTAGTTCGAGTGTAGTCGCATTTCTTATCTCCGACATTCTTGTGATGATCCAGTATCTCCGTGGAATGTGTAACACAACCAGCAGCTTCCAGGCCTAGAACCATGCTTGCCTACTATGCCTCCCGGCTGCAGTCACCCATTCAATTGCCAGGATGTCTTCCCTGCTTGAATTCTGCAAGCTTCCTCAAGGTTGTTTGAGACCTGTATTCGACTCAGTCCCTGGTGAGACCGCCCGCTATGTCACAAATTGATCCAGCCAACAGATCCAAACCAAACTTTCCCAGGATGTCAAATTCCATTATCCCGGAAATACATCTCCGTCAAGCACAGGTGCCTCGCACTTTACTGCGACCATGTTTTTCCCACCGGATCACTCATCCTTCACTCAGACCCGCACAAGCTGCAGGACACCTTGAATCCCAGCCCTCCTGCAGCCGCCCATACCCAGTTGCATCCTCGCAGGGGTGTCTTACGGTTGAAACAGTCATTATGTACGGTTCCTGCAATTCCAAGCCACACGGAAGTGAGGAGTCACCGCTGGTTCCAGCATTCCATTTCTTGCTGTCGACTTGTTCTGGTCGTCCAAGTATCCGTCAATCACACATGGTGACGTCGGCTCCCAACCTTGGACAGATATTTCAAAGCTGTCAGTACAGGATGGCACCTTGGAATGGTTCGAAAGCCCCGGAGATAGATAATTGATGTTGCATGTAATGTCCTTTGATGATATATACCCATTAGAACGTTATTAAGTACATGGCAAAGAAACACTCCTGCCCCGGACCCGAGTTGATCCCCTTGACATCCAAATATGTGCAATGCATTTCGTTTATTCGGCTTCCCTCCCCTTCAAGTCCAGTCTTGGAACTAGACTTAGTTCTGATGAGGGCAGACCTGTGGTCCGTTAGTACAGTCCTCTTCTGTTTCTCTGAATGAACCCCCAAGGTCATGGGAGGCGACTTACTCCGATGGTGCTGTTTCCTTCAGTCACGCACTCGAGGGGATAGCAGCAAGCCATGGGCTGGCCCCAGGTTGCCATCTTGCTGCAAGAAGAGGTGGGCTGTGCAAAGTTTGTGGTTAGGGACTTGTATTCTTTTACATGCTTTGGGTTGGGGGTTGGCTGACCTCACGGCATGTCTCTGCGGCCTTGGGCATAGCATAGGAAAGGCTGGCGAGGAAGCCGAGAACGAAGACGGAGGCGCGCATTTTGATTTGGGGTTGAGTGATATTGCGATTGAAAATGAGATTGAGTCGGAAGGAGGGCTGCTAGATGGAAATAACGTTAGCAGGGTTCAATGCAGATTCGACTTGATCGGAATAAAGGGATGAAATTGGATCGGAAGGCAACGAAGAAACTGAATCGAAACGAGACGGTTGCGAATAGATTAGGCACGATTGAGGTTTTGCGAAGATGTGAAAAAGAAAGAACATTTACATACCAGTTATGGGAAGGAGCGACGATATTCTTTCAAACTGTGGAATGTACGGTCACTGGGAGGTCTTATAGCATTCCTGACGTTGTGACGCGCAAGATGGGGCCGACCGCCACACACCCGTGGAGTTGGTGCCGATCATCGATGTAGGTGAAACAGGATCTACAGGGGGAGCTGAGTAAGATCTTGGGATTGTTATTGGTTATTTAGCAGGGGATGGATAGTCTCTTGGAACGACAAATGGTCTAGATGGGAGTCTTCTTGATTCTTTGGTCGATGAGGCTGGAATCTGTTTCAATATTAGTGAAGGGGAATGTTCTGCAGGGTTTGGAGAATATTGCTCCAATTGTTCAGATGGTTCAACGATAATTTTAGTAGAGGCTATGACCCGAGGCTATGAACTACTGTTCTAAGCGAGTGGTAGAACCATATCGTGGGGCTATCTTGATGAGCTAGAGGTGGCTGCTGCGATGGAACCTGGAGTCAAGGCACCAACAAGTCCCAAGGAGATGAAGACACCAAAGACACGCAATATGAAGATCTTGGCGCGGCTGGTGTTTCGTGCCTGAACCTTTCCTTATGGGAGGACGTTCTGCGAGGGGTGTGCTGGCGGGGGCTTGGCGGGGGCAGGGCTTTTTGCTGGTGCTTCCTCGTCGGGTAGGGATATGCTGTTGGTGGGGCACCAAAGGGGTCTAAGTTATCATCAAGCTGTCATATCATGGGGATGTCTGCAGTAGAATAAGTTTGTGGTTATTTCTGGGTTATGTCTGCAGGAAACCGGGCTATCTCGTGATCGGGAGAATTCGGGGATATCCTTTTGAGCTTCTAGAGTTGCAGAACAGTCGGTCATTGACGAGCCTTTGAGTCAAGGATCGCTTTCGCTTGCGTATCGTAGATTAGAGAAAAGTGGAGTGTGCTCCAGAGCGGGCTGCAGATCTCTAGCGCTTGGAAAGTGACGGAAGCTATATGTTCCCGAGGTCGGCAATAGAGTCTAAGGCTGAAGAACATCATAAACAGGTTATATCTTTTTGAATTTCTGTCCAGGACTCAATCTCTAATCACCCGTGACTTCGGCCTAGATTGCAGTTCGCTCTCGGCTGCGATTCCCTAGATATAAATGTCTCCACAACAAGGTGGACATAGCGAAGTGACAAATTCGCCTCAGTCATGTGCTATCGTTGCACTTGGCTTGCTCACTGTAAGCACTAACTAGCATTTCCAGAGGCGAGAGTTTGAAGTTCGTATAGATATGACAGTTGGTGAACCATGGCTGTCAAAATGCCAACCGAAACCGGAGGCGTTGCCTCGCGTGGCTGACGTCTCGAACTCTCCAATCGCGGACTCCGGGACTAAGTACGCTAAAGCTAAACCTCCATTGAGGGCGTTGTGGCGCCACACTAGTCAGCCCTGTGGTTGGCCCAAATCGCTATTCTCCCCGCCGGGGATGCCGTAGGCTAAAGCAAGCGCATAAATCTTGCCTGAATGTTGGCAATTGCTGCCGGTTTGCTCTGAATGGTGAAGTGTTTACGGACTTGGCCGAGTAGAATGAATATTGTTCAGAGATCTAGAGCTGATAGATGGTAGACCAGGAATTGCTTAAAGAGGGTATCTGCCGCTGAAATCGTTCCTTGTATTTCCAGCTATTTCAACTGCCTATTTCATACATAATGATCTCAAAAATCTCCCCTGCAGTCCGCCCAACATTGCTCCAAATTTACTTGTCCTGGGTAGATGCGTGGCTGTTGTCCGCAAAGGAACCACAACCGCCCAAAGAACCCCTCTTAACCCTTGATGAATTGTCCAGTATATTTCAAGATGAAAACATCCACAAATTGATGAACCACAAAACCATCCTCCAAGCAACGCGATCATTCAGAAACCATAATGGAAAGAACATGATAAGCCTCGGCGGCACACAACCCCCATCCAACGACATGACCGACCTTTTCTCTGAAACCTATGACCCCCAATCAGACTGCAACTGCGATAAAACCAAACCAAAGGGCAGCACACACAGGCAATTAACGTGCGGCGCCATCAATGGCATGGTCTCCGCAATGGAAACAGTCCTCCACACCCAAGACGAATGGCACACCGACCTCTTCACAGCGCCCAAACTCCAAGCCGCTGTCGACGAACTCATCCTCGCGAATACTGATCTTCAACTCAGACTCGATACCTGCCAAGGACCCAGTACAGCAGATTTAATCCCAAAAGTCCGAGCACCGGACCGCCGTCCAAACCCAGGCGTCGACGGAAATGCAATTATCGGAAACCAACTCTATCCCACCGCCGAACAAATCAAGATCTGTGCCGATGCCAAATACTTCGGTGTTATCGCCTGCGGTGCAGGTATCTGCGACGAGGGTCTTGCTCGTGCCATTGCAGATTCATGCAATGATATTCTCATCGGCGATTACTGTGAAGCGGCGGATGCGAAGGGGTTGAAACTCCTTCAGCAGGTTGGCGGTGCTGCGATGGCATTTCTGAAGCTGTGTAACATGTCAGGCCGGATAACGGACTGGCAGTTCAGTAACCTAGCTGCTTATATGATCCAGTGTCGGGTTTTGGGGTATTTCCGGGACCATGAGCGACCATATCTGCCGGATGGGATCTATGGGAGTCATATGACTGGTCTAGGGGTGCATCGGCATATTGATGTTGCTGCTTTTCATGGTGTCATGACTGCGTCTGTGGCAACGGGGTTGGAGTGTTGTGAGAAGGATTTTATGAGACTTGTTGATGCATGTGTTTATGTCAATGATTTTGTGGATTTCAGGGGTGATACGATGCGGAAACAGAGAGAGAATGTTTTGTTGAGGGGTCTTAGAGGGGATGTTTGTCGGTATCTTGACACTATGATTGGAGAGTGTCTTGATGCGGTTGTTGAGGCCGTGGAGGGCTCGGAGTTGGGAGCTCTGGTTGTTATGGGGTATTGCAACTGGGCGGTTATGGGGGCTCATCATAAGGTTTATGAGGTTCTCAAAGGAGTTAAGGGGATTAAGCAGTACGAGGCTTGTAATTATGCTTCTGTTGCTGATACCTCGAGATATGTCAGGTTGGTGAGGGCATTGGAGCCATATGGGACGCTTAGTGAGGATGGACCGATGGTCACGAAAAGGCGGGTGGAGATGGAGAAGGTTTACAGCACTTGTCGATCAGACCCGGCAGCACACATGGCTTGGCTAGCAGATGCAACCCGGAGCCTGCTTGAGCCTACTGTGCTGAGACGGATAGTGGATGTGGTTCATTACGAATGGAGCGGAGATGTGGGCGCTGTGGATTATTGTCCTTAGAGATCCTCTTTGATTTGATTGAATTTGATTCTGCAAATACATGATGACTTTAAGATCTTGGTTACAGGGGCGTTCTGTAATGAATTAGGCAAAAATGACAGGAAATCTAGCCACTACCCTAGTCTAAAAAGGTATTTTGATCCGGCCACAATCAATTCTAGGGGAATGCGGGTTTGCTGATCGGGCAAGACAGTCGCGATGGAGTCAATTCTTTTCCAGTGCGTACTCTAGGGCAGCTCGGGTGTAATGCTTATGCATTTATGCTTTTGCAGAGCTTGTCCGAATTTTTCGAATATTTGGCTCTCTGTGGTTTGGGCGCATTGGGCAAGCAAGCAAAAATAAATTCATCTGTTACATCGTATGATGCCTGACAAGAAGGCGTAGGTAATCATCAATTTTCCTGAAAGATAGCTGCCGGTATTTACAATGTTTCTATGATTTAATTACAAGTTTTAACTCGCCTGCAAAAGAATGAGGGTTAGCATAGTGACACGGATTATAGTGTTAGAGAACTAAGTAGTGGATCATGTCGTGACATTGTCTCTGCATAGAGCCAAACGGAAAAAGTCTATACCTAGATCAATGGAACATTGATTCTTGCGAGTAGAATCCAGAATAAGAGAAAAAATCTGGTGTGTTCCATTCTATCTCCCAGCCCTATACCACACCACCCGTAAGCGCCGATCATGCCACCCCCGACAAATTCCTACACCGCATGACCAAGAGAAGTACCGTTCCAAAATCACCCGAAACTATTCCCTAACAGAAGGGAACCCCTAGATCTAAGCCTCACGGCCAACCCGAAACTGTGAATACTAATGGTCCGGGAAAAGCTCATTCCGCGTGGTTCGGCCGTACCACACCACTCTACGTCACGACTCACCGCAACCAGCCTACCACGACAACCAACCACAAAACCCCCAGTCCCCAGACTTGCACGAGACCCAATCACACAGGACGTAGATCATGTCACCCAGGGAAAATATCTGGGGCTATGTAGTCGATGCACGCCAATAATGTTGAAGGAATTGTCACCCGAGATAGGGCCTTCGGAACCGACGCCGCAGATTTGGTTCGGAGTCGGCCGCTGGATAATGTGGTACCATATATTTTTATGAGGCTCATACTTCGATTCATGAGGCTGTGTCCATCTCTATGGGGGGTTGAAACGTATATAAGATGTGCGAAATACCTCCTTTGATTTTATCATCATCAAACACAAACACAAGATCTTCACTCAAGACAAGAGTTTCTACTCAACATCTACATCGCCACTCTTACAAACACCACTCAAACACTCAACACAATGCCTTCCACAACAAAGACTTCCCAGGCCGCCCGTCTTCAGAACGACTTCGGCGCTGATTACTGGGTTCGCAACCCTGAGGATGAGCACCGCGTATGTTGATCCTAAAGGAATCACCTTCTACCAACCATACTAACATTACCATAGCGCCCTACCGCCGGAAGAGGCCTTTTCGCTGGTCTCCAAGACACCAAGCACTACAATGTGGAATCCGGCTGGGCTCGTCGCAAGTCTTCTACTGAGTCAACTGGAATTTTGGGATCGATCTGGAGCCGGTAAGATTCTCTCTGCGAATCGTGTTTAGGAATTGTTACTGACTTTTCATAGATTCACTGGCGGATCTGCCTAAGATACCAACCGCTTGGGAGTTGAATAGCTTCAAGCATGCCATGCAGTTATGATCCTCGAGGAGGATGAAAATACTTCAGTCGTCGAAGTCATGCCATTTATACAATACCTTTGGAGTTTGGTGCAAATCTTTTGAGTTATTCAAGCTTTTTTGGATCCAATACATAGCCCATTTACGAATTCAAGACCATTCAGATTGTTCTTACCATGCCCCCGGTACTCATCAACTTATGGATTGTAGCTGAATTGTAGATTCTGGAAAAGATGTACATGGCGAAGGGTCCAACAAAGGACCCATAGAATAGGTAGAGGGTTTGGACGCCAGTATTATTGATTTTCAAGCTTGAAGTATATACTAAAGGCCAGTGAGATGAGATTAGAACACAGCGCGATATAGTACAAAGACACAAACCACAGTCACTCTCTGATCCAGAGAATTCAAATGTGAACAGAGCATAATTAACCCAACCATCTCAGTTCCCACAGGTTAATTGAATGGTGCGACAGTTTCCGACATCATAGTCCAAGGGATTCAAGCCCTTTTGCAGCCATTCATAAGGAGTAAAAGGAAATTCCCGGATCGCTTGATAACCCACTGGATCTTCAGCGCGACGGACCCACATTCGCAACTTTCAGTTAGGCCACAGAACCAACCACTTCCTGAAACTAATAGATTTACCAAGTGACGTGCAGCAGCTCGTGTGCTAATACCTACAATTGTCTCAGCATTTGTTCGGAGAATTTTTCACCTAGTCACTGAGCAACACGGTGATTAGCCTGAGCCTCCAAGATTTATCCTGTGGATGACATTGCATCGTATTAAAGTCTATTTAATGGGCTTATAATAACTGGACAAGGGTATTGAAAAGTCTGCATAATAGGGTAATGGTCATAGGTAGCTTTGTTCAACCGGGCAAGGCATATGGGTAAGCCTCTGCAGCTGAATAAATGGAATGAATGAGGTTATTCCGCGGTCCGCGATTCGATAGGTCAGCAAGGTAGGAAGCCCGCGCAAGGCGGGGGTTGAAGAACCTTGTCCTATGTATATGATGCATACAGAAACTATATTCTGACTCCAGAATATCCGCTTTCCAACCACCAAACACAAACGACATCTGCTGTAAACACTGTTAAGTAGACTTGTAGATGCCTGAGAACATGATCCACAAGGCTATGCCGGGCCTCGGCTCGATTGTCGTCAACTCGGTACCCCGCCTAATCGGGTATACCAACGCCCGTCTATGCAACATAACAATTGAATATCAATTGAGAGGTTTTCAAGCTCTACATTGAAGAAATTATCTGGCATTTATATTCTCACATGCTTCTACCCATCTCTCTCATTCAAATTTCACCCAGCATTGAACTATGAACCCCGACATCCCATCAACCCCGCCCTCGCGCTCCCTAAAAGGCAAAGTCGCAATAGTGACAGGAGCAGGCTGCCTCGGCACAGGCATAGGCAATGGTCGCGCAATTTCCATCCTCCTAGCCTCAGACGAATGCTCCGTTATCTGCGTCGACCTGAATCTACAATGGGCAACTCAAACAGTCAACATGATACCCGGACGCGGTCAGGCATTTCCATTTCAGGCCGACGTCACTTCGTCCGAGGATTGCCAAGCAGCGGTACGCTTCGCGATTGAGAAATTCGGGCGCCTCGATATCCTGGTGAATAATGTTGGAATTGCGGGTGCGGCGGGGACGGCTGTTGATGTGGATATGCTGGAGTGGGCTAGGGGGATGGAGATTAATGTGGCGAGTATGGTGCAGATGAGCAAGCATGCCATTCCGGAGATGGTGAAGAATGATGGTGAGATGAAGGGGAGTATTGTTAATATGGGGAGTGTGGCTGGGTTGAAGGGCGGGACGCCACATTTGTTATATCCGACTGCGAAGGGGGCGGTGGTTAATTTGACGAGAGCTATGGCTGCGCATCATGCGCCGGATGGGATTCGGGTGAATTGTGTTTGTCCGGGGGTAAGTTTGTTGTGGGTTCTATTTGAGGATTGTCGCTTACCTTGGGTTCTTGTAGATGCTGTACACGCCTATGATGTATGGGAATGGCATGAGTGAGGAGGCTAGGGAGGCTCGGCGAAAGCGTAGCTTGTTAGGTACTGAGGGGAATGGTTGGGATTGTGCCGGTGCAGTGGTATTTCTTGCAGGTCCCCATGCCCGATGGATGACCGGAGTTATCCTTCCAGTTGATGCAGGAACAACGGCGGCAGTGGGGATCGGAATGACGAAGAGTGCCAGTGTAAATGCTTAGAATACGCATGAAGTGCAAATCCAAATCGCCCCTATTAGTGGACACAAATGCATCCGAGATTAGTCCGTACATACTCAAAACTCAACATCAATGTAAGAATGGGACTACAAGACTAGCCATGAAACAGCAAACCGATGAATTGTTAACCCAAACGCTGATAATATGTACACCAGATTCATTAATCTGTAGTCGAAACCCCCACAAACACCATCACCCTTGATCATCCCACTACCAAGAATCGATTTTCATAGTACCGTTCTCCTGCAAGTTCTGATGCATCTTGAAAGCCTGGAAAAGCATATGCGGCTCATGGCCCATACCCTTGCGCAGACACTCGAACTCGGCACGGTCCAGATAATCCGTAAGAATAGGATAATAATCGGGGTGCGAGCACTTCTTGATAATAACACGGGCACGCTCACGCGGCGACAGACCACGCACATCCGCAAGACCCTGCTCAGTAACGATAACATCGAGATCATGCTCCGTTTGATCGATATGCGTCGCGAACGGAACGATACAGCTAACACCCGTGGGGTCTGTTTTGCTAGGTCTGGTGGAGGGGGTGTGCATGATGCTGTACTTTGAGTTGCGGAGGAAATCGGCGGATCCGCCAAGTCCGTTGAGCATACGCGAGCCCATAACGCAGGTGCTGTTTGCGTGGGCGTAGATGTCGACTTCGACAGGAGTGTTCATACCGATGCAGCCGAGGCGGCGGATGATTTCGGGCGAGTTGGAGACTTGCTGGGAGCGGAGGAGGAGCTTGCCAGCGTAGCGCTCCCAGTTGTCGTAGAAGCGCTTGAAGCCGTCGGGAGAGAAGCGGATGGAGGTAGCGGTTGCAAAGTCGAGGTTGCCGCTGTCGAAGAGGTCAAGGAAGGAGTCCTGCAGGACTTCAGTCCATACCTTGAGGTTGGTGAAGTCTGCGCCGCCCTTGGAGAGACCACCGACGACGGCGTTGGCGATGTTGCCAATACCGGATTGGATGGGGAGAAGGTTCGGGGGCAGGCGGCCGTGCTTGACTTCGTGCTTGAGGAACTCAATCAGGTTGGCGGCGATCTGCTGCGAGGCAGCGTCCTCGGGGGCGTTGGGCTGCGTCTGGTCCGGGTAGTCGGACTCGACGATGGCGACGACCTTCTCAGGGTCGATGGGGATATAAGGAGTTCCGATACGGTCCTCAGGGGCCATGACCAGGTATGGCTTGCGGCCAGGAGGAAGATCGGAGCCCACGATATCGTGCAGACCTTCGAACGAGGGACTGGCAGTGTTGACCTCGATGATGACCTTTTCGGCCATCTGGATAAGTTCGGGCGACGCGCCGACGGAAGCACCGGGAATAATGCCACCATTCTCAGTGATAGCGGAAGCCTCGATAACCGCGACGTCAATCTTGTTGTTCGGTTTGTTCATAGTGTAGTAGCCCTATAAGCTCCGGGTTAGCGCTAATGATCTCCGCGGCGGGAAACCCCGACGCTAAACTTAGACGTACATAAACCAAGTCCGAGGGAAACATGCTGAGATGCTTATCGAAGAACTTGATGTTGCCATTGTTGATTCCCTTGGCGATCTCTTTTCCGACCTGGTGCGGGCTGCGACGCTCGATCATGTTCAATTTCGCCCAGCGGTTCTCCGTCTCGGCGCCGGAGGACGCGCCCACGAATAAATTGTACTTGAGCTTGCCCTGCAGGTTATTCTTCTCGACGTGGTCTGCGAGAGCAACGGGGACTTTCCTAATCCATTGTTAGCACCCACGCTTGCTACGAAGTCAAATGCATTGCACGTACTTGGGATAGCCCACACCCGTGAAACCGGACCAGCCGATGTACGAGCCATGAGGAAATAGGTCAATCAAGTCCTCAGCTTTGGCAAGCTTGTTCAAATAAGAAGGCCGGCGAACGCGGCTCTTCAAAAGCGCAGAAGCAGCCATCTTGGAGAGATGGAGAGAAGGGGAGAGTGTCTAAGAGATGGAGAAAAAAGAAAAAAGAGGGATCCCAAGGATAGAAATACTCCAGAGCTAAAAAGAAAACCCCACGGGCAGCTTATGCAGAGTCCCACCTCGTTCCACCGGAAGAAGGGAAGAAGAGAAAGAGGAAGGTCTGGCTGGGCAATGCGGGCTCTGATCCTCCTTCGGAATTGTTAGCCATAGTTCTACAATTCCTTCAATTTCAACTCATAGCTGTTCAATTGCTCTAATAAAAAGGTATGTCCCTTCCTAATCCTCTTAAACCCCATGTAACCACCCAAATCCCTGATTCCGCACAGATCCCTCTTACCCCCGAGTCAATGATAACCCACGCTTCATATTGACGTCAGCTCGGCCCAGACTCGGTGGAGTTCGGAAATACCTCGCTTTTCCTCTATTTTTACCAGGTATCGTCACATCCACATCAATTACACCAATTTACACCCATCTGCAGCCCGGATACACCGGAAACCCCCTCTGAGCCTCCGTAAAAGCGCCATCACCCAGCGGACCCAGATAAATGCATGAAAGCAGGCACCAGTGCGAAGACCTGGAGATAAAATAGACAGGGTGGAAGACCCGCCCGGCCCGGTGGTGCACCACTCAGTCTACTGTCTCGGACTGTATCGGTTAACCGTCTCGGCCCTACGGAGATCTGGGCCCATACCTATCGAACTGTCCGTGGACCGGAGTAATATTGTTTACATAGGGGGGATCGGTGGGGGGCGGATCAATGATCGACCTGCTGGTCACCCGGGAAGGTCGCGCTATGTTTTAGCGAAGGCTGAATTTTTAATCTTCGGTCGCTTATAGGGTGTGCTAATGCTGTCCTGCTACAGTCAATTGAACTAGAACCAGAGTACGCTACGCTCGTACACACGTTTTGAAATACCCACGAATTCAGGGCTAGAATACATTGAATACAGTACATGGGGGCTATGGCAAGATTAAGCACGAATCAATCCCCAGCTCCGGTCCACGTAACCCCGTGTCTGCTTTCAGTCCAGTCACCGGCCGTGCAAATCAAAATCAAAATCAAAATCAGCACTAGGTTTTGTGCAAGGGCGAAAATAGGCGAAAATAAACAAACCGGGGAAGATCATAGATCAGACCCTAACCATTGGAAAGTAAAGCACAGAAAAAAAAATTGAAAAAAAAAAAGAACTGAGAAACCTTAAGAACTCATAGTCGCAATTTCCTCGTATGATAGACGCCGTTCCGTTCTCAGCAGTAAATGCAATTCATCCTCCAATCTCAAACATCAAATACACACTCAGCTTCAGCCTCAGCTTGAAGTTAAGCTCTGTCGTTAACGGTTCACGCTTCAGCCCCGGCGTCGGCCATTTCGGTATCCGCCGGTTCGCTCTTCTCGGCGATTTCCTTGTGTTCCTGGATTTCCTCGGCGGGCGTCGGCGACTCCTTATCCTTGGACAGTGTACCATTCAACCAAGAGCGGAACTGCTGATTCGACTCATCGACCTTATCCTTGCTCAACCCGCGCGCCCAGTTCGGATTATTAACAAACTTCTCGACGAAGCGGTCGTGGCGCTTTTCGCGGACCGCAGCCTTCTCCTTAGCTGCGTCTTCCTGCTTAGCCTTGACGGTCTCGGCATCGGCGTCCTTGTCGATGGCCGGGGCCGTCGAGCGCCAGAACCAGTCGTGGCTTGGGGGCTGGTACAGGATGGTATAATTGTTGGCGCAAATGCGGATGATCAGGCCATCGAAGTGTTGGAGACGACGGTAGTAGCGGTCGTATTCCTCGTCTTCGTCGAGCTTGCTTGGGAGGCTGCGCTTTAAGAAGGGCATGCGCATTTCGGAGAATTGTACGCCTTCGGTCGGGTCGCGCATGGAGTAGGCGGTCACGTAGTATGACCAGCGGGCTTCAGAGCTGAGATCCTCGCGGTCGAGCGTGGAGTCTTCGGCGGACATCACTTGGATGGTGAGGCGGCGCTCTGATGGGATCTGTAGAAGGGTGTTAGCTGTGTACGATTCAAGTGGAAGGGAGATACGGACGTAAGTGACACGGTAGATATCGCCATCCTTAACCAGCCTTTCTACTTGCTTGCGATACTGGATCTCTTGATGGTGAGTGGTCTCTTCCTTCTCCCGCTCCTTGAGGAACAAGTTCGCGATATCCGAGCTGCGGTCCCTAGAGTCCCCGGTAAAGATCGAGGCCACGAACTTTGTGATGGAAGAGAAGATGCGCTCCAAGTTGTACAGCAAGTAACCGCTCTGCATGTAGAAGCGACGGAGTGTCTCCTCAAGATGGATCTGGTCAATATCTCCCTTGATAACTTCCTCGCACATGCGGACGATCTGCTTGTAGAGGTTGGCGTTGAGTTCAACATCGTAGAAGAAATCACCCGGGAAACGATCGATCAGACACAACTCGTGTGCAGGCTTGGGTAGCAGACCCCGGCGTACCTGCTCGCGGGCTTCGGCTTCCTGCTGCTTGATACGCAGCAGGCGAGCGTACAAGATCTCAAATGTGCGCAAGAAGCACAGGATGTTCAAATTGCAATACATGTGATGAACAGTCTTCTTGTACTTCTCATTGAGAGTGTACTCGCGCTCCAGGTTGAAGTTGCCCTGGTCAGGATGCGACATCCACTTCAGCTCAGCAACATCGAAAGATTCCTCGGCCTCAGAAGCCGCCGTGGAGACAGCCCGGACCTCGGGGGTAGGCTGTTGGCTAATAGCAGGAGCATCATCCTTGGGCTGGCCATTGGTGTTGCTCTTCTCGACTCGGCGCTCGAGGGCCTCACGCAAGAGATCCAGCTTCTGCGTGTTGACAACCTTCCGGCTAACGTTCGAAGCATCATCGGGGCCAAAATTATCTTCCAGCTCCTCAGCGGGAGTAGCGCTGACCGAAAGCTCATCCATGTAATCGAGGAACGTCTCACGGTCCAAGCCGAAGAAACTAGGGACGAAATCTTTAATGAAGTTGATGAGACGCACCGGGTCAGCACCAAAGCCGGAGGTAGTCCGGTCGATGTACAAACAAAGGAGGTGGGTAGTATCCAAAAGGACATCCATATCCTTGAACTCCATCTGGCTCTGGTACTTGGGCGGGTTCAGGCCACTCTTCCGACGGCTCTGGGTCTCTTCAAACTTGGCCTGAAGATCCTGTTGAATGTTCTTAGCAATGAACAGTTTCTTGTCCGTCTGGCGGGTAGCAATGGCCTGGTGGTCGAGACTACGCCAGTAGGCTCTTTGCATCTGTTCACGCCAGACCTTGTCCCACTCGCGCTGGCATGCCTTCCATTCCTCGAGCTTCTGCTTGAGGCGGTAGAGAACGATAGGCAAAACCGCGCAAGGACGCTCGAACATATCACGAATGATCTTCTCGCCACGCTGGCGATCATATACCTTCTTGATCACACGCTGGTAAATGGCTTCGCTCTGACCACCAAGGCCGGGTGGCAACTTGAAGTTGGCACGCTCGAGCTCGGACATGTGAAGGAACTGCTGGACAATAGGCTCGATAAGCTGAATCGTGCGAACACAGGCCTCAATGTGGTGGTCATAGTCGTGACGATCTTCTTCAATGCGGTGAAGAGCATCCTCGAACTGGTTCTTTCTGTGTGCAACAAATCCAGAGTCCTCGGAAGCCCAAGTAGGGTGTGAAGCCCATTCGTCATTCAGAACCTCGAAGCACAATTGATCACGACCACTGCAGGCCTTTTGTCTCTCTCTCTTGGGAAGCAGTCGATAGCTTGGGCCCAAAGACCGGCAGTGTGCAAGGTTCACCAAACCAGACTCTGTCTTAGGCTTGGGATCGATGGTCTTGTCTTCGGGTTCTTCGACATTCATGAATCGCTTGAACCAGCTCATCAGCTCGGCATTTGAGCCAATGAAACCTTCAGCCCTCTTGACCAGAATAAAGCGGTCGATCAGATCGTTAGTGTACAGATTGCACAGCTTTAAAAAGTCGCTGAAGATCTGCTTGTTGGCGATGAACTTCTTCACGCGATCGAAGAAGGCAATCTCCTCTTGACTGGGAGTCGTCAACATAGTAGGTGGGACAGGCTCAGGGAGGGCTGGGATCAGAGTCGGCGAAACGTTAGGGATATCAGCGCCGGATGGCCGGCCATGAGTGTGCTTTTGTCTCTTGGAGAGATTGCCAAATGATCCTGGCTGGCCACGGACTTGAGCATCAGGCATGCGGGCGGCATCAACGCCTGAAGGCCCAGACACGGAGCCAGTAATGCCAGGTCCACCCCTGCGCTTCTTGTTTTCTTTGCCAGAATCCTTGACATTGAACTGGCCGAGAGGGGGCATTTTGACGTCACGGCTAGGTGTCTGCGAGGGGAAATCGCCGGGTCCACTGCGAAGGTCGCTGACAGGAATATTCTCTGCAGCGCGTTGCCGCTCGACCTGTCTAGCATGTGCGGCAGACTCGGGCAAGAACTGCTTGAAGTCTTCAAGGAGGTCAGGAGCAGTGTTGAACAAATGAGTGACCTGCGCATAGACATCCTGGATGGGTTTTGACTCGCGCTGGTAGGTCTGCAAGATTTCGAGGAACTGTTTGTAGATCTCTGGGGCGCTGGAGAAGCGGTTCTTTATCTTGTTCACATAGCTGATGGCATGGTTGAATTCAACGGGGCCACGCTTGTTCAGATCAGCATGTCCGCCTTGAAGCATACCACCAACACCAGCCAGGCTGTTCAAAGGCTGGGTCAAGCTGGCATTTCCACCGGGACCGGAAACCTGCATCATGCCAGGTCTTCCCATGCCAGAGGCCGCTGAAGCAGCACCCTGCAGCTGAGCAACACCACGATGATCCTGCTGGTGAGACAGAGCCGAAGCACCCTGAGCCTCTTGACTTTGGTAGGCGTAGTGAGGATCTTGTGCGGGGCCTTGACCTTCCTGCTGATACATACCCGGGGCCATCATCCGAGAGCCAGGCGAGTATGATCCAGGCGCACCATGCTGCTGGCCCTGCTGCTGCTGTTGACCCTGCTGCCAACCGGGGCGGGACTGGTCATAGTACTCAGCGCGGCCATGAGGACCGAGTCCTCCAGATGGAGCTGTGGTCTCAGTGACAGTCTCGAAGGGACGTCCGGCGCGAGGCATGCTCAGGGTGTTCGTGCCAGAGGGCGTAGTCACCCGAATGGCATCCGGGTTATCCTCGGTACCGCATTCAATGCGATATCCAGGGGGCAAAAAGGTGTTGAAACCTTGAATCAAGGCCGGGTGGCCATTGAAAAGAGTCGACACCCGTTGAATCACGCCCGGAGTATCAATCCTAACACAAATCAGCCTCGAGTCGAAGAATCAGCGAACAATCAACTTACGCCTGGCTCTTAAAATCTTTCATAATGTCCAGGAACCGATTATACACGTCGGGCTGGTCAACAAATCGCACTTTGACCTGATCCAAATAGCTGAGGGCATCCTGTATGACGAAACCTGGGTTAGAGTAAATTTCGAAGAATTCAGAGGGAAGTCGAAGACTGACGTTCAGAATCGGCTGCTGGCCCTGAGCAAGGGCTGCTACATTTCCAGGGATTTGCTGCCCTTGTCCATTGTAACCCATCATGGGTGGGCCACCCGGGTGCTGCATGTATGAACGCGGTGTACCCTCGCCGTGCTGCGACATCTGCGGGCCGAATAGACTAGCCGGGCCACCGGAAGCCTGTACATTTCCCTGGGGGCCGTTGGGCTGGGCGTTACCGAGACTCGAAAGAAGACCGTTCGGGCCATGGATAGAGTTCGGGACCTTCGATGCGACCGGCTGGTGGAGAGGGATAGAGCCCGTGTGGCTCTGGACCGGGTGGTGTTCGCGCTGGCGTTCCATCTGCTGGCGCTCCATCTGTTCGCGTTCCCGGTGGGCCATCTCTTCCTGGCGCTGGCGTTCGAGGATTTCGCGCTCCCTCGAGTCACGCTCGCGCTCGCGGTTCATAGACTGGGGGGATGCATGCTGCATGGCCTGGCCAATTCCGGGAAGAGAGTGGCCAGAGCCGTGAGATGGGCCCTGCGGGTGTTGTCCGTAAGTTGGCTGGTGCGGAGCCCCGTGGCTCTGGCTCAATTCTGCCAACCCGGGAAGGGAGTGTCCGCTCGACTGGCCGGCGGAATGGTAAGGACCTTCGAGAGCGCATAAATGTCAGTTTCATGTTTTCCTGCACATATCGACCTTGGGAATCGAGTTTGTTTTGACGTCGGCTGGAGGGAGTGCTAACCGCCTGGAGGGGGAGGACAGGTCCGGAGGGCTGCGAGCCCGGGCCTTGATTCGGAGGATTTTGACTGTGAAGTAAACCGCGATGTTAGCCTTTGAGATCATGCAATGGATCAAGGCGATTGAGCATACTTGAAAGACCCCAAGGGCCTCTGTTGGTTCATCTGATCCATGCTAGGGTGCGGCGGAGGCCCGCCAGCAGGGGAGTGCCAGCTATCGTTCCCAGAGTTCATGGTCTGGTCATGAACTCAGCGGTGGCAGGGGAAAGGGTATCGAGAAAATGTTAAGGCGGTGGGTAGAGGGATAGGGAGATCAGATTCCGGAGAAGGTAAGCTCCCAGCTGTTTTCTCTGGCGCGTTCTCTGAAGCAGAGGTTCAAGGCTCAAATGGTGGTCATGTCACAGCATGATCCGCACCCTGAGTAAAAAGCAAAAGAAAACAGGCGACAGATACCACGGTGATAAGGCTTAGGGAGAGTGCGCGCGACCGATCGCGGGCTTCAGCAGTGGAGGCTTTCCTGACCGACTCCCGCTAGGCCGAATCCGGTAAGGCGTGTCCTGTCCCGGTATTTTGTTGTTCCGGTATTTGCGAGCTGTATATTACAATATTACGCGAACCGTCTGCCACTGAGGGCCGAGGCTATGTAACTGACCGTAATGTGTGGTCGAATCATACCCCCCGCCTTCGTCATCGCCTTCGTCCGCCGGCAGAAAAATACGGAGGATCTGAGCATCCGGAGATTGCGTCCGTGTGTGTCATAGGCAAGGTGAGTGAGTGTACAGTGAAGCACCGTCGGATGTCTTCTTTCACCATCTAGTAGTATTTCTCCTTTCATCCACGTCTATAAGGCACATCGTGTTCTTGATTGTTCTAATTGTCTCCTGAAACAAAGCCATAGAGCGCTCCGTACGCCCCTTAGTCTTTGGGCTAATGTACCTCTGCACAATAGATCCGTTATTCGTATGCAACAGAACAAAAGCGTGGTGAGTATAGTAAGCACCATGATTCAAGATTGAGACTACAACAACGCAGACACCGGCAACTGCAATATCAAATACGCCTCAAAACAGGCATGACATTCTCTATCATGAAGCGCCTCCATACAACGCCTTCAGGGGTACCTAGGAAGCTGCATACAACCAGAAGATAGAAAAAAGGGGAATCCAAACACAACCATAAAAGGGACTCGAAATGATGCGGAGGCTCAAGGCGAAGGGAAAGTGGTGTGCGATTATGGAACCTGTGGCATGCTGCTATGGCCATTATCTTTTGTCATGTGGGTTTTCTGTTTGAATTTCGTTCGTTTCTCTGGTCAACCAACCCGTCCACCAACCACCGTATCCCATCCTCAAGATGCGCCTGTGCATGGAAAATGTTTATGGTTCCTGCGATCACAGGGCGGAGAAGACAAAGAGCTGGGATGGTTAGCAAGGCACTCGAGGGACAAGAGAGAGGACACATACATTGTTCGTCGCGGCAATGGCAATGCTGTCCTCGAAGGGGTGCCAGCTCATGTGGAGAATCTTCTTGTTGAAGTCGATCTGATCGGCATCCGTCTCCTTCTTCATGCGACTGCCCGGGCCGGCAGGACTGCCAGACCTCGAGCCGGCCTTCTTGCCATTGCCCTTGTTCATGGGGGTGGGCACACCGACCTTCTTCGCCTTGAAGGCCGACTTGTCCGCCTGGAGCACAATCTCCGTATCCTTTTCTTCCTGTGTGGGGTAGATCATGAAGTTGTTGTTATAACTGCCGGTCATGACGTTCTCTGCGTCGCCTGAGAAGACGACTTCAAACTTGTCGAAGATGCTGTCATTCTCGTACGTATCGCACAGGCGCGGCCGGAGGTGCTCGTGGATGGGAATGGTCTTCACCGGCTGGCGTTCCATGTTGACGTCCCAAATCTTCACGGTCAAGTAGTCCCTGGACACGATGTACCGGCCGTCGTGTGAGAATCGAACGTCGGAGATAGAGGAGATGATCTCGGAAAAGAAGGAGCGGGAGGAAGCATCCTCTTCCTGTTCAAACACTGTAGGAAGTCAGTATAGACCAAATAGATGAGAGGCAAAGTACATACACTTGGCGTGGTCGTCACAAAGAGCGCGCTGTCGCATATCCGCAAGTTTGATGGTGCCCTTGGAGCTGGCATACATGAACCAGTTACAGCTGACCGGGTGGAACTCGGCCGCTGTGATGACTTCAGTCAGCTCCTCCATATTCGCCGGCTTGATATCCACGATGTTGAAACTCTGGTCCTGGATGTTGAGGTTCCACAGGTTCACTCGAAGGTCGTCACTGCTGATAAAGGTCTCGCCATCACTGTTCACCGAGATGCTATTTATATGGTAGGCGTGGGCATTTGCATAGGTTCTCCGCGGCACAGCGGCGACAACCGTGTCGTGGTGTGTCAAGCGCGGCAGCTTGAGGGCTGACGCATCCTTGAAGGCTCCGCGCGGTGCCCGAGCAATGCCACCACCGCTCACAGCACCGGCCGGAGTCATCTCATTCGATAGGTTGTTCTCGGCGACCACTTTCAACGACTTGTCAAACACCTTCCACAACTTTATGGTCTTGTCGTTGGTCGAAAGGAGGAAGTGTGATGCATTCTGTCGGCGACACCATTTTATCTTGTTGATCTTCTCTTCAATCTCTAACGATTTGAGGTAGTCGAATTCCGGCTCGTGCGACTGAAACTCGGTGTGGAACTTATACTCGCAAGTTTTTTTCTGTAGTCATATATGAGCAATGCCAAGCTAGATTTTTGAGCTCACTCGACTTACCGTCTCGTTCCGCTCAAACAGCACCACTCGTCCACCCTTGTCTCCCGTAGCCAAATAATTACCGGTGTGGTCGAATTCAACAGTCGAGATGATGTCCGCTGGCAGGACGGGGGTTGTCAGCATAAGGGCTCCGGGTGAATCGATCGGATAGGTGGGGAGGGTACCTTCTGTGATATCTTCTACATCACCTTTATCACCGAAGCATCTGCAGGACAGTCAGCCACAATCCTGGCAGCTCCACACGTGCCCAGGAATCGACAACGTGGAGCAGTAAAACAGCATGCCCTCCCTCCACGACAAAACTCACTGTGTGAACTTCCAGGTGGGTGTGCCTGGATCTCTGTCTACCATCTTTTCGATCTAGGATCGCCCTTGCTCGCGATGGACAAGGACGGATGCAGAAAGGCGAAAAGAAAAAACAGCCTGGCAAACGAATTTGTCTCCGAGCTCTATTGTGGATGCAGAATCACTCGGGCCGAACCAGTGAAAGACTTGACAACACAGCGGAATTGTTCAGACAGGGACGATAACACGGCAAAGCTGAAATGATCACACGAGAAATAGCGAACAATCGGTCGGTGATGCTCGATCGGAGATGGCGAGGGATTTGACGCCGGCGGGAAGCGGGAGGAGGAGGGGAGATAGGAGGGAAGGAGATAGGCGAAGAGAATCAGGAAGGTCGAGATATCGAACTCTGGTGAAAGAGGCGATAGACAGACGTTGGCGATGCTGAAAGGACGGGGGGTCCGGGATGGAGGGGGTGGAAGCAAACCGGGTGGAGGTTGTTATGAGTGGGCCCGCAGAGCTTGAGAGGGGATCATAGGAGAGGGGAAATCCTACGACCAGATATTTGAGCCGAGTCCAAGGCGCGACGTTGGAGAGGAGGGGGGTTAAACGGTGAAGGAGGAGTCGTACGGGAAAGGAAAAAGAGAAGTGAGGTGAGGCGGTAGTGGGGAGTTCGTTACGGCGTCACTTTGTGCCCACCAAGCTCACCGTATTCCCACCCGATGCCATGCGATCGAGATCGATTTGAGATTTGAGGCTTGACATTTCAGATAGAGTTTTACTCTGATTTTACATTTCTGACACCTGGGCTTGGGCACTGGGCAGGGAGAGTCGGGCTGGAGAAACGCTGACATCAACACTGTCCGCGACTGTAACATCGCTGGAAGCAGGTACTGCGTCCCTGACAGCGGGCGCACAATGATCAGAGGTACTACATACTAAGGGTGAATCAATTGACGCTATCGAGGGAGATTGATTTGGATGTAGATAGCTGTTGCTACTCATTTGATTGTCCCATTAGGTCCAATTCATGAGGCATGTGTCCGGTGCCCAGGTGCATCCCCCGCCTCTGTCGTCATCCTAGCCCTGTCCAGCTGGGTATTACCTGGACTGTCATTATACCTAGGTAAAAGTGTAATACCTAGCTCCAGGCACCTGGCTACCGTTCTGCTTGAAACGACAAATTCAGATGTCTGATAGAGATGTCATTGGAACCACCTGGCCAGGTGCATTTGACCCATATATATCAACCATCACCCACATTCGTGGACATGCTCTACACAAACACCACCCTGGTCCATTATCACCGCTCAATTCCTGTTCAAAGGTCATAAATCTTCATAGAACACCCAACCACATCCATTGATAATCAGCTAGCTCACTCCAATCCATCAATCCACCTTCACATGCTCCCCTTCCTATTCCATCCGGCTATAGCCCTCCATTAACCCGAAGCCCGCAAACCACCGAACATTGAACCCAACAATGTCCCTCTACTCCCTCCTCTCCCCTCTTAAACACCCCAGACACCTCAACCCTTCCCAACCTCCATCCGGGCACTCATCATGACCGACGACAACAACACCAACAACACCACCAACACCAACACCCCGGAGAACACGCGGGGTACCCGCCCACCTCACACCCCAGATGACGCCACAACTCAAGAACCCTCTCTAGCATCCCGGGTCCAAAGCTCCGCGGCCGGTCTCGCGCGCGCATTCCAAACCCCCCTCAAATGCAGCACAAACGCTATCCTCCGCAACAGAAGGCAAGGCGGCAGGTCCATCCAGGCCCGGAGCTGGAACCGCCGGAGAAGCAGGATACCTCTCTACGGGCTCCGTAGCTCCTCACTCTTCAAAACCAGGAGCCAGCGAACCGTTTCGCGAACTCCAAACTGCAAGAAACCCGAACCCAGCGCCCAGCTACGAGGAATTCCAGCAGTTCGAAGACAATGCACTGGATCTACAAGTACACCAAACAGCGAATCCAGATCAATCGCGACTTAGTACAGATCTACAAAACGAAACAGGACATTGGAAAGGAAAACAACGCGCCCACGATCCCGCACAACAGGAATACAGCACCGCCTGGGACCGCGCGCAACGCCCTCCGTATCCAGAAGCAAAAGCAAGCTACGAACCAAACGCAACAGACGGCATGGAAGTCGTAACCCTTCTCTCAGACACATCCTTTGACCCGAACACAGATCCTTATAATCCAGAGTACGATCTCGATAAGGACGCAGAAGCTACACCTCTCACGCCCGACGAAATCAAGGCATTGGATTCCTTCCGGAAGACCTTCTCCGAAACACAGCTGGGAAATACACAGCAGCGAACGGGGATATCAGATATGAGTCTCATACCCGATATTGATACATTCCTGGCTCAAGATACAAGTACCGGTTCTATATCAGCGGGGGCATTAAGAGATAGCGTGCTAGAAAATCTTCCTGGAGCGGGTGATTGGATGGGTGTGCAGGAGAGGTATCATGATGAGGTGTGGGGGTATTTGAGGCTTGCGTTGGAGGCTGCGAGGAGTGAGATGGAGGAGGATGTTCAGGGAGAGGGACATGTCGAGGGCCCGGCTGTTAGGAGGCTGAAGATGATTTTGAAGCATATGAGTTGAGTGGACTTGTAATGTCTTGGGAGGAGGTGTTGGGGTTGTGTCGAGGGGTACCGGTATTGCATGAGATTCTGGAGTTAGATTTGGTAGTACTTGTATCAATATTGAAAAGAGTGAGGGGAAGAGCTTCCAAAGGCACTTGAACCATAAAAAAAACATTAACAGAGGGGTATATCAAATGGATTACAGGCGGCATAGTAGAAAGGTGCAGGCTCGACAGGCTGAAAAGCTCTCTCGCGGATTTTAAAAGAGCCAAGTCTGAGAAGTTCTGTGGAAGATCCTTTTTTGGCTCACGGGCTCATTCATGGATCCGACTTCTCTTTCCTCTTCGTTTGAAGCTGCTGCCTCCCAAGGCTTGGCTTATTGTAATGTGTGATCGTTTGGACCCAACTGGGTAATTTTGTTTCTTAGGTAGTCGATAGTGACTCCTGCAGCTAAGGGCTTCCTGGATGATGGACCTGCAACAAAGAAGAATATTGCAAGATGGGTTCTAGTAGTCAAGGCTTCAATACCCCTACCCCACACAATCTACCACGCTTGCTTGAACAACCGGTCCAAGGCGCAACATGTCTACATCTGAATTAAACACATATAACAATCTAATTGTATTCAAATTTAGTTCATATGTTACACGAAGACTAAACCCCGACTAGGAAAGAAGTCCCCGAGCCAGTTATCATCAAAACTTGCATGGCATGCACATAGTCAAGAGCAAAAGAGGGGTATGTAAGAAAGTACAAAGACGACACCGGCATCGACATCGAAACTACAGCTCCAGGCTGGGGGTCTGACCCTTGACGCGTCCGATGACGGTGTGACCGGCGTACTTGGGGATGACTTCATCGTCGTGGAGCATAGCGAATTCTATAAGATGTATTAGTAATGTGTTCACAATTTTAGTGTGGGCACAAGGGGGAGGAGATCAATCTGGGGTAAGATGTGGGGAATGTACTCACCCTCGGTAGCATCACGGCCCATAAAGTTGAACAAAGCATTGGCACCGCCGGGGGTGCTCGTCAAGCCAGTTAGTCACGTCGAGGACGACGCCCTTGACAGCGATCCAGAGATCGTCTTTCTTGTTGTGTTTGGAGATTTCTTCCATGGTGTACTCCTTCTCCGGGATCTTGAAATTAGCCGGGTCAGGCTTGGACTGCTCAGCGGCCGGGGAGGCGCTGGAGGCCGGGGCATCGACGGCAGAGGACGAAGCGCCGGGAGCAGCGGCCACGGTAGACGCAGACGCAGAGGCACCGCCCCACTCGACAGAGATCTTGCCGGGAGTGGAGGGGTCGATGTGCAGGGAGATCTGACCGAGACGCTGCTGGGCAGGGTTGCCGCCGGTGATCAGCTTCTGGAAGAGGTGCTGGCTGGCGGAGTCACCGGCGACACGGCCGTAGACGACACAGCCGAGTAGGGAGGAGCCACCAAGACGGTTGGCGCCGTGGACACCGCCGGCAAGCTCACCGCAGGCGTAGAGGCCTTCGAAGGGCTTCTGCTGGGAGTTGAGGACCTGAGCGTGCTCGTTGATTTCGATACCACCCATGGTAAAGTGGAGGACGGGCTCCATGAGAGCGACGTGGAATTCGTCGTCGATGGAGAAGGGCATGTTGTGGAAGAAACGCTTGTTCCAGGGGTCCTTCTTCTTGCCGTCAGCGATAAGGTTGTACTCATCGAAGGTCTTCTTGAGGGCAGCTTCGCCACAGCCGATTTCCTTGATGAGCTCCTTGCCGCTCATCTTCTTCATGAGGCCACGGCCGGAGTAGTGGCGGGTGTGGAAGTCGAGAACGTTGGAGGCCTTGGAGTTCAGAACCAGGCGGATGGGCCACTTGCCCTTCTCCTTCTCCTTCCACATCTGGCCGGAGACGTAGTCACGGTGGCCCAGCTCGTCAGAGAAGCGCTCACCATCGGAGTTCAGAAGCAGACCACCCTCACCACGGAGAGCCTCGGCAGCCAGGAACTTGAACTTAGCCTGGGGATCCTTGGGATCGACTAGACCGGTAGGGTGGACCTGGACCTTGTCCATGTCAATGCCGTTGGCACCAATCTCCATCAACATCTTCTGGCCGTCACCAGTGGCGTGGGTGCCGTTGGTGGAGGACAGGCCGAAGGTATCAGGACGATGCTTCTTGAGGAGAGAGGTGTCGCCGAAGTCCGCAGCGTAACCACCGGTAGCCAGAATGACGATACCGTCGACGGACTTGGACTCGCCGTTGAGAGTGTAGGTAACACCGGTAACGTGGTTACCGTCCTTGTTAATGCTAGCAACATTGGCCTTCTTGACGATCTGAACGCGAGTGGGCTCGGCATCAGCGAGCTCCTCAAGACGCTGCATCAAAGCGTAGGTGATAGCCATGCCGGGGAACTTGGCATCGTGACCACGGTGTGTGCGGGGGTGAGTGTGGCCACCCAGACGGGAGACAAGAGTGAGATCGAGGTTGAAGACATCCTGCAGCCACTCCACAGCGGCAGCGGACTTGTAGGTAAGGACCTTGATCAGATCGGGACGGGCCTTGTCACGAGCGGACTTGAGGGTATCATCGTAGAACTGCTTGACGCTGTCTTGGATGCCGAGGTCGGTCTGGGTGCGGGTGAGCGCACCGTTAATGCCGGAGGTGGCCTTGGTGGAGTTACCACCGAAGAAGGCTAGGGATGATTAACATGAGGATCATGCCACTTTCGCGTGGTTCGACATACCCTGCTTGTCCAGAACGAGGACATTGCCACCGTTCAGGTAGACGGTGTGAGCGGCACTGAGGCCAGACACTATGAAGTCACGTCAGCCGAGATACCGGGGCGGGGGAAAAGCGGCAGAGCTACTTACATCCACCGCCGACCACAATGACTTGAGGGGCTGCCATGTTGGATAATGTGTGGAAATAGGGAAAAGGGTGAAGGGAAAGTGGAGAGAAAGAGAGTGGGAGGCCCAGGTTCTTAAAGATGGGGAAACCGGGGGTAGACCCAGCTCAGAAGCCGACAAGCTATCGGCCGAGGCACAGCGTGGGGTTTCCTTCACACTGACAGTGCTGGGTAAATGGGGCCCGGGTATCGAGTGGAGCTGATTTATTAATTGCAGTCTGCTGGTTTGCTCCGATCGGTCTGATTGTGAAGAGTAAAACCTGGGGAAACTATCACATGTGCAATTCGCATGATACAACTACGCGCCATCTTCACATGCTTGCTGCATCGTGCGTCATTCATTCCAGCTCGTGGCTGGGGAGGAAGAGAGGGCTACAACAGGACTCTTAGATTAAGGCTAGGTAAGGCTGCTAGTGCTCGGTTTCCACAAGGACAGAGAGAGACAGAGTATTCCGAAAGGGCAGAGTTACTGCAGAACACATTGCGGGATCTCGGTCTGAAGCAGACCGTACCGTGAGCCTCGGAACCAAGCAGAATGGACCGAGTGCTGGCAGTCCGAGACCCCCTGCGCGGGTAGTGTCGCATCACACCACACCACATCACACCACACCACACGGCCAGCTTAGCAAAGATGCAGAGATCCCCCCTAGGTCACCCCGAGAGGTATAAAAAGCAACTAGATCCATCCGATATAGATCCAGAGGGGAATCCACCCCAAAGGACCCCCAAAGTGCGCCATCGCGACTGAAAGTGGAAAAAGCAGTCGCCGACCGCTGACCTTTGCAGAACCATGATTGGTGGAAGAACCAGCGGTGGATCAGGTAATCCGGGGACGAGGTGGAACCAGTGACGTCGTGAGTGAAAGGCACTCATTTGCCGACGGAATTCTATTTCAGGCCGAGTCGGGCTTGGAAAGGTACAAAATGAACTCGGTGTCCCCTCTAGAATCGGGTTCGTGCTGCCCGGCGAGGCTCCAACTGTCTGCAAATGCTCGGGGTGCTTTCGGCCAGGCTCCCGCCTCGGGTTAATGTCGGCCGAAGTGATCTCGCCCGAGAGGCCAAGTCGAGAATGGAGCTGGTTCTGCGATTGAGGGCGAAAGTGGAACTTCATCATACTATGAGCACAATTGGTCTATCGAGACTGGGTCGCATTTACATAGCCCAAATGGTGACCACTAATTTAGAAGAGAAAAGACACGAAACTGTTATTTTCCAGTTGAAAATGGGTGCCATATCGGCCCAGGCAGGACCAAACCCAACGCTACAATGCATCACTTACACGAACACTAACCAATTAATCCATCCAAGTCACACTCTTAGTCGACAAGAACTCATTCAACCCCTCCGCCGCATTGAATCGACCCCATCCACTATTCTTCACGCCTCCATGCGGAAGAACGGGCTCATCGTGGATCGTCATACTGTTGATATGCACAGCCCTGCATTCAATTAGCAACCAAGCATTTCACAGACGGAGAAGAAAAGTAAGAAAGGCTTACCCAGACTGAATCCTTTTAGCCATCGCCAACCCCCTCCTCAAATCTTCCGTAAACACAGACGCCGACAATCCATACCCACTACTATTCGCCAGGCGGATCGCCTCGTCTTCACTTTCAAAGACCATGCATGCGGCTACGGAGGCGAATGCTTCTTCCTGCCATACGGCCATATCTTCTTTGACACCACCCAGAATGGCTGGCGCTAGCCGGACACCTGCATCTGCTGGGACATTGGTTTTAGCGGACCCAGAGATAAAGTGTGCGCCTGAGGTCACGGCGCTGGACATTAGAGCCTCGACGCGGGCCTTGGATGCAGTGTTGACGAGTGTCGGGGGCAGGGATGAGGTATCTGTGCCGGACGTGAGGGCAGATTTCAAAGCTTCCGTGAATGCAGGTGCGATTGAGGAGTGCACGAGGATACGATCTGTAGCCATGCAGATTTGGCCAGACTACAAGATAACCTTAGTTAGGCGAACCGAATATCAAGAGTCACGGACACTCACGTTTAAGAAGGCACCAGCGAGAACACCCTGCACGGCCGTCGTCAAGTCTGCGTCAGCACATACAATGGAACTATTCTTCCCGCCTAGCTCCATTAAACACGGCTTCAGGTTCTGCCCGCATGTTCGCGCGACCTTGCGGCCTACAGCCGTACTACCGGTGAAATTGATCTTGCGGACGGCCGGATGCTCAATTATGGCATTGACTACCTCCGCTGCATCCTGCGGACGACAGTGTAGAACATTCAGGCAGCCGGCGGGTAGACCTGCGTCCTCGAAAGCACGACCAATAGCCCAGTAACAGCGTGGTGTCAGCTCGGAGGATTTCAAGATGGTCGTGTTACCAGCTGCGAGTGCGCATGCAGCAGAGCGGATCCCGAAGACGTAAGGTGCGTTCCTGTACGCATTAGTCCTGTACATTAGAATCCGAATCGAATGTAAGAACCTACCACGGCAAAATACCCAGAATAACACCCATGGGTTCCTTGAAAACAATTGCGCTCTGTCCCTCAGCCTCGACGATAGGAACACTTCCACAGATCGAGGTTATTCGGCTTGCGACATCGCGCAGCATGCGGATAGCTAACGGGACGACGAAGCCCTGCGATGCACCAACATCGGCGCCCATCTCGGTCCGCATGTACTCGGCATTCTGTTCGAGACGCTGCTCTAATAGGTCTGCTGCCTTGAGCAGGAGATCTCGTCTCAAGGTTGGCTTGGTTTGTGACCAGGCGGGGAAGGCGGCGTCGGCGGCCTCAACGGCCCGTATGGCATCCTGCGGGGTGGCTGCGGCCGCGGTCCAGCATGTCTGGTTTGTATAGGGGCTGACGACGTCGAAAGAGGTCGAAGTGGCTTCCTCTTTGCCGTTGATGATCAAAGGGACGGTGATAGTCATTATGTTGGGTGGTTATGAGGGTAGGATTGGGAGAGCTGCAGCTGGAGCTGGAGCTGGAGCGGTTTATTGAAGATCTTAGGCTTACTGTGCCCCACTACGGATTGTCGTTTAAGCATGAATCAGTGAGTAACGTAGTGAGGTTGATCTTTTCCTAGAACTGGTAGAGAATCGTTTACCCACCGTCGGAGATCCGGATTTTCATCTCGTGAAGAGCCCTAACTAGGTATAATTATGAATAAGAGGTTCCCACACACTTTTGTATCGGAAAACTCCCTCAGTAGAGCCATGGAACCAGGGGACCCCGCGGTTGCATTCGGTGGGTGATAGGCGGCTGAGCCCCTAGGTCCCCTTTGGAATAACGGAGGATTAACGGAGGGAAATTCACGTCCGACTCCTATCCTATACATCTTAGGATCTCCCCTTTACTGTAACTTCCTAACAACGCAAAAGGGTGTTCAAGACCAGCACATTGGATGTAGAGTTAAAGCCGGATGAGCAAGGTCTCTGCGATTTTCCAATAGTGCGCCCCACTCAGCACTCATTCTATTTTCTGCATCTTTTTATCTGAGGCAGGACAGGATTCTCCACTTTTTCCGAGGGGTTCTCGATTCATCACTTTTGAACCCTGCCCTCTACTACTTTGTACATTAGCCATAGTTGTCGCTCAAGCCTCCTATTACTTCTCTAGGAGTTGGGATAAACTACTCTACAGAACGGCCCCTGCCTATGTCAGCCTATGTCAGATTTCAGATGAATTAATTGGGCGCACAATTGCGTGCTGTTGTGGTTCGTTCTCGAGGGTTGGCTGCACTATTGGTATGGGATCTGCATTGACAGGTCTGTCAACCGTGAGTCGGTCCCTGCCACGCGAGCATATATACGAACTGCTATTGCCTGCACCTTGCACTCTATATCACTCTGCAGGCAAATCCAGACTGCAGCAGATACGTCTCCCGCAGATAAATTCTTTCTCCGAATCTAAATTCCTCTCTCCATAACCCCGACAACAAATCGACACAGCGATGAATGCCCCGAATGATCGCAGCCCTGATTTCCCGATCGGACTGATGAACCCACCGCCCCATCTACCCACGAAAGCAGGATCCATCCGCTCAGCCCGAACCAACACAGCAATGGAAACCAGACCCGCCGCCAGAAAAAAAGTGTGTCACTTTTATCCGCACCGCGGTAGCCTTCCCCCTCCGAGCTAGTGATAGACAGCACTAAACCCAGCTCTCCACAAAAAAGCAGCCAGAAACGATGTCGTGGCCTTCGTGCCTGGCTCTCGGCCCTTTAATTTCCAGAACCTAATCGGGGCATAATCGATAGTGGCCTCCACTCCTAGGCGAGCCCCCAATGTATATCGCCCGGCCGGGAAAGTGGTCTGCAACGCGCAACATGAGTCCGCGAATGATGAATCGCATGGATTGTAGGAGTGGAGGTAGGCAATAATGTAATAATTAGAGAGGATACCAAGGTTTTTGGGTGGAAGGAGTCCACTGATCATGTATCGCTCGCGTGGTTATATCTCTGGAGGGTACCCTCGCCAAGTGATCGACCACAAGCGTTTCGTTCTTTTGCCTGATTTTGTTATCCTGCTGGTGTCATTTTGATCATCATGGCTCCGAGTACGAGAGGTTGGCAGATGATCGAGATCGTTTCGGTCTTGGTCGCTCTATGCTTAATGTCGGTGGTTATGCGAGTGGTGGCTCGTCTGAAGAGGAGAGTTGGACTCGGCGTGGATGATTATCTCAGTATTCTGTCCATGGTATTGATGGTTGCTATGTTAATTGAACTGTGTCTATGTGAGTATCTCATACGTGCTCCTCTATTTTAATATTCTCGCTGACCATCTTAGGGTGTTCAATCGGAGGCAATGGTGCCCACGTTAAGACCGTCGACGCCGAGACGATGATGAACTACTGGAAGGTACGGATACGAGGCATACCACAGCCAAAGCACACATCTAACCAAAACAGATATTCCTAGCCAATCAGTTCACATATTTTATCCTCTGTCCCGCCATCAAAATATCCATCATCTGCTTCTACCGCCGCGTCTTCACCACCCCCAAGTTCCAGACCTTCACCTTTGGCTTAAACATCCTCATCGGCGCCTGGGGCCTAGGAATTTTCCTCGCCTGCGCCGGCCAATGCCGCCCTCTCCGCGCCTACTGGGATGGCAGTGTCACAGGCACATGCTTCAATGCCGACGAATTCTTCATCGTCAACCAAGCCTTCAACGTCCTAATGGACTTCATAATCCTCATCCTCCCAGTCCCAATGATCTGGAACCTCCACCGCGCCTGGCAAGATAAACTTGCCCTAAACGGCGTCTTCGCCCTCGGAGCATTCGTCTGCTTCGCCTCCATCTACCGCATCATCGTTCTCTTTTGGATCTCCCCTTCAGACCCAACATATACAGTCTACCAAGCAACCCTATGGACGCACGTCGAACCCGCCGTCGGTCTCATCTGCTCCTGTCTCCCGATTATTCGAGGTCTCTTCCCAGCGCTGAAACTCAAGAACCGGTCCAATCGCAGTCAAGGCCCGTATTATATCAATACGAATATCAGCCAATCGAACATTCTCTCGAAATCTAGTCCGCGCTCGCCGGATCTGGAGTATATGAAGATGGAGGCGGGGATGTGTGGTACGACTATTGAGAGGACGCATAGGCAATTCCTGGGTGATGATTTGCATCCGCTCAATATCAAGGTGCAGACTGATATTGCGATTACGCCGGATAATGACTCTGTCTCATCGTCTATCTATCGGGCTCCACACTGAGAAATTTGATTTGATCTGCTCATCTGATGCTGATATGATGAAATGATATATCTTATTCCTGGGTTCGTGTGGATACTCATTGGACTAGATAGGGCTCTGTACTTTTGCTCAGGGTCATACCCACATTACTGTTGGAGGTTCAGTCTGGATGGTATTTAAACAAGGATACAAAACCTAGAGCGTCGACTCAAACAACATTAATCCCAGAGGGACTCGCTTCCAGGGATACCCACGCTTGCTCTCGATGAACAAAAGTATTGACCCCTGTTGTTGAACCTTCTGCTATCCTTGATTTATTCCATACTATTTCCAATATCATGACCTGTCACTCACTGCTTGACCATCTTTCTATGAGCGCTCAAGTCAAGCATACAACTATTGGATCTAGAATTTTTACCATTAGCCTTCGATTCAGAATCCTACCTGTGACACTCTAGATTTCTTTGAAACCAGTCACTTTCACCTCTCAATTTGATATCTACTACTAGTTCAATTCTCACTAGACAAAAGAATCATCAACCTCCCACATAGGTGGAACCAACGCCTTAGGCGGCCAGCCAACCTTCGCATCAAACCCTTTCTCAAAAGTATAGTACCCAGACCCAACCCACTTCTCCTCCTGCACCTCCTCCTGATTAACCGGCAAAACCACCTTCGCCCTCGAATTCGGCGGCACAACAAGCCTCAACTTGAACAACCCATCCACCAACTCCCACTTGCACTCTACCCTCCCATAAACAGTTTCATAAACCACCTCCGCCCACTCAACCGTTCCCCCAGGAACAGGCTCCACACAAAAAACCCTCCACCCCGGTTCCAAGGCCCTAACACCTCCAACAACCCCATGCAACCAATTAACAATCGAACCAAGCGCATAATGATTAAAACTCGTCATCTCACCCGGATTCACAGATCCATCAGGCCGCATACTATCCCACCGTTCCCAAATCGTCGTCGCGCCCATTGTAATTGGGTACATCCACGACGGACAGGACTTCTCCTGCAACATGCGGTATGCAAATTGGGCATTTCCTGACTTAGTGAGCGCGTGCGTGATTATAGGTGTTCCCGCGAAGCCGGTAGAGACTTGGAATCTGGATTTGCGGACGAGACGCGCTAGTCTGTCCCCCGCGGCCGAGATCTGTTCGCTGCTGGGAATCAGGTCGAAGACAAGGGCGAGAGAGAGGGCCGTTTGGGTATCAGAAACTAGATATCCAGCTGGGGAGATGTATTTATTCTGGAAGAGGGCTTTTAGGGCTGTATAGTCTTCCCGATAACGTGTCGCGTTGGTGGATTCGTGTAGGATTGTGCTGATCTCAAAGAGGATCTTAGTAACGTGTACGAGATATGCGTCTGCAACGAGAGTTCCGTCTGTTCGAGCGTTACCGGGTGCGTCGGGTGGCGCTGTGGGATCAAGCCAGTCGCCAAGTTGGAAGAGGGAGTCGTCCCATAGTCTGTCTGGGCCTCGAGCGACCCCGCGGTCAAGCCAAGCTGTCATGCTTGGGTATTGGCGGCGGAGGATGTTGATGTCGCCGTAGCTTTGGTATAGTGTCCAAGGGAGGAGGATTGTGACATCGTCCCAGATGGCTTGGGGGAACATTGGCCATAGAGACTCTGGAATGACATTAGGGACTACGAAGGGTGGGATGGCGTTTGGTGTCTCTAATTGCTCGGCTGAGAGGTCTTTTAACCAGTCGCCTAACATGCCGGATGTATTGTAGAGAAAATTAGCAGAGGGACCGAAGACTTGGATGTCGCCTGTCCAGCCTAGCCGCTCGTCGCGCTGGGGACAGTCTGTTGGAAGTGAGAGGAAGTTGCCACGCATGCTCCAGGTGGCATTTTCATGGAGTTTGTTGACCATCTGATGTGAGCAGGTGAACCAGCCCGTACGAGAAAGATCAGTGTGCATGACTTCAGCGACTAGGCTGTCGAGTGAAAGGGGGTTCTCTGCGTCATCTGGACTCCAACCATCGATTTGGACATAGCGGAATCCGTGAAACGTAAATTGTGGCATCCAGTCGTGAATCGGAGAGCCGGAAGATATGATGGTGTCAGTGCATTTTGCGATTCGGAGTGGTCGAATGCCTAGTTCTTGGTTCTCTAGAACCTCAGCATGAATAAGGGTTGTAGAGTGACCGGCCGGCTTGACCAGCGAGTGAATGCGCACTCGACCGACCAGATTCTGACCGAAATCGACAATCGTCTTGCCGGAAGGTGTTTTGATAATTTCAACCGCGTCGACAACCGCCGTAACCCTCACAGGTGGTGCATTTGATGCGACAAGCTCCGCCTTGGGAAATTCTGTCTCGCGTACTCCTAGCCACGCACCATCTTCGTTGAAAGAACGGTCATTCCAGGCCTCCTGTTCTTCTCTCACGTCATATACCTCCCCATCATATAACTCACTGGAGATCAGCGCAGACTCATGACACATCCACGAAGAATCAGAAGTAAGCACAACCTCCCCTTCATCCGATCGCAATTCCAGCTGCGCAATCAGCGCCATCTCATCACCGTAAATGAACCTTCGCCCTCCGAGGAAACCAAGTCTTGTAGCATACCATCCCTCAGCAACCTCGACAGCAACAATGTTTTCGCCATTTGCTCGGAGCATTGCCGTAACGTCAAACACTTCATAATTGAGGCGATGGCGATAACTCGTCCAACCAGGTGACATACAGTGATCTCCAACCGGAGCACCATTTATGTAAGCCTTGAAAACGCCTAAGCTGGTAATATAGAGACGAGCATGGCTGACGGCGGCGGTAGTCTTGAAACTACGTCGAAAGCGGATTGGTCGTAATGGACCTTCGGTTTGCTTTACAGGACTAGTAATCGCACGTGCGACCCAGTCATCTCGGTTGAGAAGCCCACACTCAACATCTACCCAGACAGACCAGTCTGTTGGCTCGGTGAGAGAGCTTCCATAAGAGCGAACGCGGACACGAGCCAATTCACGAGACGAGAGAGGTTTACTTGGCCAGGGCACGAGGACAGAGTCGGGCTTTTCAACGTAATAAGTCTCTGGCTCCGGAGAAGAGTTGCGGCATATCTCGATTTCATATGCCGATTGTTCCCAATTTGGGAATGTATCTCTGGTGGCTGTGAATTTCCAGGAAATGCGGGGTTTGGAGATTCCGATACCCAGCTTCGTGTGATGTTGTTCAAGAGATACAGTGCTGATGGAGGGCTGTTCCGACATGTTGAGGACTGTGTTTCAATAGCTAGAATGGGAGTATGGTAATGATAACTTTTGAATAGAAGCGACGAGGGGCGTGCACTTGGTGTTGAGCTCGGGATAATCGGTGCCGAATCGGTGCCTTTAGTTATATTTATATCTATTACCACTTTTGGTAAATACAAGTTACAGTACGTCCCGAGATTGGTGCGATCACATACACTCTTCGATTGACTCTCTGATCCTAAAGCCAAGCTCGCGTCAAGATTAACTTAGAGCTATTCCTGTTGTAAATGATCGTATTACTATTACGACTATTAACATATCTTGTGTTTGTTATCAATGTCCGGCTTGGGTGTCCATCTGCGCTTCACTGTCCTCGGTCTCAGATATATCTCACTTTCTCAAAAAATTGTCTACATCGGCATATGGTTGGTCAACATTTCAAAAAAAAAAAAAAATTAAAGATAGAATGAGGTCAGAATTCTCCTCTATTTTCGAGCAATACATGTATATCTCCGAATACATGGCTTCAAAAATGGCTTTCGTGTAATTTATCTCATAGGCGAGTGGGTCCCAGCAGAATACCCTATTAAATGTCACCTCTTTATTCAGACAAGTCCAGACAATTCTTAAATTGCGTTGATTTAATTCAGTATTTGCCCGGATATTTTTCTTAAATTTCTCAGTAGAGTATAATGGCTTGTAGCCAATAAGCAAATATCAAAACATCACAAGCGCAAATATAGATCCTGTATGCTTATCTCTCAAATCTTTGCTAACGTCAATTATTGTAAATTGGTCTAAAGAATAAGGCCAAGTTATACTGTGTTCATTCTCCATCCACCATACTCACAAAAATATGCAGGTGGTGCGCCCCAAGAAGGTTTTCACATAGTGTCTTCTAGTATCGCGCATATTGAATTACTCAAGGGTTGGGGTTTATTATTCCAAGTTATCAATTTATTCGGTCGAGCAATCTATATCTTTCATAATTTGACAACTCAGCACACCTGACAGATGGAGTTTGTATCCATTCTCGTTCTCTTGCCTTTAGAACAAGGAGACTAAGGCATTACTTGCATCCGCCTCATGGATCGGACGTCCAGCGTCCGCCTCATGACAAAGACGCCCAGCTTCCATCTCGCCTCTCACTGTAGAAGAATCTGCCTCTGCAGCGAGGTTTTGGGGATCTTCTTGCCAGGAAGAATAAGACTCGTTTGACCAGGGAGGCCTATAGCTGTGCTGCATAGACGGGGATGGCGGGGAGAGATGCGAGGTCTCGGCCCAGTCTTCTCTATTTTGCACTGGGCTGGGCCCCTCTCCTTCCTTTTGAACCGACGCGAACCTGAAGCAGAATAGAAGAATTCCAGTCCAGGATGTGAGGCTCATTATAACTGTTACAACTGTGATGACCGTGTTGCCGAGGCCTGTAGTTGTGTTATTAGGTCTACTCGTCGCCGGGATGATAGTGTAAGCAATGATGGATAGGGTGGACAAGAAGTTCATCGCAAACCAAAAGATTCCACCGAACAGAAGGAATAACGAGGGTAGCTATTTGCACGCCTTGAGTTAGCCTTCCCTCAAGACGACCGGAGGTCATTTGACTTACCATCAGCCTTGTTCGGCTCCGAACCGTTTTGATGGCTAGGAAGATGGTCCATCCCATATTCTCCCAAGCAGCAAGGCAAAGGAGGATGTAGTAGGCAGCTTGGATGTAATGAGTGCTGCGAATTAGAGTGAGTTCTTTTGCCAACCCCTCTCTACTCTCGTACTCCACTCTACTCTCCCAGCTGTAGATTGCAGTTTCCAAGCACCAAACTACCAAGGAAAAGGCTGTGAGTAGGGCGAGGCATGCCCAGTGGAAAATTCGAGTTTTCCAGTAAGGATTCTTCATCTTTCCAAGTGCCCCGAGGACCAGATGAATCACGCTGTAGAAAACGTAGAAAGTCAAAGGAGCTGCGAGCGCTCTGAAAAGTTGTTCAAATGCCAACAGGGTATAATATCGAGTTGCCGCCGGTGTACCCCAGGATAGGATTGAAGCAGCGCCCAACGCCGCCTGGAGGTTCTGACTGACATCAACTGTTTGAAAGATCGCAACTCTGTAATGGTTGTTGTTGCACAATTAGCCACTTGTGAGCCACGGCTTATTAAGGGAACTCACAAAGTGACTCACAATAGATATAAGAATTGAGCAGCAAATATGGCCCATAGTGGCAAGACCTTCGCACCTTCATGTTTACGGAGACGAATCAAGACAGTCGCGGCAATGAAAATAAGAAAAGCGAGAACCCATAGGCCCTCAAAAGCAAGTTCAACCTCGTAGAGCTCTTTTTGATTAATGTCAACGTGAACATCATTCCAGGAGTCCGACATTATTCGAGAGAGGGAAAGAACATTAAAGTATCAAAATTGGGCGTTTTCAATGAATCTTATTTCAAGGACGGCCGTGAGATCATCACGAGGCTGAGCCGCAATGGAACGTCCCCATAATTGTCCCGTGTCGCGTACCCACATTATGGCCGAACTACTTAGTCTGGGGAAACACGCTGCCTGGTTGGCAGAAAGGAAAAGGGATCGGCGCAACGGACCGGGCTGCGCGGCCCGTCTCCCAGTAACAGTGAGAGAAAAATGGCCCCATCGTTGGTCGGACCTTCGTATATTGAGTGCAATTTGAGCCATGAAGGCAGTTCTAGGTAGTTTGAATAGTAGATCATGAGAAACGCCCCATCTTGCTGCAGCGCCAAGAGTCTCGCGCTCGTTGGCAAGAAGTGCGAGAATGAGCAGTCCGCTTTTGGTTGAATGTGATAAAAGTACATGATTGATTAAATAGCTGGTATAACTAATTGAAATTACCTCATGAGCATTCAGGTTTTTTATTTTCCTGGCTGACTCGTCGAGATTGCATCCATGATATTCCTTGTGTTGAGTAAGTCGATCTCAGGAGACCACGCTAAGGATAGAGTCAAAAGCGCATCGCGGACCTTTAATCACACCGTGCTGCACCTACCACCTATCACAACCCACTTCAATCAGCTCATGGAAGGAACGATCTTGTGGTGACGAATAGGGCCAACGTTCGCTGTTTCACCGACGATCCTAAGAATTCGACTTACTGACCAGAGACTGGCCATATGGCTGACTGGCGATCGGACCCTGGCTCGAAGTGAATTAGTTAATCTGGTCCAAATCAAACGGCATTGAGGTCAGTCTTTCTTCGCGCTTATTCCACTAGAGGTTCCTGGAAAACCATTCAGCTTGAATGCAGTCATATACTTCTCCTACATGCACTCGCTACATTCTAATTGCAACGTCTCAAGTCTATTGACAGTATATTTCCCCTGTTCGGGTAAGCCAGTAAAAAGACAGCGGCAAAAGCAAAAGTGAGCTTAGCAAGGATGTTATTACTGTACAAGCAACCTACAGTAGGGCCCGTGAGCCGAAACTTTCGTGGCTTTGACATTGGCTCCTTCACTCCGATTCAGCTCACCCCCGCATATTGCCACACCAATCATCGGCTCAGTTACCCCGGTCGAAGATAATCTAGAATCCCTGGCGCAGCAACGCTCGAAATATTTCTGGTGGCGGTCTTTTTCAATCTGGACGCCTGCGTGGGTGAGCCCACTTTGTGACGGCGGGAGTATAAATAAGCCTCTTTGATTTACCTCTTGGGCTGCTTGCTCTTTCGGTCAAATTGCAAGCTCTACACTCATGATACATTGATAATTACTCTGAATTGTACCATCAGAAACAAGGCAAGGACTTATGGAATTGTCACCAAAATTGATTTGAAACTCTCCATAATTTTAGTAGTAATTGACAGACATTGAGAACAAATGAATCTTATGCAGTCCCGACCTTCTCCACGGCCACCACACATAGCTCCTTAAGAGTCTTCTTCCGCAAATTCAAAAAGCCATCACCATCAAACTTCAAACCGTCTTTCATATCAGCCGCACCACTTCCGTTGAAAGCCAACATATGAACCATGGTGAAAAGAGCAACGAAAGCGTTCCCAGCCTTCAGATTTGTATCTCGTTGATCAAACAGTTCCTTTGATATAACCAGACCTCTCTCAAACTTGTCACCAGTGACCTCCTCGAAGGTATCCGCAATTTGGTTCATAGTAACCCGAAGTTCCGTAATCGGAATCCGCTTGTTTTTGGTCTTCTCCTCATCCATTTTCAAGACGGCCACGATGGCCGCCGCAAGATAGGGAAGCGTACATCCAGAGAAGTAATGATCACCACTATCAACAGCGGTAACCTTGCGATTCTTGAGATCGATGGAGCCAAATTCCCCTGCCAGCCACCCGTCCATAAAGGCGGCTGGAATAATTGTCGTGAAGCTTGTCGGTCCCCCTTCGTTGGCGAGATCCATGAATTTGCGAGCAGTGACCACCGGCGAGGTCTCTTCAGGCCAATTACCACCTTCAGTGAAAGCTGGAATCGCCTTAGGATGAAGAATGTCCAGGGTGTATTCGGAGGGGAAAATACGTCGGACACCGGCCTCTTGTGCGGCTTTCAGCAATAGCCGATCGACGGCTTTGGCTTGAGCGCCGGAGATGAATGAGAGAATTGCATCGGCTCCTGACACAGCACGAACAAGAGCCTGATGGTCGTAATAGTCGATCGGCACAAGCTTTGCACCTGGCGCGTTGGTTGACTTTCTGCTCTCGGCTCGAGTCAAGATAGTAACGTCGAATACGGGATCTGTAGAAGCTAAGATAGCTTGGATTGCAGGGTCTGCAATGTAGCCAGTACTTCCGGCAATAATCACTTTGGTAAAGACCATGATGATGAGTGTTGTTCAATTTTGAGAGCTTGGGAAGTGATGAGAACCTTCAAAGTGGGAATGTTCGATGGCCCTTTTATACTTGTCCGTGAGGTTAACTCGCGGCCTTTCGGTTGATCTTACAAATACTTCTTCTTGGGGCGTGGGATTGCTTTGAAATGATAGGCACTATTTTTACAAAGTCTCCATGCAAGACGCGAACGGAAGTTGAGAGAAGAACCATGAATGAGTGGTGAATGGCAAGTCCGTGTGCTGCGTGGGGCAATATCAACGGCCTTGGCAAGCTTACCCCAAGCCACTGCAAGTATTTCCGAGACTAACCAAATCGGGCCAAACTGATTGCGGTAGTCTGACTAACTATACATCCCGCCCAATTTCACGCGAGGATAGGTACTGAATGTGACATAAAAGGCCCTATTCACCCCCGATTTCCTAGATTCTTCACTATTCCGAATATATCAAAAAACAGTCGTGAAAAAAACCTCCCTTCCATCTCCAACTTCTTGCTCCTAAAATGGATGATAAAGTTGCACTTATCTTTGGCTATGGACCGCATGTCGGGTTCGCCGTTGCAGAATCTTTCGCAATGCAAGGCTATAAAGTCGCTGTAGTGTCACGATCAGAACATTCTTCAGAACCTGCAAAGAAGTACCTCAAGATCCAAGCGGATCTCTCGGTCCCCTCCTCAGTTGAAAGCATTTTCACAAGAGTCATCGAAGAACTCGGGCATCCAACCGTTGTAGTCTACAATGGTAAGTCATTTTCTCTTTTGCTACGGGCATGGACTTTCGGGAGCGAGGCGCTAAGATATCTCCTAGCCTCCGCTGTCAGCGTCGACCCATCGACTCCTCTTAGTGATCAAATCTCCGAATTCGAGTCTGCAAACAATGTCAATATTGTCTCTGCATACATCGCAGCAAAGTTGGCAGTAAAATCTTTCACTCTTTTACCACGCCAGTCACCGAGAACATTCATCTATACCGGAAACAAGCTCCCCTTGATGATCGTGCAACCACTCCTAGCCCAGGGAGTGGGCAAAGCGGGCGCTGCACACTTGATTCATTATTTAGCTGAGGAGTACAAAGACCAGGGCTACAAGTAAGTGCCCAAAATGTGGCAAAATCGACTTTTTTCTCAGGAGCCCATGAACTAACAAGACTAACTCAGATTCTACTTCGCGGACGAGCGCAAGCCGGATGGAGAGCCGGTTTACTCTGCCATCGATGGGCCCGCTCATGCTGAGTTCTACACGCAGCTGGTTGAGACTAACGTGCAAGGGCCATGGTTTGCAACTTTCGTCAAAGGACAGGGTTATGTTTCTTTCCCCGAGACGTTTGTTCACGATGCTATTGATCTGCCCAACCCAGCTCAGTGATGACTCTTCTACTTATTCTAGAAGCTGGAAATTTTGCGCGTTTGTTCTGTTACTATCTATGACAGACTCTTAAATACAGTATTATTATTCTACTATTGATGTATGTTCTGCACAACTAGACGCCTGTGGGTTACAGGCAGGAACTTTGCTTAGTGGGTTTTTGATAAATATTTCATTGGATGCGTATTTGCCTCATCGGTGAGCACTTGTGATTGACTCAATCTAGTTTTGCGTGGCTCTATACCAGAAGAGGTAATTAATCGACCAAGCTCGGATCAATAACTTTTCCGCTTCAAAAAGGCCGGTGGGTACACCTCGTATAGCTGCCTTTGGGAGCCATTTCTGGCATAGCGTAAGCAGGGCATGCAAATGGTCGAACGTTTTAAGTTCACATTGGTTTCACCTCTCATGCTGTCAAAGTTCACTTCCTGACGAAGAGAACCAATAGCCTGGGTATTTGAGTTATGAAAATTTGAAACATTTGTTTCTGCAATTGATTCTTTCTTGGAACCCTGAATGAGCATCACCTCCACAGCTGACGGCTTAGCGGCCGAGTTGTGGCTTACATCCATTGGCTTGAACCCCCCTCATTTTAAGCAGCTGAACTTAGCCGCTTTTCGGGTTTTCAGCTACCTACCATTGAGAGTTATAAATACGGCCATGCGCCGAACTCCCTTGTGTTTGGTTTCTTCCCTCAATTCGCTCAGTAGTCAGTTCGCCTTCGTAGAGGCGTTTTCAGCACCACGCAGAGCCAACGGCGGCTCCACTTCAACTGCTAACAATAAGTATTGGCATTCTACCCGATGTCCGCAACTGAGATTAAAGAGGACTATAACCTGCAGGAGGCATGGGACCGGGCGTGCGCGTCATTCGCACAGACAACCAAAGTCGATCTCACTATAACGCCAAAATATACTGTTGATGAGGTGCTTGACCAAATTCAAACAAAGCAAGATGAGGACGACGAGCGAAACAACAAATACAAGGTCGCAAAAGATGTGATCGGCAAAACATTGACCTTTATCACGGTCCTGGGGGGCATAGCTGCGCAGGGTGCTAGTATGGTAGGTGTTCCTGCAATATGAAGTCCGCAACTTCTGCTTATCACTACATATCAGGTTTTTGCCCCCAGTAGCCTGTGTTTCAATGCAATCTCTTATCTTATTAGCACCGGAGCTAAGTACAAGCGCATTTTTAGCAGTCTAGCAGAGCTATTCCAGCGCATTTCGGATGTGCTAGAGCGCTGTAAGATTTACATGCGCCTGCCTCCAGACGCAGTGGACATATCCCTTAGGAAGATCATTAACGAAGAGTTGGTATGCTTTGTCGACATCTGTGCACTTTCCATCAAAGTTCTCAAGGGGCACAAAATCTTCACTGCGCTCAAGGTTTTTGCCTTCGACGGCGACGAAGGCGTCAGTGGTGAGCTGAATCGCCTGGCTAATCTCGTTGAGCGTGAGTCTCAAATGCGGGGGACGCTGGGATTCGAGTCGCAAAAGATTAGCGAGATGGTGATCATTGAGAACCGAGATGGGACTAGGAAAATCAATGCCTCTGTGGATAGCCTCATCAATTTCGAGAAGAAAAGAGATGTGGAAAGTGCCTCCAAAAGGATTCTGAAGAATATCGATTCAAATCTTGACACTCCGAGTGAGAGCTACAAGATTGTTCAGACTACCTACAGACGCCTTCTGAATGAACAAGTCGAAGGCAGTGGGGCTTGGCTTCGAAGTGATCCATTGTACACTGCATGGACCTCCACTCAGGATTCATCCTTGTCCATACTCGGAATCTCTGGAGCTGAAGGATATGGCAAGTCTTTCCTTTTCGCCGCCATCACTAAGGACTTGCAAGAAATAGATCCCCAGGCTACGGAGGATCTGACGTGCACCTCCGCTGCCTTCTACACGTTTGAACAGGGGTTGGATGATGCATCTCTGACGAAAGCTCTGAAAGTGCTTGCATGGCAGGTTGCCAATACAGATATTGTTTATCGCAAAGATTTGAGCTCTGTTCAGCTATCCGGTGTGAACCAGGTAGAAAACCTCTGGGAGCTTCTATTTGCGAAGTCCTACAAGAGCGACTCGAGTTTCTTCCTCCTGTTCGACAGCGTTGACAGGATGGATACAGCTCACTTCAAAGGACTCATCCAGCTTCTGACAAATTTACAGGCTGTGTCTGAAACCTGGCCTCGCTTCAAACTCCGGATTCTGCTGTCTGGGCGGGACGAAACAATAGGGAACATTAAAAGGCAAATTGGAGAAGATTTCGCCGTGATTGATGTGGCTTCCAAGAACAGTGATGACTTGCGCAACTTCATCACCGACCGCATGAACAAAATGGACATTCTCAGTGGTTCATCGGATCAAGTTCTTCATCTGCGGCAGGAGATCTTACAAGCCCTCATGACCGAAACGCATGGTGATTTTGTCAATGTTGGTCTGATCTTGCATGAAATCAGTGGAAAGCAGCGCCCGGGCGAAATTCGAGACATCTTGTCTCGATCAGGAGGAAATCGGTCTGACACGATCGTGAGAAAGATGGAGCTCCTGAATGAAACACTAAGTGACGATGACATCTCCGACCTGAACACTCTCCTCACCTGGGTCGTGTTTGCCAAACGCCCCCTCAGTTTGCAGGAGCTGGAAGCAGTCCTTTTTCTTAAAACTCGAGAGTCTTCTCTCCGATCACTAGCGGAGAAGATCACGAACCAGTACTCCTCGCTGCTTCGCATCCTTGGCGAACCACACCCCGTCACCAAAATCACCCCGCCAGCGTCAAAGGTGATGCTAGTGTCTGACTCCATCGAGGAGTTTCTACGGACGGAGTTGCAACCAGGCGACCCCGAAGATGCCCAGAACTTGAATCGTATTGGCGATGTCGATGAGGTTGAGGTCAGGATTGTCCGGCGATTTCTGGAGTCTGTTTGCGACCCGAAATTGTTCAATAAATTCGGGTTTGATGATTTCTTCCAGCGAAAACTTAAGGGAAAGTCTGCTCGCGCTGGAGTGGATATTGAAACAGCGAATCTGAGAATCGTGGCAGATTGCTTAGAGGTCATCTGCTCCAGCGAATCGCCAGATTCAGCCCCGTTGCTCGATTATGCAATCGCCTGCTTCGCTGGCCATCTCATGGACGCCGATCCTTCTCTGACACAACCACAACACAAAATGGCGCTCGGTCCTCGGTTAGTGCAACTGTTTGCAGACGAGGCTACTATTGCGCAATGGTGGACCACGGAAAATACCTGGCTTCGGGCAATGTGGATCTTCGACGATGAATATACCGACGTCATGTTGAGATGGCTCCAAGACTCTGCCTTCACGAAGAACCTCTCGAGTGATCAAATCAGGTGGGTGAAAAGTCTGAGTTCCAAGTCCGAGCCTGATGCAGATCTTCTCGAACACATCGCCCGGTTCATGGGGCGCAGATGGTTACAGGAAGGCACGGAGGGCATTGTTTACACTTTCGCCGCGATACATGGGTATCTCACAAAGGTACGACCGGCATGATTGCCTTCAAGAACAGAGTAGCTGTGGGCTAATTGGTTCATAGATCGAGAGCCGAAAAAATCCTAGCCTCGATCGATTCGATATCAATGCAGAAATTGAGGACGTCGAAACCAGTCGGATTTTCGACGCTGCGCAATGGGTACAGCACCAGATTGGATTGGATAAATTGGGCTATGAAGAGACTCGTAACCTGGCACGCACGCTCCGAGATCTTGCCAGACACCCTGAGGCCATTGAACAATTCAAGATCGCGTCCTCCCTCCAGAGTGACAACTGGCTTTCGCAATGGGGGCTAGCAGGCTGCTATGCCTCCCAAAGAGAGTACAAGATGGCGATCGAGGTTTTGGAGGCAACGGCGAAGTCAATTGAGTCCGGCGAAATAGCAGACGCTGATGAGGCTAAATTAGAGCTCTTTTGGATATCGCGCGAGCTCGCTGAATGGAACAAGGAGGCTGGTAATACCGATCAAACGCTCGCAATTTACAAGAGCATACTTCAGGTCGAGCCGGATGACTACGAAACGGCGCTTTCGTTGATGACGTTCTTCCACGAGAACAATAACTACCAAGGTCTGCTTGAATTCCTACAATCGCGCAAGGACTCGACGGATAAAGCGACGGGACGAGATCATCGCACGGAAGCGTTCCACGCGCACTACGACAACGAGAAGTACCATGAAGCTCTCTTCGCGCTAGCTTACAATACCGAACATTTCGAAGCCATTCTCGAAAGCTATAATATCGCTGTCAATGCTGCAAAGAAGCGATACACCGAAGCCAGACAAGCTGGCAATATCGCCGAAGAGGAGTTTGGCCGGGTCTGCCAGGCCCTACTCATGCACAGGGCTGCTCTTCTATGCTATAACAATACCACCAACATCGAAGAGCACAGGGAATTTGCCATCGACCAATGGGTACTTATTCTGCAGATGGATGAGCCCAGTGAGTCGTATCTTCCAATTGCGAAATCGATGGTTCGCAAGAAACTGGCGACTGTCTGTTTCCAGGAAGCTCGACGTGATCCGGCCACTGCCGAGCAGTATTTAGAGCATCTTGAGCAGACGGCGTCTTTAAAAAAGAAAGGTTATTGGGAAGGGACATACGAGGAGACATACCCAATGCGGCTCATTTCCCGGTGGTACGCGTTGCAGGGCGACGAACACAAGGCCAAGGATACTTTGCGGGCTCCTGTCAAGGTTTACCTTGATCTTCTTTCGGACGAGGATCCGCTCAACGACTGGCAGGGCTATCACGGATTGGCAATGCATCTGATGTCTGCGGGCCAGGATGCCGACGCCCTCGCCGCATGGTCTTTGATTGTTCCAATCGACGACATGGAGACTGAAGACAATCTTTCGGAAACAGATAGCAAGCCAGCTGAGCTTCAAGGCCCAATGCTAGACATATGTGATGGGCGTTGTAGAACCAAATGGTCATTCGCAGACAACATCTACGTGTGTAGAGACTGTGACTATGTTGAGTTTGATGAAGGCTGCCTGAAAAAGCTCCGAGAAGGAACCTTGGTCCCTGAAGTTTGTGGAAAGAACCATGAGATGCTGCATGTTCCCTCGTATGATGCAGCCGACCGCGAGAAGATCGGCGCAGGCAATGTAAAGGTTGGAGAGCACATTCTTCCGGTTGAAGAATGGCTTCAGCGGCTTAAGACAGACTGGGCGATCAAATGAGCCTTATCGCTTGGGCAGTATGACATTCAAGACTATCATGTTTCGAAAGAGATAGTTAAATCAATATCTGTAGTTACTTCAATGATCACTAGCATTCAAATACGATCACCACCAAGTTCGACTTAAGCGCAAATTCTAGATCAGCGGAGACAATTCTAGGGCCCGTAGCGGCTAGACTTGTGGAGAGTCTTCCGACTCAAAGACCTCGGGAGCTGGTGGGAATAAGTTACCATAGACATGAACCGGGGCACGACCGTGGAGACAGTCGATCCAAAAATAAAACCCCTTGAAATGTAGCCAGATTGAGCTCGAGAAAATCAGAAAAGAAGTCTATCTCAAATGACACGCCTTCATTAATAATCAAAAAGCCATAGTCAGCCATACAATTGGAATGCTATGCGTCGAATTTGTCATCCCTGCTTACGGTGACGGACCAGGGACTCGTGACCCCACATTGAGGCAGAAAAGACAACGCGCCTTCATAGCCTGACCAGAAAGGCACTATCTTAGAATAAACTAACAACATGGGAGCAAAAGGGTGCTGGACGTGTAGAGGTATTTTGAAATTAGGTTTTTCTATCCACCTCCAGAGCTGACTTGCCTCTTTGAATTTAGCGCGCAAGGTAAAATGTGATCTGGGCCAGCCAGTCTGCGGCAATTGTATCAAGGCACAAAAAGCATGTCAAGGCTATGGGATCCAGTTGTCTTGGCCCCGAAGAGGCGATGACCGGCGGGCATTAGTGCACGACACGGAAACACTGAGAAGAGCATCGCGGCGGCGAAAAGGTGATGCAGCATTCTTGAACACCTCTCACTGGGATGTTTCGCTATCAGACACACTTGACCAAAGAAAGAATATTGGTAAGGATCCAATTCCTGATCTCTCGACGCATGTTCCGTATAGCTAACATGAAATCGATGCAGCTCATTATCTACACACCATGAGAGTACCACATCTACCGTATCTCCCTTCCTCTCACTTCGGAGGAGATGACACTCTTCTCCTTCAATTCTGTAAGTCCTGTCCGGAGATTTCACTAGAAAACAAGCTCTAATAAGGTGATGCAGTTAACGAAAGCAAATCGCAAATATTGACACCCATCATCAACGACTCATTAGCTCATTTCATCATGAGAGTAGCACTATCCGATTCCTCTTTTACTTCCAACTTGGTCCTAGAAGGAATATTGACCATCGCCTCATTGCAACTTCAAGGCGTTTCGAAGAGTAGCGCCCGCCAACACCGACTCATATCATTGCTACGCGAAAACATCATGCAGATCGATAAGGAAAACGTCCTTCGAAATCTTATTACCACGATGTTATTATACCAATATGAAGTATCGCTCGTCATCTGCTATTTTGAATGAGCAAAGATTGCTGATTAGTCTCAGGTTTGTACCACAGCAAGTCCAAAGAAATGCTGGAGTTTATATCTTTGCGGCGCGAAGAAGATCATCGATGCATCTTCAGCAACAGTTGAATTATACAAAGATGAGAGCGCCGTTCTCATGGACTGGATCTACTACCATGAGGTGGTCTCGGAGTTTAGCATTCGGCATTGGGCCGAGGCCGATGCGGTAGACAGCTTCTGTAAGGGTCCATTGGCGATACGGCCCAAGGGGTCATCATTTGATGGCTCTGAAGTGAGCGTAATGAAAATCATGTCCGTTCTGATGTGCTGGCTAATACAGGCATAGATATCAAGCAAGAATACATGTCCCACTGACGTTCTTGATCTGCTTCGGGTTATATGCAAGCGACCATCGACATGTGACCACGACGATCTAACATATGACAAGTCTGATATTGCGCAAATGTACGAGCTCAAGCGAAGACTTGAAGAAGCCGTTGGAGAGAATGGGACATTCCATGACATCGCGGAGGTAACATCGACCAGACAAGGGATGCTTGCCTATCTCTATCGATGTGCGACGTTGATATACTTAAATCGTGCCGTACTTAAGGTCTCGAATGCTTCATTCCACCATAGGAGATTAGTCAGGGAGGGTATCCTGGTTCTACAGAACCTCGGATTTTGCGAAAGTGCCTGGCCGATGCTCATTTTAGCCTGTGAGGCCAATGAAGATGAGCAACGGTTGCAAATCCTACAGACTTTATCGCAGTCGGGACAAGAGCCGCTGCACCGATCAAGTCATGTGCCCTTGATTCAACGCATGATCGAGGCAATATGGAACCAGAATGACCTCGGGTGTGACAGCGATGTGGATTACTCCAGAACACTACATGCTGTTATTTCGACTGCCCCGGCTTTGCCACTATTTGCTTGAGTCTACTTTGCGAGCCTAATAATATGACAGACTGGAGCTACTGATTATATGTATGTATGACATAGAAGTGGCATCAATTCGTAGAGGTATCATCATATCACATCTTTACTATCAATGCACCATCTGACTAGTAGCGAAATCCTGTCAAATAGTTAGTATCGGTTGTTAGCGATGGAGAGGACCATTCATACCGGGAAGTGGTCGGTGATACTAGCGGCCACCCGTTCAACATCCTCAGCAAGTTCCTGCACGCCCAGATCCCACTGTCGAAGGTTGGCACCGGTCGCTCCAGTAGACCCAGCAGCCTCCGTGTCGAATGTGATTATTCCATCAATCTGGTCGATTTGTCCACGGAGACGGCCTTGCTCCACCATCTTCGCAGCGTAGTCCTGTGCCTTTTCACCAGCGGTCATTTCGCCGGAGTCCCGAAGGCCCAAAATCGACCCAAGCACATCGACAGAGATGTTGACGTAGAGTTTGCTTGCAGCGACGAGATTGTGCTCGATGACTGCCTTGTCAAGCACCGTGGTGCCATCGGCAGTCACAGCGAGTTGGTGGGGCTGGAGCTTCTTGGCAAATGCAGCAACTTCATCAGCATTCAGAAGACGATCAAGGAACATTTTCTCCAGGATGGAGAACTCCTCTACCGATGGGACACGATCATCCTTATAGAGACGGGACAGAGTACGCGAACGTTGCGGTCCTGCAGGTGCCAGAACCGCACAGCGAATGGCGGCCGACAAGGCCGTGAGGCGGTCACTTTCGTCAACACCTTGAGCAAGGCTGACATTGAAGTATTCCTGTGCAGCATCCAAGAACCGCCGCCGAGCATCGAGAATCCGCGCCTGCGACAGCTGGAAGTATAGTTTTGCATCGTGGTCCTCGAGCTTGCTGGGCAAGTTCTTGATACGATTCAAGAATGCTTCGGCGCTTGTAGTGTCATCATCCTCCAAGTAATAACGTACGATGCGGATCCAAAGTCGAGCCTTGGCCGCGTCGGAGACTAGCCGCTGCGAGCTGTCGATGTTGATACCCGACAGCGCCCGCGCCGCGGCAGTGTACTCCTCCTCTGACTCATAGGCCTCGGCCAGGATCTCACGAATTTGTGAGTCTTGTTCTTCGGCCGAGGTGGCGCGAGATTGAAGTAATGTGACAGCGTGTTGACCGACTTTGATCTTGACTTCGGGGTCGAAATTGCGGAGAACGGCGATGAAGGAGTCGAGGAGGGGTCGTGCAGCGACGATGCTGACATCTTCGTTGAGGATTGAGTCGAGGTAGTAGACTATGTCTTGGGCGAGCTCGTCGCCGGACGAGCTAGCCACGATGTCGTTGAGAAGGTCGTTGTACTGCTGGAGCTTGGTCTGTTGGTGGGGCGTGGCTTCAATGGCCGCGAGGGCGGAGGTGACTTTCGGAGACGCCATGGTAGGGTGTGTAGCTGGAGGGTTAGAAGAAGACAGATTCAGCTGCCTGACAGGCTCCAGACTCCAGACGCGGTGATGTGGGAGTGAGCAATGGTGGGTGATGAGTGTCGGCTTATCGATAAGAGCGGAGAGCGGCTTAGTATAGCGCCGACTCTTAATAACAACCTCTGTTTGGGGAAAGATGCATAAACAAGTAGCATCATCCGAGGCTATGATTGAAAAGGCAATGGACTTCAATCTAACAATAAACACTGTGTCGATGGACAGAAAACCTCATTCGAAAAGGCCTCCCGGGAGGCTTGCCATCGGCATTGCTAGGCGAAATTCTGACAATTGGACAATTGTCAGATCTTCTTAGCCAGCGAATGCCTGAAATATTTCCGTACAATTACAAGTTGCCTGCTTCCAGATACACGCCTTTACGTCAAGCTACCCTTCCACCGGGGACGCACGCAGGTGAAGTCATCCAAAGAGCCGCCCCTCACCGCCTTGGGCTGACCCAGATTGGTAGCTTCACCCGCATGTGGCGCACCTCCAACTTCGACCTTTTTCGATTGATTCACCAGCCCTCGGTCTCTTCATACCTTCTCTGCAGTCGCATACGCTCTCTCTTCTGCCAAACCCGACCACGGCCTCACCTCACCCGCTTGCCTATCACCATGGCCCAAGTGAAGCAAGATCCGGATGCTATGTACATCAAGGATGACCCCGACAGCAAGGACACTGTGCTTGCAGACATTGATGACGAGGATCTCTACGAAGATGCGGGAGATCTGGATTTTACCCTGGCAGCGCAAAATGTGTGGATGTCTCGCCTGCCCCGCCAGCTATGGGAGCACTGGTCGCAACTGGACGATGATGAGGAAATTGAGATCGGGACAGTCAGGATAGAGGGAGATGTGAATGATTTGAAACGGGTAAGATAAGACCACAATAATCAGCTTCATCTTCGCGGAACTCATATGTTTCTCATGATAGGTCAGCTTGAGGCTTCACGACCGCCCAGATAACCAGGATATCCCGAAAGACTACATTTTGCAACAACAAACCATCAACACCGTAAACGCTTCACACATGACACAAAATACCTACCTCTTCACAGAAAAGGATATTCCTGGCGCGGAGAATCGAATGGCGACGTTTGGCGAGAACCGCTCGGCTTTGTACGAAGCCATGAAGCGCGAGGCGCGGAGGAGAGAACAGGGCAAAAAGTGGGAGCCATATGTGCGGAAAACAGTGCCGAGTATGTGCCGCCGAGACCACAAGCTTTGAAGTTCACTGACTTACACGGACTAGAACACACGGCACTTGTGGGACAGGTCAGCGAAGAGTTCAATTGCCTTCCGGTAGAAAACGAAGAATTCCGACGGATTTCGGAGCAGCGAGCCCTGGAGGCTCTCAAGCCGAGGAAGGAGACCGTGTTCATCGACAAGATCCCTGGAAAATTCATGCAGAACCGCCATGCGCTGCCTGTGGAGAAGAACACGTTCGTGGTATGTTTTGCCAACATCGTATCCTCCCTACGCCAGCCTGCTAACACATCTACAGCAAACCACGAAACTTTCCAAGGCCAAAGCCCAGGAGAACAAGTCTACACGTATGCCTCAGAACGAGTTGCTGGATCGCATTTTCGACTGTTTCCGCCAGTTCCAGTACTGGCCATTTAAGACCCTCAAGGCCAAGCTACAGCAGCCAGAGGCTTATCTCAAGGAGACTCTTGAATTGGTTGCGCACTTGGTTAAGTCTGGAGATTTTGCTATGACATGGGAGTTGAAGCCGGAGGCACAGCAGAGCAACTATGCTATGATGGCGGCATATGGAGACGCCAAAGCCGAGTTGCCTCCCGGATTCGACGATGCCTCAGATGATGAACCGACTGCATCTGGCGTTGACGATATTCAATTTGAAAATGTCTAACAAACATTTGAATATTTGAACCTACCTTCATCATGTACTAGATTAAACCACCACCATTAATGCATATGCTGCGCGGCGCGTTTTTTGATTGACTCGATTTTCTTGAGTTACAGATTACGAAAATTAGCTTCACCGAAATTACCCAACAACTCAAGGAGACAATGTGTTTCTGAGTTCCAAATCACACCTCTAGTTATGAGTACTTCCGAGGATTAAGTTAGTAGGGTAGATAAATATCCCCGCGCTAGGTGATCTGAACGTGGACAGGATATAGCGTAATGCCAGCGATTTTCACGGCAAAGAAACAGAGGCCAAGGCTTAATATCTAAGAATCATCTTGGAACCTCTTTCATTCACTTTCTAAGACTTTCCTCCAGTGCCATTCAATCTGGATGCGCCGATTCGTATCACGTGATGTAAACCGCCACTGCGGGCCAAGGCGCGACACCGTCATCTCAAGCTCCAAATTTCTCGAGCAGATCCTCCCTTCCCAACTAAGCTCTTTCTAGTCTGCTTGTCTCTAGAGCTCCAGACTCATCCCCACTTCACCCACTGACCTAGTATTTCCATAGCAAGCCCTCATGACAGAAAACGAGGATTTACTGGCCAAAATTGGTCAGCTTGCAGGTAATGCACTCGATCTCACATTTGTTTCAGTAGTTCTAATAAAGTGCAGGTCAAATCAACAGACACAAGACCCAAGGCAGCCAGCCATATCAACCATCAGCGCACCATTCACAACATGTGTCGCGTCATTCTCCTGCTCACCAAGGCTGGGCTCCTTACTCTCGAGGCAGAGGCCGTCGTCCTACAGCTCCGCACCGGCACCGCACACTTGTTTTGAATAATGGAGGCGCAGGGTCTAACGCCAGTGGTACCTCCTCTCCTGGCCCTGCGAGCGACCATGATGGTGAAGCGCGTCCGACACCTAGTTCGACCGGGTGGATTGCGAAGCGGGATCGTCACATGCAGTTGATCAACTCCGCTGTTTATGACAAAGAAACCCAGGCTAGAGCAAGGGCCATGGAAGAGACTCGTAAGCTCAAAGCAGAGCGACGTACTCAACGTGAACAGGCAAAGGTTCTTCGGTATGCGCAAGGTTCTACAGTCTCGACCCCTGCACAACCCTCCGCCGACCATCAGATTCTTGTCAATGATATCCCATTCAAGGTTATGCGCGGCGGAAGCAAGCTTGTCAGGGTATCAGGTTTGTGTCTTCTCAAATTTTCCATTTTTTCTGAGAACTGGCTTACCGTTAATAGATAACCCCGCCAAAGCCGATACCACGCCGAAGCGAGTCACCGTGGCTGGCGTGGCCTTTGTGCGCAGCAAGAACGGCAATCTGCACCGTCTCGGAGCCGTAACATCGAAGAAGTCAGTTTATAGATTATACACCGTGAGCCCGACACTGACACCCCCAGACAACCAACAGCCGTCAAGAAACGCGACGAGCTGTGCAAGCGATTTACAACGACCGGTATTTTGTTTTCCAACGGACCACCCGCTCCGCCCTTCACACCCCCAGTAGAACTAACCAAACCCCAGGAACATGCTACAAAGGACCATCATGTCTCTACATCCACGACCCAAGCAAGGTGGCCATTTGCAAAGACTTCCTCCAAACGGGCCAATGCAGCGCCGGTGAGAGCTGCGATCTGTCCCACGATCCATCTCCTCACCGCTCCCCAACTTGTATGCATTTCCTTAGAGGCCGTTGCGCAAACCCCGAATGCCGCTACGCCCACATCCGCACCACCCCTGGCGCACCCGTATGTCGTCCATTCGCAACCCTGGGCTATTGTGAAGCAGGCGAAACCTGCCCAGATCGCCACGTGCACGAGTGTCCAGACTACGCGAACACCGGTGCCTGCCACAAGAAGCGGTGCACGTTGCCTCACGTCGACCGCGCTGGTCAGATCCGCAAGGCGGCCGCCGCAGCGGCGAAGACCGAGCGCTCAGACGATTCTGATCCGTCTAGTGAGGAAGAAGATTATGACGCCATTGATTCTGACGATGTTGACTCTGACGAATTTGATGAGGAGCTCATTGGAGGTGAGGATAGTGGCGAGATGTCGCGGCAGCAGGATTTCATCCACTTCTAGTTCTAGGACCCCTGGCACTGTAGTTGTTGGATAGCTTCTTTCTTGCCCTTTGCGTTCTTCCTCCTTCATTATTCGTTTTTCATTCGGCCTTTGGCCGTGGTTTACACCTCATGCGGTTCTGGATCTGGATCCAGATCCGAATCCGCCGATACCCCCGAACATGTCTAGCGCACCCAAGAAAAAGAAAAGTACCTAGGACTTTTTCCATTCTCCCAACCCGTAGCTTCGTAACTCCAAGTAATACTTCATAGGCGACAACCAAGAGATCCAGTTTAGGCATCTCTGCACAACGTGTGATAGTGACGAACCTGCAGGAACCGTCCTGGTGACTTCCTCTGCATATGAGGACCTGACACTTGAAACCTTGAGAACCATTGGGACGCAGTTAACCCGTGTGACTGGCCAACAGCTCGGTGTTTACCGTGCGCGTGCGTATCGTCAGCAGCTGCCCAAGTTGAGGCGAGGGCTATAGATGTTTAGGCTTGGATTGTGCATTGGTGGAAGGCTTGGTGATATGCAGCTGGGTGATCTATGCAAGAGGACTCGGGCGGATCATTCGTCAGACTTGGGGATTGCTTTGTCTTTTGGGCAAGGGAATTTCCGAGTCGTTTGCTTTTTTGAGATCGATGACATGGTTCGCGGAATGATTTCCGATAGGATGTGAATTTGGGAGTCGTTTTAACCGGGTCACTTTGGGATTGTTATGACGGAGTTCTTTTCTTGCGTATTTTCTTGCATGGTTTTCGGGTCGGATTTATTACAGCTGGTGAGAATCCAGAGTCAAGTCGATAACATTTGGTTCTGTTGGCCTAGGCGACTGTATATATCTTGGCGCAACGCACGGCATGTACATAGGATGACGAGACTCGTTTCTGCTACAATTTAGATTAAGTTATAGAACAAACGCAGGGATTATCCATTTTATAGTCTTGCATGCTGTACATGAGATGCGTCTACTGTAAGTAACTGCGGTGGGGCTGGTGCAAGCCGATATGGGCTATGAAGACACCGTCATTTGCAGAACTCATTTGAACACAGGCTAGATATCGACATTGATCTTCGATACTCGACCTTTGGTCTTGTCCAAATATCATTTCAGGAGTTGCAAGCTGTGGTTGATTCCAAGACGAAAACTGAACGGAGCTTAGGAACGCGAATCGCCGGAATACCATGCTGACTGACTATCATGACCTTCCAGATATGAATTCACTCGGTTGCAGCGCATACAGAAAAACAAGACAGACCCCGATTTGGCAACAGAGTTCCAGAGTAAAGGTAAACAAACAGTCTATCTAGGCAACGATGTACAAACGGCATCCAGAAATCCCGAAGGCAAGAAGGCCAGGCGTAATAAATCACAGACAAGAGTCTCAGTTACACCAGGGCCCCTCGGAGATACCATCACTCGTTTGTCTTCACATGAAGATCACAGAGTCCTCAATGAGTCACCAGCCCAGAATGCTAAATTATCAACCGTCAAATCCATCAAGCGGTCTACGAAGCGAACAGCCTTTCCAACCATTGCAAACCCACTCCTTCCGCATCCGGTACAAGGATATCAGACCAAACCTGGAAAATACCTAGGACTAAAAGTGGAAACATCAGCTCGAATAGGAAGTGACCCGGGAACTCCTGGTCCAAACAACAGCCCCTCCCTAAAATCTTCCTGTCTCCTGGAGCGCTCCTACCCCCAGACCCGGCCCCATATCGTGAGCCCAACAGAGCCGTGCAGGCCGATCAGGCAGGGACTGAAGTGAGGCTGTCTTGAAAAAGGGCTTGGCTGAGCGTTTCAGAGCCGTTGGGCAGAGCGCGACCCGTGTTTTGCTTGGGTGGAGCGGTGGTGGACTTCCTCTAGGCGTGGGTACTTTTCTAACGATTGTATTTCTACGTGAGTCATTCAACGGATTGCTGAATCATGAAGCTTTTGTAGCTATAGGAGTGTAGAGTAGGTTGTATTCAAGTTATATACATGGTATAACAACTGATAAATGAGGGCTTTTACGGAGTATACGCCTGCGTCACCAGCCATACCGACCCGGAACAGCATACAAGATCACGAGAAAAGTAGCATCATTCCCCGAGATGCCTTGCGGTACCCAGCCTCAGGACCTTTAGCTCAACCATGACTAAGTCAGGCAAGCGCACCGATGCCGGACTGGATCTCAATTGGATAGAAACAGTGCATTCACCGCCAGATGGAGGGGCCAGGCTACGGGGAGACCGGCCTGGTGACAGGGCCTATCACGGCGCCAGATTAGCAAGGCTAAGTATAGACGGCGAACGGACTCAGGGGCTGATGCGTCCGGGTACTGAGGGCAGAACCTTGGATTTGGAGTGGGCGTCAGAAGACAGGAACATGCATCATTGATTTTTGGCGATGAGCGGTAAGGGTACGGGTCCGGCTTCGTAGATCGGAAGGATGGGAGAAGCGCTAGAACACTAGCTTGAGTCATAGTCTGATAGTACGTAGTACGGAGTTCGGGTAATAGGACCGGGGCCGTGGAGGTCTCTACGTCTCTAGGTCTGGACAGACAATGCTATGATGCTCTGGGATAGACGACCTTGGGTAAGCGATGTCATAGTCGCACCCTGGACCAAGATGAACGGGCCTGTCACCGGGGAATCCGGGGATTGGATGAGGGAAGCGTCATTCGGAGGGGACGAGTGATCAGTACAGGGCCGTGCATCAGTCTTGAGAACCGTGGAAGGACGAGTGGATCACCCGCGGGCCGCACCCGTTCCAGAATCTGAGAATCGGAGAATCTGAATATGTCAGAATGTCAGAACCGTCAACTCGACTAGTCACCAAGAGTTATCGCCATGAGCGCTCCAACGGGTCATCACACCGAGCCATGAACGGTTGGTCGAAAAGCGTTTGGAGGGGCACAGACCAAAACCGGGGAGAAGTTTGAACCGAGCAGCGATAGCCTATCGATTATCGATAAGCCCCTCCAGTGGGATGTAAGTTCCTCTACCTGAAATGTCCTCGACTCTAGACTCCTAGCCTGCTACTCCTGGACTCGGATGTTGGACTTGGATTTTGGATCCTGAGTAAAAGAGATCGGGCTGACAACAAAGGTACCAGTCGGGCCAAAAAAAGAGGAAGAAAGTGATCAGATGCAAGCGTGCCCAAGATGAACAGAGCAGCCAATAGTGGGAACATGCTGAGACTGGGGGGGGCTACCGTTTCCCGCGCAGACCGCCGTAGGTACATCTTGTATGTACCGCACGTACTGAAGGTACCTGTGGAGATAGTCTGACACCCACGGAAGGCACTTGCACTCGTCCTGTACTTATCTGCCGTCCTCGGTGGAGTGCACATGCGCCTACATAATGCCGTTTCCCCTCTCCCGATCTTGAACTCATCTATCATCATTCTATCATCAGCTCTATACACTCGTCATCTTGCTCTTCATCTTTGTCGTGTTCTTTATCATCCCACATAAAATCCTCACCCCCGCCCCACCTTCCCTTTAACCTACCACACCGCCTCTTCGCTCTCGCGATGGCAAGATATTCCCAGTTCAACTTCTACCAACAATCTCCAACATCACTAGAAGTACCTGACGAGGACGAGATGAGCGTGTTGGACGACAAGATTCTCGACCCAATCTCCCCCGGGCTCTCCGATCCCCGCCGCTCATCCTACGACGCCCAAGACGCCTTCTCACATCGGAATTCCGTCTGGTCCAACTACTCTCACGCCAGTTCTGACTCTCGGCCTCCCTCTCATCTCGGCCACTCCATCCTGGATTCTACCGGCGCACAGTTCATGCCCGTTGATGGTCCCCAGTCCTATTCGCAACAACCCTGGGCTGTCTCCCGCACCGCTTCCGGCTCATGTACACCTACCGCGTATGAGCAGTATCCCCCAGAGTCCGAGAGTACTTCTGCGCCCTTTCACGGCGGTGCAGTAGGCCCCGTTGGGTCGATTTCCATGGGTGCTGCGTCGTATCGGAGTGGGATGGGTTTCCCGTCTGGTGGGGTCGCTATGTCTCCGCAGTCGAGCCAGGGTTGGATGCCGGCGCCCATGGATCTGGCCGAGGCTGCGCAGTCGAAGGCTGCTTCTTATCGAAATGGATCTCCGTTGACGCTTCGAAGGGATGGGATCCGAAAGAAGAATGCTCGCTTTGAGATTCCCGCGGAGCGGACTTTGAGTAATATCGACCACTTAATCAATCAGTCGAGCAATGAGGAGGAGATCAAAGAGTTGAAACAGCAGAAGCGACTGTTGCGCAATCGACAGGCAGCGTAAGTCTACTATGCGGTAATGGGTAGCTTGTTTCAACTAATCGGTTTCTAGGTTGGATTCCCGTCAGCGCAAGAAGCTTCATACTGAGAAGCTTGAAGAAGAAAAGAAACACTTCACGCATTCGATCAGTCAGTTAGAAGACATGGTTCAGTCTCTACAGAAGAGAGAGGCCGATCACCAGCGTGAGAAGAACGAGTGGATGGCTCAGCAGGGACAAATCACCCAATACATCGAGGGTCTTCACATGGAAAAGGACGAGATAATCCGTGTGCATACGCTGGAGACAGCCGATTTGCGCAAGAAGAACAACATCCTGATGGAGACTGTTGAGAAACTCGAACGAGGCGTAAAGCCCTCGCTGGCTGATAACCATAGCGAGTTCGTCGGCTTCGAGAATCTCAGCATGGAGGGTCACCCGTGGGAAGAGTTCACCATGGCCAATGGTCTCTCGATGCCTGAGCCGGTTCCTGCTCCACCCTCGCAGGCTCTTGCCAATGAGCGAGCATCCGAAAAGCATCCATTCAGTTGGAATGCTTTCTATATGTGCCTTCTCTTCGGAGCTTACATCGCATCCAACAACACAGTGCTACCCGGCCACTCCCTTCCCCAAATGTCGGAAGAATACCGTGCCGAGTCTGCCAATGTCTTGAAAGCCGTGCTAGCCTCGTCTCCACCAGAGCTCGCCAACCCACTAGCCCACGCATCCGTATCCGCTGCCGCACCAGGTCCGAGCATGACCGGAGTGCAGATGAACCAGATGGGTCCCACCCCAACCGGTTCCTCCACTCTGGACGAGTTACACGATACACTAGTTATGCCGACTGAGAATCAGGAGCGTGCCCAGGTGTTTGCCTTGAGTGCAGACCAGTACAATTCCCTGACTACCTTCGAGGACGACGGTGCCGGATTCAAGCCCCAACAACCCTCAAACATGCAACAGGCGCTGGCAGCCATGCGAAACCATAACGCCGCGCAGCATCGTATGCACGAAGCCTCGACCTCAGACGTCTATTCCCGCTCATTGATGTGGGAGCGCGTTCCGCCCAAGGTGATTCGCGATTTCCAGCGTATGGTCCAGGAATACGGCGTCAACCCCGTAAAGGAGGAGATGGTCGGCTTCCAGACAGCCTAACTTCAACACAAATTTCGACAGCTCTTCAGAATCTTGCTCTTCTATTCTTCTCGTGCGGGGGGTTCTAGTCCTCGAAAAACCAAAAACAGGACCAGCAATGGGTCCACAAAGCGTGCCTCTAGACCACGCATTTTCATGTAATGATTTATCGATTTGTTCGACACTTGTGTGTTTAGCGGTTTACTCTATTTACTGGTTGTTAGCGATGTGTTTTGCAGCGTGTTTGAATCATTAGCGTGGGAGGGGGACTTGTTCATATCATACGGAAATGGGGATATTGGGGATACGGGGCATGGAACAAGGAACAAGGAAATGATATGTACAGACATGGGACGACCATGATTGATTGACTTGGGTACGAGATATGAAGATCCATCGACTGTTCTGACGCCCTTTAGCGCTTGCCTTTTTCTTTTGGTTTTCCTCTCTTTTCTTCTTTTTTTCTTCTTTTTTTCGGGCTGGACCGCCTGTTTTCTATTTTCTCTTTTCTCTTTATTTGAGCTACCTTGAGAGTCGCCATGATCCTGACTCTCAAGGTGGTGTGCTCTCACTTTCAGTGTCCATACTAAACCCTTTGAACTGGCGGCGACGCCGATGAAGTTACGACCTAGCCCTTTGGGCAATGCGATATGACTATAATCCATTTACGATTGAATTTCTGCTCATTGGATTGTTGGATTGGCTTGTGTGGATCGTGTCCTCTTTTCTCCTATTTCTCGGTGTGGTCCCGAGCCAGCTTGATACTATCCGAGTACCTTGGATCCTGGATCACTCCAGACCATAATGAGAGCTCGGTAGCTCCCCGTGAGGATGTCCCACATTCTCTTGGCTGCTATTATCTCTTGCCTCTCCTAGTAGCATCTCCTTCCGAGTCCGTTCAAGCTGGAATACGACGTTTCCAGAGTTCCACGTGTAAGTTTTAGCCGAAGGACCTTGGGGGTTAAATATCACGATGGACACATCCAATCAACCCACACACAATGCGATCCACCATGACCCAGTAAATGCCCCGGTCGACGCTTGGACCGATGTCAAGCTCTGACCAAGATTCCAAGCAACGTGGACGTTGTCTGGGCGCAGATGCTCCCGTCCCGAACATGTTATACGGCGCGGGTAGGGCTAGCAACCGCCTGGAAGTACATCGACTACACCATTATGGCATAAGGACCTTGGAATGCACGTCGCAATACTTTTACTAAGATGTCTAAGATGGTATTCCACTTCAGTCAATCAAACCTTGGGCTAACTCGACGGCGCCATCTCATCGGGGGCCAAAACTCATTTGACCAGGGCCACCATCTCCCAAGGTCCCCAACCAACGGAGGCGCCGAACGCGCGATCTAGAATTTTCAAATATAAAATGAACTGTCAATCCTGCCCATATCGGACCAGTGCTAATCTTTCTCTTCTTTTCATCGGAGCCCTAACCCGAATTCCAACATTGGAATCCTTCTGGTCATCATCCTCTAGGACCTAGGATCTCGTCGGCCACTGTCAAAATGGCTTTCGACCCTCACAACGTCGACCTAACAACCGCCGACGCAGCCGAAGTAGTCTGCTACCTCGATGCCTCAACCAACGAATACAATGGCCAGCTCGGCGCTCGCGTCTCCTCCATCTTCGTAATCCTAATCATCTCCTCCGCGGCCACGTTCTTCCCGGTGCTCGCCAAACGCGTACCCCGTCTTCGCATCCCATTATACGTCTACCTCTTCGCCAAATACTTCGGTGCAGGAGTTATTATCGCCACAGCCTTCATCCACCTTCTCGATCCCGCATACTCTGAAATCGGCGGCGACTCTTGCGTCGGACGAACAGGCCATTGGGCCGATTATTCATGGTGTCCTGCCATCGTGCTCACATCACTGATGATCGTCTTCTTAATGGACTTCGGCGCTGAGCGCTGGGTTGAAGTCAAGTACGGAATTTGTCGTGAGGACCCGGAGCCGATTATGGCTTCTGGCGTGGATGTCCAGCGCGTGAGCTCAAGACAATCAAGACGGGACCTCGAGCATGGTCATGACCATGGCCATGGCCTTGCTGCAGACAAAGACCAGGACAAGAAAATGCAAAAGGAGATCGAAAGCCAAAGCCAGCTCTCGGATGAATTAAGTATCGAGCGCAGTTTCAAGCAGCAAATTGCCGCGTTCCTGATCCTTGAATTTGGCGTTATTTTCCACTCCGTCATCATCGGCTTGAACCTCGGTGTTGCAGGTGAAGAGTTCGCAACTCTTTACCCTGTCCTCGTGTTCCATCAATCATTCGAGGGACTCGGTATCGGTGCCCGAATGAGTTCTATCCCCTTCAAGAAGGGTTCATGGTTGCCTTGGGCCCTGTGTACTGCATATGGTCTGACGACGCCCATTTCTATTGCCATCGGACTCGGTGTGCGCACAACGTATAACTCTGGTTCGTTCACGGCCAACATTATCTCGGGTGTTCTTGACTCCGTGTCAGCTGGTATTTTGATTTATACTGGTCTTGTGGAGTTGCTTGCGCGTGATTTCTTGTTTGATCCGCATCGCACCCAGGATGATAAGAGGTTGACGTTCATGGTTCTTTCGCTCTTGCTTGGAGCGGGCATTATGGCTCTGTTGGGCAAATGGGCTTAATTGCAGACCTTGAAGACATAAAATGGGGAAGAGATGTGTGAGATGTGATGGATGGTTTTGTCTATCACGTTTTTATGATACCTTGATACCTTGATACCTTGATACCTTGATACCTTTGCTTTGAGATAGATAGATTGTTCGATTTGGATTGTGAAGTAGTGGACTCCAATACTGTATTTAGGACTTGTTGAAAATAATACTGGGAAGTTAGGCCTTGCAATACTCTAGAAGGCTATGTCTTTTGTTGCTTTGAAAGTACTCCTTTGTATCCAATCTATAAAATGATCTAAGACTCCATTTAAATGTTTGTCTATATACACAAATATAGACCCTAACAATCTGATAAACCAATTTTTCCATTCTTAGTCTCGTCAGCTGTAGCATGGGAAATTATTATCATTAAGCTTTAAGGATGCAAGCCTTCAGAGCATCATTGTAATGCCCAGTTCTGCTAAGGGGCTGGTCGCACTTTACAATCCACGCAATCCCGTCAGTGCACTGGATATATGAAATTGAATTTTTTGGATTGGGATAGATGCATTCGACTTCCACCCGTCCCTTACGCTTCATGCATCCCCCAGAAGGCGCAGAAGAGCAATCGAAATTTTCATCCACAGTCCCTTTCGGGGGAGGCGCAAAGTCTTGGGTTTCGTCTTCAACTTCTTGCAAATCATCACTGCATGTCGAATCTTCAGGAAGATCGCATTCTTTTTTGTTATCATTCCATTCAAGACCGGCAGGGCATTCACCAATCATTGGTCGTCCGGTTCCGTCACTGTTGACCTCGCACTCGATGAATTTGTCACAGTTGCCGGCATATGGGTACAAACATTCTTTGGGGCCCAGGCAGCCTGAGTCTTCGATGTCGCCCTTTGGACAGGAGAACTTGATACCCGAGACAGAAACCAAAAGACCCGCTACCAGGGGTAGTGCGAGAGAGAGACGCATGTTTTCTGAAACGTTAGCTATGCTAATGCACCACAGACCGTAACGATTTACCGGAAGACTCGAGACAGAAAGGGTCCGACTCGGAGGGAGAAAAATTGATAGAATTGATTAGCAGGGGAAGGATCTACTTTAAATACGCCGCTCCTACATTCAGCACTGCAAGGGGTCCGCTAATCGACATTAACACTATGTAAGAATGGATAGTGCTACTGTTACTAAGCTTAATACTCAGAATCTAGCTGTTCACTGGTCCAAATTCGCTTGTGTCCCGTGTCCGAGATCGACCGATTGCCAGACGAGGATATGATCTTCAATATAGGCGATGGTGATTAACTAAAGTGGTCTCACTTGCCAAGTTACGTCATTCTGAGCGACCAGCAGACTTGATCGGGTCCACACTTAGACAGATCTTAGTAGATGATCGTTTCTCAATAGCACATTTTGTATTTAAGATCAAGGTCCCGATCTGATCACGTTAACGGACTCGCTGATCTTTGTTGAGATAATAATGTAGAATGTATCGAATTTACTATGTGTTTTAGACTACGCCGCTCGCATAAAGGTATTTTTACAGATAAGAGTCAAGAGTCACCGGTTTACGGTGCTGCTCAGCGTAGTCCACAAAATATCGATCGATCGACAGATGCATCGAAGGCGTTGTAGATTGTAACCAAATTTGGGACTACAGTAGTAATATTTTTGGGAGAACTTTGTCGATCCCCTTTAAAATAATACCTAGCACTGCCTCAAGCGGGATAAAGGAAGCGAAGACACTATCTGATTAAAAGAAACATGCCAATTCAAATTAACGCTTCAGATTAGGTCGGTCCTACTCGTGAATGACTTTTGTGAGAATAGTGGGGTCTTATTTCCAGCGATCGTCGCCACTATTGAGCACTAGGTTTTTTTACGGCGATATGCTCGTCTTGAGATCCGCTATGACTAAATAGGTTTCGCAAAAAATTCAAGATTCTAACCCCGAAGGCGTGGAGGTGGGTCTTAATCTACCTCTTAAAAGTTTGTTTTCGATGAATATAGAGACTTCTAACCGGATGTGAGTTACCTAGAGTAACGTACGCATAAACTGGAATTCCCAGGAGCCATATAGGTCATTAATAGCCCGTAGATCCATTAAACCCATCCTAAAAAAATATAGAGCCTTCCCCTGCACATTCATTTTGAAAAGCAACCATCTCTCTCTCTGCACGTAATTCACCGTAGAGTAGACTGCGCTAAAAACCGCAAAACCGCAAAACTAAACCAAACCAAACTAAACTAACCTGCATACGGTTTGGTTTTTAGAGTCAGTTTTGGAAACTATCGCGGTTTCTGGTTTCTATGTCAGAAACCGTAATAATTCTTAGGGCCCTATTAGTTTCGTACATAATATAAATTGAGTAGGTCCTTATCACTCTATATTTTAAATATTTTCCCTCTATTTCTTATGGTACTTAACTTATCATAAAGGTCTCTTTCTATTATTTATATCTAACACGCGACTAGTAATATCAGATACTACCTACGTATGCCTAGGATACAATCGTTGTCTCACGTGTCTTCTACGGTTCTACGGACACCACAGTGTTCAAAGTCTTTATAACCCAGCTTCTTCGGCACTACGGAAGATGGCCTGAACATGAACCTACCTATCCTGTCCTTTTTTGTGATGAGCACTTTCCAAGTACGCACTGTAGAGTAAACATGTAGCTCTTTTATGAGTGTGAGTGAATATAAATCATCTGGTGGGGGGTTGGCTCTTTAGTAAAGATTGGTCTTATTCGGGAATTCTGTTGGAAAATGGAACATTGTATTGCCTATGTATAGTTGATCTGTTGATGAGTTAACATAGATGGGCTTGACTCAGTTGCTGTATCTGGTGCACACTGGAAATGGACCCCCTCAAACCCTCTGCGCCGCCATTTCTGCCTGAATTCCGGTGCCAGAGGCAGTAGCATCGGGCGACGCCTCGGCATTGTCCGACTGTCGAATGAATTGCACCTTGAACTCAATGCTCAAGCGCCCACGGGGCAACGTCCAATTGCGATATTCACGCCAGGGCCGGTAGCTGAAGGACAGGAAGCATCGCACGAAGAACAGAGCTATGTGAATCAGTCTAGATGTCCAGTGGTTGTTAATATGTATTAAGAAGAAGAGCAGAGAGGATATTTTCGGAATTACTGACCCGAAAACCACAGCCAACCAGGATACGACCTGGGCGATACGGATGAACCATAGGGGTACATCTGCGTCCCATCCGGAGCCGCCGAGGCCCAACATCGATAGACCATTACTGATTGAGAATACGGCGATGGCGAGGTCCAGGATCAGGTTCAACCAGAGCCAGATAGGTCGGTTCCAGAGATACAGACGAGCCAGATTAAGGAACGAGATCAATCCGGCGGCCAGAAGCTGTTGTCGCCGTAGTCAGCGGCCTATTTTCCTAGGGAGGAGTATATATGTGCGTGACATCAAAACATACCGTGCACAAGAGGGCAACTAGAGCACCCTCTGGTGCCCAGGGCCTGATATTCCCGAATCGGGCAAGAAATATGAATAGAATAGTCAGGTTCAGAACAAGGATGAAGGCTGCGAGCAGTGCCGAGCTCCACGTCAAAGTGAAGATGGTTTTGGTGCATCGTTGTTGATGTCTTTCCGCAATGGGAGCGTAACGTTCATCGGTCGGGGATCCTAATCCATCGGCTGTAGGGTCCAGTAGCAGCGGGGTATCTTCTGTGGTTCGCGACATTATGTCATTAATGGGACGAAGAGGGCAACGTGGTAATATTAATGGGAAGAGAGTTTAGAGGTTGTCAGGTTATTATAACTAACCTACCTAGGTAAAGGTCGCGGAATGAGGTGTCGGAATGTTTTATATGCAACCAATCAACGATGTAAAAAGCTCTGTTTCTGTATTACCCTTGATTCTGCCAATTTATAGGGGGCTTCTAGATCACATAAGTAATAAACATGAAGGATAATTGAATCTCCGGTCCACCGCGGTATTCGTATTGACACAGGGTAAGCACTAGCTCCATCACCGTTCCGGGATATACTGTCAGGATAAAAACCCGGTGATTCTCTACAATCATGGATAAGTCAGCTTGTCCATTAGTCACGTATCGTGCATATATGAATTGCTAGTGTCGCTACAAAATTACAGGCAAAAATAATATGCAATATTTTTGCAGTCTCAGAAAGCATGTTTGCACTGTTTATCAAACAATAGGCCCCAGGCTCAGTGAGCGAATCAGGATACCCAGGTCAGGCTCAGGGTGTGGAAGTTATGATTATGTAATATGTACTTGCGCAACTCAGGCTGCTCGGGGTCGTGCTCAATTCTACTCAGTGATCAAAAAGCGGCAAAGGGTGGGCACTAAAACGGAAAGGGAAAGCCAAGAGTTGCCAGACATTATCCGGTATATATGCTCTATTTACAGTGTTTGCTCTATTTGTCTATGTACTTTTGCAAGTCTTGACTCCCATCCCCCGTCTCCGTCTATCTCCCCTCCCCTCTCACTCCACTCCATACGGATGCAATGCTCCGTCAATGTCCCTTCTACTCAGCTTTCTTCGAAGCCTTTGTTCTCAACTTCATCAGTCCGAAAACCAAAGCATATCCACTGATAGCGAAGATCACCGTGATGGCAGCATCTCTCCATCCAACGTAGTAATGGTTGATGTTCAAAGTCTTCAAGAAGTCACTGCCATCAGTGTACTCACACACCTTGCAGCCGGTGGTGGCATCCGGATTGATCAGGTTGACCATGGATCCTGCGCCGGCCATATACTCCTTAAGGTACTGCGCACAAGTGCCGTTGATCGGATCGAACACGGCGAATTCATCCTCGTTACAGGTAACCTTCGCGTCCCAGAGGCCGAAAGTCAACATTCCGGAAACGACATAGTTGAACGGGTTAAGGTAGTACATCCAGTACTTCCAGAAAACATTGAGCTCAGTATACGGCACGAAGACACCACAGAAGAGGACCAGAATACTGATAATGAGGGGGTTGACGAGCGCAGCGAAAGTAGGGTTGGGTGCGTAGGCGGCGATGAACTGGCCGATGCCGGTGTAGATGAATTCGTAGATCAGCATGATGAAGAAAATCGCGCCGGAACGGTCCGAGTCATGAGGGAGTCTCCAGACAGGGTAATACCAGCAGGCGAAGTAGAGCACCGCACAGATACAGAGGTAGGGGAATTCAGAAACGATCAGACCGGTGACGAAAGCGACCCAGGAGTACATCTTGGATTTCTTTTCACGGGCATCGTATATATCGCGGCGCTGGATGAAGAGGGGTTGAAGCTGATTGATGACACCGGGGGCGACGAAGACGAAGTTGAAGATTGTGAACATCTTAAGGTTCAAGGCGGTCACACTTGGTCCGGGTCTCCAGAAGGAGAAACCGTTGAGAAGCGCAGAAATGATGTGCAGGGACATCTTGTTATTGACGTAGTTGGTGTTTCGGAAGAGTGCGACGTTCATACGCTGAGTGACGATCTTGATCTGTTCCCACAGAGGCATGGAGAACTCATAACCATCTGAGACTGTTCCAGCGGACTTGTTTGCGGCGTCATCGATCATTCTGTCCAATTCATCAATCATCGCATGCTGTTCGGGTGACTCAAGCCAGATCTGATGCCAGTCTTTATCCTTGACCGCCTCAATACCGCCAGTAACCACATCGATCATGAACTCGGCCGGGTTGGCTTCGGCGGGACAGTCGGCACCGTACTGGCCGAAATAGCGCTTGATTGTGGCTCCATTATCACCGATATCTCCAAAGTAGACCGTTTTCCCACCGCGGGCGAGAAGCAGGAGGGTATCGAATTGGGCAAACAGCTGCGCAGAAGGTTGGTGAATGGTGACAAGGACTGCTTGACCGACGTCGGCAAGCTTTCTGAGGAAACGGACTGTGTTATAGGCTGATTGACCGTCAAGACCCGATGTAGGCTCGTCCAAGAAGATAAGAATGCTAGGCTTTGAAACCAGTTCCACGCCAATAGTCACACGCTTTCTTTGCTCCACGCTGAGTCCATTTCCCACGGAACCGATAAGAGTATCGGCGAGATCGTGAAGCTCGAGAAGATCAATGATAGTTTCGACATACTTGAGCTTCTCTGCCTTCGGAACGTCGCGGGACTGGCGCAGGAGAGCAGAGAATTGTAGGGCCTCTCTCACAGTAGCGTACGGTTCATGAACATCCAGTTGCTCGCAATAACCGGCCATTCTTTGGAATGATACGGGAAGAGGTCGACCATCAACCAAGATGGAGCCATTGATTGTACCTGCGAAGAAGGAGAGTACGTTAGCAATAGTGAGGCGGATCGTCGTAGTTAAAGCATGGACATACCATCGGTTTTGCGTTGAGCGAGCACATCAAGTAGCGTCGTTTTGCCTGCACCGGACGATCCCATCAGAGCGCCAAGCATGCCAGGCTTGACCCATCCATGAATGTTATCAAGCAGAACGCGATCTCCAGTAGGGGTTTTGACGGTGTATGTAAGATTCTTCCATGTGAAAATTGATGTGTTTCGAACAAGGCTCTCGTCATCAACCTCAACAGGCTCATCTGTGGTCGTACGGGGAGCGCCTTTTTCGTTGCCCTGGGCTTCCTCATCGCTGTGAGCTTGGTGTTTCTTGAGGCTCTCACGAGGGATGAGAAGAGACGATCCACTGGCGGCTCCGCCCTTCCAGAAGCAGGTATAGATAATGGTCAAGATTGCGAAAAAGCCCCACCAAGCCCAGAGGATGCCAAAGTTTCGCCACATTTGAGAGGCATGGTAATGCAGAGATCCAAGATATTGGTCGCCAGTCACGAAAGTAGCACCAGTAGTAGCACCACCAACGCCTGCACAGGCTTTGTTGGCATCTCCGACATTTTCATAGCCCGGGCCATTAGGAATGAGGTTTCGGCCGACACAATCAATGTACTGGCCATGGAACTCATTGGACATGCCGGCCTGGAAGGCATATGCGAATGGATTTGTGTAGTACAGCTCAACAAACCAGTTCTTGATCTTTGGCTTGGGAATCATGTAACCAGCGTACATGACGATGGCCTTGACCGCGGTTCCAGAGATCTTGGAAGCAGCTTCGAAAGTGCTAAATGCGGCTCCGATGCATCTGAACAAAGCGGTGATACACTATTGATCAATGATTAGTAATTTGACGACTTGGAGAAGAAGGAAAGAAACCAAAAGGATCTACTAACCAGAGTTGTAGTGAAGAGGATAGCCCAGAAAGTGAAGAATGCAGCCGCGGTGTGCTTCAGCCCAACCATCCAGTAGATGACAACCGAGAAGATCGAACATTGGAACAGCAGAACGGGGAAATCCGCCGTGATCTGAGCCAGACAGAACGCAGCCGGGTGGTACATAGCGAAATTCTTATGCTTGATCAGGATAGGGCGTCCTTTGAAGGACTCAGTAACCTCAGACATGGCCACAATGCAGTTATACAAGAGCGAGAAGAAGATGGCACCACCTTTGGTGAAAATTCCAGCAGAGGTAGCAGGGGAGTTGTAGAAACATGAACCAGCGATTAATGCCATTGCACATGACAAGATCTGCTTGATCAAGAACGTAGACTTCTCACCCCACAGAATCTGGTACTGTCTCCTCGTGCAGGAAGAGACTTGGGCCCAGAAACTGATAGTCAGGTCACTGCTTTTGGGCAGATGGTTAGATCTTTCCCAGGCGACAGATTCTTTGAAGGCCTCTGTGCGCTCAGCTGCAACATCGCTGTTTGGATAGTCGTAAAGAGATATCTCGTGTTTGTATATCGCCGAATTCTTGTACTCAGTCAAAATGGCATCGGCGGTTCTAGGGAATCTATTTTCCCAGCCAGATCTGACCTTTCTCTCGGTCGGAACAGTCACACCGGTGAGAAAGTCGCCTAACAACACCAAGGTTAGCATGTGAAGCAACTGATTACTAGTAAAAAGGGAATCCTACCGATATTGGCTCCTTCAGTATACATCAGACCAAGATTCTCCATAAACGGCTTTGCTTGCGCAGCAGGGCCGTAGTAAATTTGCTTTCCTTCGTCAAGGACAAGAACCTTGTCGAATAGGTTATAAATGGCGTTTCCGGCTTGATAAAGGGTGACGATGGTGGAAAGTCCTTGCACGTCGGTCATAGCGCGAAGAGCTTTCGCCCATTCCAATGCTGTACTAGCATCTAGACCGCGAGTACTGTTATCCCAGGAGTAAACCGAGGCCCTTGTTGCCAGACACTCAATAATAGAGACTCGCTTTCTTTCTCCGCCAGATACGCCACGGACATATTCATTTCCAACTTTTGTGTCAGCAGTATGAGAGATTCCCATAGACTCCAGAAGGAATTGCTTAGTCTCCGCAGTATATTCATCGACGCTCTTGGCTCCATCGGGAAGATGGAAAGGCACCTTGAGCTTAGTGGCAAAATCGATCGTTTGACCGACAGTCAAACGGGGGTAAAAAAGCTCTTCTTCTGTGTTCATGACGATTTGGCCTTGGTATTTGATTGCTTCGTCGTGTTTCATATTTCCAAAAAGCACATCACCCTTGATGGTGTGAAATCCTTCGCGGCGATTGGCAAGCATCTTAAGAAGGGTGGTACAGCCAGAACCAGGTCGGCCCAGGACAAGTAGCATCTCACCGGGCTTGACACAGCCATGGCTGTCAGACAAGATCGACTTGAGCGGTGGTTTCCGACGCATGTCTTTAACGAGTTGAGGAACATTAAATTGAGAGATCATGTTCTCTTTGACCGCAGCTTCGGCAGCGGGAACTTCCACTGTCAGGTTCTGCCAGGTCACTCCAAGCTCACGGCGTTTGAACCCGGCCGCTTCGTCACGCTGGGCGTTCCGAATGACTTGCGGTGTCATGCCCCATTCTGTATTCTTCTTGGGAGATGGAGTAGTCGGGGTTTGAGGAGAGTTGAGAGTTTCGGAGCTGCTGGCTTCATGGAGTTTCATTTCAGGGACGGCGAGGGTGTCGTAGCTTTTCTGATATTTTGCCTCGCGAGGTTCATCGGTGGGGGATTCAGGGGACGACATCTCGTCCGATTTCTGATACTGCTCCGACATGGAAGCAAGCATCAACCTTTCTTGCGAATTATGGATTGAAAACTATCGGCGAGAGAAAAAGAAGGGCATTTTGGTTATTTATAAAATCTACGAGTATGTCGAAAAGCCGAGGTGAGATAATAAAAGTTGACATATACCTATTCTAGGCCTTGTGGCCAAGGGGCAGTGGAGCCCAGGAGCTGGTGCCGGCACAGCAATATTACTATATTGGTCCAATGGATACTTTTGGCAATACTCCGCTCATAATTCTGCTAGCCAGAAACTCGGGAATATGCAGGTGTAGGGGCTGCTTATGCTTCTCCCTACATCCGCTATGAGCATTTTGCGAACATAAACCTTCGGATGGTACCGCACGCTAACCGAGTTCTGTCAATTTTTATACATGCGAGATTTAAATCCTGTGCCTTGCATCAGTGACCAATGAGACAATTTGACGCATGGATCCAGCGTGTGGACTTCGGTTGCCGAATGGTAGATCTGGGTTCAGGGACGAGTTCAATACGCCACGGCAATGGATGCCGAAGACTCGGTATTGGTCGATCCCGGTTTACCGGCCAACACAGACCTGTCAACCATCTTGCTCTATAATAGGTATCATCCAACGAGGGATGATATGATAATCTAGCTGCCTGTATGACCCCAGATTGCTAATCTTAGCTTATGGATAGATCTGCCGAATGGGTGTCCGAAATCTGAAGTGACACAGATAGGGTAAATTACAGCGCTTTCTGCTGTTGATAAGCAATAATTTCTATTGTTGGTAATCACCGAATGAATTACATCCATGTTTCTATGCACGTAGCGTCATCAGTGCCACAAAATCGGAATACCAGCCCTACCGAGGACTATTCTAATCCACGAAAAACGTAATCGCGGGTATGTTTTGTAACCATGGATGAGCAATACAATTGGTAATGCAGGCATGTCTAAACTACGAGCCGGAAATAATTGCCCGAAAAGTCTGTAGTTATCGGCGGATCCCGATCTACCCGAGCTGTCAACCGTGCCGATGGAGCATATTACCAGAATAGGATATGTAATTATAAATTGATTGCCTGCATGAACTTGGATGTCACCCTGTTCTAGAAGCCTTCCGTGAGAAGCCTTATCTGCTACTCTGTGTGACGGGGCCCCTAAGAAGCTTTTAGTGGCTTCTTTTGTAGGTCGCTTGAGGCTGCGGGGATTAACTTACCCCTGCTCAAAGCCGATCGCTTCCCGATGCAACGGTGTTATGTAATACTAGCTACGTGACTACTCAACTAGTCGGAGGTCCATATCATGCGTTTGATTTTGAGGATCACTAGTCTCCGTCGCCTCTCGTAGAGAGTGGAGGGCAGCCTTTAGGGGAGCCGTTCTGGAACGTGTTCGGCATATAAATTCGTTGCACTTCCAGTCAGAAAGAAGGATACTGAGTAATTTAGGTGAATAACCTAGATTGGAGAACTGTATGTCGCTAAACCGTTGTAAAAATGACCCAAAGCCCCATAATCGACTGCACCAGTTCCCAAAAATAGCCGCAAATGATTGAAGGTAAAAGAACACGAAAGAAAGTGAAGTACAGCTATAATACACATGCATCTCGTCATAGGGTATTAAGAAAGGAGATTCCAGACTCCAGAGATCAAAGCTTAGATCGAAGGGATATCTGCTGGATTTGTGTTGAGAAATTGATTGAAGTCCTCGTAGTCGTTGGATGCAACAGAGTCCATGAGCGCTTGCCGATTGAACATGGGCGATGGAATATGGTTGTCAAAAGGCAGGCCCATGTAGTCGGCGTTGGTGTTCATTTCCATGTCATCAAACAGACTGAAATTGTCAACCGAACTGAATCCGTTGGTAGGCCACTGTTGTGATCCCAGTGGACCATCGACTCCTTGTAACGATAGCCCATATTGCGGACTGTGAGATGAGGGCTCAGACTTGATAGGGGTGTGAAGTGAAGGGACGGTGTTATACGTAGGAGGGGTTGGCGGCATTTCCTGATGAGAGAGTGCATCAGGCGAGAAGCTCGAACAAGCCACAGGCGAATATGGCTCGCGGGTACCATTGGACGACTCTTGGCGATGGGCAATGTCGGAAGTTTCTTCGAACCGTTCACCCTTGGAGCCATCGAGGACACCAAGGCGGGTGAGAATATCGTGGGTGAGAGGGTGGCCGTTGGTCTCGGCCTTCAGCAGGTCTCCAGACCAGCTCTCGTCTTCGATAGCACGATGGTAAAGTACCTGTAGGCCGTGCACTAGCCAAGATTGTTGTTGCTCGAGCATTTCAACGTATCTGCATTGGTATCATGATCAGCTTAGATTTCTGTGTTCAACATCGTGCCAGCTCACCCCTTCGGGTACACTTTGTCATGAGGCTTCTTCCGCTCCCCAAAGACACAGACAGTGTTATCTGCTCGACAGCGCGAACATGGACTGGACCCGTCACACTTATGCCGTCAGTATGGACAGTGATACCACCTGCCCTTCCCATAACATACCTTGGATTTCTTCAAACGACAACGATCGCACGCTTTGCACACACGCTTGCGTATTCCGTCGGTGTGAGAGTGGTCAGACATTGGGGTCGATTGTCGTGTTGACATTTTGCGATGTGTGAAAAAAGGGAGGAAAGCTGAAGTTAAACCACAGAATAAAATTGCAAAGCCCGTAGCTATTCGGGCTATGGTTCCCGATTCGGAAAGGCTGATCGACGTCAACCAACGTAAGGGTCCAAACAGAATGCCGACATGAGTTCCGATGTCTCGCGAAACAGTATTTTAAGTTTTTGAAAGCTTTTCAGCCCTTCAGGTTTAATTATTCCAGAACAAGTGCTAGTCGATCTAATGGGAAATCGACTCTTTCAGAGGCTTGAGGGATTTTCAAGCATGTCTACGACAACATCCAATCGGGATCAAGTGTGTCCACGAAGGCTCCACTCATCACAGTGCCGATTCTTCCACCCTTTCTATCTTTCCTCCCTCGGCAATAGAGACGTTATCAGTGGAGACCTGGAACTTCGGCATCTCGATATTAAAGAATTTGCAGGCACGGAGCCAAAGCTTGTATGGGGCCTTTGAGACACTTAGGATCTTGTCTGACGTACGTGGAAGGAAAATCTACGGTCCATCCTTGACAGGCAAAGAGAGTATTTAGCGAATCACAACCAAAATCAAGATTCGCGGAATTGTAGAAGAACCGTATCCGGCGCCGAGTGCATAATACCTAATCTGCCTGTGTTGGTGCATTACGCTCTCGGCAAGGTCATGCCGTCTCAAACATACTGAACGAGAAGACTGTGGCACTTTATGCGATTCCATGTGAGTGATCTCAGGTCGACCAGGCGATTTACGCTGGTTAAAGTTCGTAGCGGGAATTTTAGTGTCCCTCAAACTATCTAGAAATTGCACTGTCGATCGCAAGGTCCAACTGGATATTGTTCAACCCGCCGGTATCTCGTTGAAGTCTCCCAGGCGCTGTGCCTCTCTTTCAATGTCTCCATGTGTAAAATACAATAATTGCCAGTAGTGCAGTTGCAAGGGAATACCGATTGCAACACTGACCCTTGTCGGGTGTGTAGGGCGTGCTGAGTGAGTCTTGCCTTGGTAGACTGAATGATGCGGTCGGGACAGGCACGAAAAAATATTCAGCAGCTTTGAAGCGTATTCGAATTGGAGAGAGTGTAGCTCCGTAGACCATCTTTTCCATTGAAAACTTCGTGTCGGAGTAGGTCATTACTCTTTCATTGTTGAACATTATTTTGTAGTAGCTCCGGCCGTTGCATTGAAGACCTCTGTCAAATTAGTATTGGCAGTCTTAGACTCTTCGGCCAGCCATCTCAGCCAATACCGGGATCTTTTCAGGACAATACCCATTTGTCGTCTCTGAACGCTGGTGAAGGTACTGATAGAAAAAAGGGCGACGAGGTGCGTTATATATTTGTTCAGGTGGCATCGCGAATTGCGTGTATGTAAACTATCTCGCGCTTATATAAAAGTTTTCTGTTCTCTTCAAACCTTCAAATGTTCAATAATTTGACATTTATATATCAAATATTAACCCCCAAGTTAATCTCAAATGTAGAAAAAGTCCACTACCATCATCGCTGGGGGCCCGGCGTGCCAAGGATTCCCACTTCTTGTATTCCGTCCTGCGTTGTGGCTCGCGCTCGGTCAGGGACAACTTCTTTCATAGGATACGAGTTGTTTGTATCCATGCACTGGTGTGTGCCCTACCTATTTTGTCCGTTACCAAAGTGAATATTGCCGTTCAATTAGATTCAAACTTTCAAGGGCTTTCTAAGACTCGTGAAAGCTTTACGACCGACGGTTCATGATGTCTGGATGGACTTGGGGATTGGTAATTGTATGTACATTATTGGGGCCACTGTATGGAATTAGAAAGTCAGTGAGAATTTTATTGCCGAATCCCACTGTCCTGTTCCAAGCAGCTATCACTGGTGTTTACCAAAACATCCGAACGGTAAGGGTCGATAACGCCGCAAAAGAAGATCTTGATCTTGTCTCTCACAGCATTATTTCTCGGCTATATCTAAAATAATTGTAGTCTGTTCTTGGTTCTTCTACAAACGTAATGTGAATTATAATAGATTGGATTTGAGCGTGGGATGAGTCATTGAATCTAACGGCACTCCTTTAGAGAATTCTAACGAGATTTATCCCTGGCCTCATTTTCTTCCGCAGCCTCCGTCCATGCATACAGTGCCTTGTACATACGAAGGCCATGCTGCTGACAGAATAACATATATTTTGGACGAAGCATACAGCCATCCGGTATATGGTATCACACCCGCCTTATAACATACTGCATCTTGAAAGCGCCCTCATCACTATCTGCGTGAGTCTGCAAATCCTCCCACTTTTCCTCCGTAATATCAGCCTCCCACTCTGTCCCCGTCTCCCGTCCCACTTGCTCCCAAAGCCTCCTGAACGACACTGTGTCGTGCCGATAAATTGGCCCTCGAAGCTCTGATCCATCCCGCTTCCCAGGCCGCACATTACCCGAATGCCGCCCCACGAGGAGGGAGCCCGACACTGGCCGTAACAACTTCACCACCTGTTTCGCAACGGAAACTTGACTGTCCCAGTCAAAAAGGTGAAAGAAGGAGGCTGCGTTTATGATGTCGAGTTTGCCGGCTAGCTGCCGCAATAGCGCAGACGTGTCGTCGAAGATATCACTGGCGATGAAAGTGGCTTTGAGGGTAGAGCGGTCGAAGAAGAGGTCATAGCCTAAGTTGAAAAACTCGGGGCGGAGGTCTGAGCCATAGAGGTTCGAGGGTATCGCACCCTTGAATATCTATGTGGGGAGTGTTTGGCATGTTTGTCACGGAGATCCACGTTGAGGGATTGATAAAGAGCCGGAAGGACGGTACTTACTAGATGTCTTATATCCTGGCCTAATGCGCAAGCTAAATCGAGATACTTGTCGCCAGATTTCAATCTAGCTAGGATTTCGGGGTATGCTGCGGAGTTATAGATGGTAATCTCTAGGAAACGGAAGGATCCAATGCATGGGTATGGGGCCTAAATTCGTAAAAACGTCAGCCTATAGTTCAATTAGAATACTAATAGGATGAAACATGGATAATAGAGCTTCGTGAAAATGGTAAGAGAGCCCAACAAACCACTGCAAATGCTCGATCTCTCTAATACAACAGATCAGTATTCTTCCATAACATAAAAACCTGTGTACGCCAAGATATAGACTTATATCAATGAGACAAGCTTTATATCAAAGACATAAGCAATTTTTACTCATTGGTGAACGTCTTGCTTAGTGAGGATTATCGAAAGGTACGTACAACTCCCATGACATGTTTGACCATCTGATCATCTGGGATTTTACTGTATCTCTCAAGCAGGGTCCGGGTTGGTTCCTTGACACCCTCAAGACTGGCTTTATACCATTTGAACTGACGATTCAGAGCATCCTTTGATGTTATCTGAACTTGAGTAGATGATTCTACCATTTCTCTCTCTGGATATCCGCTGAGGCTGCATTCAACTGCGTCAGCCATTTGAGACGTACGTAGAGCTGGCTCTGCGTAATAGAATAGATGAAGTGTATCTTTGAGGGTTGTCGTTGTGGTGCGATATTGTTCACAATATTCTAGCGAATCCTAAGATAGTGGTGCTGCAGATGGATGGATGCGTATGGGCATAGAGGGGCAATGGGATTGGAGTGCATTAGAGTTTCGTTTAATACAAAATATTATACGTAATGCATCCGTCCTGAAATTCAAAGAATATTGATTATTTACAAATTAGCCAAATCAGGATTAGGGAGGTTTCGGGTACGGGCCGAGAAATAAGGCGTGTGCGTCAACAGGGGAAAATTGTTTCCGACTCCCACTGTATCAGGAAGTCCTCTAGAATTAAGTCGCAAGCGCTTGGAGAGAAAACTGAATTCGATTTAGAATTAAAAAGGCCTGAGGCCACATAACACCCCGATAAGAACACCCCGAAATGAACACCTAATGGACCTGCTTAAACGCTCTCTGAGCGGCCATGCCGTATTTGTAAAACATCCATTTCTTCCCAGTGCAATGACCAAAGCCGATCCGCTCATGTGAGAAGCTGAAGACGGGCTCGAAGCGAGGAATACTGATGCGATCATAGGAGGCGGCCGCGCTCTGCATGGAAGTATTGCGACAAATCTGCTCCGCCAGATCCCACCCGTCTTTCAGCGCGAGGTTTGCTCCAACAAACTCAAAGGGGCTGAGGATGTGGTTTGCATCACCGATGAACATGACTCCTTTCAGACGGTCGTCGTGTTGGAAAGCGAACTTCTCCTTGGCGGGTCGGATGAACGCAGTGCCAGGGATTGTGGCCTCCACGACCGTTTTGAAGGGTTCTTGGAACATATGAGCCGTCTTCAAGGCCTCTTTCTTCAAGGCTTCGGTTTCCTCTGCGCTAAGATTGATTTTGGCATCTCTTTCTGGGCACATCGTGCTAAGTGCCCATGCAACCATGTCGGAGTTGAATGGATTGTAGATGCAGCAGACACCTTCGCCAGAGGACATCTGTAGTCCGTAGTCCTTATCAATAGGCTTGGGCACTCCGCCCGGGAGATGTGAGATTCCACCAATCTGAGTAGCGCCGGCGTATTCTGTCTTCATGTCGTTGGGTCGGAAGCATGCTCGCATGTTGCTGTTTGCGCCATCTGCGGCGACAAGGAGATCGCATTCGTCTGTTTCACCGTTTGAAAGCGTTACTTGAATTTTCCCAGTAGAAAGTCGCTCCGCTGACGTGGCAGCTAGTCCCCAATTCAAAGTTGTCACGGTCGTCTCCACTTTTTCCACGAGGATGCGCTTCAAATCTTCTCGCGCAATGCGCATGGTAGCTGCGGGAAGATTGCCATATGCGGTCGGATTGATGGATGAAAGCCATTTCCAGTTGTCAGCCCAAACGCGAATATCACCGCCGTTAAGTGTAGCATGCTTGCGAACTTCATCCAGTAATCCTAGTTGTTGGATAGCGACAAGGCCGTCGTCATGGCTAGCTCCATTGATATTCAGGGTGTAGGGGTCTTTCTGGATAGACAGGTCACGGTCATCTCGTTCGTATACGATGACTTCAGGGCGCTCGAGAGAGGGGTTCCAAAGTTGATCTAGCGCGAGTACGAAAGACAATGCTGCGAAACTTCCACCGGTGACGATGATGCGCTTGCCAGCGAGGAATTGGCCTGGGTGTGCTGTCATTTTGGATAGAGGATGTTGATTGCGCTGAGAAAATTGCGAAAACGATGAGATTTAAAGAGCTGAAACATTTAGGCAGCTCTGAGCTAAGCTTGGGGATCTGCGGCCAGCTCTTTCTTGGGGCGCATCGATAGCTCAGGGAACTATTATGTACCGGAGTTTCTATTGCGGCTATCGGAGAAACTATTTCATACGGAATGTTGCAGCTGCCTTACGGTGGCATTGGGGCTGCGAGGGATCTCTCAAGTCAGCCGTGGGTGAGAAATCTTAAAGCCTAGGTCCGTGACTTTACTATCTCTCTGTAACGCATTTGTAATAATATGAAACCACCTCCTAAGCTTATCCAGACGGAATCACAATGGTGAATGCGCCAAGAATAGGTGGCGTGGGGGCCACCCGCAATGCGAGTGGACCGTCGGTATCTCGGGCACGGAGCACGTAGGATCTCCCGATCTTGACCCACTCTGATTCGGCCTTATCCTGGCCTAGAATCAGCACTAAGGAATGGCACAGCCTTCGTTTGCCTACAGTCATAAGATTGTACCCCAGGGTGACCCTAGGGCCCCATCATCTACCTAGCAATCCGTACTGAGCTGTATATTATGAAGACGCATGAGGCAGAAATCTGGATCAAGGATAAACTCCCTCCCGACGCCGGACTCAACAGGCGCGCTAAACCCCGAGCGCTTATTAATGGCGCATCATTGATGCTCAAACAAAGAAAGCGGGCTACTGTGAATCTGCAGGGAAAACCCCCCTTTGGCCCCTTTCACACTTTCCCCTGTGCCACCCCACCTCATGAGAAAAGATAATCCGTCATATTCTCCGATCATTGCTATGGCTACCGACATGGAATCAGACAGCACTGCTGCACCACGGGGCCGACAGCGTCCTGGGGCCGCCTGTGATGAATGCAGGCGCCGAAAGCTGCGCTGCGATGGCCAACAGCCTCAATGCGGCGTTTGTCAGGACACGGGAGTTTTATGTGAGGTGACGCAGCGCGGTGTCCGAGGCCCTAAGAAAGGTCATTTGAAAGCACTCAAAAACCGTGTTGTACATCTTGAAGCAATGCTCGAGAGCCGCCTGTCGGTCAATGGGCGACGAGACATCCAGCGCGGTTCGAGCAATGACCTGGCACTTTCTGTCTCGCCCGTTGATGGTAGCGATGGAGGGGTTCATTCTGAGCCCTGGATTTCTAAAGGGACGGTTTCATCGGGATCGGACCACGAAGTCTTTGTGTCGAATAGCAATGGTCTCGCTCCTGATCTAGCCCCTGTCCCCAATGAATGGGCTTTTCCGTCGGCGATCCCTGCCAACCCCCGCCTCCCCCCATCGGACATAATCCAAGCCGAACTGTAAGCATATCTAAGTCGCAACAATTTCCCTAATCTAATACCCACAATCAGGGATCAACTTTACTTGGACCGAGTTCATCAGTCCATCCCTATTCTTCATCAAAGGCGATACCTGTCATGGTCCAAGTCAAACAACAAGACAGCGCCACGCCGATGCCTTCAGTATGCTATGTGGACGCTGGCCTCGCTTGTATCGGCGCAATTTCGAGACATGATAGAGCCACTCTACCAAGAAACGAAACAGATGCTCGAGTATCTCAGTGTAGAGGGCGCCGAGCATAGTAGCGTCAATACTGAGCTCGGTCAGGCATGGGTACTTGTCGTCACTTTTGAGTCCATGCGAACATATCACCGTACAGCGTGGATGAGCGCCGGTCGAGCCTTTCGCTTGGTACAAGCTATGCGCTACCATGAGATTGATAACCCCATCGACAAGAGAGGGCCCTCTTCTCCCCAATGTGGCGATTTTATTGAAGTTGAGGAAAGACGCCGTGTGTTTTGGATGGCTTATTTCCTTGATCATATCATCAGTATGCGGGATGACTGGCCCATTACTTTGAACGAGCATGTGGTAGGTCTCACAACAAATCTCAAAGCAAGATTAAATTACTGATGAGCTTGACGATGACCGACAGATCTGCACTCGGCTTCCCGCACCGGACGGGGAATTCCAGACCGGTACCTTTGAGCTGGGTCCATTCTTGTCCGAGGCAATGACGGAACTCAACATCAAATTCCGGTCGCCGTTCAACGAATGCCTCATACTAGCCACGATTTGTGGCCGCAGTCTTCTTCAGAGCCAGCGATATCACATTTCAAAGGCGTATGGAGATATGGCAATGGACGGGTCTGATCAGAGGCGGTGGCTCGATAGTATTCTCACAAGCAGGCTTCAAATTTTATCGCAGTATTACCCGTCACCGACCGAGTCATACGACCCATTGTTGCTTTTCGCCAACATCCTTGGCCAGGCAACGATTATATATTTCTGCAAAGCCATGACCGACACAGTCGCGGATTCCAACAGGTCTAATAATGAGATCACTGAAATTTTGAACTATAAAGCAAGGGCATTGGAGGCTTCGGCGGCAATAATTCGCCTCGCTTCGACGTTGCGCGAACTTCCATTCTCCAAGGTAAGTGATTCTTAAACATCAGTCTACACCTCGTCCCCGCTAAATAATCCCATGTAGGTTCATCCGTTGATGCCCATCCCAATCTTCCTTTGCGCGGAGTTTCTATACGATGACATGCAAAATGAAGCCTTCCAAATGCACATGCAAGGGCTTTTCCACGTCCTCCGCGAGCTGAAGAACGTGAACAACCCCGACCAAAGTTACTTGGATCTACTACCACGGTCCTGTATTTCCAAAACAGCCGATCTATTCAGTCACAGTGTTGAGGAGAACACACCAAACAGTAGATGATCTCAACCATATACTAAGACAAACTTGATAAGAAAAGAAAAACCATGAATATTCCAATGTTGGTTGAAAACCCGCCTGTCAGTCAAGCGCTATCTTCCCTCCTCTCACTTTACTCTGTGCACCGCTTCACACACTTTCAATCCGCCTCCAAGCCCAATCAGTGCTTCTTCTTGCTCATGTTGTAACTCGCCATAGTTCGTTGAATCATATGCTCCTCAACAGTAGGCGCCTTCTCCTCACCAACGCCCTCTCCATAAGACTTCTCAAGCTCATGCAACTTGAAATCAACATTCCCATCAAAGAAATAAACCACACTGAACCGGTCCGTCGGATTCTTATTCAGGACCCGATGAACACTGCTCTTGTAAAGGCCGCCCGTGAGACGGGTGACGATATCGCCCATGTTAATCACATAAGCAGCCGGGTTCGGCGGCACTTCGATCCAATCCCCCGTTTTGCTATCTTGGACTTCCAAACCCGGGTGTTCGTCCTGCAAGAGCAGAGTTACGGCACCGAAGTCAGTGTGCGCACTACTACCCAGCTGACGCTTCTGAGCTTCACCTTCCTTGGCGGTTGCTGCCGGGCGCGTGGGTGGGTAGTGCAGGAGACGCATGGGGCAAGCGGGATCATTGGCCTGGATCTCGTCGAAGACATTCGGCCCATAGGGCAGGGTTGCGGCGATGAGGTCAAGGACCTTATGGCAAAGCTCAGCCATAGCCTGATAGTACTTCTCAATGGGCTTTTTGAACTCATCATGCGCCAGCATCTCGACCGGGGGGTAGACATTGGAGCCCATGAAAAAGCGACGAGCTTGGACAAGCGGGTCAGAGGGCTCCATGTTCTGGCCAATGAAGAATCCTTCTTTCAGGTCGGGAAGAACGTCGTCCTCGTACAGTTGGGTCCCCATCAGGTCATATCCGCGGAACCCAATGTTCTTGGCGGCGTTGAGGTCGGTTTTGACCTCTAGAGGGAGAGCGAAGAATTTGGCGGCCGCCTCGAAAACATCCTTTTGGAGGCTTTCAGGGACGCCGTGGCCGGTCATTTGAAAAAATCCGGTTGAGATGCATGCTGCGCGGACATCATCGATTACTTGCTTTGCTTCGGAGCTGGAAGGGTCTTCGAGGAAGGGGGTGATATCAACCGAGGGGAGGTAGAAGGACGAGGAGTTGGGGGCAGCGGAAGGCATGATGACGGTATAGAAGGTAGGTACTGATCGGTTGGTGATATTGACTACGATAATTCTTTATCTTTATCACTGAAGTGCTGCAATTTGTATCTCATTTCAAACAGGTTTAGTGGTAAGCTTATCGGCCCTATATATTAGGCTCCGGGGAGCGTCGCTCAGGCGGACTTTCTATCCGGCGGTTCGTTTCCGCCAACCCAGAATTTTGGCCCCAGCGGACGATTTCTGGGCAAACCTGAGAAGGCCCGAGTGGTCCGACTTTGTTTTAAAATGGTGTTGACTAGGTCCTAGGATGATGGCGGTAGAGTTTTATCTCCGATCATACATGAGTCAGAGGTAAATACCTCGAACGGCTTTACCCTCTGATATCGAGATAACTCTCCGTCGGAATCCACTTATTTTCCCTACACATTCAAGATGAGGATCGAACACACAATCATGGTCAAAGAAGAATCAAATCTCCACCTTCCACGCATCCTCTGCCTACACGGCGGCGGGACCAACGCGAGAATCTTCCGCGCCCAGTGCCGAGGAATCGTCCACCGCCTGAAGGACGAGTTCCGCTTCGTCTTTGCACAAGCACCGTTTTCATCACCTGCAGGACCAGATGTACTCTCTGTGTACAGTCAATGGGGCCCATTCAAATGCTGGCTACCACAATCTCAACACCCCCAATATCCTTCCCTTGAAACAGTTTCACTCGTCGACAAGACTCTTGAAGATGTCATGAGACGCGACGATCTGAAAGGTGCCACTGGTCATTGGGTTGCTGTTCTCGGATTCAGTCAGGGAGCCAAGCTCGCTGCAAGTCTATTATACCGACAACAAGAAGGAAGATCAAATACCAAGTTCCGATTCGGGGTTCTTCTGGCGGGCAGTGCACCCTTGGTTTTTCTGGATCAAGACTGGGAATTATTATCTGTCTTCAAGTCTCTACCGAGAACATTGGACCTTGATCCTGTTCTGACTATCCCAACCATTCATATGCATGGCTTGCGGGACGAGGGAATACATCGTCATCGGAAGTTATTTGAGTCTTGCACACCTAATACTTCGAGACTCATTGAATGGGATGGCGATCATCGTGTTCCGATCAAATCTAAGGATGTCGCACTTTTGGTGCACCAAATGAGAGAAGTGGCAGATGAGACGAGTGGCGGGAGAAATAGTGTTCTAGTTTCTCTGGATGTGAAAACACTTGTTTCCTGCCTCGAGATCGAGGTCGAAGCTTAAGGGCTCTAAAGAGGAAATGAGAGCTAAGGCCGATATCGCCTTACGTATCTAGACAGTAGAAGCTTTCTAAGAAGCGTTATAATAGATCGATTACATGCGCAATAGAAGATAATATAACACCTTAAAAATGCCTAGATTACCGGGTTTCAGAATAAATTTGAGAAATTAATTATGCTAGTAAAATGGTGGAAACTGGTATGGATCCATACTGTAATCATTGAGATCCCTCTCATTGCTCGGGTGGAGATAGGTACCGAAGATAAGCACCGACACTCGCTACCAAGGTCCCAATAAGACAGGCCCCGAAGACAAGCATGTTCCTGATAGCCCGTTCGTGATGGGTTTTCATGGTATTGGAGATTCGTTCTGCCCAAGCTTTTGGTGGATTGCCATCAGGGAATTCTTGCTGAGGTATATTCTTGCCGAGGAATTCGCAGAGTGGCTCCCAACCATCCTCCACGGACCACTCAAGTAACCTATCTTTAGATAAGCCTAGTCCTTTCACTAGAGCAATGTGTTGTTCGTAGACCCATTTGCCATTGGAATGGAAACTACCACGAAAGAAACGTGGCATCATTGTGCGACACATCGTTTGTCGAATCCAAAACAGGTCGGCGCTAAACCAACTCTTGAACCAGTCCCAGTCAATTGGGTTTTTATCGAAATAACCCATAGTTTGCTGCATGCTGGAGTACCAGCTTTCAAGGTCTCGTCGAGTGTTAAGAATGACCTTTGCGTTCGGATACGCCGCAATAAGTTCGAGCGCGAATTCTGCCGCCATAAGATCGCTGACACCGACGCAATCACTCAAAATTGTGTCGAAGTCCTCGGCGGTCAGTTTGCTACTTTGACCAGCAATTGGTTCTGTGTTGTACTTCTTCTGCAGAAGGCGATAAATACCCTCTAGAGATGATGGGGGAAGAATGGTGTCAAAGCCATGGTGGGTATGCTCGAATCCGAGTATGTGTAGTGCGTTGCGTAGTGAGTCTGTTCCAGACCGGGAGATACCCACAGCCAGAACTTGCATAGGCTCCTTGCGTTTGTTCGATGTTGGATGAGGGAGACCGTAGAGGTAATGAATGACTGGATCGGGAATGGGGATCATCTTCGAGGGAGAAAGAGGCTGATTAAATCGATCAATTGTTAGCCACGGTACATTGGTCTTCGAAATTCGCAAGCACGCGGGACACTTAGCTTTATAGCCCAATGAGTCTGATGCGCCAAGAGTGTCCGTGCCGAGCGCACCATGAGGCCTAGACGGGAAAGCGGGGGTTGGCCGCAACTTGTAAGAAACGTACATCTGGACTTGCCTCAGTGTTAGTCACGACGCGCAAGGAAGCCAGAGAGCATATACACTGAACATTTTCCTCAAATTTTACAACATTCAATTGCAATTCAGAGCTCCCAGGAAAGAATGCGCTAGCAGCAGAGATTCAAACTCGGTTCTCAACCCACAAAACTGTCAGATCTACATTCATTCTGTAAGTAGAGGATCGTGACTGTACTGCTTCAATCATGAAGTACAACTAAGAGCTCGATGAAAAGAAACGGCAATTTGGGATTGTTTGTAGCCTAGAGAGCCTACTTCTCCCACAGGACTAATTCAACCACTCTTACACATATCTCCATATTCAGTTATCCCTCTCTGGCAGGGATCAATGCTCGATAATTAGTTCAGTGGGTCCTGATTAACCTTTTCAGTCATGCCTTGGTGTTTCTCTATTATGAAGGTAGGTAGGTAGCGTAGTGGTGGAACGCATGACATAGTAGATGAAGTTCCATTGTCTGAATAATGCTCTCTAAGCTTATTGGGTGGTGATTCCCGATGTCTTCAGATCGCCGAAGTAAACGTCGGAAACTGATGCAATTATGTTTCTAGCGTGAATTCAGACGATATCATTCTTCGTACTACAAAACGTCCGCAATAACCCTCCACTGGGGCAAAGGGGCGCCCATTCCACTGGGGTAGCGGATGTTCTTGATGGAGCTCCATTCTCGCAGAGTTCCAATCCAGTGCTCCCTTCCGTGTCCACTATCCTTAGCACCGCCGAATGGCGTACCAAGAACTCCCCGGTAATAGTTGTTGACGAGGACCACACCAGCCTCAATACGACGAGCAACGCGCATGGCACGGCTAAACTCGGTCGAGTAGACACCCGCAAACAGGCCATAACGCGAAGCATTGATAATTTCAACTGCCTCATCCTCAGTCTCGAAAGAGCTGACACATGCGACGGGGCCGAATATCTCCTCCACTGCGACAGCCATGTCGGGAGTCACATCGGCGAACAAGGTAGGGGGCACAAAGAACCCATCTGCAAGATGCGCATCCGTGGACACAGTTCCCTGTGCTGCAAGACGGGCACCCTGGCTTTTGGCTAGCTCGATTGCTTCGAGGACTTGTTGCTTACGCTCGCGCGAGACAACGGGGCCAACATGTGTGGTATCGTCGATGCCATCGCCTGCCTTCAACTTCAACACTGCGGCGGTCATTTTCTCGACGAACTGTGGGTAGATATCCTTGTGCACTAGAAGACGCGATGAAGCGGTACAAGCCTCACCCTTGTTGAAATAGGCGCCTTCGATAGCATCGCGAACCACGACATCAAGGTTTGCATCTTCGAACACGACGAAGGCATTCTTACCACCCAACTCGAGGGCCGTGGTTGTGAGGGTTGATCCAGCGGCCGATGCTACCTTTGCACCGACTGCGGAAGACCCAGTGAATGATACCATCTTGACCAAGGGGTGGTTGACAAGAGCTTGGGGAACCTCGGGTCCCAGTCCAGGAACGATCTGAACGACGTCCGGAGGGAACACTCCCTGCAGGATCTCGACAATTCGGATCGCAGTCAGCGGCGCCTGCTCGCCTGGTTTCAAGATCATCGTGTTTCCAGCAGCCAGACAAGGAGCCAGCTTGCCTCCAACATGGATAGGAGGCCAGTTGAACGGGATGATACCCGCGCACACACCGAGCGGCTCATAGATGATGGCCGAGTAGATGCTACCCTGATCAAAGAACTCCGAGGGTAGCTTATCCGCGATCGATCCAAAGTATTTGAAAACTTGAATCAAGAAGAAAATGTCGATGATTGCGTCCTTGAACGGCTTTCCATTCTCGAGGCACAGCAGGAGAGCCAGCTCCTGCAGATTCTTTTGAATTTCATCTGATGCGCGCATCAGAACACCGCATCGCTCATTTGGGGCACGTGCTTTCCAAGCGATGTAGGCTGCTTGTGAGGCTTCGATAGCTGCGTTGGTTGTTTCGGTATTGCCCGCTTGGATTTTGGTGATGGTCTTTCCAGTGGCTGGGTTCTCGACAGCAAATTGAAGCGAGGGATCGGTGCATGACCAGCGGTAAGTTGACACCTCTTCGAATTTGGCCAATATCGCTGCTGCTCCTTGCGCGACCGCCATTTTTGCTGTATTGAGTGAAGATGATCGAAAGTTGTTTGGTTTTGCGGGAATGGATTAATTGATGGGCGGAAGAGGATTATGCTTGAGGAAAATGTTCCTTTTGAATGCGCAGTTGAGATCGACTTGATATCTGGGTCTATATTTTTAACTGATCCCTCTCAATAATATTCCTGTCCTTGGAATTCTAGACATCTGGGAAGATAGTACCATGAAATACTCCGGGGGCCCCCTAAGAAACTCCGTAACCCCGCCATGTCAGATCTAGGTAAGGTACCTTAGGTACGATGCTCGGCCAGGGAGCTAGTGGGGAGTTAAAATATCACTGCATATTTATTGAGCAAATAGAAAAGCTACTCTCTTGCAGATGCATATAGAAATGACCTGGTTCAACAGGCAGATCCGTTGAACTGGTGGGCCAGGCGTCACTCGTTTCATTTTCTCCTCCACATTCGTTACCCGTATGCTCAAGGTCAATGAACACAAAATCTTACGCTACGAAGGTCCTCAAATACCTTCATTTAATGGTCACTTGGGTGTCCCGAAATACGGAACATTCATGCACAGAGAGAGAACTTTGCAATCAAAGAGAATCGTTATATCCACTATGTAATAACAACAACGAACAGTAGTTATACGGCTATATAATCCATATCATTGCAAGAATTTACTTGTTGTAGCTGTAAAGTGCCTGGGCATTACCCTCAGAGTCTTGAAAGTACTGGTAGAACGCCCGGTCCCCCTCCGCCTCCTTCTCGCCAAGCTTCTTCCCGCCGTTCGCCTCAATTTTCTGTACAGCATTAGCCCTAAGTCTCGACTATCTGATAAAACATAACCTCACCTCAATGGCAGCCTCAATATCATCTACATAGAGGTAGATTTTGGTAGATCCAGAAGCAGCAAGGTCTCCCTCGGGAATCTTCTTGATGATTCCGCCGCCAGGGAACATTTCGCCAGCGACCTTAAAGACGAGCAGGTATTCCTCGGGGGCACCGACATTGGTCTCAGCAGAGAATGACCAGTTGAACACGGCGCTGTAGAAGGCGGCGGCTAATTTTGCCGTGGGTCAGATCAAGCAACGCCAAGTCTCAGGTCTATTGACATACCACGCTTTGTGTCCTTGACGGGGATCTCGAGGCCAACGGGTGTTCCAGTCGCAGGGATAGGCATTTTGACAATTCTCACTAGTACAGTGTCTTTATTCAAAAGGTTTTGATTGAGGGGTGATATTAAACACTGTTCATGGGGATGTTCACTGATATTTATTTCTTGCACTCAGGTTGTGGCTAAGGAACACAGATTAGCAAACAATCTCTCAACTTGGTGTAGACTCACCAATGCGGACTCGGTTCGGATATTCAAAATTCACATTCCGAGGTCATGAAAGGTTTCTATTTCTCCGATTTCTCTTAGGGTCTCTGGAAATCGATCGTGGCAACGCGCCACGGAGCGAGACCAAGTCAGGAACCCGGGACGCCTAGACTTCAAAATAATGGGTTGGCACCAGGCAATGATAGCGTAGAGCACTACCCGAACGTTTCATAAGCGTCGTCATGCTCCCTAGTTCTTTCTTCTATCGTGCATAAAGTACGTAGATCTAACCCCGGTAAATCCGCCTGGAGACCTCTCATATCGACAGAACAACTTACAATAATCGCAACTGATCTTTGTGCAAATCAAAAGATAGTGGATTACATTTGGTCTCTTTCTACTAGTAATGGCAGAGAATATCTGAGCCTCGGAAGTCGAGATGCCACCCGGGACTAGCACAAGTTCTGACAGCTCTGTTGGTTGCCTTCTAACGGTTACAGCTTTATCATGTTACCATGACCTCTGCCGTCTGATTTACTTCAGCGGATCAATCACCCCTTACTCGTGAAACAATAATTGAATCGGTAAGATTCTAACGTGAACTATGTTGCGCTCCATAAAGCCGGAGTAATTATCTAGCTTACGGCCCCAATTGTACCCCGCCCTTGTAGATAATCCATTCAGCCTTGATAGAAGAAGTATCATTCTTCAATTGACATTTATTTGCAGCAAACTCTAGATATCAATTTGTATGAGACAAATACAAGCGCGAAAATGACCTTCCCTGACGACCAATTCGATTTCATTATCGTTGGAGGTGGAACTTCGGGCCTAGCTGTGGCGGCCCGCCTATCCGAAGATCCGAATGTACAAGTATGCGTGCTTGAAGCTGGCAAGTCACGATTGGGAGATCCGAATGTCGATATGCCGACAGGTGTTGGGAAGATGTTGAACAATCCGGAATATGACTGGGCGTTTCAGAGTGTGCCTCAAGTGAGTCTGCTTTTGTTCGGAATTTGATTTCCAATATTTAATAAGGGTCCCATATGCAGAAAAATGCAGGAAACCGAGTCTTCCACCTTCCTCGCGGAAAGATGCTCGGTGGCAGCAGCGGGATCAACTTCATGACCTATACACGCCCATGTGCTCAAGATATCGACGACTGGGCAAACGAGCTGGGACTCAAAGGCTGGTCATTTGCAGATTTGCTTCCTTACTTTCAACGTCACCAGCATATTGAGAAGGAGTTGAAGAATATCGCGGAGCGCGACACGGACGCTTCCCCGCTAGACTATAATCTGCATGGATGCGATGGCCCAATTCACACATCTTTGCCAACTTGGCATGTTCCATTCGAGGAGCCCCTTCTCAGTGCCCTTGATCATGAGTCTGGTCTTTCACGACCCGTCGAACCAAACAACGGAGAACATCTCGGCTTTTTCCGATCTTTCCTCTCCATCGATCGCACGGGGAAGCCGGTCCGCAGCTATGCCGGAAATGGGTATCTGGCCCCCGTACAGGACCGACAAAATCTGCGAATCCTCACAGAGGTGACAGTCACCCGTGTCATACTAGAGGAAGACATAAATGGCAGCCTGCTGGCAAAGGGAGTTGAGCTGCTGCAGACAGGCATGACACGGAAGCTGTTCCCTAAGAAAGAGGTTATCCTCAGTGCTGGATCATTTCAAACCCCTCAAATCCTGGAATTGTCCGGTATTGGGGACCCAGCAGTGCTGGAGAAGGCCCAAATTCCGTGCGTCCTCCCCAACCCGCATGTCGGAAATAATTTGCAGGAGAAAACCATGTCTGTGGTTGTCTATGAGTTGGGACCCGGCGAGATGTCCCTAGACTCACTCTTCATGGATCCCACATTTGGCATGAAGCACTTCAAGCTCTACAACGAGGAGCACACCGGTGCAATGTCAGGTTCCGCGAGTCTTATGGGTTTCCTCCCATTCTCATCCCAGGTCAATGACGCAGAGTTCAACAAGCTGCTCTTGACAATGGATAAGGGGTCAAAGCTTTCATCGCAAGATGCCGAGTTTCAGGACAAGCAGTACAAGGCAATCGCCGCCCGCATGCGCCAATCTACCTCGGCTGATATCCAAATCGTGGGCTCACCCGCCAATTTCAATATCGCTGCTGGCTTTGAAAACTGTGCCAAATTGATTTCCGGGCCCCCTGGAGACAAGCCCTGTTACGCGACAATTGTCAGCAACATGTATCCTCTGTCCCGCGGCAGTGTTCACGTGGTTTCTTCCGATCCGTTAGAGGCCCCAGAGATTGACCCGGGATTCCACTCCCACCCAGCCGATGCGCATGTCCTTGCAGCCGGTGTTAAGTTTGCTGATCGGGTTTTCAAGTCGGTACAGCTCGAGGGCAAGGTTGGAAAGCGAGTCGATCCGCCTCCCGAGGTTGACCTTGACGATGAGAATGCGGCGCAGCAATTTGTTCGTGATCGTATCGTCAGCTATCACCATGCATTGGGCACTTGTGCTATGGGCCAGGTTGTGGATGAACGGCTCCGAGTGAAGGGTGTGCGAGGGCTTCGTATTGTGGATGCCAGTGTTTTGCCGATGCAGGTGAGCGCAGCTATTATGCCGACTGTTTATGCTGCCGCGGAGAAGGGAGCGGATTTGATTAAAGAGGATCACTCTCGTCAGTCCTCGTGAGTTGGCAGGATTATTCAATTCGGGATAGTCAATTTGAGATTCTCTTAATCTTGTATGTGCTTTACATTCGAAAGTTTTACTTAACGAGGAATGTTCACTCAATTCACAGAAGGCTGCTTAGCTAATCTTATTAACCAAAATGGCCTAACGTAGTGGAATCATAGTCTTTCGGTGCTGAATGACACTTCTGTTCTCTTCAAATGTTAATAGTATTGGATCCCATGCAAACCACATGAGATGAGTAAGCACTTTCGCACGACACCCCAAGGTCTAAGCATGTGCGTGAAAGATACTCCGCATTGAATCTCCGTAAGCCATTCTACCCCGGTCCACTTTATAGGTCATATTCATCCAAGCCACTGTGGAGATGAAGACAAACTTTATCAGTAGTCAGCATCGCAATCAAACTATATTACCCATGCACCTGCATCAATCTTAGCCCGGCCCTCGATTTCTGTTTGTCGCAGGAAATGCGAGAGGCACAAAATTTCAGGTCTTATAGTGTAGAGCCAGCCGTCTTCGGTCTGTAAGTGAAATCAATCAATAAAAAAACAAAGCATGAATCATGGCCTAAAAACGGCTTGCGTCCTCATTTCTCTCAAAGACCCACAACGAAGAGTTTTCATTTTCAGGCCTTGTTGTTTTGTTGTCCTTCCCTTGCTCTGACTCATATTAAAACGTGAGCGCCGACGCAGCTTCAATGATGGATACTCCGGATCGAATCTCCGCAGCCGTTCTTTTTTCCGCCCCTTTCTGCGAAAGATTGTTTGCCAAGACACAAGTAAAGTTGTATAGTGAAGGCTATCACGGATAGGGGGTGGCAACATGATCTTGATGCACACAGTGTGGACACAATCACTCCGATCAGGAGCCCTAATGCAACGTTTTTATCCTGTCACACAATAAGGCTGAATGCCTCAGGCCTCAAACGACATCTGATGAAATAAAGCGACGGTATTGACCGAATGAACGGAAATCACCTTTATAAACCGCTTTGACCGACCAAGATGCATACACGCGTCACCTTGGTGGCTTTTGCTGCCCTTTTCACTATCGCCTCCGGTACTGGCGACGAGTTTGATTCGACGAACTACGACGCCAAGGACATCATTACTAGAGACGTCGCCGTGATTGGAGGTGGCTCATCTGGTACCTATGGGGCTGTCAATCTTCATGTGATGGGCAAAAGCGTCATTCTCATCGAAAAGGAAGACGAACTTGGAGGCCACGTCAACACATACACGGATCCAAGTACTGGGGAGACAACCAACTACGGGGTTCAGACATTCTGGAACACAACAACCACATGGAACTACTTCAAATTGCTTGGCATCTCCGGTGAAACTTATTCGATTCCCTCGCTTACCAGCGCATTCTACGACTTTGCTACAGGGCAGCCGGTGGCAGTCAGATTAAGCACCAATTTCACCTCATATGCCTCCCAGCTTTATAATTATCCCTACCTTGAGTACGGTTGGGATCTACCGAGTCCTGTACCTGATGATCTTGTCTTGCCATTCGCCGAGTTTGTCACGAAATATGACATTCCCAGCGCCTATACCATTTATTTTTATAGCCAAGGCCTTACAAGCTTCCTACAGCAAATAACCATCAATGTCTTCAAGATGTTTGACTCTACTCTCCTGGCCGGGTTAGCAGGTGGCGATGTCGTTCCGCCAAACAATAACAACAAGATCATATTTGAGAAAGCCTCCGCCATCCTAGGATCTTCAAATATCCTTCTCTCTTCGAAGATTATCGCTGCTAAGCGACCGCTGAAAGGTTCCGAAGTGCTTCTCGTCGCCAAGACGCCGTTGGGAAACAAGCTCATCAAGGCTGCCAAGCTTCTTATCAGTATCCCGCCGTTACTGGATTATATGCAGCCCTACGATCTCAGCGAAGCAGAGATATCGCTCTTTTCCCAGTGGACTTACAGCAGTTACTATACTATGCTGGTCAACCAAACTGGTCTTCCATCTGGGTATCGGTTCATGAACGCCAATTCAAGCAGCTCGACTTGGAATATTCCTGAATTACCTGCTCCGTATCAGATTACCGAATCCAATATTTCTGGACTGTTTTACGTCTGGTATGGTAGCCCAACACCTCTCACTCAAAGTGAGATCGAATCCGATGTGAAGGCTGTGATTGGGAGACTGCAGGCGGCAGTAAGCAATTCTACTTCTTGTCCATCGCCTTTGTTTGTGGAGTTTCGTAGTCACACTCCGTTTAAGCTGGAAGTTTCTAAGGAGGCCCTGAAGGGCCGCTTTTATGATCACTTGAAGAGTCTACAGGGGCACAGAAATACCTGGTATACTGGTGCTGCATTCATTTCTCAGGCTTCTGGTGTTCTTTGGAACTATACGCATTCTTTGTTGCCAGATATCGTGGCGGAATGATGGCTCGGTTCCCTGCAGTGGGTAACATCAATACCAGGAAATCCGGAGTGGTTGAGATGCCAATAAATCGAGTGACTCTGTTATTTTCCAAGTATAGTTTCTGTGGCTTGAGCACTTCATTTCCCTCTTTTCACCCCTTTTCCTATCTGTAGGGGTTCCAATGTTAAGGGTCAAGGGGGTTTTAAGACATGACCCCTAACGAAAATCAAATGAAGCACGTATTTCACATAGGGCTGATCAGCAATTATGGGTCTTGTGTGGACGGCTAGTCAAGCCATAGAGTCGAACGATCACGACGCCAAACGGCAGCTTGCGGCTGTGATCTCCAGAGAATGCACGTTCTCAAAGAAATTAAGGATCGGGCGCTAGCGCTAGCGATTGCGGGCCGAAAACATGATCGGCTCGGAGTATCAGCTCGGAGAAACAGTCGGAGAAATAATACGTTGCCCAGGGGTCCGGCAGCCGACTGATAGGGGCCAATACTACTTCGCCCACAGAACAAGGATTCGCCGAGCCGGCGGTTGCGGACTCGAATGCAACAATTACTAAGTGCTTACTGGATGTATCTTCTTTCATACGGAATCCGATTTATTCCATGGGTGAGAGGTGGGATGTCCCCGGGCTCTTAGTCTCGGGAAGAAATTTGAAATCAGGCACGTCGATCACAGGGGTCCTAAGGCTTAATGGAAGAACAGTAACATTCAACTTTAACCCGAGCTCCACCATGTGTTAAGCTGTTCTACCAATCCGCCAGCTCCATGCAAGGCGCCATCCCAGGGCGCGATCGTCTCTATTGGCGCCGGCCCTGAAAAGGAGGATCGGTATCTCGGTCTCCGTGGGTGCGATGTTTTCATTTTGTGCAGCTGGTCTTTCATCTTATCTCCGGGGAAGTCTCTAATAAGATACTGCTTATTATAAGAAGTAAACATTTTCTGCTTGCTAAGGACCTCCATTCGATTTCAACTGTCTTGGTCCATATACATCGAGAGCTTTTTGCATCTGCGGGCGATCAACTCGATTCACCTCTTTATCGTTGCCCATTCCACGCGATGAGTCTCGCAATGGATCTCTTTGCCCGAGCAAATGATGCTCTCAAGGTCAACCCTGTGACTGGGGTTGACGAAGGCCTTGCTGTGCATGGATCGGACTGGCTTTGGGCTGTCACAGCCATTTATATCATGGCTCTCGTGAGAATTCTCCCGTCGACTGCAACTTGTTTTCACTAAGACTAACACGTCCAATTATGTAGCTCGGTTGCTTGGTCATGTCCTTCACTGGAAAAGAAGCCGAGCGAGTTTTCCACTACCTCTTCACCTTCATTCTCCTCGTCGGCGCCATCACCTATTTCGCCCAAGCAGCGGATCTTGGCTGGAGTCCAGTCGTGCAGACTGACAATCTCGGCAATGGAGTCATTCGTCAAATGTTCTGGGTCAAATATGTCAACTGGGTCGTCGCTTGGCCCTCGCTCGCTTTGTGCCTCGGTCTGATCTCTGGTGTATCCTGGACAACCATGCTCTGCAACATCGCCATCGCTCTGCAGTGGCCTGTTTGCTACCTTGTCGGTGCTTTCGTGACCACGAGCTACAAATGGGGTTTCTTTGCCTTTGGTACTTTTGGCTGGATTATTCTCGCAATGAGCACCATCAACGAGAGTCGCGAGGCTGCACAGCTCCTTGGTATTCACAAGGACTACATTATTCTCTCTGTTTGGATCAATGTGCTGTGGTTCATGTACCCAATTGCCTGGGGTCTGTCCGATGGAGGTAACAAGATCGGTGTTACTGGTACTTCCGTCTTCTTCGGTGTTCTCGATGTCCTAATGGTCCCCGGTCTGGCCTTCCTCGTCCTGTTCCTTTCCCGCAAGTGGGATTATCGTCACCTGAGCATCGCTTTCAGTGATAGCCGTCCTAGCCGCGAGATGGAGGCTGCCGCCGCATTCAAGTCTGAGGTCGCTCACTCGGCTGTCTAGACACATGTTTCAACCTGTTCTCCTTCGACTCCTGGACCACCGCTTCGCTTGCAAATAATAGCAAAAATCCCCAATTTTTGGTTTCTTTTGTTTCTTGAATTTTCAGGGGAGCCATTGGGCTTTTTCAAACTCTGGAAATTAGCTAATTAATTATCGATCTAATGCTTTTGTTATTTATATGCCTCTTAGACAGTCCTATGAAACATTTTATCCATCGGTTATCCGTAATTCTCCACTTAGCGCACAAGCCCGGGCAAAGTCGAGCCCCCAATCCTTCAATGCTTTGAAAATCAAAATCTCGGTCGGAAACGTTACCAAGACTGACCACCTTGCATGGCTTCCCATCAGCTCGTCTACTTGGCATTCTTCATGTCAAAATGAACAAGCTTTAGTCATCTAAACCCTCGATGGTGTAGTTGGATATCACGTTCGGCTGTAATGGATACATATAACCGAAAGGTCACCGGCTCGATTCCGGTTCGAGGGAACATTTCTTTTTTCTCTTTTTTCTACCCTTTCCTTGAGTAATGGAACTCTCCCAACACCCACATATAATTGTTTTGAGAATATTCACGTTGGCTTAGCAGCCCGAACCATTCCATTGGTCGAGTGATTTTTATTTTTTTCATTCTGAACTAGCTGGCCCATGCCATGGTAGCTACAGTCATATTTGAAATCAGTTTTACCTCTTTTCCCTCTGTCTTTTCCTCGGGCTCCACTTAAAATACCCTTGGCCTTTTAGGAAATCAACCCGCTCATGTTTGACCATCAACGTATCTTCGCTGAGAAGTGCATAACCAGTCGCGTTGATAGATTCGATAGTACCAATCAACTCACAATTATGAAGTTAAACCTTTGAGCTTCTTCTATAGTATTCAGTGCGATTAACAGCCTTAGCGGTGTTGACAATGCCTATTCTGAAGCCGATCTCATTAAATTTCTATTATCATCTTGATCAAAACCAAATGAACGAATTGCCTATTATACACGATCAAACGATGCATGAACAACCTTACGATCTTTGATTCGGCCTCTTTGATGGCCTTATCAACAACTACATCGCGCTTTTGAGTCAGGTCAGCCGCGTAAAAGGCCAATTATACCGAAACACTTTGTGGGACTCCTTCATCACGCTTGTTAAGCAGAATATCGCACATTCTTATACAGGCGGGTTGAGGGCAAATTCACGGTTACTTATAAGTAACATTAATTCGTTAAGCGTATCCTCTGTATAAAGAGTCAACCTACGGTCATTGGCGCGAGTGGTAGTGATATTGGTCTGGCCAATACAACAGTCGCGGAGGGTAGATCCAGGAACACCATAGAGGCTTGCTACACCGCAAAAGATCAAGCCTTTCTCGGCTTTCAAAGCCCCGATAACAGCTATCAACCTCCCTTTCGGGTCCTCTGTCGTATGCCTTATGCACGGCCAGTAGTCGGACTGTTTGGGACACTTTGGGGGTGCGTTATGCTGAGTTCGCCAGGATTTGACGCCCATCGCAAAGTTCACTGAGAGTAATTACAAGCAGTCTTATCTGGAAGAGATACTCCGGAGCAAATAGATACTGAACAGCACAAAGGGACCTCGGTGTCGAGAGTCTGAATGGAAATACTTCCACAAGCGCATCAATCTCAGCGCGAATGAAGTTTATATTGTACCTGCTGTTATCAACTTTGAGTTTCTTAAAATTAAAATCTTGTCGTCTCTATTCCGCGCCAGCTTGTTTCACGATCACGATCTCTACACCATGGAGTACCGGGTTTACCGCAGGGAATGTTCCCATTTGCACAATGGCCCTCACCGAATTCATTGACTGCATCATAATAGCGCTTTGCTAAAAAATTGCAGCCATATCGATGAGGAGGAGGTTCGTGATCGCATATATTCCGCAAATCGGTTAAAAGTTTCTTGTCAATGGCATAGCGGTTCTTCTCTGTACAACGAGACTGTTTTCCGTAATTACGGTAGCCAAAGTCATGGCGCTGGCAGGCTGGAGTGAAATTTAAATCGAGTGGATGATCGGGGGCGTGAGTACATCCGTCGTCATCCTAAATCAGCTCAATATGATGCCAGCATGCTTCCTTTTTCTCCAGGAACTGTGGCATTGACGCACAGCAACCAATCGGTGATCCACTCGGGGGATACACAGTCTGGAGGGTTCACTGTAGCTGTGACAATCGTTAGACTATTCATCGACCGCAATTAAAGCTCAGGATAGAACTAAATGTAGCCAGCAATTTTCTCTTACCTAATTCTTCCTTTTCAGCTGTAATAAGTGGAAATTGGTGGTTTGCGCCCCAGGCGCATCCATAGAGTATCGAGGTGAGAAGGAAGTTTAGTGTGAGCAATAGCTTAAACAACATGGTGCCCTTCCTGGGTAGAACCTCAGTCAGCATATGCTTGATCGGAATAGCTTGGATCAACAAAAAGTTGCGAACAGGTAAAAGGCAAGGGTGCCTAAGGAAATCACAGGGCTTTTTGTTGGTGCCGAACATTAGTTGAAGACGTCCACATGATTGACTAGGGTTAATATCATCAGATGTAATGATGCAATAGTCTTGTCAAAAATGGCTATAACGAATTCAAGCCATGGTTATGACTTTCAAACCCGTTTTACGAAGGAAAGCTCTAGCCAGGTCTAAATTTTAGCTACGCACCGATATACTCCAAACCTAGACCGGAAGTGTGTTACGACCCCGCCCCCGCGACCAAGTCCCACCTGTTTTCGGTCATGTTTCGCCACATTCATTTGGCTTCAAGGTTGTGTGACCTCGCGCGCAAGGGTAGGAGGCATTTTGGATCTATGATCTTCGTGTTTTTAAGCTACTTTCTATTACCAAGTATGTTCTACGGCATCTCGAGCTGCAAAGAAAAAGATTTTACTCATTCATCATCTAAGTTATGCTCAAATGCTTGGATATTCAATATTTCAAATATTAAATGGGACAAATCCCTTCAACATCGACAAATCGTAAATATTCGAGGACAGAGAAGGTCGGGGTACAAGAATTGAAGAAAATATTATCATAATGGGACACATGAAACAAGATCAACCCGCGTTTCGAAGGGTGGATGATCTATGCAAAATAAAGCTTGGAGGTTCCATCACAATTAAATCAAGATGGCAGCAGAAATGAAGACGGCGAGGAGGGCACCCGCGAAGTTCATGAAGCCAGACAGAGATCCAGCTGCATTGAAAACGGGCGAAACTCCCTCTCCGCTACCGTTGCTAGGGGTAGGGGCCGCAGTCTCGTGAGACCAGGTGGTTGACGCTGTCCTGGTGAAGCGTGGCGTCTGGCTGATCGGGTGTACGCCTCCGGATCCAGCAGCAGCTCCCTTTGAGGTAGCGTAAGCTGCAGCTGAGGAACCAATAACGCCACCGGTAGGTCGGGAGGCACCGACCAGAGTTGCCGTAACAGTTACTGCGGGAACAGACCCGGTGGGGGTGTAGGGAATTGTGCGAGTGACAGTCGAGCCAGTAGGACCACAATGCTTACAGAAAGTCTCAGTTGTAGTCCAAGTCTCCGTCCATGTGTCAGTTGTGGGCAGAGCAGAAGTCTCAACGGCGGCAACGGGAGTTTCAACAGGCGTTGTCATCGCAACGGTAGAAATAGGCTTGGTCAGGGTCACTGTCGTGGGTGTCGCAGCACAGTGCGTGCAAACGGTCACGGTGGTGGTCCAGCCCTCAGGGACCGAAGCAGATGTGGTCGCTGCTCCTGTGGCCGGCCCGGTCACGCTAGCAGTAGCCTCGGGGCACCAAGTTGTCGTGAGCGTAGTCGTGAGCGTGATCGTGGTGAAGCCGGTAGGACAGATGTCGGTGTACGATGTGACGATAACTGTGGTTATGACCTCACCGGACGCGGTAGGACTCGCTGTCACGGAAGGGGTGGTGGTGACCAGGGAAGTAATGGTATTAGATCCAGATCCGTTTCCAGTTGGCTGAGGGTGGCCAGTCGACTCCGAGGGAGTAGAGCTGGTGACCGGATAGACAGTGGTGGAAACTGGGATTGTCGAAGTGACAACAGAAGTGGAGTCCGCAGGGCAGTTGGTGACGGTAGCAGCACAGCTAATGACGGTGATCTCACTAGTAATGTAGACAGTGGAAGTAGTCATCTGGGGGCCGCCGGTGACAACGGAGGTGTTGGTAACAACGGGGGTACCGGTGACGGTAGAGCTGCCAGACGAAGAAGATCCAGTTGCAGAAACACCGGTAGATGAAGCAGTGCTGCCTTGGGTGGAAGAAGACTCAGAGTTGCCTGAAGTGGACGAGGTCTCCTTAGAGACAGAACCGCTCGACGAGCTTGTGGCGGAGTTCGGTGCAGAGCTGGAAACAGCGCTCGAAGGAAGCACACTCGAGGGGGCCGCACTTGAAGGAGCAGCGCTGGACGGGGCGACACTTGAAGAAATGATGCTTGACGGAGCAGCGCTTGAGGGAATCGCGCTTGAGGGGGTAACACTAGATGGGGCAACGCTGGACGGAGCAATACTGGACGGAGCAACGCTGGAAGGAGCAACACTGGAAGGAGCAATGCTGGAGGGAGCGACGCTGGAGGGAGCAACGCTGGAGGGAGCGACGCTGGAGGGAGCAACGCTGGAGGGAGCGACGCTGGAGGGAGCAACGCTGGAGGGAGCGACGCTGGAGGGAGCAACGCTGGAGGGAGCGACGCTGGAAGGAGCAACGCTGGAAGGAGCAATGCTGGACGGAGCGACGCTGGAGGGAGCAACGCTGGAGGGAGCGACGCTGGAGGGAGCAGCACTGGAGGGAGCAACACTGGAGGGAGCAACACTGGAGGGAGCAACACTGGAGGGAATCACGCTCGAGGGGGCGACACTAGACGGGGCAACGCTGGAGGGAGCGACGCTGGAGGGAGCAACACTGGAGGGAGCAACACTGGAGGGAGCAACACTGGAGGGAGCAACACTGGAGGGAGCAACACTGGAGGGAGCAACACTGGAGGGAATCACGCTCGAGGGGGCGACACTAGACGGGGCAATGCTGGAGGGAGCGACGCTGGAGGGAGCAACACTGGAGGGAGCAACACTGGAGGGAGCAACACTGGAGGGAGCAACACTGGAGGGAATCACGCTCGAGGGGGCGACACTAGACGGGGCAACGCTGGAGGGAGCAACACTGGAGGGAGCAACACTGGAGGGAATCACGCTCGAGGGGGCGACACTAGACGGGGCAATGCTGGAGGGAGCGACGCTGGACGGAGCGACGCTGGACGGAGCGACGCTGGACGGAGCGACGCTGGACGGAGCAACGCTGGACGGAGCAACGCTGGACGGAGCAACGCTGGACGGAGCAACGCTGGACGGAGCAACGCTGGACGGAGCAACGGAGCTAACAGGCGATGAGGTTGGCTTCGTCGTAGGAGTAATAGTAACGATAGTCGACGTCGTCGTGGGAGTAGGAGGAGAAGGATCACACCCATGCAGAAGATACTTCATATTCTGAGTGTAGTCAAAGCCCAAACTGTCGACATTGCCCTCAGCGGCGGTAGCCTCCCACAACATTATACCACCGAAATGGTGAGGATAGAGGGCCATATAGACGAGCAGAATAGCCTTCACCTCCGCGGGCTCGAGATAATACGAAGCGCCCGCTGCATCTTTAGAAGCTGGGAGACCTATGAAAAGCTTTGTGTGAGGGTTGGCACTTTCCTTGATGACCTGGATCCAACTGGCGAAGTTGAAACCACCATCGAAGTAGTCCGATGCCGAGCAACCTGCCGTGTTATAAAACTGGACCCAAATGAAATCGAACACAGAGTTGGCAATAGCATCGCTGAGCTGCTGATCCGGAATACTGCACTGAGGCGCAGCAGAGATATAGAAGGTCTCATCGGGGTATTGTTTGAAGTTGCTTCGGAGACGGTTGACCACCGTAGCCCATCCTACCTATTATTAGTGGTCCTTCTTGGAAGCCTTGGAGGATGAACGAAGATAAACTTACCGGTTGAGCCACTGTTCTCAATATCCAAGTCGAATCCATCGACCGAGTTCTCCTGGAATGGACGGGGGAACTTGGTTGCTGAAGGGTTGTATGGACCGAATGAATACCACAGGAAGTCGGCGAACCAGGTGGCTACATCGTCATCCTGGAGTTTTTCATTGGGAGAGTCACCTCCAACCGAGAGCATGATAGTCTTTCCATACTGTTTACAGATTGGGAGGTCCTCCCAGATCTGGTGGCAGCCGCTGAGCAAATGAGTGCCGTTGTATACCGTACCGTCACATTGATTGCCAAAGTTCGAGCCAGGCCAGGCACCCACGGCAGAAGGCAAGACGTTGATGAATCCAATGTTGATGATGTCTGAGTCAGACTCCTCACAGAAATGGGCCAGACGTTGTTGGTCGTATCCTTGACCCTATTTCAAATATCAGCAAATGATGAAGGACATGGAAACAGGAGGAAATACCCAGTAAAGAGCGACATTGGTTTTCAAATCAACGTCCAGAGCGAAAGAAGCAGGAATCAAAGTTGAAATCGCCGCAGCGAGGGTGAGGACTTTGCCTAAACCCATTTTGAAAGAATGTAATGAACAGCAGTTAAAGATTGAAATCGCCAGCTAAGGGCAAATGAGTGTTATGGCAATATGCCAGTATCGAACGAACGAAAGGACGCAGGCAAAAGTCTGCTTGGGCTGCTTGTCTCTCAAGGAAAGAGTGAATTTGTCCTGCAGCTACGGAGATATAGAAACATAAATCAGGGGGTGGAGGGGGCGCAGGGACTAGCTACATTAAAGAAAAAAAGCCAAGAACCACCACCATCATACCTCCAATGGCCTAGTGGGGTCCTGGGAGGCACCGCTGGAACGTGGATCATGGTGCTTGAGATAGGGCGAGGCTCGGACATGTCCTAGTTCGGAGATTCCCTGTTTTTTTCCCCTAGACTGCCCTACTAGAGGCCACCAAATCCTTGTTTAGGCCACTCCACTTTGGGGCCATTCTAGCAAATAAATTCGTGCCTAAGATTAAAGCGAGAAAAGCAGAGCGGGGCATTATAATGACAGCCTTGGAGGCGCCTGTTTTGGCGGTGGCGCAAGTAAGATGTGACCGTAAAATGTGACAAGCCCCAAGCCCAGTAGTGTACCGGAGCAATCAGGAGCAATCAAGAACAGTCGGTAAACACGGAATTCACGAGCTAAGCAATTATAACGGTGGGATAGCTCAATATTGGGAGGATAGACGGCTGTCTAGACGCCTTGGCGCAATCTTAAAGAGCCGCATCAACAAGGCTACGAGCCTTAGAGGAAGTTAGCCTCAGGGTCCGGGCACAGTAGTCTGTACAGATCATTGGGAAAACGGGGTCAAGTTAACTTCCGGCAGTCTCCGCTCGTTCTTTGATTGGGTCTGCGCTGCGCTAAGCAGCGCTAAGGCTGGTAGTCCCAGACAGACCCTGGAACCGAGATGTGCAAACGGTTCCATCGAGGGTCCAAGCAAACAGGGTCGGGAATGAACGATGTTGACTCCAACTTTGTGCGCCGAAATTCTTCTTTGAACTTTCTCAGGTCATTTACTGTGCTGGACAAATCCACGAAGAACACCCCCAAGTATAGCAGAACTGTGGAAATGAGATGTATGCAGGTTGCAAGCGAGCCGAGCAGAACAGGAATCCTAATGGTGCGATGATTAGCGTAGGGCTTGGCAGAGACAGGCACACCAATTATCGGGGGCTGAGAGGTCGTTCGATATCGGATGGCGCCCGGATCAGCCCGCTTTGGCCGAGGTCGGTTAAAATCGTCTCTATGGCCCCCACCAAACCACATTCCAAGGAATTTCCCAAGTTATACGTGTTTATCTAGAGCCGTTTCGATTTTCTATAAAATCATATCCTTAGGTGATCTCGGAGTGTTAGGTGTCTAGCAAGCCTCCGGGTCGTTTTCTTCCCTTTTCTAGACTCGAAACCCCTCGGTTTTCATGGTAAAGATTTGGTGCCTGACCCAAAAGGAGCTAACAAACCTAGATAGGAAATAAGTGCGAGTTCCAATACATTGGCTTGTCGCACAGACCGGGGTTTCATCCGGATTTAAGGGCTCATAGGAGCCGCACTTCCGTGGTTAACGTGGAAAACAACGCCGAATCGCCTGATCAATAGCACACGTGCTGCCTGTACATTGCCTAGTCTGGCCTAGCGTTCGTGTAAATTGCTTTCATTACATCCGCCCCGGCCCGGGCACTTATGTCTCATTATTACTTGGGACTCACTAGACTACTATGCGGGGAAAAGGGATATGCATATTCACAAGCCCTGCCTTATTGACCTTTAGATCTCTTACCGTATCATAACCCGCAGCAACCCATATAAACCTTGCAGCCCCGCGGAGTCCTGCAAAATTGAAATAACATATTGGCGGAGGTGGCTATGGAGACTGACGTCCCTCGTGGACAAGACGTTCCATCTGGCCTGTTACGAGCAAAGCCACTCACGTTCCGTAATCAAGAACCCTTGATAAATACTTCATTCCGCTTCTAAAATGAATCTGGTCTGACTTGTGCATTGATTCCCGAACCACAAGGGTCCATCTGGTGTCTATCCAATATTTGGATTAGCCTGGCAAAAGATCCCGTATACTCTTACGGCCCTTCGGTACGAAATAGGTAGTGCATCATTCGAGAAAACTTAGATCGAGCAAATATTGAATCTAAACATTGTAACCAATGCCCATGCCGAAGGAGCAACACTCAGTCCACAGATCTCGATGCCGTCCGCATATTCACAAGTCCCACAGTCACGACCACCACTAACACTCATCAACCTCACACCCCGAAACCGGCGCACAGCCTAGTTTACAAGCACTCTTCGATACTCCTGCGCCAACATTTCCCGTGGTAGTCCCGATAACCATACATCCGCTCCTGCAGATAGACTCGGCGTTCTGAAGAGGAAGGTTTGTCAGTTTAGAATTGATTTTATGGAGTTTTCGTCGTGGGGGAACTCACGCAATCACATCCCTTTTCGAGAGATTGTTCGTTTTGGTTGGGGGTTGGTGTGGCCATGGTTAGGGTTGTGAGGGCTAGGATTGTGAGGGTGAGGAGTTTCATAGTTCTTATGTGTTGGGGTACAGGTAGATTTGGTCCGTTGGTGTTATTTGTGTTTTTAGATGAATTATAATCGAGGGACTCAAGGTTTCGAGAGTGGTGCGGGATACATAGATTTTTGATGTCTACGCTAGTTACGGCAGGGATTCTATTCGGGTACCAAGGGATGGGAGTATGCATGAGCGACAATAAGAATCGTAGAAGTTCCTGGCGTGGATGATTAAATTCTAAAGGCTATGGTGTAGGGTTTCAAATTTTGTAGAGCAACCCGGGCGGTCCCATGCAGCTGACATCCCATGGAAATGCATATGCATTTATGCTCCAAAAATTAAGAGACATCAATGCCTCACGTATTGACCAACTAGCAAGGCAAACACTCCTGATCACACTTCTGGCTGTACATGACGGGGAAACCGAAAGCGTAATCACGCTGGCTGCTTTTAACAGTGAAGGCGGTATGAAAATGCCTCAAAGTAGAGTAAGGTGTTTCGCATCGAGCACCAGCATGTCTTCCACCCGAGGCGGGATCGAGATGGATGAGGTCTGAATCTATGCATCCAGCCGAGATGAAGAGGTCTCCGCCTTGAGAATGTGGAGATTGCATGGCCATTTCAGACCAGACCTAATACTGAGACATATATCAGTAAGTCTGCTTTCAAAGCTCATGTGCGAAATACAAGACGAGGGTAGGATTTCAGAGAGAAGATTAAAGTCGTCAAAGCCTTACACATCGGAAGAAGCATGATGGTATGGCATTCCGACTAAGGATGACTTAAAGATTTTCATCACGGTAGAGGTTATGAACTCGAAAAAGCAAAACCAGGATAACTAACCAGGGTATTCATATGTTCCTCAATCTCAGCAAAGATGATCCTATTACCGGATTCCTTCTTGCCGAGGTTCCACAGAACATTTAGTCCGCATAAGAAACGATCTTTCGACCGATGTACGCCACATTCTTCTCCGGTTTCGACTTTGTGGTGTCTTGAGTTGATTCTCCGTAGTCGAGGTCGGAAGACGCGTTGTGTGGACGCTGGGTGTTGGGCTTTCGCCCGCCAGAGGAGCGCCGTCTTGTCGAACCATCATTGCTCAAGCTTGCGTCCGCAGCTTTTGCGTTACACTCAAGGCTATTTTCAGCCCCGGCGTCATCGGCGACGTGTCGACGTGCTTCGTACTCGGCATCATCTTCTTCAAGCTGTCGCGCACGCAGCAGCGCGTGTATCTCACTGTGTCGAAAGATCCGGATTTGCTCATCTGTGAGAGTTCGTTTCATGCCATCGGGGTAGTATCCCAAATCCTCCTCTGCCTCGTAGGAATTTTTTTCTTCTTGCGCGGGTTCTGTTGTTGGGGGTATCAGTGGTTTGTGGGGGCCGGGGAAATGCGCTGCTTGGAAGACTTGCAGGTCTTCCTAGGAAATAAAAGCTGTTAGAGGAATTTCGGCGGGGCAGCTGAAGCGACTTACCAAGGTGACACCTGGGACCTGCATCGTGGATGCTGCAGTGGTGAGGATGTCAGATTTGGCGACGCGGTCCCGGCGCGTGAGATTATTTCGTCACGTGATGTGATTTTCAATGACAGGTTGAACTGATTTGAAATGGATATTATATGCTATGTTTTCCCTTCGATGAGCTCTATGATGGTTAAGGTAGCTTTTCAAGTCAATGGTAGGAGTGCATGGTTCCGATATATGGCCCAAGTGACACCATCGGTGGAGTATCGAGTTTACGTACACAGTGACAGAGAATGAAAGAACGTTTATGAGGTTATACCATTCAGTCGTTATTCTATGTCTTGAACCCCATTTGGATATTCTCACAACACCCTCGTCAAGTAGTCTTGGAAAGAGATATACTCTCAACATGATTTCCAATCTTAGCCTTAACACTATCAAATCGCACCTCAAGGCCCTTTACCTCAATCAAATCAATACCCTGAACACGCTCCACATCCTCCTCGGCTGGCCCAGTCAAGCTCCACGCAATCGAAATATGGAAGCAGTCCGAGTAGTCGACACGCTGACGGTCACGCGCACTTGACGCACGGGGGCGAGAATCACGCGAGGGCGCATAAAGCGGCGGCTGATCAAAGCTTGCCAAGGCGCGATTGGATAAATGGAGCAGATTGTTCAGCTCATTGTTTTGCGGCCTTGCGACATGCAGGACGAGGAACCAGCGAGTTTTCTCGTAATTGGAAACCCATGTTAGGGTATCAGGGAGGACTGAGAATCTGGGGGTTGTTAGAATGGATTGGTACTGAGATCAGGGTACATACGGAGCGATGTGTGAACCGCGGATGGATTTCTGAAGAAGCTCTGTGAACGAGCTCCGCTGCTCGGTGCGGAGTACTACAGGTCGCGAAAGACTAATGTGAAGCGGGAGCTGAGCGCCCAGGTCACTGTGCAATAGACTGTGTATGCTCTGTCCATTGGAATGGCCTTGCGCTTGGGCGATGAGATCTGCAAGGAGAGCTAGTTCGTTCTTGGCCGGGTACCCTGTATCCAAAATTAGCAGTGAAATCAGCAACGCGAGGGCTACATACATTCCAAGTAGAGGTGACTAGGCCAGTTGCCTTCCACATGTGGAACGACGCGCTTGCGACCTCCATGCAAGCTCGGGTCATCTTTTACGCTGACCCGCGTGCCAGACGCGTAGAGGTCGTGGAAGGCTGGTGGGAGTGGGGGTAAGCTGGCCCCGGTGGTGAGGCGGGGCTTTTTGGATGGGGGGGATACGGGTTCTGCATTTGATTCCGAGTCCGACTCGGAGTATTGTACGAGGGACATTAATTGAAGATGCGTGGGAAGCTGTGGTGGTGGTTGGGGTCATTGTGGGGAGCCGAGTTTGGCGGACGCTAAATGAACACAGTCCATGTGAGGATCATCTGCAGGTGGTGGACCTTGCAGAATTGACCGGTATAGAGCTGCGTGGAATGATTTTTTATTATTTTTATTTTATTCTGGTCTTGTCTGAGGTACCCCGTACATTCCTCGTGCCACGTCCTTGCGGCGCCACCGCATTCGAAGACGTGCATCAAGTCCAATAAGTGATGATCGGACGATCATTCGGGGATGTCGAGTCGAAGTACGGAGTACTGTAGTTCTCTCGTTCTCCGTGAAAAACCTCGTGACACACAACATGTCGCACTAGGCCATTTCAGTATCTTGGAGGCTCCGGGTCTGCAAGGGCATGCTGCGTGATCCTAGCCAACATCACAAGATCGTGATATTAAATCAATCTCGCTTAGTTGATTATGGAGAAGGAAATGGAATGGCAATGATTGGTGCGAGAATCCCCTCGGATCTGACGGAAACCAAATGACTCAAGCTTTCGGGCCCTGATCGCCTGAGACCCTGCTCAGGTCAAGGTTCCAGGTGCTCAATAGCAGCATGAATCATCGGCTGTCTTCATTCTCCAACATACTCTCAATGGATAGGCAATGATGCTCGAGGCCACCTCTTCAATTCCGTTGAATCGATGACATATGCAAGGGAAACCGTTTTGGTCTTAAGTGGTGAGACATGATCTAGACGGGCCTGTGTCTTGAGTAGATCCTGGATAGTGAGGTGGCTGGGAAGAATCTATCGCTACTATGAGAGCTAGTCAATAAGCTTATTCTAGTGCACGGGTCATCGTGCGAATGGAAATGGAATGTGATCTTCAGAACAAGGTTTTCAGCAGCTATCCTAGAATTTAGCTATGAATCATCGTAGAATGAAGGTTCGGTCGAGGAACCTGCGTCATCGGCTTAACGTGGAAGCCTTGGATGTGGATGCAACAGGAAAGCCCCAACTGGCCCTTGCCCTAAGGCTAGGGGGCCGCGCGGTTACTAAGCCACGTCCCGGCCACGGATACCCGGCGCATCGGAACTCAGTGCCGTGCCTGGCAATTACCGTTACTATTCTGGAGGGAAAGAAGGGAAAAATGTGTGGCCTGGAGCTATGATAGCATAGGTGAGCTCGTAGTGGACCTACGATGTCAATTTGCCCCTCTGATGATATCACCTGGACGATCAGCAACGGTGCATTGGGCGCAATATTCCCCGCAGGGTCCTGACGCTAACCCGAATTGGAAGGGAAAGTTCTAGCGTGCGAAGATGGCCCCACTACTCGAATGCCACTACTTTTCTATCGATAAGCATGGGATGTGCAAGTCGTCACGTCACCTGCGGTTGCCTCGGATGTTTAAGAACTCCCTGCGTCGTTAATTTTACACTTTACTCCCTACACACTACTCAATACACTTTATCCTAGCTCTGTGCGATCTACCGTGCATACAATACGTGACCCTGCCATTTCCAAATCGGGTCTATACTTTATATTGCGCGTGATCCTTTCACGGGCTGATCTTCCCCTCTCACACCTTTCTCTTACCTACATCCCTCTCGTGTTTGCTCCCTAGATCAGCAAACCCGGCATTCAGCACTCAGCTACCATGGCCGTCGACTGCATGCCGATGGCTTCGCTCCATCACCCTCACCACCCCTACAACCAACCATCTAGCCGTCGGACCAGCTTCAGCAGCAACAATCCGTATGCTCGCTTCGCTTCATCCTCGGGCTCCCACGCCCCATCGCGGCGCTCATGCTCTGTCTCTGAATCCGTGCGTTCCGCGCCTTCCATGTGGTGGGACGGCACAGCGGAGCACTATCCGGTAGAGCCGAAGAAGCGACGAGAGAGCCAGAGTTCCGTACCCCGCCGCAGCAAGTCGCAGCGAGTCTACTCGCGCAATTCCATGCTTGTGAACCCCGACATTATCGACCAGCTGGATAATGTCACCTCCTACTCTTACCACCACGAGGGTCCTTACGATGCAGTCTGCGCCGAGCGCAACCAAGACAGCAAGCACAGCCCTCTCGAGGCCGTCCGAGAGTCTAACGAAGAGGCACTGCGTGCGACACCCAAGGATAAAATCACGGACTGTCTGAACAGCCACCGTCCACTTGACGGAACTGCTTTCTTCCCGCCTGGTCACACAGATATTAACGGGCAGACATACGAGTACCAAGAAGGCTCGAATGTAGTCCGGAGTGACTATGGTCTTGGTGGATACATGCGCCAGGTTCAACAGGTAAACACATCCCCTTGCTTACTGGTCCTCAATTCTGACTATTCCACAGAGATACAGCGATGACGAAATCAAGAATGACTCGTTCTACCTCCGTCCTCTCTCCAACCCCTTCAGCCAGCTCAAGAAGAAGCTGAGCCTCCGAAAGGGTAAGCGTCGCAGCAGTACTTAAGCCATGCTTGGTTGCCAACGCTACTTACGACTTTACGACTACCACGTGCCCTTTGATGGTGACCGATCATGAGACCTGGTTAATGAGTTTTGTATGAAATACAGGGTTGAAGAACAGGATTTGGGGTTTCTTTTGTTATTCGGACGGCTTTTGCCGACCGCCTTGCTTAAGTGTTATATATGGATAAGGCGTTATGGATATGATACACTTGGTGTACTTATGGCCCGACAGGGAATTGATTCTTGATTTTACAAATTTCACTCTTCTTTTAAATTTACCACTACATGGCGTCCTGAAACCCGGTGCGACCAGCTGCATTCAGGGATTTTTCCTCCAATTCTAATACCAAAACAATAATCTAGGAAGCAATAAACATTCAACAGGCAGAGGTGGAAGAATTCCCAATATGGATTACTGCGTCTTGACACTAGGATCGGGGAATGAATCGAAAAGTGTAGGTAGTTGCCCCAGTTTCGCGATGTACTGTAACAGACTTTGCTCAATTTTGTCTATATGACTACCTCAAGAACCCAGCCACGCCCGCCTTCCAACAACCTGCGACCCCGAAGCAGTCCTAAACACAGAACTAGATGACGGCACCCGATCCAACACCATCGGCTCCGGCTCCGGCTCTGGCTCCGGCTCCATCTCTATCTCCACCTCCATCTCCCTCTTCGACCTCGCCTTAGCCCAAGGCACCAGATTGAAAATACCTCCACAAACAAAAATTCCCGTCCAAAGCCCCAACTCCGTCCCATAAATCACCACACCCAGAACATCAACCTTCGGCCCGAACACTGCACCGCGTCAGCCAACGTGACATCCCATCTCTAGAAGGAAAAGAAACTCACAAACAGATATTATCGAAAATAAATCCCCCGCGGCATCAATCCCAACAAAAAAGAAACTAATCCCCCTCACCGTGCGATGCACATAGATATCCCAATAATGCCTTAACACGCCCGCGGCGAGTAACGACGCACTCAACACAGCCATGAGAATAATCGGCCATTTGATATCGTGGGTCTTGGCTTCTTTCAATCCAAAGATGAGACCTGTTTCGATCCCTCCGAGGATGAAGAGGAGGGGGAGGACGAATGTTATGCATTTCATGATTGGGTATTTCTATGCCTTGTTAACAACTTGCATTCCGTAATTCACATCTTGCACTTCCAAAATTGCATTGAATGACTTGGAGAATGACTTGGAGAAACAGTTTAATCAACGGTATATAACATACCTTTCCATAATACAAACACTGAGCCCAAGTAGTCAGACTCAGGATAGTAAGGATCTGCGGTTGGATGCGTAAAGCGATATTGAATTCCTCGACGATGTTATATACGCCCAGGGGTACGCCGGCCGCAGCCCAGAGGAGCATCATTGATGGTTGGAGACCTTCTGTGTGGTGACGCTTGTAGTTTATAAATATTTGGGGGAGGAGCTGGATATTTAGTTTAATATGGAAATCGGGTAGATTGGTTGGGGAATTGGGATGGAATGGATACCTGGATGGACCAGCATACCTGGGTTATGTTAGTTGGTGGCTTGAGGTAATTGGTGGAGGACATACTGCGCCTAGGGTTCCGAGGACATTTTCCGCTATTGGGTTGTTCATATTCCAATGTTTGGAAGAAAGAAATGGTGAGCTTGGGGGGTTTTGGAGGTTGAGGTCATTTCGTAGATAAGATCGTTAACGTGAGCACGTGAAGTGGGCCTGTTTCCGTGTATTTTGATTGGTTCCGGGGCCGCTGTGGTGGATACCTTCCCCCAAGGCCATAAAGATGTGCTGCTATTGAGAACTTCATAGCTTCATATCAGAAGGGCCTGGTGTCAGCATACCCAGATAACAGAGGCAAATGTTTGCAGATATCCGAAAGCCTGCATACTTTCTCCGAGCTCCGCAGGTTTCTATTGGCAAAGCGTCAGCAGTGTTATTGACCACAGGCATATCCTCAGATCCCGTATTAAGAACAAGTATTTAATAAAACGCTGCCACATAATCAAATTGCTCAGTCGCATTCGTAATGGCCAACCCATCAAATATGCAAATACTTGCTCATCCGCAGGTAGCTGGAGGACTAGTCACTTGAACAACTCATACAAAGCTTTGAGAGTGTTCTGCTGACATTCATCAATCCCCGAAGTTATATATTGATCCACGTTTGTTAGGGCAAACATGATCCATTTTTGTTTAGTTTCTACTCTAGATCATTGTAAAGAATTCTCCTTTCCTTTGCCAAGGTAGAAACTTCTACCTGCTATGATCTTGCTGAAGTAGAGCACCAGGAACCTTCACGTTACACATAGTATTTTTGATAGCGGTGGCATTAACAAATTTGGCTTCCAATTTTCCGCATCTCTTAATGTAATGAAATTCAACTTCCAATGTGATCTAACGTGTTTGGTTATTTATTTTTCCACATACCCGGAATGGAGTAGGGATGACACTAAGTCAAGTAAATAACGACTCACAAACGCCGCGTGACACGCAACCGGGCTGATATTATGCAACTCATAGCTTCAAATGCAGCATCCCATCAATCGAAATCGCAAGTCGTACGACTGTAGAAACGAAAAGAGGACGCTGACCAATCAGGAATTGCCAAAGGGCATCAGCCCATGAAAGTCTTGGCGGCGATCGATCGCCGCCACCGCGTGGAAAAGGAAGGGCCAGTCTGGCTTCTTTCATAATTGACTCCCATTCTTCGTTTTTGATTTCCAACTATACATTACCGCATGTCCTGATTTCATCCACACATTGCATTTGCCCTATATCTTGCATCGCGACCCTTGGACCTTGCGACCCCAGGCCAAGACGCCACCTCGCATCTCCGGATCGTCGCGCTCTCTTCAATCCACCTTCTCTACCTCCCACACTCTTTGATGGTCGCCAAGATGCGCTCGGCAGCAGGGCTATTCTATGCGGCTGTCTTTGCCTTGATGGGCATGGCCGATGCCCAGGATCATGGCTCCAAAACAACTGACATGGCCAACAAGTGCGCTGTAAGTGAGCCGGAACTCCGGATTGCCACCGTGGCCGCGACATGACAACTAACTTTCTCGGATGTGATAGCTTGAACCTACGGCTATGGTATCGGATGCATGTGTCTCATACGGCACCGTTAATAAACTCAACGATGAGGTCTACTCCCTCCTCCAGGGCCTCACTCAAGAAACCGATTTCTTTTCCTACTACCGATTAAACCTCTTCAACAAAGAATGCCCCTTCTGGAACGACGCAAATAGCATGTGTGGAAATATCGCCTGCTCTGTGAATACTATCGAGTCCGAGGAGGATATTCCGCTTATCTGGCGAGCGGAAGAACTGAGCAAGCTCGAGGGCCCTAAGGCCCAGCACCCGCCTCGCAAAGTTCAAGCCGAGCGTCCCAAGGCGCGTCCGCTCCAGGGCAAGCTCGGTGAGGGTGTCGGCGAAAGTTGTGTGGTCGAATACGACGACGAGTGCGACGAGCGCGATTACTGTGTCCCCGAAGACGAGGGCTCAGCGGGCAAGGGTGACTATGTCAGTTTGGTGGATAACCCTGAGCGGTTCACGGGATACTCGGGTGCTGGCGCACACATGGTCTGGGATGCCATCTACCGCGAAAACTGCTTTATGAAACCTATCTCCGAGGAGCTTGATGAACAATCTCTCAACATGCCAATGGGCGGACTCCAGGCTTTCTCCGACTTCCGCGAAGTAATTCAGAAGGAGGCTCGTTTGGAAGGACTACCTTTGGATAATGAGTGCTTGGAGAAGCGTGTCTTCCACCGACTCATCAGCGGTATGCACGCTTCGATATCTACGCATCTCTGCTGGGACTATCTCAACCAGACGACGGGTCAGTGGCACCCCAACATGCAGTGCTTCAAGGAGCGTCTGTATGACCACCCAGAGCGCATCTCAAACATGTATTTCAACTACGCTCTTGTCTCGCGCGCCGTCGCCAAGCTGCGCAAGCACCTGCAGAGCTACACCTTCTGTACCAGCGACCCTGAACAGGATCTAGATACCAAGCAGCGGGTCAACCAGCTCGCCGAAATCCTCTCGCGTCCCCCTCAGATCTTCGACGAGAACCTGATGTTCCAAGATCCCACCACCCAAGGCCTGAAAGAGGATTTCCGCAATCGTTTCCGCAACGTCAGCCGACTCATGGACTGCGTGGGCTGTGATAAGTGCCGCCTCTGGGGCAAGGTGCAGGTGAATGGATACGGAACCGCACTGAAGGTCCTGTTCGAGTACGACGAGACCAAGAATGGTGAGAACCCACTCCTGCGACGCACCGAGCTGGTCGCCCTGATCAACACGCTCGGCCGTATCTCGCACAGTCTGGCAGCCGCGCGCAGCTTCCACGAAGCCATTGAAGCTGGACTAGATAGCCCAGCTCCTATTCAACTCCATCAGCTTGTGACAGAGGAGGAAGCCGAAGCGAGGGAGAGGGAGAGGGAGATGGGGAGAGCGAGAGAAAAGAAGGAACCGGGGATGTTGTTGAGACGTGATGAGTCTGGCAATGTATGGTGGGAGAAAACGAGCGCCGAATACGTCTACGGGCGTGAGAAGATGGAGAGATATCCGTGGGAGCGACCGCCGAGGACTGCCGATATGGGTTTCCTCGACGAGCTCAAGGCCGAATTCAGCGTTGTGTGGGACACGACGATGTACGTCCTGAAGTCTTGGATGGATATTCCGCGGACGCTGTAAGTTCTTCCAACCTCGTCGATTCGCGATACCTATACTAATAGTTTGCAGCCTCGAGATCTCTGTCTGGGAAGGTCAGCGTCTGTACTCATTCTGGCTCGGTTTGCCCGTCCCTCCTCGCCTCTGGAAACTCCAGGCCCCTGGAGCCGAGGCGCTCGAACGCGCTGAGAGGAAGAAGCATGAGACAAACAAACCTAAAGACGAGCTGTGATAGACCATTGCAACATTTCTTGTACATAGCGATTGTATTGGTGTTGGGCGGATTTTGGGATTCAGGAGTGGCATATTCTTATTTCTTTGCTAAGGGACATATATAGGTTGTTTCCGATTAATGCTCCTAGACACACGCATATCATCATGGACTATAATATCCGGGGTAGATTAAGTAAATGGAGTACCGGGTAAAGCAGAGATGATCGGGAAAACCTTCTGAGCACAGGCCGCGGTCGGGGAACGGCGACAGGCACTTGGTTCGCCACCGAAGAAATTTCATCACAAGGACTAAGTAGAAGCATAAGGGAGTTGAAGATCCAATCCCGAGCATCTGTGAGGACGACTTTCACTCGAGGCCGACTGGATACCGAGTCTAGCATACTTGTATAGTGGTGCAACAAGTGCAATTGTTTTCGCCTCTCGGCAAACACCGACCTCGGCTTCTCCACCTCCGGCCACATGCGTGACTTGGGACGTTTCCCTTCCCCGTCATCACTCCACCTCCACTTCTCTCCCAGTTCACTCTCATCTTCATCCGGGTCTTCATGCTAGTTTGCTGAGCCCGATTATGGCGTCGGTATCGCCGCCAAAACCTTGGGAGAGAGCAGGCGCAGTTGGTGAGTCTTCCCGGCGTGCGATCTGGGTTCCGCATACGGCACCCACCCTCGCCCCATTTCCATCTCTTTTTCCCCGGATTTTTGATTTCTAATTCATCTCAAAAGGAAACGCACTATCAACTGCTCCGACTGCTGGTACTCCAGCGGCTTCAACCGCCATGACCACGACTTCACCCGCTAACCCCGCAACCTCATCTGCTCCCGCCCTCCCGTCTCGCCCTGACACTCTCAACACCGTCGTCAACAACACCGCCTCTAACTACTCGCCCTACGGCGCCTCTCGTTTTGGATCTTCGTACGGTGGCTACGGCGGCATGGGAGGCATGGGAGGCATGGGAGGCATGAGCTCCTACTCGTCACCGTACTCCCGCTTCGGCTCGATGGGGTCGATGTACGGCGGTTATGGCGGTATGGGGGGTATGGGGGGTATGGGGGGCATGTATGGAGGAGGCATGGGAGGGATGTACGGTGGCATGCCTGGGCAGGATCCCAATGACCCGAACAGCCTGACCAACTCGTTCAGCCAGAGCACCCAGACGACGTTCCAGATGATCGAGAGTATCGTCGGTGCGTTTGGCGGGTTCGCCCAGATGCTCGAGAGCACATATATGGCGACTCACAGTTCATTCTTCGGTATGTTACCTTCTATTCTAGGACCGAGTATACTTTCTAACCCATCTCAACAGCAATGGTCTCGGTCGCAGAGCAATTCGGCAACCTGCGCAACACCCTCGGCTCAGCGCTGGGCATCTTCACCATCATTCGATGGTTCCGCACCCTCATCGCCAAACTCACCGGCCGCCCACCCCCAGCCGACGCAGCCTCTCTAACCCCCGCCTCATTCGCAGCCTTCATGGGCGGCCGCTCCGCAACCACTCTCCCCGACGGCTCTCCAGCCCCAGCCAAACCCTCCAAGAAACCTTTCTTCATGTTCCTCGTCGCGGTCTTCGGTCTCCCCTACCTAATGGGCAAACTCATCAAAGCCCTCGCCCGCTCTCAGGAGGAAGAAGCCAAGCGCCGTGCCCTCGCCGGCCCTGGCGAACAAAACGCCGCAATGGACCCCTCCAAACTCGACTTCTGTCGCGTCATCTACGACTACTCTCCCGAGACCCAGGAGAGCAACGGCATCGACCTCGCCGTGAAACAGGGCGATATCGTCGCCGTCCTATCCAAATCAGACCCCACAGGCAATGCCTCAGAGTGGTGGCGCTGTCGCGCCCGCGACGGCCGCGTCGGATACCTACCAGGCCCGTACCTGGAGACTATTCAGCGCCGACCCCAACAAGCCATTACCGGTGGAAGCGAGCCCGCGACTCGCACAAGCACAATGAAGGGCGACCCGGACCGCACTCAGAGCCTATCGGCCATCTCCAAGTCCGCTGATAAGCCGCCTGAGCTTAAGGGCAAGATGGGTGATATCTCGCCTGAGAGTTTCCAGAAGAGTACTTTCTATTCTTGATAGACCGGTTTTAAGACGGGTGCGATCTCGATTTGATGATTTGATATTTGGTGAATCGGCTAAAAGCGACACTCCTGTCCCCTCTGCTACGCAATGCTAAATTTCGAAATATTCCCCCTCGAAGCTGGTGATAATCTCCGTCTCTTCCATCCAGAGCGGTGCACGATGAACATCCTAGCTCTGTCGCTTGATAGGAGTTGGGTTTTCTTTCCTTTTCTTTCCCCCTTTCCGTCGAGGTTTCCTATTCTCTTTCTCTTCTGCTCGTCAGTATGTAACTTGGACTGGTTTTAGCGTGGGTTCCTTTCAATGTTGGTTATGTATCTAGTATTCGATATTGCAATTGCATGCATGGAAGCTCTTCCATGGACATTTTCTCAATGTTTCTCGATGCCAGGATTTTCTCGTACATGTAAGTTTAGATTGACATCTGAATTGTCGTATGGTACCGTTCCCTTTCCCTAGCACTTGACGTAAGCGAGTAAGCAGGCCATAGGCCAAGACATCCTAACCCAAGCCTTTCAGTATTATGCCTCAACATAGATGCTACATCCTGGGATACTGCATATTACTAAATTAGACCTCTCACATCTCACATTAACACCTGCATGTGTGTATCGCGTATCGGGCATCTACATATGTATGCATGCCCGTCTTGGGTCAAAGCCCCGAAGGGGCGGGGTACAGGCACTACGCAGTCCGGCTTTGAGATACCCACAAACGTAGGTACATATATGTATATGTATATGTACGTGTATGTGCACGTGTAGGTATTTAGGGGATTGTTAGAGTGTGTATAGTTTATTTTTTCGCACGCTTCACCAAAGGGATTTTCTTTTTTTTTTTTCAAGAAGATTTGGGTTTGGTTTTCTTATTTGTGGAATCACTTTCCGGTATTCGAGTAATATTACAGGATTCTGGATTGTACATTGACTCTATACTTGCAGGACTGATTATCAACGCTGCCGTTTCAATGTGGAGATGAATATAGATATAGACAGAGACATGGCGTGTGCCTTTCACTCCTTGTGAAACTTGCTGTAGGGAGATTCTCGTGATTAGGCAGACGGTGTTCGGGCATGTCTCGATGGGATGTTGTCTTCAAGGGTTGACGAGGTCTCTGGTTACCACGGAGGCATAGTTTCTTTGTTCTTGGGCGTGTCTTGTTCATGAGTTCAGTTGAATTGCGGCTTGAGCGAGGTAAGAAAGAGCCCATTTTTGTATTCCGTATTGGATATCATGGGTATGTGTATATGGGTATCGGTGGTGGTATATCTTCATTCAGTTGAGTTGAGGTCGAGGTCGAGGTCGGCCAAGCGTAGTGATGAGGGTGATTGTGAAGTGTGTTCAATGTTGTACAAACGAGCAAGAGAACAGCATAGAGCCGCGGAGGTAAGCATCCGGTATCCGAGCATCGATCGATCGTGTTAAAACTGATGAGTGATGAGATGAGGTAGGATGAGATGAGATGAGATGAGATGAGATGAGATGAGATGATTGAGCTGAAGGTTAACCACCTTAGGCAAGGTCCATCAAAGCTTCCACTTCCACTTCCAGCCAAGGAAGAGTCTACCTACACAGAATCTCAGTGCAAAAGGAGTTAATATAAACAACGAAGATCAATCACAATCACACCCCGACCCTCTAATCAGTACCAGTCCATTCCCCACACCAGCTCAAAAGAAGAAGAAAAAACGCCCCTAACTATGAATTTTCGATCTCCCTGTCTGATGCGTACGCAAAAAGAAGAACACGCTCGGGAGAGAGGAAGAAACGCTCCAAGGAAATATGAAAGACGAAGACGAAGACGAAAGATGAAACAAAAAAGAAGAAGGGGAGAAACAAGAAGGGCCATGTACACATCCACAAAAGAAATCATGAAAATCAGCATAAATCACATCCCCAACCCCTCATGGTGAGGAATCTCCTGATTAGGGTCCGCCTCACGCGCCCACTTGGACATAGTCCTATCGAGCGTATACTGCAGGCCCTCCAGTCTTGTCTGGAAGGTATCGAGTCGATTCCAATCATCCGAGTGCGTGACGACTTCGCCTGGAGCATCGACGTCGTGGTCATGGTTTGCATGGCTGTGATGAGAGTGCACATGGTGAGGTTGCGCATGGACTGGCCCTGGAGAAACGATGGGGTGGACTGCATGCGAGACTGGGGGGAGACCTGTGACTGAGTGGGAGCCTGTTACGGAGTCTGGGATGTGGGGATAAGGTCGGCGTTGAGGGTTTGGGTTTGGGTTTGGGTTTGGGGTTGAGTGGGCGTGGTGCTGGTGGTGCTGGTGCTGGTGGTGCTGTTGGTGAGGGTGCTGAGAGTGCTGAGAGTGCCGAGAGTGCTGAGGGTGAGGGTGGTGAGATGGGTTTGAGTGAAGGTCGATTGAGTAGGGGGAGTCGTCGTCGATGACAAGGTCCGGAAGAGTGTGGATTTGGGTTGGGTCTGCGGTTTTGTTAATGTAAATTGAAGATGCGAGTTGATAAAAGGTTGGACGCACCGAAATTCATCTGATAATTAGAATTAGGTGTCTCGCGCGTTGGAGACTGCACGTCTGGTGGGGAACCTGGCGTGACTACTGATGCTTCTTCTGCTGGTTCTGGGGTGTAGCAGGTCATGTCGGAGGGAGTTGCTATAGCTAGTTGCGTTAGATATGATGTGAGCGATTAGGTCGGGGATGACGAACGCGGCTCGGGGCTTTGTAATTCAGCATCTTTATCTCGTTTTGAACTCCAGGAGGATCCGTAGCGACGGACAAATCGGGCGATGCGCTTCTGGTCGACTTCCTGGCCGCTACGGCGGAAGGCTGTCTGTTTGCCACGGGCGGCACGCTTCTTCTGCTTGCGAATCATGATATGGACTTCTTCTGCCTTGATGTTTTTTCGAACATGCCAGGCAGCCAGGCGGTCTTTGTATTGTTTTTCTCTGGATTATGGGTTAGAGACGATATCTTAAGGCAGCTGAAGCTGAGGATCAAGATGGAGATGACGAAGTAATGTGAATGAGATTGAGGGGTTATGAGGATAGTTATAGAGGGCAGGCAAAGTATAAAAAAAAAAAACGGAACCCAAGAAAAAGGAGGCTTTACGAAGCGAAGAACTTATAGTCCCTTTCCATGATACGTTTCACATCGCGTAACTTCAGCTGGTCGGTGCGGTAGAGCTGTTCGATGATATCGCGGTACTCGTGCCAATCATCGGATCGGCGGGGCCGGAAGACGTTGGACGGTGTCACCGGTGATTGAGGCGAGAGGATGGGAGAAAAGGGATCCATCATGGAACAAAATGTGATGGAGCAGATTGGGAAGAGAGTAGGTTATGAGGCCAGAAAAGAATGCGATCACCAGGCAACTTCATCCTCCAGGGCCGGGGGCCAAGGAATCTCTCGACTACTCTTTGCGGCGAGCTGCGCGCGCGGACGCACGACCCCCTGCTTCCCCGGCCAAATCAGCGGTGCCGTTGGTGCATGGCGTGGGCTCCATCGGCGTGCAGCTCTTGTCAGTGCCATGATCGTCAACGGTGACGGTCCACGCCATCAACAGTGGTAGGAGAAGATCTCCGGGGTCGGGATTTGAAATCAGGAGAAAGTACGGAAGGTATCCTATACTTCTAGCCTAGTAGGAAAAAAGCCCAATCAAATCAGCAAATTAGCAAATTAGCAAATAATCCAATAATCAAAATTGCCAGAATAAGATAAAACAGACAAAAAGATAATAATTAAAAAAAAAAAAAGAAAATACCAGGGTGGAGCTGAAATCGCGTACTTTTGCTCGGGGCTACTGTACAGCCTAACCGAACTATTACATGCAGTGCACTGGCCGCAAACTGGATGCATTTTCCGCTGCCTTCGTATTCCGATGAATCTTTGCACTCGCGATGCTGTCATTGGTGTTTCGCATTAGTTAATGTGATCACCGAATGAGCCCTATACTTCCATACTCTGACTCGACAATACTGTACTCGGTACAGTCCTCCCAGTCCTCCCAGTACTCACCTTGGGTACTCAGTACCTAGGATCCCATCGGGAGCGGCCCGAAACTTCCCTGACAGTGCCCCAACACTAAATCGCCCGACTAGACGGTTCACTAAGCCACCCTTACCATACAAAGAAATTAATACAGCTCTTTGTTTTGTTTTCTATTTTCTATCTCTTGCCTGTTTCAGGTCAACCTCGTGTCTTTCCTATTTTGGTTATTAGCCTATGGACCCCCCCCCCCCCCATCCCAGTCTATTAAATTCTCGCATCAACAGAAAAAGAAAATACAAAAGTCACGCAAGGGTGCACGCCGTTGGAACATGCCTCGCCGTTGAGAGACAAGTGTCATCGGCCAGAATGTGGACAGAAATGGCCGATCAAGGGAGGCCACACAGGTCACGATTCCCCACGCGCACATTCTTCGCGCTCGGGGACTGTTCGTGTTCTGTTTCTAATCGTGTCATTCGGGGACCTCTTTCCGGCCGAAACTCAGACCTCTCGTGGGTCCGGAGTCCTTTACGGTGTACGGTCACGCCGTTTCGAGGGGGGCGATCTGGGGCAAGGCTCGTACCGTTGTACCGAGTACCGTTGTACGAGATGAGAGGCTAACTGCCCTACGCCTAGAACAACGAAAGAACGCACGGATAGCGCGGTGTCAGGTGGCAGGGCATCGATGGCTGCAGTGATCGACCCCGGGGAGAGATTCCCTAGTCTCCCGAGATGAGTCCAGAAAGGTACGGGACTTTGAACAAGGTACTGGGCAGAGTGGCGAGTGAGGCAAGAAGAAAAAGGTACTTCGGGCAGCGGTACTCTGTCTAGCTCTCTCCTTTTCCCCCTATGTAACTAGCTCCGGAGGCTACTCGAACGGGAATCGATCTGAGCGTTCACCAAATGCGGGGCCGTTCAAGGTTCGAGCTTCCCGTTCCCACCTGCCTTTCTGTCAATCCTTCCCGACTTGCCTTGGCTAAGGAGAAAGCGAAAAGGGAAAAGGACCAATATCACGAGGCCCACAGGTTACGGAGAGATCAGCCGCGTCCCACGGACCACCGTTCACCGGCTCGGATCGCATGCAGGTACTAGGATGTAGCGCGCAGACCGAGTCGATGAGCAGCGTATTGCATGGGATCATACCTCCTTGAATGGCTCTATTGGAAATGGAACGGGACCCGTCCACGAGCGCGCGCTGCGTGGATCCGTTGACAGGAAGCAATAAAAAAAAAAAAAAAAACAAGGCCAGCGAGACGTGCGGGACCCGTGGCTGTGACGTGGATGTGGCCTATACGCGCTAAACTCGATTAGAGGAGGACCGTTCTGATATCACCACATGAAGGTATTTGAGTACTTGAATGAACGGCATCTTCTTTGGGTATCGCGCCCCACTCGATGGAGTATACAATCAAGGTATGAAACATCAACGGGCCGATCCCCGTCTTTCTATGTCCTTCATCCTTCACCCCCCCCCCCCCTCCTTTCGGTTGACCTGACTCCTCCCTCCTTCAAATGTTCCTGGCTGCCTGCGGACTGCGATAATCGCGGCTTTGTCGACCCTGCAATCCTTGCAAGCATGAATGTATGCTGCAAGGGTGAGTTGCGCAAGCGTACCGGTGTGCTGGGAACATGGCGTTGACTCCTGTGAATGAAGACAGGAATGACCCCTTTCTACCCTGAGCAGCTGGAGTGGCGTGCGCTCTTAAATGTGAAACAAATGTTCAAAATGTTATCAGTAATTTAGTGACTGTATTGAAGAAAAGAAGAAGAAGAAAAACCAAAGAATCCAAATCCTGAGGCATTAAACTTGAGCCTTGGCTGATTTCTGCAATCAGCCCCGTACAGTAGGAATGTCATTCCTGATCTGCCTGCTTTCCAAGGGTTTTTGATCCATGATTGGATATCAGCCAAAGTAGGGTTCAGCATCGGGCCCGAGCTTGGGCTCGATGACTTGCGTTTTCTGCACGAGCCAGTGTTCCATATTTAATTATAGCATGGCGGGAATCACCCTCTATTCTAGCGTGTTCATTGGGGAACTAAGTTCCAAGCTCTTGCTCGTTTCGGAAAGGGGAAGTGCAACAGTGCACGCCGAAGTCTACTGCTGGATTGGGCTGAAGGATCCTGGATACGTCTCTTTCAATATTCTTACCGTGGCCTTGGGCACGGGTCGGGTTCCAGGCTATCTCAGCCACATTGATCTCGGTTATCGATATTCGAGGCGGACTGTGGCGGCAATTCAGATGCCTAGGAACGCATGTCATCGCTTCACGTCGCTTCACATCGCTTTATATTGATGGATCGATACCGACCATTCTCTCTTTGGCAGGAGTCTTCCCTCCTTACTCCTTACTCCTAACCCCACCGGGTTGTGATCTGACCGTCGCTTACTTTGGCCATCTTTGCCCATGTGGTCTTACTCGGCTAAGTTTTACTACTATTTCTACTCATGTCAGATGTAAGCGATGGTGGCAGTGGCGTGGAAACCTAAAAACCGCGTGGCCGCCTTCCGCGCCGAAGCCCCGTTTCCCAATCGCCACCGGAACCGCCGAGTAGGTTTCTCGGGGGTGGAGGCGTTATAGATAGATGATAAGTCAGAGTAATAGGTAGCCTCCGGGCTTGTATGGATTCGTTCTAGTATCAACTTGGAATATGCAGGTTTCATCTAGTGGGGGTGGTACATCGGGGTATAGTTCATCGAGTCATCGCTAAAGAAAAAAAAGGGTTCCCAAGGAACAGCTTGCGCCTCGTACAGAAGTTTTCCAGAACTAAGGAAGGTCATCGCATGATCATTATAGCCCTTTTTCAGAGTCCTTTCTTGACAGGACCGGGAGCCGCGTGACGGGTCTGGGTTTGGTCAGCGGCATTGACTGCAGCTGCAGCTACAGCAGCGGAGTTGCTGGATCCAGCACCGGCGACGTTACTAGCGTGCGCCAGAAGGAATTTACAGCAAGTCAGAGTATACTTGCAGGCCCTTGTCCACGTCTCGTCGTTTTGATTGAAGCCAAGCTTGATGCTGGCATCGCCGATGCGATCCCGTCTGATCTCATAGGGCAATCGCAAACCCGGCGCTACTGCGCCGGTCTGGCCTCGACGCGGTGACGACACGGGCGCAGGGGTTGTTTCAACGAACTGTCCCAGCTGGCGCAGACATTCGAGAAACGCCACCATGCCTGCGTCAAAGCGGCGATGGAGCCAGGGGAAGTTCAGCGGAAGGTCTCCGGACGAGAACAAGTCTAAGGGTGTCGTCTTAGGTGAGCCCCGCTCGTTGATAGCGGAGCCGGCTGGCTGCTGCGGGTACTCAATCTTGTCCACCCGCGAGGTAGACCCTAGTGGCCGCAGCCGATATCCCTGAAACTGAAAGCCTAGGCGCTCTGCAATCGTGGCCAGGAGCAGACATGTCTGGCCCCATGCAGCGTTGATCTCGGGCCACTCGACCGAGGGGTTGGCGAGCCGGCCCAGCCGCAGCCCATTGATCGTACCAAAATATCCATCGTGACCAATGCAAAACGCGTCATTGTAGACATTCGTCCTTTGCAGCCGCTCCAGCTGCTGGGAGTCGTGGTCGTAGCGCATGTTTAGCGCATCCCGCTCGGTTTGAAACTCTGCTAGTGTCAAAGAGAAACCATTTCTGGCTCGCCAAAAGGTATCTTCGTCCGTGTCGAGCTGTTGGGACTCGTCTTCTAATTTGGCAATCTCGGCATCCAGCGTGGCCTTTTCGCGCTCCAGCGTTTCAAGTTCTGCAAATGCTGCTTCCTCTGCTTTCAGGGCCTCTTTGAGGGATTTTTCAGCTGCCTCTACCTCTTCCGCAGTTGGGACTGATGCATTCAAGTTCCGCAGAAACGTGATATAAGCATCGCGCTCCTTCGTCGCCCCCGTCAGTCGTTTCTGTAGTTCCTGTACCAGCATATCCGTACATTCCACACATATAGGGTGGTCTATATCCGAGCGCGCAGAGACAATCTCAAACAGCCGGGTCGTCTTTTCGATTTGGCTGGCATATGCGCTATCCTCCTGACCGAGGTCCTGGTTCTGGCCGATACTTTGTCGCTTGGGTCGAGAGGGCAAAGAAGTGTCCGCAGCTGGAGGCATAATTTGTGAGTCCGTCAACACCACAAAGGACATATTTCCACTGTCGCCTCGAGGCAGACCCGGCGGGTGCGACTGGCCCGACCGCGGGGCGGGTATGGACCTTCTGTAGACCGCCGACGTAGCATTTCGAGAGGTTTTATCGTATAATTCTTTTCGCTCTGAAGGATATGAAGCTCGGGTGGAGGAGGATACAGCGCCAGGTTCGGAGACGGTCTTGCCCGTGGAGTCTGAAGCGGTCAGAATTCACATGTAGCTCTGGGATCAAAGATAAGCTTACTGACGAGTACCTCAAACGCAGCTGGGTTCAGCGACTCCAGCGAGCCGTCCGTCTTCAACGGCGTTCGACATTTTTGGCAGTACATGGTGTGCGATCAGTTCATTGTGGAGATGTCGGGATGTTCAAGATGTGGGGAGTCGAAGTTGGAGGTTGGAGCTTCGGGAACGTCACGCCGTTTGTTTTTGAACTCCTACGTTACTCTGCGCCAAACCACGCGCCCGCTCTTTTTGCTCGGTTTTGTGCTTCCTTTCCATGAATGGATTCTACGAAATCGTCGCTTTCATTATCGAATCCTCGTCATGCGACATTAGGCGCGTTTTACTGCTTGCGTTTTGCGTCTAATCCTCGCGACACCTTCCGCGAATTGTGAGCCCAACATGGACACTAATACGGAGGGCTTCACTATCCACACGATGAAGAGACCTGCGAAGCGCCCGCGGCTGTCGATCGACTCTGACTCCGTGGAGGATATACCGGAAGAATGGGACCTCCAGACCGCACGCGCGCAGAATGACAACAAGTTGAAGGCGATCTTCGAGGGCATCTTCTCGAAATACGGAAAGGACTTTACGGAAGTCGGGGACGAGATTGATCTTCAGACTGGGAAAATTGTAGTCGACAATGGACATCTACTCGGTCTGCAGGAGACCGAACCCCGAAATGAAGGACAGCCATGGCTCGACGAGAATGAGGACGGTGATTCAGATAACGGAGAAGATCCAGAAGAGGAAACAGTCGAATCTCACGAGCCGCCTTTACCAAGCCACGAAGATGACAATATCGAAGGAGAAGTCGACCCTGATAGCAACGACTCATTACTGGGTGCAGCACTGGCCTTCAATAACGATCGAAGGTCAGAAGGTTCCAAACGAGCCACTGGGAAGCAAGTCGAAGACCCAGGCCCTGAAGACCCCCTTTGGCAAACCCCTGATCTGCCGAGATCCGTCGCGACACCTACGGCCGAAGGCCGGGCTAAGGTAGTTACGCCAAAACACCCCACCTTCATCCGAGAGCCATCTCCGCCTGGATCGGGATCATTATGGACAGTTCCGCGACGCGGTCGACCGCCGGGTCGGCCACGCACTGAAGGGAAGCCCAAAGCGTCGCCGAGTAAAGTCCGCGCCCGGGCGAAACCTACATATCATTCAAGCCCTGTGGCGCAGGCGCATGACTGGTCTTTTTCTCAAATTCCCGACGGCGACGAATCAGACGATCCGCTCCAGGAGTATCAGCCCTCTCCTACGCCGTCTAGAATGACGAGCGTCCGGGGAAAGCGGATACAGGGTCCTGCTTTTACTCTAAACCGATATTTGGAATCAAATCCAAATCCGAAGCAGGGGGCCGTTCCCCGGGCCCAATCGGCTACGCCGACCAGTTCTGATGACGATGCTGACAATGACACCTCGGAACGAGATCCACATGGCAATGGCCATGTGGCATTTGGTACTTCTTTACAAGGTCATTCTTCTTCACGGCCGATGTCCGACTCCAAGCCACCATCGTTTCTGGTGCCCCGGTATAAGGTACCACGATCATCGCATAGAATTATAACGCCCGATGAAGCGCGGATGATAATCCGCTTGCGACATGTCGAGAAGATGGATATGAGAGAGATTCATAGTCTACTACCTAATTACAAGATCACACAGGCCTATGCTTGGGATTACAACCACTGGACTGAAGCTCGGCTAGATCCTCCGCAGCTCTCGGCTCCGTGGACCAACGAGGAAATGGTCATTTTGGAGAAGCTCAAGGACACGGATGGTCTTTCATGGGCTGGAATGAAAGCCGAGCTGCCCGGTCGCTCCCGCAAAGAGATCGAGTATGAGTTGATCCGTCTCTGGGTGGGCGAGGAGGTATGGAACGAGAAAGAGTGGGATCGGGATGCAAAGGGGGAAGATGTGCCTGAACAGCCGTCCAACCCCAATAAACGAAAAAGGCCGCTGGACATCGGGACTTCTGAGGTTGATCCAGAACATGATGGTGATACAGCTTCGTGTGGCTTCAAGATGCTCAGCGAGGATGATTCTGATTCCGATTTTGATGAAAATTCCGACTCCGATTCAGTCAAAAGCGAAGCCTTTTCATTTTCGAAGTTGTCCAAGATAGACCTCGAGCCAGCTCATAGCCCAAAGCTCCAGGACGTCGGGCAGAGGCAAAGCCTCGCCGCCTGAGTGTCTCAAGGTGGGAATCCGATGAGCCTGTAGAGCCTTAAGCACTCCCGTTCGAATGAATCCAATCTACCATATATCATACCTCTGCACAAATCTACTGAAAGTCCTCATCACAAGCATTGAGAACATCCTCGAGCTTCGTATCAACCGCACCACCCACATCACCCGCCTTAGCCCAGAACCGCGACAGATGCCTTGACCCAGAATCAGACAACACTGTCACAATTCTATGTCCAGGCCCCATCTTCATTGCCGTCTTGACCGCAGCAAAACCTAGACTCGTCAGTAATGTTCACTGAACTCAAACAGCGCAAGATCAAACTCACAGTTAACAGCACTGCTACTCCCCAAGAAAATTCCATCCTTCTCAACCAACCACCTCGCCATCGCCAACGCCTGGGCATCCGTCACCCTCACGGCATCATCAACAAGCTCCTTCCCAGCCTCGAAGTTCGCAGTCACACGATTAATCCCAATACCTTCAACAATGGTATCAACCTGACGCCTCCGCCTCGTCCCCTCCCTCTCTTTCAGATCGAACATCACTCCATAACGAACCCGATTATACAACCCACTCCCCTGTGGATCCGCAAGCACGATCGTGATATTCGGCAACAAGGGCTTTAAATACCTCGCCACACCAGAGATAGTCCCGCCCGTACCAGCACCAGCAATGAAGGCATCCATCTTCCCCTCACACTGAGCAAAGATTTCCGGACCTGTGCCCTGGTAATGAGCGCGCCAATTAGCATCGTTCTCGAATTGGTCGGCGAAGAATCCCCGGCCGCGGATCATGCGGTCTAGAGTCTCTTGTTCGGGCTGATCGCCCTCTTCGGCTGTTAGGTTGACGGTTTTTGATGAGGCCGTGTGCGCTTGTGCTAGTGCCCGTGCGCGATTCACGAAGTTGTCTTTCTCGACGATTGGTGCCGGTGGCACGCGGTCGACTATCGCGCCGAGCTTGAGAAGGAGGTTCGACTTTTCAATTGCCTGGTCTGAGGGCAGGCAGCTAAGTTTGGATAAGTATGGAGTTCAAAATGAAAAAGAGGGTATTCGATGCTTACATGTGTGCTAGGTAGCCTTTTGCGCGTGCGAGTGTTGCGAGTGAAATACCGGTTGATCCAGACGTGCCTTCGTAGATGGTATCGCCTGAATAGGGCGTTAGGATATCGTGTTCTTCGGCCTGGTATTGTCAGCTTTTGCTGTATAGCTCGAGATAGGTTCAAATATACCATTTCAATCATGCTAAGTGCTACTCGGTCTTTTGAGCTTTGCCCTGCGCCGTTCAGAAACTGTAATATGGTCATTAGATCGTTGTCTTCTAGCCAAGGTGGGGTTGCATACTTCGGCCTTGCCTAGAATCTCACAACCCGTTGCATCTGATAAGGACTTGATTCGGAATAATGGAGTGTTTCCGATACATCCTTCAATACCTTGCACGATTGCTGGAGGTCCTGGCCGCGCCCTGAGTGCATCTGAAGCTGTTTCTTGGGAGGGCGGTTTTTCTTGACTGTGCTGAGATGACAACACTTCTTTGCATACTAAAGCTAGACCGACGCCTGCAATGAACGCAGTTCCGATATAGATTGCCGATTGGTCAGGCATTGCACGCCAGTTGTCGCTCCTTCACCTTTTTTTCTCAATTGAAGGTCGATGGAACGTTCATCGAGAAACGATATGACGCTCGGACTACCTTCTTGATCTTGCAGTCGGGTTCGATACTGCGAGTAGAATTGACATAAGCTTATGAGCTTGTCATTGAGCTATCAATTGGAAGGTATTATAACAGTGGAATGCGAGTGAGATGCAAAGTAGAGTTGAATCCAGAAAGATACGATCCGCCTCAGGCACGTGCCCCCTGCCTGAGGCCAAGCTTCACCCGTCATCCGCGAACTTCGTGTCTCCGACTTCTGTTCAAGCACCATGGATTCGCCCATGCTCAACCAGCTGTTTCGGCAGCTTTTCCGGCATCCGGCATGTCAGAGCTTTCGCCGACCTCCAGCCTCGTTGTCTCGACAGACCCGTACGTTCCTAACCCGGCGCACGCCCGGCAAGCGCAAGCCGCAAGATGATGCGATGCTCTGGACAAAACGAGGCGACTACCCAAAGAACATTGAGGAGGAATACAAGCTTTATCCCACAGTCACTGCGAAAGAACTGCGTAATCGGCGCGAACGACCGCGGCAGGTGAAAATGTTGACGCGCGAGTTCGTCGATGGTGAGCTACAGAACACAGCTTGACGAGAGCACTTAACCTGACATTGTCTCCGCAGACAGCCTCTACAACCCGCATTATGGCTACTTCTCCAAGCACGCGACTATTTTTAGCCCCGGCGAGCCATTCGACTTCAACAACATCGAAGACGGCCCCGCGTTCCACCGCCTCTTGGGCCAGCGCTACACGGAGTTCGAAGACCTGCTGGACGAAGTCAAGCCTGATGTTGCGCGTCAGCTATGGCATACGCCGACGGAACTCTTCCGACCGTATTATGGCGAGACGATCGCGCGGTACCTGGTGTCGAATTATAAGCTCACGTTGTACCCTTATCACGACCTAATTATCTACGAAATGGGCGCTGGTAACGGAACGATGATGTTGAATATTCTGGACTTTATCCGGGATACCGATTACGAGGTGTACCAGCGAACTAAGTTCAAGATCATTGAGATTTCACCTGCGTTGGCGGATCTGCAGATGAAGAACTTGATGGATACGCTCAATTTCAAGGGTCATCGGGATCGTGTTGAGATTGTCAATCGCTCTATCTTCGACTGGGACACATACGTGCACTCGCCTTGTTTCTTCTTGGCGTTGGAGGTGTTTGATAATTTCAGTCATGATACTATCCGCTACGACTCCAAGACCGAGCTTCCTCAGCAGGGTGGAGTCTTGATTGATGCGGATGGCGAGTTCCATGAGTTTTACAACACTAGGCTTGACCCTGTTGCGGCTCGCTTCTTGCGCGTGCGTCAAGCTGCTGCGCGTCGCCCGTATCCCAGCCCTCTTGGTCCGCGTGTCCTCCGTGGCCTTCGCTCCGCTCCGCCATTCGGCAGTAGTCACTCTCTTCCTGAGTACATTCCTACTCGACTGATGCAGTTCTTTGATGTGTTGAATCAATACTTCCCTGCTCACCGTCTGGTATCCAGTGACTTTAGTTCTTTGCCAGATGCGGTGCCTGGGTTGAATGCACCGGTCGTCCAGACTCGGTACCAACGGCAAACAGTGCCGGTGTCTACTCCATTTGTAAGTTTTTCCACTCAGGAATACTTTTGTGCTTGGCTAATCATGTCCAACAGGTCCACCAAGGATACTTTGATATCTTTTTCCCCACGGACTTCAACGTCGTTGAGGATGTCTACCGCGCAGTGACCGGCAAACTGACCCAGGTCACAAGCCACGAGGACTTTGTGAATCGCTGGGCGTACATTGAAGACACCGAGACGCGGAATGGGGAGAATCCGCTGTTGAGCTGGTACAAGAACGCCAGCATGTTGATGACCGTGTAGATATGTATCCCATGGCAATGGAATGGCTGGAATTTAATGTATATTATTCGAATTGAACGAATATGGCATCTACCATTGTGATTCAGGCGGAACGGAGGAACCGCTAATCTCGGCAACCCCTCACGCATCCTGGTTCCCTCGGATGTCACTGTAGATAAGAGGGGTGAGAATAAATACAGCTTCCATTCCCCTGGAAGTTTCCTGGAATCTTCATCTTGAAATACCTCTGTAACACCCCATCTGCCCATCTTATCTGATCTAAGCCCATCTGATAACCCAAAGCCAACCTTGACAATGGCCATCGCCACTCCCCAATGGAAACCCCAAGTCCTTCAAAAACGTCGAACCCAACACGATCTAATTCCATCTTCCTGGCACCTTTCAGAAACCGCCCTCACCACTGCACCCCTATCAAGCATAGAAACTATTCGCACCAGCAACATCCTCACCAAGGACGAGTTAGCATGGACTGAAACAACCGATATCCGGCACTTAGTCACCCTCATCGCAACACGCCAGGTCACAAGCGAGCAACTTACTACTGCATTTTGCAAACGGGCAGCTGTTGCGCAACAACTCACTAAATGTCTTACTGAAATCATTTTTGATAAAGCGTTGGCCAGAGCGAAGCAGCTTGATGAGCATCTTGCTAGAACAGGGGCTGTGGTTGGACCGTTGCATGGGGTGCCGGTTTCGGTTAAGGACCGATTTGATGTTGAGGGGGTCGATACTACTGTTGGTATGTATACCTTCTCGTTATGTCTTAGGTTACGTGGCTGCTAATGTTGGTGGTGTCAGGTTGGGTCGGTCTTGTTAATAAACCGGCTACTTCGTCCAGCTCTGTTGTCCAATTACTTGAGTCAATGGGTGCGATTATTTACGTGAAGACTAATGTGCCACAGTCATTGATGGTGATTTCTTTCTTTAGATATCTTTGTGCCTTTTGTTAACTTTATTAGATGTCGGACTCATATAACCACGTCTTCGGTCAATCCGTCAATGCGTTCAATAGTGCCCTCATTTCAGGTGGTAGCTCTGGAGGCGAAGGGGCCCTCGTTGGCTCTGGAGGTAGCATCCTCGGTATTGGCACAGATATCGGGGGTTCGATCCGTGTTCCCTCGGGTCTACAGGGTTTATACTCGATTTCCCCGACGACGGGGCGAGTTCCATGGGATTGTTCCTTGTAGGACATCACCCCTTATCACATCTATACTCTCATTTCATACTAAATTCCTACAGTCTACACCAACACTACCTCGTCCCACCGGTAGCAGGCCCTATGGCAAGTTCCCTTGCAACAGCAGAATACTTCATGGAAAGACTACTAGCCTCAGCCCCATGGAATGTCGACCCTCACGCAACTCCTATTCCATGGAGAACAGAGCTGGCAACTCCGCCGACAGACCGTAAGCTTCGCCTGGGAGTTGTCTTCGACGATGGAATTGTCAAGCCTCAGCCTCCAGTTGCACGGGCAATGCGTGAGACTGTGCAGGCTTTGAGAGCAGCGGGACATGAAGTAATCGAATGGGATACCTCGCTGCATGTCCCGGCAACGGAGATGTGGAATAAGGCAATCCTTGGAGACGGCGGATCTCACTGTCGCAAGTTGTGCGAGATCATTGACGAGCCGCTTATTGAAGGCATGGTGGTTGGAACAGAGAAAGATATGTTGTCGCTCGATGAGCGAGAGAAAGTAAGGACAACCACCATCTAAGCGTCCGAACTATACCCTAACAAAAAATTTACTTAATAGCTTGAAGAAGAAAAATATCTTCTTCAAACCACCTTCCTGAAGCAATGGCTCGACTCCAACATCGACGCCCTACTCATGCCCATCATACCCTGGGTAGGTTATACGCCCAAAACATGGGTGAAAAGTAACCAGTGGCTCGGATACACTGCGATGTGGAATCTCCTCAACTATGCTGCTGTTACAGTGCCGATAGGTAAAGCGGATCTAGAGCGTGATAGTGTTGGAAACGGGCTTGATCCCGCATGGGAGGAACATGAGCCGAGGAACGAGAGTGATGAGTTTAATTATGCGCAGTGTGAGTTTTTCCTGACACTTCAGAGACGATGGTGTGTGAGATGAGGCTGACTTGATATAGATGATATTGAGCTTGTGCATGGGATGCCGATTGGGCTGCAGATTGTCGGTGGGCGGTTCGGAGAGGAGAAGGCCGTTGCTGTTGGGAAAATTGTTGATGGACTGATGAATCCAACTCCGTTTCATCCTATGGTCTAGTTCTACGACTACAATGGATGAAGAGGTAGTTAGATTGGTAATAACCTTAGTTTAGAGAGAGGAGTCAGTCATGAGATATCTAGTTCGAGATCCAAAGCTCGACTCGTGAAAGATCCCACCAAAAACGTAAAAACCCAAAAAATGCAGCCAGACCCTGCCGGCATCAATCCAAGAAAAATAAAGATAGACATGAATGAAGATACAGTTCCATCGGGGAATATAACTAGAACTCAAATTCCTTGCGGAAAATATTCACATCCATACCGGACACCACCTGGTCTGCCAGATCACGTCTTCCCATCTGGCTGAAAACCCGGCGCAGCGTGTCGTACAGATTCGTGCTCTGGTTCTGGCTGATGTGCAGCATCCGCTCGAGACGCTCGTCGTCCAGGCCGTCGGGGTGGATGCCGCCGCTGCCAATGATCTCCTTGGCGCGCTCGCGGCCTTCTTCCTCGACGACGCGGTGCATGGACAATGCGCCGAGGAGGTGCTGTGCGGCTTCGGGGTAGCAGCCGATGTTGATACAGGAGACGCCAAGATTGTAACGGGCGCGCACGAAGTTGGGGTTGATGGTGAGGGCTTGCTCGTAGGCTTCGATTGCTTCCTCGGAGCGGCCTGAGTTGGCGAGTGTGGCGCCAAGGCGGTTCCAGAGGAGATGCAGTTGTTCCTGTTGATTGGTTGAGCCAGATTCAGTGGATGCTAATGCGGCGGAGAAGCAGTCGACGGCCTTTTCGTATTCCTCGGCGCAGTAGAAGAGGACGCCCAGGCCGACTTGCACGTCGGGGTCCATCTGGGCGCCGGAGGGGGAGAGCTGGGCAGCGTGAATGAAGAGTTCAGTCACGCGGTCGTGCAAGAGCTGGCGGTCTGTGAAGCCCAAGTCGGCATCACCGGAGATTTCGTTCGGGTTAATGATTGATGGATACTTGTTCGACAGCCAGCGTTCCAGAGTGCGATAGGCAGTCGAGTCGTAGCCCTCGTTGGTATATGAGACAGCCAGACCCATCAATGCGTCCAGGTTCCCAGGTTCGATCTTGAGCGCCTGCTCCAGAGCCCGGATGGCGGGTAACTCCTTCTCGTTCTGCGCCTGCGCAGAACCCAGCATGGTCCAGGCCTGCACATGCTGCGGGTCCTTCTGGACAGCAGCCTCGAAAGCCAAAGCCGCCAGCGACAGGTTACCACCCTCACGCATGATCTTCACACCCTCCTCGAATGGGTTATTGACGGACTGGTAAACATTGTCCTCCTCGAACATGTAGTCGCCAAGCTGGGGATCGCGGAACCGAGTGTTAAGACTGTCGAAACCCTCCCAGTCACCCAAATCACCCACATGCACACTATCGGTTACCTCGAAATCACCTTCTTCCTCAACAAGTTTTCTGCTCGACGCAGTCTCAGCTTGGGCCCGTTCCCATACGGACTCAAAGGCATCATCGGAAATGGGCACTGACCTGTCGAGCTCATTCAACTCCGCCTCCATGGCCGCGTTGGCCTCCTCATCCGTCCGCGTCTCATTACCGGCCGTCTCCATCTCCGCAAACTGCGCCTCCCAGTTCTCATCATCCAACTCCACCATCCGACCCTTGCCCTTATCCTGCGTCTGCCCCTCCATTGGCTGCTGCATCCCCGGACTCTGCATGCCCATAGGCCGCATCATTCCCATGCCACCCATGCCCCCCATGTAACCACCACCCATCCCCATCGGCCTCTGGTACCCCGCCATCAAAGGCGGAGTGGCCGAGGTCTGCGGGCTAGATGTCTGCGGCATACCCATCCTGTTCTGCTGCTGGAAGCGGGAAAACTCCGCAGGTGTAAACCCAGATCCGTTATTCATCATCCCTTGCTGTGCACCGGGGAAGGCAGCCTCCATGCGCGCCTGCTCGCCGCCGTCAAACTCCGCGGCCCAGCCTGGCGACCCCGTGCGAGGCGGAGCGGTCTGGAAGTTCTCTAACTCGCGGCGCATATGCTCCATAGCGAAAGGTTGCGGCGAAGGCCCGTTCATTTGCTGTCCTTGTTGCTGCATGAAATCGTCCATCATCTGCGTTTTCCGTTAGTCTCGGCCAATGGTACAGTTGGACCTCGGAGAACGTATAGAGGAGGTCTCCCAACTCACCTGGTCTTGTCCGCCCATCATACCCCGCGTCCGCATGCCTTCTTGCATTCCCGGGCCACGGCCAACAAGCCGGTCTCGTTGGAGCGACTTGTCATCTTGGACGTGCTTAGTGAATTGTGTGAGAGGGTTTCCCGCCGTGGAGCATTCTGCGCCACCGAGGAATGACATGGTAAATTGTGTAGTGTGTTGGGGGTTTGAAAGATGTAAGGTTAAGGTGCCGAAGAAAAGCACCTAGTCATATGAAGAGGAGAAACCCCGGATATTCTCTGACGTGGGGTTTGGATCGCTCACTAATGCGCTTTCCGGAGCCGAGGTTCCCCGCTGGTCACGTGTATTTATACATATTATCAATCTATTGTACAGTTTTCTTTCCTCAATCACTTAGTCTAGGGTACTGCCTTGAAACGGTCAGAAGGAGACTCTTCCTCTTCCATCTCCTTCTCCTCCCGTTCTCGATCCAGATGTGCCTCTCGTGCTCGAAGTCGATCATTCTGCCCAACCATTACACCCACCCTCTTATGATCGGTAAAATTAACCAACAACGGTCGGCCAAGAGGCCTCTGATTCGAGAGAATCTCCTTCGCTTTCTCAGCAGACTCGGTATTGAGGAATTCTGCATGCGCAAAACCGCGGATCTGTCCCGACCGACGGTCCACGGGGATACGCACGTCCAAAACGTTCCTAACATCCTTGAAAATGTTCTGCAGCTCACGATCCGAGAGGTCGTAAGGAAGCTTCCCAATGAAAAGGGTATTGGATGGGGTTTCCTTGGGATTGTGTTTCTGAACCTGGCTGCGAGCGTATTGCAGGACGACCTGACGTCCTTCCAAGACCCGGTTGTGTAAGTTTTGGATTGCGTTCCAAGCTCCATCGATTGAGGAGAATTCACAGTAGCCGAATCTAGATTCGTAGCGTGTTAGTATGTCTCTCCAGGGAATAGTCTGGGATTCTTACCCTTTGCTGATTCCTCGGGCATCATGCACGATGTATGTCTTTATGACTGTTCCGTACTTCTCCATATGTTTCCTAAGATCCTCGGCCGTGAGATCGTAGAATAAGTTCCCGATGTACACTGTTTCGCTCGCAGCAGGCACGTGGCCCCAGAGGTCGATTTTACTGTGTCGCTTCTCCTCCTCATTCATTGGTGTCTCATCGAGATCTTCCTCCAGCGGGTCAAGAGGTTCAGGGAAAGTCTCTTCTTTGTCGAGGCTTCGTGAGTTCCAGCGGACCTGGAGGTCGGCGCGAAACGGGGGCTGTAATGAGAAGCGGAGGGAGGAGGATTGGGGCGCGGCGAGGCATCGCGATCGGAGAACCACAGCAGGTGTAGATGATAATGATGAGCAGACAAGCCGTGACGTGGCTCGGCGGAGAGAATGCCTTGAAGCAGTTAGTGATGGTCCAATGCAAATAAGCCTGACAAGCAAGCCCTCCAAGACTGAATCTGACGAGGATCTTTCTTGGGATATGAATGAATGCGACACACATTGTGAGATTAACGGGCCTACTCCAAGTATCGATCGCCTGGGAGATTATCGGGTATCAGGGTAGAAGAAATCCAAAACTGTCGAGTTCGATGGCGCATCGAAAAGTTTCCGGGGCGATATGTGTCACGTGACTGTTATCGAATCGCGGCTCTGGACAGCCGAGCCTATCTAGGTCACGAAAGAAGCAGAACCCTTGAACGTATAAAACAAGGTGGGAAAAAGATTGTCGATAAAAGGAGCGCACTTAGGACCGAACTCACTCCACGGGCGGCTTGCCTACTCGCCACTGTAATATTATCTTGGCGCGGGCATCTTTCGGTATAATAGTAGGTGATCGGGCTACCCAACTATACCTTCCTAGCTTCAGGAGCCCCAGGTACTCCTGAAAGCAATCCTTACTGATCTCTTGTCCCAGGATGGTCTAGTAGTATATTTTCTAGGAGCCGAGGGCTGTTGCGCTTGGGGTAAGTAGGTCATCTGCAACAACAACCTCCAGCGATGGGATTGTACGACCCTAAGAAATAATTTCTCGATAGAGAGGAGTCTGAATATTGGCATATTCTCAATATGATACAAGCAAGAAGAGAGTACCGTCGGAATCCCAAAAATATACCAAGCTTTTCACAAAAGCCGAATCCACGCAGTGTATGATCCGGCATAAACCGACAAGTCCAGTCTAAAACCCCTCAGAAAATGGTTTCAAGACACCGTCCCAGTCCATTATCCAATTGGGTCGAAAGGACTGCAGGAAACAACGCGCAAGAAAAAAGATGTTTGCATAATATCATACCATTAATTTCATACTATAGACCCTGGCTGCCTGAGCTCCGTCCGGTGTCGTTGTTACTTGAGCTTGACATCGGCGTGAAGCCGGGCACTGACGAGCCGCTTTCAGGGCTAGTGTTGGATTGAGTAGAGAACATATTTGTTGGTCGTGAGGTACCGTTTGGCATTTGTGGGGTTCGGTTTATGCCGAGGGGGCTTGAGATTGGGGGTTGGGATATGCCCACTCCTTGGGGAGTTGGCTGGCGCTGGGGGTCCATCATAGGCCAGAATTGGTTTGAGGTGTCAAATGTGGGATTTTGGACATATGTATCCCATGCATCCTGATTATGGTTAGTAATTATATCACGACATAGAACACGAACACTTACCCAGTCCAAGTTCACTTGCATGTCCGGCATTTGACCGAACATGCTGCTGAAGGGCGAAAGGGCACCTGGCATTTCAGCCGAACCCCCGAAGCCAGTCGGCATTGGCGAGTCTGACATCTTGAGCATTGGGTCGGAGAACGGTGGTGGGCCGGGATTCATTGGACTCATACCACTGCTTAGAAGTCCCAGAGTTATCGCAGCATTCTGCTTCTCGTCTTGGGGCTCGAACATGTTATTTCCGGCGCCATTTTCATGGCCCGGAATGGTGATGAGCAGCTTAGCTAGCATGACACCGAGAACGCTACTAGCCTTGTAGGCCTCCATGCTCTCGTCACGCATCTCATCCCAGATCTCCTTCGTACGCCGGATCGCAGTCGTCATCTCCTCGCAACGCTCGTGACCCCAGGTGTATGTATCTCCAGACGGTCGGCCGGCGGCCTGCAACTGGTAGCCCTGGTACAAGTCGAGACACACGATTGTACCGGCCAGCAGGAAGTCTGCAGAGCTAAGGGATGTGACAACTTGGCGACCTCGCAGGCGGCCATGTCGCGTTTCGTTATGAATAAGCGCCTGGAACTCGAGCAGCTCGAGAGCCGAGTCGATACATGTCCGGCGGGAGTATGTGAAGCGAGGGTTTTCCCGAGCCCGGATCAGATACGGTCGATGAAGCACGCATTGTGCCTTGAGATAGACAGTCATGACCTGCGTATGTTAGTCAAGGAAGCGAACGAAATAGCTGAAATCAGAACTCACTGAGAATCGAGACATGATAAGGCTCACGGGATCAACCTGGCACTCCTCCATTGACCGGATTTGCAAGTGATCTGGGATCAAATCACGAGCACGGCGAAGATCGGCATCAAGCTCCATGACCTTATCATAAGAAGTCGCCGCAACAGCCGAAGCAAGCTCATTGACACGACCAAAGGCGTACGTAAGACGACACTTGCTAATCATGTACGAGATGGGAGTTGGCTCGCTGAGCTGACGCGGCGGAGGAAGCTCTTTGCAGTCTTCATCGAAATCATCGTCATACAAATTACGCGGCAGCTCCGTGTCGCTGTCAGCAACCCGCAGCATGCAGGGCAGTCCAACCTGGAAGGAGAAAAGAAGATCTGCCGTCCGCACAAATGACCACACTCGCCGTCGCATTTCGCCCTGAAATGGTGTGATGTTGGGAAACATCTTCGAATCACGATGATAACCCATTCGCATGGCCAAACGGGCAATCACACCGGATAAAACCCACACTGAGATATCAGCTTCCCTGGTTTGTGAGAAGTCGCCATGCAAGTGGAACACGAGCGACTCGATCAGGAAGGGGTGCGATTTTGTGTAATCAGCCAGAGTCAAACACTGCGCAACCGAATTCCGGAACGAACCAGCCATGTCCATGGCCTTGCCCCTGAACTCTGGCGGCTCGTCCCCCTCACGGTAGTATGATAGCATTGACAATCGCATCATAGCGAAGAGCATAGCGATCCACACAAGCTCAGTTTGGCTGGGATCCTCCCAATGCTTGTTGTACTGTGCTTGGAATGTAGGGCCGTGGAGGATGTGAGTCGCAGGGTCGTAACTGTTGAAGTAGCGAGCAATAAGCAGATCCGTTGTATACTTGGATGGCACAGTGGCCATGATTTCGGCCCGGCTCAATGGCTTCATCACACCAAAGAGAAGCGTTGACCCTGGCACATCAGTTTGAGGCCGCGCAGCCTTGACTTTCTCTGCTTGTTCCTCGAATTGCTTCTTATGTGTAGAAAAGAAATTGCGCACTTCGGAAATCTGGTTTTCGATTAATCGCAGCCCGTACGGTCCCCAGGATGTGCAAACTTACATCGTTCAGTACAGAGGCCCAGTGAGCTTCACTGATGTAATATGACTTGTTGTTGTCCATTTTCATCACGCCAAAGGACTTGGTAACTTGCTCCGTGTCGCTCTCTTCTGGGCCGCCCTCGCCATCCTCATCAACATCGATATCGATTTCATTGGAAAGCCCTGTGGAACCTCCCGCACTGCTATCTGCAGAGATGGCAGCCAAAGCCGCCGCAGGCCCCGCAGACTGATTGCCATTCGTCATCAAAGATAGAACCAGACCTTCCAAGCGATCAATCCGGTTCTGCATATCATCTGGCGAAGTGGGTGTGGTCTGCTGGGGCGAGCTCTTCTTACGAGTCGTGACCTGGGCGTAGGAGCAGGAGGAGGCGTCGCCTCGTTTGACGCAGTTTTCACATGGGTGGGTTCGATTGCATTTCAGCCTGTAGTGTGTCAGTTCGGATATCAAATGACAAAGGACTGTTATCTCGATGCTTACTTTCTGTGGCGGCAGGGTGCGCACGACAGTGGCACCCGGTTTCGTTTCCGAACAACTCTAAACTCTGGCGACTGCGCACCGGCACTTGAAGACGTTGTAGAGGGAGGTGTAGGCGTCATCTTAGGCATAGGCATATTTGCTAAATTTTTTTTGTCTCAGATGCTCGAGAAAGGCGGGATAGCTCTCGCTGCGGGCGCAAATTCCAGTGCCCCTTCGAGTCACAAAGTATTGTCTGGGTTCAACAAGATGAATTATCGTAACCCCCCTGGTCGGATTTGCAGTTCACAGGTGTTTTGTGCGCTACTTGTTCGAATGGCGTCCTCGGTTTCGATGCGCTTAGGGTCGGAGTCCCCGTGCAGTATCTCAAAGGACGATCTTTCCCCTCCCCCTTATCAGAGGTGCGTATGCGCTGCGATGCACGTCGTTGTTGCCTAAGCGAATTTTGGGATATCTCACAGCTTCGGCCACATTTGTCGCAAAGCCCGTAGATAATTTCGGTTGGCGACAAGACTTGCGAAATCGCACAGGATCGCGCAGAATTAGTGAAGCGCCGTTGGAGCTTGCAGGTCAAGAGGGGCGCTTAGGCTGAAGTAGCGGAGATAGGGCCAAAAAGAATGTCGCAACGAAAAGGGTTTGGCGGTGCAGGTTTCCCTTACGATGAAGAGGAGAATAAGGAAACAGAGTTCCCACGATGCCACCTCCAGTATGGGGCGATGATTAATCCGCTATCTCCGTTTTGGGGCTTATCACCATGATGATCTCACCGCATTCCCGTATTGACTGAGTCATATTCCATCACCGGCTCTCTCCGCTTCTTTTTGTCCCCTTTTAGTGTTCTAGACTCGGGACTTCATGCTGGGTTAACTCAAATTTACGGTATCTGGCGATTTCAACGGGCCGCCCGATGGCAAAGGACAGGTAGGTAGGCACCAACGCTAGGTAGACAACTCTGAATCTGGAAATCGAATTCCCTTCCTTTCCCAAATAGCTGTAACTAGATCCCATATCTTCTCTGGGCATACTCTTTATTGTCTCTCAATATTAATGATCAAGGCAGGTAGACGGCAGACCTTGAGGATACCATTTCGTGATCCGTTTGTTTCACGCGGGCTGGCTTGCACATCAAAGCTAGGAGAAAATTGTCTCTGTCGTTACAGGGGAATTTATTGTTAAAGATTGCTTTCCTACCCGTTTTTTATTCGTTTCTTGGTCAGTCGCACTGAATCGAGCTGAAGCGTTCAAGAATCTCAAAGTTGGGTAGCACAGAAACCGTCATCGATGTTCCCTAGTTGCCACCTAGCCAAGAGATCCAATCTTAAAATCATTATTAATGCGGTTAGAGTTTAGCTTTTTTCTTCTGCGGGACAACATGCCGAGCTAGCAAAGCAACCCTGAACATTTGAGCCAGCTAATGTCAACGCCGTATTCAGCAAACCATGTCTACATGTATCAAATGTGCTAACCAAACACTTCTGTGGATATTGCTGGTGTATTTCCCGTCGCCTTCACTTAGGATACAGCAACACATACATACTCGCTCGCTTGTAGACCAGAGGAATTGGTCTTAGTCGCCCGGTTCCAGTGGTAGAAACAAGACATTGGGACGCTATATTCGTTGGCGATATCGACTCACGAAGTATCTGCACCAACCTCGTAGAACACGTCACATATGGAAACCATGCCTGTCTGGATGGTAGATGGCGTCTAAATACCATTTTCAACAGGGGTGTCATTATCGGAGTGTTGCTGATGGGGCTGCTAGAGCTTGGTACCCAGCCTGGGAAGCCCGGCGGGTAGCCACCTGCATAGGTCGAAATACAGTAGTTTGTGTCAATGCTCAACCCGCTACAGTCTTTTTCCAACAACGAATTCATGGTATCGAATTCATCAAATGAGATGTGCTGTCCATGAAGCACGCTAAAGCATGTTTTTAATCGTCCGCCGCAAGTCAGAGTAAATATAGCTACCAACAAAAGCGCTCAGAATGCGGACACTGTTTACATAGCCACTCATTCTGCTGAAAAATATCACATGCCTTTGAAAACGCAATAAGCGACTTGATTTCAATCTCTAGATGCCGTGAAGGCATGTGAATTCAAAGCGGATTCGTTCAACTACACACCGCATTCCGAGATCTCCACAGCTTCCCGTCCGAAACCAAAACTACACAAAATATGGAGAACCTGAGCCTAATAATACTGTCGTAATCGATAGCTCTCGTGTTGGCGCCAACAAAAGCTGAATGCACCAGTAAACAAAGAACACGTCGAGTGCAGGGATTAATCTGTTGGTGATTTAGGCAAACACTGTATTAATAGAAAGCGAATATACCGGAATCTTTTGCGCGTTAAAATATGATCCCTCAGCCTGACTGCTTCGGCTGGTTTTTCTTCCCCGCAACTCCAGTCTTTCTTCCTCTAACACTGCCATCAGCCAACACGCCCTGCTGAAACCAACAATGTCTGATACCCCACGTGGCCGCGGTCGTGGCGACCGCGGAGGACGTGGTCGTGGTGATCGCGGTGATTCCCGTGGTGGGGGACGTGGTCGTGGCAGAGGAGATACGGACTTACCCTTCCGGCCTCCTAACCGTGGCGGTCGTGGAGGCGATTCTGATAACTATCGCGGTCGTGGTGGCTACAGAGGCGATGACTCCCGCGGTCGTGGTGATTTCCGCGGTCGCGGTGATAGAGGCGATTTCCGCGGCCGTGGTGATAGAGGTCGGGGGGATAGGGGCCGTGGGGATAGAGGCCGTGGTGACAGAGGCCGTGGCGGAGATCGTGGACGAGGTGGCTTCGGCCCGAAAATCTTTAAGTGAGTTTCACTTTATCATTTTTTTCACATGTAGCTTTAGTCATTAACCACCTACAGTGAGGGCCAACCTGTCCCTGTGCCCGATACGAATGTTCAGAAGCTGGAAGATAGCTTGGCCAAGAACCTTGTCGTGGCTCGTCAAAAGACTCCAGACGGGCCTAAATATCCCACTCGGCCTGGATACGGCACCATCGGTAAACCCGTTACACTTTATGCCAACTATCTTGCTTTGACATCTGTCGGCAAACAATTGTTCCGCTACCATGTTGAAATCAAGGATGGCCTGGGCACGGCCGATAAAGCGCCCGTGGGCAAAAAGGCCAGACAGGTCGTGCGTCTGCTGCTGGAGGAACACTTCGCATCGAATAAAAAAGAAATCGCAACGGATTATCGGAGCACTCTGATTGCCTGTGTTCAGCTGCTCAAACAAGAAAAGATTTTCGACGTGCGGTACAAGGATGAGGGCCAGGACGAATACCCTGAGAGCCCGCGCGTGTACAAGGTCGCTTGCCAGCCTACCGGACAGATTAGTCCAGCTGCGTTGATGGACTATCTGACGTCGAGCAATACCGGTGATCTGCTGGATTCCAAGCCCGAGATCGTCGCCGCTCTCAACATTATCATCGGTCATCACCCCAAGACCCATAAAGGAATTGTGTCCGTGGGCGCGAACAAGCATTTCAGCCTAGAGCAGGGTGGTATCGAGAGGGCAGATTTGGGCAACGGTCTTGAAGTGCTGCGCGGTTTCTTCATTAGTGTACGTGCTGCTACGGCCCGTGTCCTTCTCAACGTGCAGGTCAAGTACATGGCTTGCTTCAAGGAGGGTCCCCTCACCATGGTCATTGCGGACTGGCAACCTGAAGCCCGTTTTCGCAACCTGTACCGCCTAGAAGTCTTTTTGAAGCGTATGCGCGTCAAGACCAACCATATCGATCGCAAAACCAAAAGTGGCAAGCCTCGTCCAGGCCCTTTCAAGACTATTTCCGGACTGGCTGCCAAACAGGACGGTAGAGATTTGGCAAACCCGCCCAAAGTGAAAAACCACGGCGCTGGTCCTCGTGATGTACTGTTCTTTTTGTCCAACCCCGACACTCCTGGTGGTGGTCCTCCTCCTGGTCCTTCAGGGGCAGAGCCTCCAAGTGCTCCAAGCAAGGGCAAGAAAGGGAAGAAGGCTCCACCAAAGGCTGGCCCCGCTCAAGCTGGCAAGTACATTTCCGTGGAGCAGTTTTTCAAGGACAGTAAGTCATCAATCTATTGTGCATCAATATGTAATGATTGCTAATTGGTTTCCAGCTTATAACATCACTGTGGATCCCAGCTGGCCTGTGGTCAACACTGGCAGCCGTCAGAACCCTACTTACATGCCAGTTGAGGTTCTCGAGGTCCCGGCCGGTCAGGCTGTTGGCAGCAAGCTGTCGCCCAACCAGACATCTGCAATGCTCAAGTTCGCTGTCATGGGTCGAAAGCCTGCTGAGAACGCCCTGTCCATTGTGACCAAGGGTGTGAACATGCTGGGGGTGGGTGAGCAGCAAAGTGAAACTCTGGTAAGAAAGATTAATCGTGGGGTGAGCCTTCACAGTCGCTAAACATTATTAGGCCACCTTTGGGATCAACATTACTCCCCAACTCATTACCGTGCAAGGCCGTGTGCTAGCTGCCCCTCAAGTCATGTATGGTGGGCAAAAAGCAATTCGAGCCATGTTTGGCGGTTGGAACATGAAGAGCATCAAGTTCGCCATGCCTGCAGCCTTGCAGAAATGGTCATGGTTGTGCTTTGACACACCTAACTCACAGCGCTACGGAATCCGAGACGAGGAGCTTGATGCTGGTCTCAGAAACCTGACAAAGTCTTTACAAGAAATGGGTGTTGCCACCAATTCCCCCCTGCTGGGTAATCGTGTCCAACTGAATGGCAACAACGACTCTGAGGTCGTTGGAAGGGCTGTGCGTGAACTGCAAGCTCTTCACCAGCCGCAGCTGATCTTAGGTATCCTTCCCGCCAAGGATACAGCATTATACAACAACATTAAGCAAGTCTGTGATCTTCACTGTGGTGTCAGAAATGTCAACGTTCAGGCCGACAAGTTCCGCGGAGATCATAGGAAGGGAATAGTTGGCGCCGATCCCCAGTACTGCGCCAATGTTGGTCTCAAAATCAACCTCAAGATGGGCGGCGGCAATCAATCCCTCCGTTCTCCCGACCTCGGCATCTTCGGCGATGGAAAGACCATGCTCGTGGGTCTTGATGTCACCCACCCTTCGCCCGGTTCAGCAGGCTCTGCTCCCAGTGTAGCCGCCATTGTCGCGTCCATTGACTCCAGCCTAGCACAATGGCCCGCGGACATCCGTATCCAAGCTGCTCGCCAGGAAATGGTGGACGACCTCGAAAACCTACTTAAGTCACGCATTTTACGCTGGAAAACGGCCAACAGAAACAAACTACCCGAGAACATCGTGGTCTACCGTGACGGCGTCTCAGAGGGTCAATACGACACCGTCGTCAACACGGAGCTTCCCCTCATACGCAAGGCATGCACCAACACATACCCAGCCACCGACACAAAGAAGGGACTCCCCCGCATCGCGATTGTCATCGTTGGCAAACGCCACAACACCCGCTTCTACGCCACAAACGAAGGCGATGCCGAACGCTCCTGCAACCCGCAACCCGGCACCGTCGTCGACCGCGGCATCTCCGAAGCCCGCAACTGGGACTTTTACCTGCAAGCCCACTCAGCTTTGCAAGGAACCGCACGTCCAGCACACTATTTCACCGTCTGGGACGAGATCTTCAACGCCTCCAGCCCAGGCAAACCCGCCAAAGGAGGCGATGCCAACGCCGCGGACGTCCTCCAGACACTGACGCACAACCTATGCTACCTCTTTGGGCGTGCCACGAAGGCTGTCAGCGTCTGTCCGCCCGCATATTATGCCGATCTGGTGTGTACGCGTGCACGCTGCTATCTGAGCGACCAGTACGATCCTACTCCATCCGCTAGCGTGGCGGGGACGGAGAGTGGGGAGCAGGAGACGAATAGTAGTGTGGTTCTTCATCCTGATATTGCGGACTCGATGTTTTACATCTAAGGATGTTTTACGTTGGGTTCGCGATTTTGGGGTTTCATTTCAGTTCATAAAGAAAGAATGGAAGATTAGTATGAATAAGAACAAGATAACAAGATAAAGAGGATTTTTGGATGGGTTCGGATTAGTGAGGCTCTGGATCCTTGGAGGATGGTTGGTTCGATGAAGTTGAGAATTGGAGATTGGGTATGGAGAGTGGAGAATGGAGAATGGTATTGGGAAGATGGTTGAGGGAGAAGTTAGAAAGGCGATGGAGTGGGGTGGAGATGATTGAAAAATAGGGATTTGAATGAGGAAGTCTGTTGTGGGGAGGGCATTCTAAATTGGCATTTTGATGATGTTCCTTCCGTGATCTAGTACAAAACATTTGAGTTCCATTACTTTCTGAAATCCAGCATCGAAGAGATCGCCGGAACCACAAGATCAAGGCAACAATCCTAGCTACGCGCTCTCTTGGCAAGATCCGAGGCAAGCCCGGGGAAGGAGTCACCCTATTTCTGGGGATCAATTATGCCATTGTCAATAACCGACTCACGGGTGCAATGCTGATTGAAGAGAGAAAGGACGATGTTCTAGATGCCATGACCGATGGGCGAGTTCATAAACCGAAACTAGACCCTTTGTTTTAACATTTGTCGTCGGCCTCACGTATGGCTACCCCTGTTTGGATGTGACATGGGAGCTCGGACACGTCCAGCGCTCAATGCCCAAAAAGGAGCTTACTCAGTCATGTATAAGCTGGGGAAGCCTTCAAGGATCAAGACGCGAGATTATCAGTCTGAGCGGTGCTTTTGCCCTGTGGAGTGGAGTGGAGTGCGGGGAGTAGGGCTCGCACTTCGACTTCGAATGTTGATCACACCCACTGAAGAAAAGAAAGAGAGAAGACAGCGCATAGACTATAGCTACGAAGAAAAGAAAAAGGAAACAGCTACACTCTATCTAGAAAGCTAGATGGTAAAGGGGGTGAGACTAACCAGCTATCTTGAAGTCTTTTCCCCTCTGGGTTTCTTTCATTCATCCATCCCCAGTCGCAGAGGCAACGGACGCATAAGGGCTAAACCTGCAAACATGGGTGGCATTCCGTGGTCATCTAAGGGCTGCATGAATTGCAGAAAGCGCAAGATCAAGGTACGTACATCTACCCAGTCCAAGCGGTAATACTAATGATCACGCTAGTGCAAAAGTGCCTAGGGTATAATCAATTTGACAATTTTATTCGAGGCCCCTCGATCCGGAAGGCAGCGAAGCTGGGGCATCGCACGAATCTTGTAAATGCAATTCATCCTACGAGTCACGCACGGCTTCCAAAATTGCCTGCAGTCGTTCGCTCAGGACAAGCCATGCGGGCTCCAATGTTCTCGTCATTGATTGAGATCACCTTTCCCGCCGAAAGCCAACCTCGGGTTTGAGCTTCGAGCATTTCTTACTTTCCGGTCTCGGCCATCTCCCCCAGAAGAGTGAGATGATCGATAAGGCCCTGGCCGCAATGTCTTGCCTTTTCTTAGCCAAGGTTCGTTGCGATTCCCCCAGTCTTCTATCATGCGCTTCAACTATACAATAGTGCGATGCGACTCATGTCTCGCATGCTCAGCGGGAATGAGTACAATGATGATATTGTATATACTGCGCTTATCTTTCAGGAGATTGAAGTAAGGATACCTAAAGTCTCTCATTCTCGCCTTTTGGGCCCTCGAGATCAAAAACTAACGCATTATGGCTTCTTCTTTAGGGATTCTATTGTCCCTCCAACCTGGGTACGTGGGGTTCCCATGTGGTAGGAATGAACGCTATCTTAAGACACTACCGCGAGAGGGCACCCAGAAGTCCTCTTATTGACACAATTTATAATTACCAACAAAAATTAAACATAGTATGGATATCCACTGCTCTGGCCTGAGCTGTCTGATCTTTCCGTCCAGCTATTCTTATCGATGGGAAAAAATCTCTCCAAAGTTGAATATGACCAGATAATGGAGCCCACAGATGGAAATCCGTTGCTCGAGATCCTCCAAATCACAGTGGCCATCGGGAATTTACAATCTGCGATTGGTTCGACCAATTATTCAGACCCTGCAGCTTGCCACAAGGTGCTCTATCAATGCTACGAAGCCGAGAAAAGGCTGATGAGTTTGCATGCCGCGGGATGCCTTGGTGAAGACCCATGAGAATGTGCTTCAACTCGGTTTCTGAATCCGGGCAACACAGCCATTCCTTGTACTGAACCTTTATTTGGCTCGGCGTACCAATCCTCATCACGAGATAATGCGATCTTGCATATGTTGTTCTGGGCGCATCTCGTTTTCCTCGGACCTTTCATTTGTCGTGCGCGCTCCCTTGTTAGAGCGCATACAAAGGACTACCCTTCTACAGGCTTGCAGGGGAGTATGGGATCTTCGTGCGTCCAAATCCTGTTATTTGCTACGAGCGTGATTGCAACGAATTTTCTTGGGGATGAAGATCGCACTAAGTTTGATTGGTGCGATGATGTCTTCAAGTATATGGCGGACAGTGGGTTTGATACCGCTTTCCGTCTCAGTGAATTGGCAAGGAGTCGATGAGCTCGCCAAAAGGATTCCAATAGGGGCAAAGTCATCTGTTTATCTCTACGACAACAAATTCCAGACGATAATTCTACTTTGGTTTGGTCGAGTCAAGACAGATCCTACTAAAACCTTTTGTCTTTACTACTTCTTTACCTCTTGCCTATAGCCACTCTGGGATCGCATTTGCTAGCGAAACCATAAAAGGAAACTGACCGTTCAAGTGGGTGGACTTCACAAGAGCATCCATGGCCTCATGAACGGGGTCTGCCATGTGGGAGTATTGATGAAACTGGGTTCAACGCCGAAAGCCAGCGACAAAATGGAATCTGCGGAGAAGCAAGCAAAGACGTGGCTCAGAACCAGTGGTGCCTGCTGCTGGGCCTTTCCGATTCCAGACGCTGGCAGACCTTGTCAATGAACTGCTGACGGAAGGAGGCACGCGCTTGAATTCGACTTGGTGAAGAACGGGCTCAAGGCCGCTCGACGTTTCTTGTGCACCACATGGGCAACTGTCGAGAAGGCTGCCAATGGGATGCCGACCCGAGTTTCAAATACCGATAACTTATCGAATGGAGCGGAAGGGGGATGAATGGTCTCATAAAACTCCGGGTCGTCGTTGTGGAGTTCCCATGGGTTTATCTGCACGATGGGGCCCTATTGGGCACGCAGCTTCTTAATGTGCCTGGTAAACATGTCCCCTCCCTGATACCATATCTCATAGTGTCTCGTACCATTGCGTCGCGGCGGCCAATTTGGGACCGGGGAAATGTCGCAATGGACCTCGATAGAGCCGATAGACGACCAGACCCAGCAGATGAAGTCCGCCAGCGAGAGCCGCGTAATTACTCCGGGGCAAAATAGACAGACACATCAGCATAGCGCTTTCTAATCATCAACTATGGATTGGTTGTATAAAAGTTTTAGGATACTGGTGCATTTTATCTATCTGAGATAGCTGTTCATCCTAATTCGGAGTAGATCTCGAAGTATTTGTTCTTCTCTCTTTGCTGACGTCGCGCTAGCGCAGTGAGGGTTCATCCACCATGGTTTGTAACATGATGTAATAGCGTGCTTACATTGCAGATGGCAATGCACTAGTGCCATATTAGCCATTAGCGCTAGATTTTGCTTACTTGGATTAGATAGGGATCTCGAGATACTAGAGATTACCAATGCTTGGAAATTTGGATCCATGTTATCAATGCTCGTCAATCTGATTAGTTATTCGCTCGCAGGAGCTGACAATTGCAACATCCAAACAAAGAGAATTCCAAGATCACGTCAATGAAGTTGATAACCGGGTTACCCAATTATTTATAAGAAGGTGACCATTTGTAAGTGTAAGAAAAAACATCTATATGAGCAATATTCCAATACACACTAGGCTACTTTCTCCAAAGCAAAAACACAAAGCACCACCGTCATCATGTCTACCATATTAATTTCCGGTGCCAACAAGGGTAAGCCAAACCTGCGGATTAACTATCTGTCGTACTTTAAGTGTACTGATTCTGTCAGGAATTGGCCGCGGCCTGGTTGCCAAGTACGTGGCTCGCGATAATGTGACTGTGATCGCAGCCGTCCGCAACCCAAGCTCATCGGAGGCAACCTCTCTCTCTCATTTTCCCACGGGGAAGAGTAGTCGGTTGATTATTATCAAAGTCGACGCCATCTCCAACACCGACGCCAAAGCTGCAGTGGAGTCATTGTCTAGCCAGGGCGTGTCGGCTCTGGACATTGTTATCGCCAATGCAGGAGTCTTCGACACAGCCGCTTTCACCACCGTTGCCGATTCCACTATTGCGCAGATCCAATTCCATCTAGATGTGAACACTGTCGGACCTGTACGTCTCTTCCAGGCTACGCTCCCTCTCCTTGAGAAGTCGTCCTCTGCTCGCTTCATCCTGAGCAGTAGTCTTATGGGAACGATTGGAGGCATTAAAGACATCCCGGTCAAAATTGCGCCTTACGGTGCTAGCAAGGCTGCGGCGAACTTCTTCGTCCGCAAGATCAACTTTGAACATGATAATATTGCGACCTTGGCAATCCATCCTGGGTATGTAGCTACCTTTCAACTTTTTGTTTTGCATGGGGCATTAACTAATATTTTCTAATAGGGGCGTCAAGACAGATGCTGGGAATGACGCTGCCCGAGCTGCGGGCTACCCCGGCGCTTTCGTTGAAGTTGAGGACAGCGTGAATGCGATTGTCGCCAAAATCGATGGCTTGACCAAGGAGAACGGAGCGGGAGAGTTCTGGGGCTTCGACGACACCACCATCGGCTGGTAGACATCAGAGATTAGAGATAGACAGAGTGATATAGAAACATCCACATGGGCTAGAATATGCAATGAGAGATCAGAATGTGAATGGATTCTTGTTTCTTCCATTCCGATTCAAAGTGAGCAAGGGACTAGCATGAGCCAGAGAAAAGTAAACAACGTATCCGATTAGAAAAGTGCACGAATCATAAGAAATGCTCTATCACCCTCAGCTAGTAGATAATACGTTGTGAATACCTTATTACAAGCGAATATATACTCAAAGGTACTGTATCATCTACATCAGAAGCGATCCAGATTCAGCTGACAGCGGTGTGCTGGGAAAAATCCGACTCCAGATTAGTGGGTTTTGACATTAGGGTTAATGAACCACTCGAAGAGCGGAGGTCGCACCAGTTCCCGGACGTACTGTAACTCTCTCCTCCCTTCACTAAATGTCTGCATCATGTCATACAGTAAATTCCACACCCCATGGGCGGAAGAGGTCTGGGAAACGCCAGAGACCGCCCTCTACGACACAGATGGCTCCAGGCTCTACGAGGACGAAAATGGCCACCTTCTACTCACAATAATCCATCGTAGTGACGGTCCAAGACTGAAACAATATCTTTCTGTTTATCGCCCGCCTCTTGATATTGAAGGGAAGCAGTACAATGATCCGCTCTGGGTCGCCGCGTCGGAGGGGCGAACTGATAGTCTTCGTGCTCTCATGGATTACTACACCACCGACTCAAGAAAAGGGCCGCTGCATCAGCGAGAGTTTTCATTATTGACCCCGGTTCATTCGAATGCTGGCTTTCTGACGATGAAATTGAGAATCGGATCATCAGTACTCTCAAACTTCTCTTAGAGGGCGGCAATATTAATGCCCAGGACAACCGGGGCGAGAATGTCTTGCATTACGCAATAAGAGGCCACGCCTCTTGTGGTGGGAGCAAGCATTTCGACACCGTGCTAAGGTTCTTACTGGAGAATGGGGCGGACGCGTGTCAAGTAGGCACTGATAAACAAACCGTGCTACACAAACTCGCCGCCCACTGCACAGATGGCGAACCTATCGACACCCGTCTGATGAATATTCTTCTTTCACACGGCGCCAAAATCAATCAGCAAGACAACAACGGGAACACAGCATTACACCTTATGACCAGAAATCTACGTCAGGTCCAGGCGGCCAGGTTTCTGATTAATCGAGGCGCTGATGTCCGTCTCACTAATGCCAAGGGGAACACGGTTTTGCGTGAATGTTTGACGATGGGAAGAATTTTGCAAAGGCAGACGAACCACGAACCTGTGACACACATATTTGATGATCAGAGAAGGGCGCTGGATGAAATGGTTGCTATCTTGCTGGAGGTAGGGGGCGATAGTATGATGGACCAGTCTAATTTAGCGGGACAGACGTCGCGACAGCTGCAGTCTACGAAACTGGATACGGAGATGTTGGTCTATACCATGCACCGGAGGGGAGGGGCGCGGATAGGTCCTCCTTAGCCAAGTCGAAAATGAAACAATACTAGTATTGGAACATCGAACGACGTAGGACTTTAGTTTGGGCTCGGATGCTGGTTCGGTACTGTATTGCGTCGTAGTCACCCTATTTCGACCGGGCCTTGGTATCCAGGGCGGAAGGGAAGACCAACCTACTCATTTGAGCTTTGACCCAGCGGATCGTCAGGGTTGGGGTCAGTGGGGCAGCAAGGGAAAGGACCACTGTATTGTACCTCGACAGAACTCACCAAGTTGAAGCTCCTTGCATAGCCAAATTAGTCAAGCTAATTCTCATTCTTTTCTACCCAACTCCAGAGCTCAAAGTTCCAAGTTCATCAAGATAGACCCATGATAGGACATTCCAGTCACCCCGACCCACGTGCCGATAGATATAGCTAGGATTGGCAGATCGGCGAAGATAAAGGCAAAAGAGACGACCCCCCCCCCAAATCACATTATCACCCAACCTCCTGCTCAGGGATCTCTTTTACTCCAAAAGCCCAATCTCTGAAGGCTTATTGTCGATTATACATCATGAAATCATGTCTCCTGGTCCTGGCCACCTTGGCCGCGTGCACCAATGCCGCTGCTATTGATCTCTTATCTGCGGCTTGGAGTCATATGCTTTGTCTTCCTGGTATGTGGTTCAAATGGTCCAGAGTTGGGTCGATGAGAGATGGAAATTGGTGTCTAACAATGCCTGTCGCCGTAGAAGGATCTCAGTGCCAACCTACCAATAATTCCCAGGGCTGTTGCGAGGGTCTGCAGTGCTGGCCTGGGAATCCACTTGGGGGCGCTTCGGTAGGGTTCTACTGTATAGTGCCCGGGAGGAAGACAATATGAGGCAGATGATGGGGGATTTTCTTATGGTTTATGAATTATTCTGGGGGCTAGGTGTTTCTCAATCTTGGTTTTTGGTTATCTTCACTGGGTGGTCTGGGCGTTCGGTCGAGCGGTGGCGTTTCTCCGAAATAAATGCATTTGTTTCTATTCTAGATGAATGCAAATCAGAAGCTATGTACGATAGAAACGGTCATAGAAATTCTCAATCCTCGTCCTCGGGTACGTCATCTACGCCTCGGAGCCATGCACTCCGAGCATCGACGGCGGCCTTGCGTACGTCTCGCTTGGGATCGTCCAGGACTGCGCGGAGGGAGCGCAGGACTTCGTTTTTCTCTGGCAGAAGCGGGGAGATTGACGGTTCCGGGGCTTTGGACCCTGCGTCGGCGGGGGTCTGCTTTGTGGCGAGAAGATACAGGCATTTGAGGGCATCGGCACGAAGACGAGGAGTATTTACTGCATTGGTCTCGGTCTTGGCTTGGGTCGTTTTGAGTAGTCTCTCGACGAGGCTGTGGACGTGTCCGCACTGGTCGATCACGGCCACGCCGTTGTCACGGATGATCACGGCGAGGGTGTCGAGTGTTGCTGCGCGAACAGCGACGGAGTCGAGCGTTTGGAGGTCGAGGGACTGGAGGAGGAGGGGGAGTAGAGTTGGGAGTTCAGGCATGACCAATGCTGTGGTGATGGTGGAGAGGATACAGGCGAGAGCGGTTAAGTGGGCTGGTTTGATGTGGTCTGACTTTGTATGGTCGGCAGGGCCAGCGGTGTTGACGTCGCGGATACGGGACGAGATCAGAGGCACAACGGTAGTAAAAACGCGCTGCTTCGAGAGCAGACGAATTGTGGCGCCATTCGTCGCAGAGAGGACATCGTCGTCACCAAGGAGGATGGAAAAACCGCGGGCGGTTGCGGCGCTGGTTTGCTGATCTGGCGAGGAGAGCAGACCCAGGAGCGAAGTAAGGATATGGGTGGTTGTCGGAGCGAGACGGAGAACCAAGGCCTTTGAGAGCCAGAATACGGTGCGAATCGTGCCGGGGTTGAGAATTCCCTTCCCAGAGACTAGACCGTCAAACGCCGTCTCGGCAATATTCAAGTCCTGCTTTGAAAGGAACTTATTGACAAGCAAGGCCAGGTGACGAAGGAAAGAGAGATGGGTAGCAGGTTCTGTATCGTAAGAGACAGAGCGCATCACCAGATCTTGAAGCAGTCCAGAAACATCAGGTGATGTATATGGAATGCGGTTCCCACAGTCTTTGGAAAGACCAGCGAGTAGGTAGGTTGACACAATGATCGTGCGCTCTTGGTCAGCGGTCGCACCTTGGGAGAATGGCACGGGTGAGAAGTCAGATGGCGATGAGAAGAGACTGTATACATTTTCCGCAACTTGCTCCTGCTTTTGAATCGACACAGATCGAACCAAAAGATTGCACAGGCGGCCAAGAGTGTCGAGGATAGTAGCGTCATTGAGAACGCGGTTCTTTGACTTTCCAGAAGCCGCCTCCGAAACACTACGGCAGAGACCAATCACAATCTTGTCAAAGTATAGGTCGACGTTGGGATCCGCCTTCATATCTCTCTGTTGCATGACATAGAGAAGAGTCACCAGAATGGCACGAGGGTATCCCACAGAGCCAGGTTGCTCCTTCTGAAGCAGGATGGAAAGTTTGCTGAAAAGACGACGGAACAAGGTTTCGAAGATGTCTCTCTCGACGCTAATCTGGGCAAGAGTATCCAGCGTCGACAAGTAGATTGTGTTGGTGCCATCATCCTCATCGGGGAGGGTCGCCACAAAGGCAGGGAATGTAATGTCCATAATGAGCCGGGGCTTGTGCTTGGAGATCTCCGCAAGCGCAGCGATAGCTTCCTTTTTCAAGTCATCCCGACCAACCGATTCCTCTTGAAGAAGTATTTCATCTAGATACTGCACAAAAAGACCAATTTCGTTATCTTGGAAGAAATCACGCAGAGTAGAGAGGCGAAGGAATCCCTTCAATGCAGTAACTCGGAACGAAGCTTCCTCCTTGGCGGCACCCATCAAGGCTTGGCCCAAGACATCCGAGAACTGATCCTTGAACTCAAGCAGAGGGTTTACAAAAGAGACTTCACTCCCACGGGTTGTCCACTTTCCAAAGATATTGATGGCAGACTCGAACAAAACAGACAATGTTTCCAAAAGAGCTCTTTGCTTGACAATTCCATCTGCTTCTTGGTAAATTGTGAAGATTGGAGCGACGACAGTTTGCACAACGAGGGTAAATGCAGGCACTGAAGAAGATGATAGAGAACCAAGAATCTGCTGTGCGGGTTTCGCCTGCTTCTGTTGGGGTTCTTGCAATTGTTCGTTGCATTCCTTGGTGATAGGCTTCAGATACTGCGCCAGTGGGAGTTCTTGGGTGGTTTCAGTGACGCCTTCAGAGAGCCGCTGTGCAATTCCTTTCAGGGCCTCAAGAGACAACTCCGAAAGGAACTCTTCCTGGGCGTTAAGGATCTCGAACTTCAGGACCTCCCAGATGGTGATGGAACATCGTGACACGGTGTCTGGATCATATGAGTGGATACAGGCAATCAAAGTATTGAGAGCATCTCTCTTGACATTTGGGGATGTCGAGTCCAATTTCTCGAGCAAAGCCGGGATAGCCTGCGGAGCGAATAGTCTGTTTGAAGAAATGCAATCCTGGAGTCGGCCCTTCAAGTCTTGCGCAGTGATTCCATATGGATCATTTGGTGGCGGCCGGAATGTGATAGGGAAGTAGTTGTATACCGAGTCGAACAAGAGCTGCTCAAGTTAGCAATTTTATCCGATCTCAATCAATAAGAGACTAACCTCGGCGTGGTTTGTAATCTCCCACTCCATCATAACGACCTTGAGAATGGAGAAGACCATCATCAGATTCCGCGGGTCTTTCTCTCCTGTCATAAGATCCACAATTCCGATGAGAGATATATCACCCATCTCAAGAAGAGCTGTTTAAATTATCAGCCTAAGATTCAATTGCAAAGAGGCGCAATGTCGCAAACTCACCCTTGCGATGGTTCGACATCAAATCGTTGAGCAATTGGTATACCTGGAATCGCTGTGACTGGGACCGAGATTGTAGGTCCTGGAAGTTAGAGAACATTCTATAAGTATGTTAGCACCGTCAATTGCCCTACCTCATGTCTCTGCTCGCAAGCTCACGACACAGGCAACCCGCACACATATCAAGGTGCACATACGCTTGCGCAGTCTCAGCGGCCATATCCTTGGTAAACCGGTCCAATGCCTGCAAAGTCTTCAGGCCCGCAATAGCACCTCCATCCTCAATCCGATCTCCGAAGAAGGTCGTCAAAACCTGAATCTGCTGTCTAGACAGGAACCGGGGTGGTAGCGACTTGATAACGGAGGTAAGGAAAGACACAGCCTTTCCGCGCAGAATTGGGTCTTCATCGTTGATGTATTCGGCGAGTCCTTGCACAATTTCGATCAGGCTAGTTTTCTTGCTTTCAAGATCTGTATAGCACCTCAGTCAAAGTCATATGTTGTCAGTGCGGGGGCGCAATTACCGTGGGCAACGCTTTCCGCGATGCGCTTGGCTTCTTCCTTGTCGTGTTCGACCACGAGCATAAACGTCTGGAGGGCCGACATGTTGCCAATGAATCGGCCAGACGAGCCAAAGCGAGCGAGAGCAGTACGTAGAGAGCAACAGTCCCCCGCCGTCCAATTTCTGGTGGCTCTTATCGATAACGATCAGGTGATCCACTCCGCATCACGTGCACCTTGCGTCATGGCTGGCGAGGGCATGTCTGCGCTTTCAAGGCACAAAATCATCCAAGATGAAAGGCTCTGGAGTCATCAAGTCTTTAGCTTTACTTTTGACACTTACAAGCTCTACAGCTGCTTTGTGGGGTCTTTCAAATCCCATTAATCACCATCAACAAATCCTCCGTGCTTTGCCTACTCAACAATCAGTCATGGATAAACTCATCCCGGATATGCTCAAACCGCAGGCGGTAGCGCCGAAAGAGGACCTCTCAGGTCAAGAAAATGGGCCTATTATCTCAGATGTTCTTCCAAAGACCAAGGGAATCAACATCTTCGCCCAGCTGACTCGGGACTTTGAGCCGATCGCTTCCCGATTGAATGACCCATCGAAGAACATGACCGTCCTCGCGCCCCGTAACAGTGCTATCCAAGGATTACCTCGCAAGCCGTGGGAATCTCCAGAGGATTATAGCAAGTTTGGGGAGGTGGACGCATATGAGGGGCAAGAGGGACAGGATCGAGCGAAGCGTAACCTGCAGAAGTTCGTTGAAGCCCATCTTATCCCGGCGAGCCCATGGAGAAGCGGAGAAGAGGTTGAGACTGTCGGCGGAGTGAAACTCAGGTGGGAAAAGAAGGGCGATAAGATTTTCGTAAGTACCTTTGCTCAATCGCAGGTCGACAAAAGCTAATTGGTATCAGATCCAACCGGGCAACGTCGAAGTGGACAGTATTGCAGAGAAGGTCTCCAATGGCGAGGTCTGGGTCTTGAACGACGTGATCAACTACCGTTAGATATACCTGGGCATGAATTGAGGCTATGATGAACAATATAATGATTTGAATGGAAACGTTGATTTGGGAATCTTGGAAACTCTATTACAAAACGTATTTTGATTCGTAGCGGCAACTCTTCAAGACATCACGAATTTTATTGTCTATCAGGGCCAGTAATGCCTTTCAGGGCACATATATACACCAATACTGAGCGTCAAACCTCCACCCAAAGACCGATTAGTTCACAGCAGTTAGGAAGTTCTGCAGGACTCGCTCCTCGATTCCGTTCAGAATGGAGAAGTGCTCCATGACCTCCAGGTTCTCGGCCTCGGCCAAGAACAGCTTGTCGGGGTCCTGACCAGGCTGCATGGGGTTCATCATGGCAGCGGGGTTGGCCATGCCCACCTGCTGGGCCATCTGGTTGGCAGCTGGGAGTTACGTTAGCTACAATGAAGACGCTTATTTGACTGATAACAGGACAAGACTCACCATTATCACTGCCGAGGATAAAGCCAAACACGGACTGCAAGCCCATGAGGTTGAGGAAGTACCACGACAGACTTGACACCCATTGCACATCCAAGTCCCGAGTCATGACACCAGACTGCAGCATCGACTTGAAGCGAATGGTCAAAGGGAAAGGCAATTTCACTGCAATTAGTTAGCGATAAATCCTCCGAAGCATCAAGGCCAGCACGTACAAATCACGAAGCCCGAGAAGAAGGCATTGATCCAGCTCATGATCAAGGTCTGCGGGATCATCATCATCATGTTGCCCTTCAACATGCCCATCATAGCCTCCATTCCCTTCGGATCGGTCATCGGGTTCGCCGGCGGCTGGCCACGGTTGTCGGGGTCCTTCAAGAAGGAACCACTGCGAAAGCCCGAGACCAGGTAGTTCTTCCGTGCCTCGAAGGCTTCGCGATCCAAGACGGCGCAAGCATGGTTGCGGAGGTTAACGCCACGGAGAAGGGCGTGACGTTCGCGCGATTCAGCGAGGGTGGAGGAGGACTTGGGGGGCGTGTTCATCAGGACAGTCGCATAGTGGCGTAGGATTCCAGTTAGGATCTATCGCGGAGGGGTTAGATTTGGTGTCTTTTAAGAGGACGGTATGGATTGAATCTGGGGAGTATACCATAACCACAGTGATAGGGAACAGAATCCAGTAACTGCGCAGTAGAAGTTAGCTCGGCTTGCCCGCACGCTGTGGAGGGAATCTCACAAGAGAGCCGGATCCCGAAGGATGGACTGCTCATCTCCTTGGACAGCCATTGTGAAAGGAAATACCAGTGGACCAGAAGAGAAGGATTGACGGGCTTGGTGACTAGGAACCCCAGAGATCTGCGGGTGGTTGCTGGTGCGGAGAGGATGAAGCCTGAAGGAGGTGAGGTCGCGCGGGCGGTCATTGGCCCGTTAGCTCCCTCCGACGCAACTGTGTCCATAAACACGCCCTCACCACACTTACCATTCCTCCAGCTCAACAAGACAGGAAGTGGACCTAGCACGGCCGTTCTTGTGCTCAGATTGCAAAAATGGCGTCCAAGGTGCCCGTCTACTCAACCAACGGTCAGTAGCCCTCGCTCTACTCCTTCATACGGCGCGGTCTCGATGGAATCGCCAATTACTCGGCCCTTGCTAACATGTATTCAACTTCTAGACCTTAAGTCGACTAGTGACGATGCTCTCCTTCCTTACCTGGCCAACCTCCCCGCCCCTTACACCTTCGCGATAGACCACACCAAGAGCAACGTCCGCTTCCTGCTTGGATACAGCGCCGTCGCAATCGCGGGCTTCACATTCTATGCCGACCGCAAGCTAGGCTGGGAAGCGACTACCTCGCCTTGGATTATCGCAGCCGTTGTCACATACTTCATCTTGAATAGCGCGCTTACATACTGGATCTGGGCCGTCGAGGCTGGGGAGGTGTTTAGTGGAAAGCGCAAGACCGGAGAGACTGTATGTGCACAAATATTCCTTCCACGCCATTTTCCAGCTCTTTTTTTCATGGGCAGACTGCTTACGACATCTACAGATCTCCATCTCCTCATCCGTCGTGAAGAATAGCGTCCCATATAAATTGCACGTGGTCTACAAATCACCCAACGGAAAGGTACTTCAAGACAAGCGTATCGAAGCACCTTTCACCACATGGTTCTCACAAGACGGCGTGTTCCATCCCGAGCCGTTCCGTCGCTGGCTGGCTAGTGAGGTTGATGTGTTGAGATTGGCGGCGAAGGAGAACGAGAAGAAGACTGGTGGTGTTGCTGCTGTTGTTCCGCCACCTGGTGAGAGCAGCAGAGATGCCAAGCGATGAGTGTAATCTGGGTCTGATAAGAGAGTCTTATATGAGATCTTGGAATTATCTGATTGGGAATAAAAGGCATCTTATAATGCCACGGAGTTGCATATCATTGTCATTGCGGAAGTCATGATCGTAAGCCATGTTTGCCTGGAATTTCCTCTTCGTATGGCTAAATCTTGCTCTGAGAGACCTTCTCGTAGTCTCCGGGCCTGGGATCCTCAAGTCCTCCAAGGTTATCATCATCGTAGACCAAAATGACGACTGTATATCAAGCTTACTTCGATTCGTTTGTAGCATATTCGCAAGCCTAGAATCCTTACGACCGAATTTCTAAGACTCAAGTGACGACCTATACAACTTCAAGGTATACTTTGGCTCATAATGAACGTTGAACAGATACAAGGAACCCATCACTACCGAACAAGTTCCTGGAGAGACTCCAATTCAAACTCCACCTCACGACCATTCGCCTCAAGCTCCAAATATCCCGGCGCACACCGTTCAATATCTCTCGCCCAAGTCTCCCTGTTTCCCCATCCAGCAACCCTGAACTCTCCACGCCCTTCAATTCCTTCTAGAATATCAAGAATCTTACAATTCATATCCAGCCTAAAAGCGAAGGTTAGCCATAAAGTCTCTCGATATTTCCGTCCGACTGGAAGGAAGGAAAGAAAACATACGGCTCATTCTTATCGTCATCCCCACCAATATCCATCTCACCCAGATTAAACGGTCTCCTCGCCACAGCAAGCATCGCCTGCCCATTAGGCCCGAACTGGACCAACGAAACACGGCCCGAGTCAAGACCAGACTGGTCAATAATAAACCAAAGTCTATGCGCCAAATTATGGAACAAAACGGTTCCAGTCCGGCTGATGGCAATCATACGGAAATCCGCATTCTGCAAAAACAGCGCGGCAAGTAGATCCTGCCCCGCAACTTCGAGGTTAGAGTCCGCGGCGATGAAAGTCGGAAACTGCGGATTCGGAGATTCGCCGGCTTTGGCGTGGCTGAATGGGTGACCACCTGCGCTTTGTGATAGATAGAGAATGATGAGGATCTTGAGAAGATTGGTGTAGTTGGTTGGGTGGGTTTCTCGGTTTACTGGGGCCGAGCAGATGAATCTCTGTTCGAGAGTTGGGGGAAGTGTTTGGAGTGCTGGGGGTGATGATGTTTGAAATGATGCGCGGAGATCGTAGGACTAGTTTGTTTTGAAATCTGGAGGTAAGTATAGGTTTGGATGTTGATCAGATTTGCTTTGCATACGTCGCGGAAGCTTTGGTCAGCTGCGGCCCATTTCTCGATCAGATTGCGTCGTTGGTGGAGATCTTCCTCAGGGTTCGGGAGAGGGGTCCATTGTTCCTTTTATTCTCTCAGCGGCAGTACTACCTAGGTAGGATGAATATGGAAGAGGGTTTACCGTTATAAATTCAAGCCAGCCTTTGATCTCGTCGTGAATGGATTCCGCTGATAGATCTCCGCTTGGATGTGGTCGGACACTGGCCGGGATGCTACCCTGTTCGACAGGTACAGTTTGAGACATGGTTCTTGCGTTTCTCCGTCAAGGCAGAGCAAATGAAAAAGCGGACTGCGATCCCGATGTCAAGGACGTGGACACGACGGCTGCCTCTCCCGCCCCACTAGCGTCGATTGGCACGCGGGATATGCTATTTTAGTCTGGATAAGGTACCCATACGTCGCCAAAGTACAGTATAGGCGTGAACGCATCCCAGGATGATGTAGAAAGAGTATTAAAAAAAAAATCTCGAATCAGCTCAGCAGTCTATGTTTGGTTTCCAGAACCTGTCGGCCGGCCAAGGGTGGGAGTACTACTACAACGTCATTAGAAGGGAGCGTGGAAGACGATACATCTTCATAATATATTTAACAATGGCTAAAACAACAGTCTAAACTAGAAATTTTCACATAAAGCCTCATCACATCCGTCATTTTGAAGCCTGGTGGCTGCATTTAAGCATCGATAGTGCCAGGGCGCTCGGTAGCCGCGGCGGGCTTGATATCATCCAAGCGGCGGTTCTGGTTGAGTCGCTGTGAAATGGTCAGACTGTGGGCAAAAATGAGATCATGTCAAGTTGAAACCTACCAGCAGGTTGCGAAGCAGGCAGACGATAGTAACCTTGCCAATGGAGGGAACGAAGATGGAGGCCTTCTCCTTGACCTCGGGGCCAAAGTTCTAAATGACCATGTTAGCTGCAACTCAAGACAATCGACCGTGTACTACACACCTTCTCGCTCGAGAAGTTGACACAAACAGCACCCTCACGGAGCAGGCTAGTATCGAACTTGTACTTCTCACCCGGAACACCCGAGATAACAACATCGCAAAGCGGCGCAACATCCTTCAACGTAGCACCCTCCATCTCATGGATATCATGACGATGCTTCTTAAGTCCCTCGCCACGAGTAAACTTCTGCACGCCAGTGATATCAACACTGTAAACACAGGCACCGTCGTTGGCCAACAGCGCAGCCAACGGACGGCCAACAACCTCAGACCGGTTCACGACGCAAATAGTGTGACCGAACAGGCGGTTGCCGGAGGGCAGAACGGTGTTGTAGATATTGAGGTACTCGAGGATCTTGACAGTTGCCAGCGGAGTACAGGGCAGGATAGACTTTTGGCGCTGGGTCTCGGGGTCCAGGAAACGGATGTTCTGGTACATGTTGAAGATGTATCGGTGACTGAGACCCTCGACATCTTTGGAGACGTCAACTATCTGCTGCAAGTATTGATCCTGGCGGTTGTTGAAGATCGGGTAGTAGACGATGACACCATCGACCTCGTCGTCAGTGTTAGCGGAGAGGATGGCGCCTTCGATGTCGTCGCGGGAGACTTCGCGGAGGGAGTACTTGAAGCCACTATTGAAAAGGCGGTTAGTTTTATGTGTTTTGTTAAGGTGTCCGTATCTTTAAATGCCGTTCTGGTTGAAGCGATCGCGACGAGGGGCAGATATGAATCATACAAGTAACCCCACCATGGCTCTCGCAGGTAGATGTGACCCCGCAAATCAAGACAAGATTGAAATACTCACTTTTCCTCGCAGGTCTTCTGCGTCCATTGCGCATACATCAAAGCCGCAGGGTCATTGTTAGCCAGGAAACCAACCAGGTGCGGCGGCTTGTCAAGAGTCTTGACGCCTTCCTGGACTTCCTTCAGCAGGCCATTGGAGACGTTCTTGGCCAGCACCACCTTGCAGGAGGAGGGAACTGAAGCTGTAGGGGCCGACATGACAACGAATATGTAGCTAGAGGCAGAAAATGGGACAATTGGGCTTGCTGTTCACGCGGGGTCTGATGCTTCAGAGGGAAAAAGATTGATCGCTTATCGATAAGGCATCGGGTGCCGCATTCGGCCTCACTTGCCGAGATCGCAGCTGCCGGCATGCGGCGGTACGCCGGGTAAATTAGGGCGCATACATGGAGTACTGTAAATTAGGGTGCATACATGGAGTACTGTTGAGAGGAATGGTGGAGAGGTGACTTTGTGGACAAAGACATTGACTTGGGTACGAAGGGAGGACGTGCCTGTTCACAGGCAAGAGAAACTTGGAATTAAGGAATCTCGAGTGCAAGCTGCAAACACGGTGCTTCTTTGTATAAAATGACAACAAAAACCCTTGACGGGAAGTGATATAAATTACCCTGACTTGAGTAACTGATATACCATCCCACTGCCTAGAGTCGTTCTAGAGACACGACAGACTATTTACCCACACGGTTACAACTTTCGTACAGTTCAAGTATTTTGGAACAAAAGAGATAAATTGCGGATCCAACATGGAGAACATAGACCAGACGGAAGAATGGCCCTTCCCCCATCTCGCGCCCTCCAATGCGCGGAAAAATCTAAACGTACAGGATATAATCACATTTTGGTAGCCCATAGATCAGCCGATTCCCTCTTGCGAGACCAGCAGCCTAAGGGCAACATTTAACAGATTTACCCCGG